CCGTTGACGTCTGTCTGTTCTTATCTGCTATCGACCGAGTCTGTAGCCATGGTTCGAGTTAGGTGACTGACAACTGACACCTGGTATGACGGGTTTGGGTGGCTTTCGGTCGGTTCGGCCGATTGGGGATCGGAGATGGATTTTTGGGTTCCTTTTTTAATAGTGTTTTTTTTATATTGTTTTGGGGGTCGTTATTTGGTGGGGGGAGATGGTTTTCAGGGTAGATCTGTTTTCATCAGATGGATAAGGAGTGACAAATACTGAGTTTCGTCTGATCTGTCGGTGAGCAGATACTGAGTCCTACTACTTTAAGACTGTCGATATTATTGGGCGGTCCGTAGTATAGTTCTGACTCGGAAACCTCCGATATACAATGAAAGCAATAAATAAAGTATGCACGGCATGCGATCGGCAAACCCTTTACTTTAAACGCCAAGTCGAGTTGTCTAGAATAGTATCATCAATTCCTCGACCTAAATTAATAGGTAGTAATTCTCCTACACTAGTTGACTGAATAAATCTCTCAGCGTAGTATTATTGTGGTTGGTGACTAGTAACCACACAAGGTGCAGGGTCTGTGGTAGTTTGGTTCATTGGTACTCCGTAGATCTCATCTCTTTATCGACATCTCGCGATCGGATCAAGATGCGCCCGATCTTGCATGAGCGGTTTGATTCCGATCGGCTTGCATACTCACTACTTGAAGAACTACTGAGTAGAATATCTACCTTGATTTGGAGTCTCTTCTCCCCCTCTTCATGTTCAATCTACTCCAGCTCACTATATACACACCCACTCAATTCTAATACCATTAGAAAAAAGAATGATGTGCTCCGGTCTCAATCGGGATTTGAAGGGATTTGCTAATGGAGACCGCCGGCCTCACCGCTGCTTACCCTCCACCCTCCACAGCGCCACACCCACCTCCTTCCTACTTAACGTGTCGAGGATGGTGTAACGTGAATGTGATCCGTGTCAGGGACAGTGGGGTTCTTACTTAGCTGTTTATTATCTTGGTCAACACCCTGATTTATCCTTACCGACTCTTTCTCTCACGTCTAGTGTAGGAGGATAGTATAGTAGTAAATAAGCTAGTATGTATTCCCCACCTCGGTCTAAGATAGTGGTATTGTTGCCCCGCTGCCTTAGGCAATCCACCTACCCACTCCGCAGTCCCTCCGAACAAGAAGGAGAGAGATACCGCCATTTCGGCGGCTATTTGGAATTGCAGTAGCCCAGCCCACCTGCGGGGAATGGGCGGATTTGGAATTGTTTGTTATCGCTTTTGCCGATGGGTTTGGGATTCTTGATTATTATTATTATTATTATTATTATTATTATTATTATTATTATTATTATACCAAATCTACTATTATAATGAATATTTGAGTTTGTTATGTTGTTTTTATTGTGACGGCCGAGTCGATCGATCTTACCTCGGTACAAGATAGTATCTGAGATGTTCGCCACACCTACTTGAAGATGAACAGCCACAGCTTCTCCCCCGATCGGCCGACAAAACCGCCTGGTCATGTGACTGCGAACCATGAATCGCTCATATCGACGTCATACTCAGCTCCAATCTATGCATTGATTAGTAATATACATCTATTGATTTATGCATGCACGTATTTCCATCACCCTCCATGTATTGGATGAAGCAGAACAACTATCACATACAACCGTTAGCTGCATCCACGACCAAGCCATGGAGGAGTCATAGAAGGAGGAAGAGAGAGATCAGAATGCAGGGATCGAAGCTCAGACGTGAACTGGGTGGATCCCTGTACGATCCGATCTCGATCTGGCCTGGATCTGGCCTGGATCTGGCCTGGATCTGGCCTGGATCTGGTCTGGATCTGGTCTGGATCTGGCCTGGATCGGGGCCTGGATCTGAGGTGCACTTTTTAGTGCTTATTGACTGCTTTAGGTAGGTAGGTATGTATGTATGTATGTGTATGTATGCTGTCGTCATACCGACTGATGGGTCGTTGGATGGGGTTACGTGTGGATGTATTGCATGCATGATCCTTCTTGTGGGCTGGGTATTTTGCTGCCTAGAGGTAGGTGGTGGTTGTGTGGAATATGGGCTGGGGTTGTGTGGGGTGTAAGGAAATGTTGTATTTAATATTCTTGCTATAGGTATCGTAATAGTATATAGATTAGTATAATCCTGATCAATATTGTATACTCTTAGAACTCGCTGTTAACATTTTAGTACTTCTTGTTAACACGGGCGAGACGCTTAAGGCTACCATACATTCTATATTTCCATCTACTCTCGACTCTCCTCTCTATATTAAATACAAACCAGAGTAAGTACATACTCCCCGGCTTCACCCCTCGCGGTGAACCACCCACCCTCCTGCATTTGTTCAGCTACCTACCTCCAGACCAAGACTCGATCCAGCAGAACTACCCGAGTACGAGCTGCCCGGGATGCAAGTCATTGCCCCCCTCACCCCCCGCATTGAGAGAGGCTCTGCTCGGTAATATTGTAGATATGATGATCTCGCTGTTGTTTTTCTTTTCCTTCCTTCCACCCTTCGCGGGAATGAGGTAGACTGGATGTCTAATTCAAGACCGCCATATTACCTAGGTAAGGAGTGTCAGCCACAGATTTACCAGTAACATCAACAATCGCAACGCATGTACAACACGAATAGATTACATTAAACACCTCATTCCAGTCTCTAATATAATAATGATAAACAATCTCCTAACACTAGAGTATGTCGGGCCACTCCATCCAACTTCCTAATCAGAAATACCATCCTTGCATCATTATTCCAACACCCAAATAACCTAATTCGCCCCCAAACCATGTTTGTCTGTCCCCAGCTGCACGGCTAACATACGTACCCCATGCAACCTGCACTCAAAGTGACACAGACCCACCAAACCCATCAGGGAGGAGTTAGTTCATCCGGCCAGTCGGTATTCGCCGTAGCGGTGTGGTTCACCTGTAACGCACCTCTCTAGGGCGGTAGGTAGGTACCCAAGGCAAGTAAGGTAGTCTATCTTTCAGCTGGCTTGGTCGTCGATGCACGCTACTTTCTGACTGCGTCTCGCGATCGGCCGAGCCGGCGCTGTTCGGTTGTTGCGGCCGATGCTGGGGTATACTAGGTATATCTAGAAAGGGTTGTTTGTTCTTGATATGTCTGAGCTGTTTCTGTATGTATACATACGTACGTACGTACGTACGTACGAGAAATTTCAACCCCCTCTTGGCTGTTGTTAGGGTTTGCTGCTTAGCTACTTAGTATAATACGCGGAGATAAGCCGAGATTGAGCCGTCCCTGGCTGAAATCTTTTCTTTTAACTACGTTTTCTTTTCTTTTCTTTTTTTTTTGGTTCAACTTTTAATTTAACTTTCAATTATACTTTTATCTTTAATTCGCGTTTGGAGCGGGTGGATAGAGAGCTGTCAATCTTCCTATGTGGTAAAATGCCCCGTGTCATACCCTCTTGTTGGTTTTTGAAAGAGATATTTCTTTGTTCTTGTCCAGCATCGACTCATTAGCATCTCTGGGTTGGGCTATAGGTTACACATAATGTGATGATGAGCAAGTATCATACCTAGACGAGTGGCTTGCGTTGACAATCAATGATTGGAAATAAAGTATGTAGGTACTAGATAAAGAAGAAGTAGTACTCTATAGAGTCAATCGATGATACCGTTACATGGCTATTTACACAGAGGTTTGCGATCTTAGCAGCCATCTGACCAAAGCAAAGTATGGTGATACCAAGCACAGACGATACAAGTATCAACCACCAAGGCTAACGCACACCATATCGCGGTCCCACATGGTGAGACATCGGCGCTAGAAACTGGGCATGGCGCTGTATCATCTACTCCAGTTTTGGATCTGTATGAGCAATCAATCAGATCGAGCTAGCATCCACGTAGCCCAGCGTATCGGGAACTAGGGTACCCTTGCGATGGGATCGCTTTGTTAGACCACTGCCTAGTGCCGATCAGATCAGATCAGATCAGATCTGTGTCTGCAGATGGAACTGCAGGAGCCAGCTTTGACCAAGGGAGAAACAGTACTAAGGATCTTAGTTGCAGGATTTGGCATGGATATGCCTGTTCAGCTTGTCGTGGCTTGACCCACTCCCTGTTCGATTCCCCCTGGTTTAGCTTTTCCCCTTCCATGGATGTGCATGGTTTCTGTGTGATGGCTGGTCAGAACAAAGAAAGGAGTCTTGGGTTACGCGCCAGTGGGGAGGAACCAACAGCGCGAGATGATGTGGGGCCGTTATTGGACACGAGCAGGTGAATTATCAGGGATGTTCCCACTGTTCGTGCTACAAACACTATTGCGACATGCATCTTGTATAGATCGTCTCGGCTGATACGGTAATGTTGCTTCGTAGGTAGTAATGTTGTTTTGTGGGACGATACATGGGGTTCCTTTCTGCTTCCGCATGATAATTGCTCGAATTGATTCTGTCCTTCCGCTAATTGGGGCATTTCTTGGTTCGAGGTCTAAGTTGTAGATATTCCTTAGCTCGAAGATATGTACCAACTCAAAGAAACATGGAAGATATATGTACGACATATCAGTCATTGAAAGAAGTCTAATGACAACTCAATAGATCTTGCTGTCTCCTGCTCATCAGGATGGCGTTGATGGTGACATGGATCAGTTGTGCTCTCCTCAGTCTAGACTAAGAACCTCATAGTAACCATGCATTACTATTAGGCCAATTATTCTCATTGGTGGGATATCATTGTGGCTAAAGTGTCCGCCGGGTTTTGCTTACCGAACGGTTGTGGCCCACCGAAACCTAGTTCGAATCATGTCTTCGATCTCGATACCGATTTACTGGGACAAAAAGAAGTCTCGCCTTTCGAGGACTGATATTCATACAGAAGTAAGACGAGTGGGACGGTATCGTAAACACAGGGGTTCTTGAATATACCAACCACCCACCGCCATGCGCATGTCGGGTGTGGCACACAGTAGCAGTACACGACTCGTATTCTCGAAATGAGTCTGCAAGCCTGTTGCTTCAAACTCGACATATCTTATCTCATTCCACGTCAATCAAAGACCCTAGCCATCTTGAGTAAGATCTCTCGAACTTACGACATTCATTTTGCATGTAAGCTCTGCATGACACATGCCTTCTTGCATATACTTATGGATTTGGTTGAGATGAAAAGAGCTCACGGCAGTATGTTCAAGCGTAAATTCCAGGTAAGTGCGGAGTACTCCGAAACACATAGGCAATCAAGGAGACATACAGACATGCAGAGAGATGCTCACCTGCATTGCATGTAAGTTTTTCTTGTTTGTTGCAACTTGCAGTACAAGTAGAAACTGACAGGTACTTACCAAATGTAGAGACTGATCAAGCCTGATCAAGCCTGATACGGTCCCGGTATAGACCTCGAGCGCTGCCATGACTGGTGGCGGCGATCGATCTTTCACCCGTGCAGTAGGCGGCGGCGCGGCCCTTAGAACGACAAAGAAACACGAGGAAAACGCCTCCCGGTGGATACGGTATGTATGGGCCCCCTCGGTAGTAGATAAGTTGAGCTCGACTCGGAGGATAAGCATATGCTGACAAGCAGGCAAACATGCATATACGATGCATGCTCGATGAAACCACCCTAGTTCCTTTTAGATCAAACTAGATCAAGTCAGTTAGACGTATAGAATAAGAAATTAGTCTGTGTGGAGACGATGGTTGCCTCTCAAACGCCCTACTCAAAAGTGCTGACCATTTTCGACCAACTTCTCCAAGCTCGTTCGATGTGCTTGGAATGCAATTCTTCCAATAGTGCCATACATGACACAGTCATGTTCCTTTGTCCACGGAGGTTTTTTCTCAAATTTCTCCCTTTCTTCCCTTGTCATATTTTTTCTTGAATCGGTCTCTCATGATTCGGAGAAGACAGCACGCGCTTGATCATAGGTCCCAATATGCGTGCGCCATTCTCTCTCCGTAGGTGGATCTATATAGTCGAAGAAACATTGAAATTCGTTCCATCACTCTATATTTTTCAAGAATTCTTTCATTCGGCCTTAGTAAGTAGGCTAAACAGCTGTTAGTGGTACCTATTTCTTTCAAGAATCTAATACATGACCCTATCTTCCGAGAGGATGTCAGATAGTCCATATTTTTGAATATTGATGGGTGGTCCACTCAACGGCACGCCGTGTTATCCCATAGTCATGATCAAAGACGTCGGTAATTTCTAGCTTTTATCTCTCGCCTCTGGTCGATAAAGCTGCGGTAAACTTGACTTTAAATTCTCCTTTTGAATTGTTTTCACATCAAGGGCATGAAATTTCTTGAGACGTTTACCAACAATCCCCTCTCACAGTTATCGGTCCTGTGGTCTAGTGGTTATGACGTCGGATTCTGATTCCGTAAGCCCCGGTTCAATTCCGGGCAGGACCTCACAACAAACATCTCTTTTTGGACCCCCTGCAACTCTCTCGACTGGCCAAAGGTCAGCAGACAACTAGCGTAATCGCCCGGCTTCTTCTTTTGTATATAATTTCCATAGCGAGTGGCGCGTCCATATACCCCCTGGGAGGTCGCAAGGCCGAGGGCGCGGTTACCCGCCGTGACGTTAAACAATATCATCCTCATCATTATCACCCCTCATAGTTAGCCAAAGTTGACACCTCTGCTTTGATCATTGGAGAACCAGCCTATGATTCTCACTGATCAATGACGCTGTGATATGTCTGATGCTGTGGTGCAGAATCCGGGTTGAGCATTTGGATCAGGATGGTTGCAATGACAGCTTACTCGTCATCCATGAGAAAACAAGATACCTGGTCGTATATGGCTTTTGTCGGTTCCTGAATTTGTATACCGCTCTAAAAACCCGCAGCTGTGCCTCTGGTGCGGAAAATCGTAACTCTCACGGATTGAGTGTTGAATCAGGAATGCCAATGATGAAGACAACGTTGGAAACCCAACTAGATCGTTCTTTCCAACTATCTATTAACTTATCTGGGCATGATAGAAAAGATTCAACGAAATGGCGGGGACCTTGATGTAATTGATAAAAACTTATGGAAAGTGCGAACCTTGATGAAGTGTATGAGGGAAGGTGCAACCTGCAGGATAGGCAGGTATGCAATGAAGATAGCACCTGCCTTCAGTCAGGTGATACCTCAGGCATTATTCGATATTGTGCAGTCACTACCACTTATACTTTATAACTATATTCGACACCGAGAACATGCAGAAGCTGTCGGGTAGAGTTGAAGACTTGATATTGTCAGGCCACAATATACACCTGATTGTCATCTTTGAATCCTCGAAGAGATCGCATCTGATATAGTTGACAGAACCCTCAGGCCGAAGAGCGCTAAGGCTATATAGTAGAAATTCGCAGGTATGATGGCCCACTGAACAGGTACCTCATTGACTATCCTGAGCAAGACTGAGCTCTTCCGAAAGACACCCTTGTATAATTGTCTATTTGTGAATGTGAATCGGCTTCCCAACAGCCCCATTTCGGTACAAGACTGATCCTCCTAGTCCGACGCTTTGAGTTCGGCGGGAATAGCCAACTGTCTCCTAGAATCGTTGGACATGATGGCAGTTAAGTGCCTTATGCCATCATGTATACAGATGGAAAGCTACACTCATACACTTATCTTCACTAGGCATATAGCCTGGCTCAATCATACCTGGATGGCCCCCTCAGAGTTCAAGTCCCAACAACTTTCTATCAAATCTACGTAACTAGGCTACAGCTAGCTCCCAATATGCAGAGTCCCACTCAACAGCTCCAGCTTCCCTAGCACCCGAAATCACACGCCATCGAACATAACTCTCCTCGGTGCTCCATCCTGCAAGAAACCACGCGTAGATCAAGGATCCACATCCTCGGCTCGACACGACTGACAGAAACCCAGCGCCATCTTCTCGCTTGGGGTAGGATAGGATTGGTCTGTTGCCCTATATGATAGCCCGTTGTTTTGCCTTGTTGGGTTATCACAACATCATGTGTCTGGCGCCTAATGGGGTGAAGATTGACACACCCCGCATTTTCGCCTTTCGGCTTTTGCATTACGGTTGTTTAAATCTCCGGTTATTCGGGACTCAGGTTCATTCCCCGCACAGTGCGAGTGACAGCTTGAAAATAGCATTAGGATGATTGCAATGAATTAAGTATCAATGGTCAATTCAATTCCGTCATTCGTTCATAGCTAGTAATTACTACATCACATCATTATATACTATATTGACATCCCGGTACATCGTTCCTATAGAATCGCACCGAGAATGCTCTGAAGGAACGCGAAAAGCTCCTCGCCTAGCGTCACGAGCGTTGCTGGGTCCAACTCGCTAAGCACGACCTGCTTCGTGCTGCATTTATCATCCACCTCCTCGCCATTCATTCGCTCACTCAGCCAGTTCAGAGCGCTGGCGGACCCCGCAATCGCCTCCGACATGTGCTTGCCGACCCAGTCGCGGTGATATTCGACGCGGGCCCCCTTAGCGCAGTACTGCTCCACCAGGGCATCCGTGTCTTCGATCGGACTCACTTCGTCGCCCACGGCCTTGTACACGAACAAGGGCACCGTAGGCGTGCCGCGGATGCCCATCTGCCCGGAATACTTGAAGATGGACTGCGGCACGGGCTCGAGGAACGATGCCTTGCCGTTGCGGATATATTTGTACATGTCCTCGCCGCCTCCCTTGTCGCGTGCCCCGGCCAGACAGCTGTTGGCGGCGTCCCAGAACTTGTTTGCCTTCTCCGGCATCAGGTTCGTTTCGAGCCAGTTGCTGAAGTTGGAGTACGCTTTTGCCTGTCCGTACATGCCGGAGAACGCCAGCCCCGTGAAAGAGCTGTTGTTGATGGTCTCTAGCACGGAGCTGATGTTGGGGGTGAGTCCGCCGAGGGCGGCCCCGGCGAATGTCAGCTCGGGGGCGTAGGTTGGCTGCAGCTCGACTGCCCAGCCCGAGGCCAGTGCTCCCCCCGAGTAGCCCCAGAGCGCGTAATTTGGGTTGACCCCGAGCCCGACTTTGGGTCCTTCTTTCAACACCACGCGGATGGAGTCGAGGGTCGCATGGCCTGATTGTAGGCCAGCGGTGAACTGCGCGTCGAGACCTTCATAGTCCGTCGTGAGGACCCACCATCTTTTATTCAAGGCAGCAGCGACCTAGGATATTATCGGTTAGAGGCATCTTGACGGGGTAAGGTCTTGATTGTGCTTACAAAGGGGATATCAGTCGAGATGTTGGTGCCGGGAAGCTTAAACCCTTCAAACCCAAGTGTGTTGCGGTCTTGAATGGTGTAAGAGGGGCTGCAGTCCGGAGAAGCACTGTCGTAAGGGGCCTGGTAGGCAAGCAGCTTGTTCGGATCCGCGTTGCTAGGCTCAATCAATGTGACCACGGAAGCAACAGGGTCGCCGATGCTGTCTGTAGTCCGAAAGAGGTACTGGTGCACCGACTCGACCGAGATATCGGCGGGGAGGGAGGAGAAGAAAGGCTGCAGCTTCGAGGAGACCTGACGAGTCCGGATCAATTGCCCAGGAGAGAAGCTGGCGATATTCTCTGGCTGGTCATACCAGGGATCCTGCGAGGGGAGAAGAGGAGGGTCTTCAACTGCCGCAGAGTCTGCAACGACCGCAGACAAGAGGAAGGACGCAACAACAGTAAACCGAGTAATTGACCACATGGTGTTCACTTGGCTTGTTTTTTAAAGATGGCGCCATCGTCTCATATATATAGCTAGTATGTTTGCTGCAGCTTTGCTAGAGTGGAGCTACATTGCTTCATGGCGCAGATCAGCTTCTTAGTCGCTTGAGAATACGACCCTGCGTGCGTCGTGATCATCTTGAAAAATCTCGTTCCCCGCAGGCATTTATTCCCCGCAAAGAAATGATCAACAGGTCTTCCTCTCTTAAGCGAAGGCTGGAGCTTCGGGATTCATGCATTGGGTATCTAGCCTCGTGAGTTGCGGACTGGCGTGCGGGGGAAGTAACTAGGTGGAATGCCATGGCGCCAAAGGAATCCCGTAATGCGTGGTTTATCTCTCCCAACGTCACCAAGCTCGAGGCTAGTAGGTAGCATGTAAGCAGTAAACACAGTGCAATATCCGGCTATCAGCCTAAAAATCAGAATAGGCGGTCTGTACACGGAGAATCCGGAACGACAATGATGCTGGCCGTTTCATTGGTTTGTTGGGAGGAAGATAATGCAGGCAGTAGATTGGTTTGGCTAACAACAAGTCGGAATCACTGGACGGATTACTGACTGTCTACCGGGTGACCATTATGAACAAGGGCTTTTTTGGACGCACGCAGAATATTGTTCGATCCACCAATAGCTGAAAAAGCATCTTGTATCCGTTATTGACGAGGCAGGGGATTCAAATAACTTCATATCGACACCTACCTTGCTCATCTATTTCGAGGTGACCATTTTTTGGATATTGACGCGGTTCACATACCGGTCTTTACTTTTTAATAATCAACAGGAGTAAGAGCCTTCGGGTGTAGCTTTAATTTAGCCATCGCTCGAAGAAGACCTGGATTGTACAAATATCACGAGACAAGTATGCGGAAGAGCTGTCAATGGTCAGTATGTAGGGCTCGGGGAATTTATAAGGTTTAAGTTTGAATGAGATTGTGCATCGTACATGTTGCATGAAATGACGTACAGGAAGATCGTCTATTCGGGGTTACTTACCTATGTAGTATTTTCATCAACAGTAACCGTGGATTATAAAGATGACAGAGATCAAGCTCAGGCAAGAAGAATCCCGAGCTCCCTGTACAATCACAGCCATTTGGTCAGGTGCGCATCCATGAGCAGATGGCTTGGCTAACATTCATCTATTTGGTCAATATGTTTGATGTAACAGTTACTTTGCCAAGCTGCAGACTGGCTGGTCTTCGTTCAGTATGCGAGGTATCTGGATATTGTGGTCAGCATTGATCAGCCATACAATTTCGAGAACTTACCATGCTCCCTGACCATGTTCAAGCTGGCTGGAGCTGTGGGTGACGTATTAGATTAGTAGTCTCAATGAGCCAATCCGCGAGAGAGTACCTAGTAATATAGATATACATGTAGAAAATGACCAGGTGAGCAATTTCTGGCCGAGGTGTTGGGGTATCAGTTTCCAAGGTTTATTTCCATGTAGAAAACGGAGTATCCGAACTCTTGCAGACATTGATGGAAGGGGGTTTGTTTCAGAAGGAGCAATCTTGCGGTAAGAAGCCTATTACACACCTATGGGTAGCAAGAGAAGGGATCTAGTATCCTACTACTACTCGTATCGCTGATCACTGTATTATGTCCATGGGTGACGAGAGTGCTCTGCCAGATATAGTTTTCAGTCCACATAAACCCCATCGCATTCGACAAACCGCATGGACATGGTACCAAGTATGATAATCAGACTCAGACAGTTAAGACCATCAGGCTACAGAAAATACCATGCCACTTAAATGTAGCAGGGCCGACATAGTCCCACCCTTGCGTGTTGATGAACCTCATTGACAAAATTTTCATCCCGTCACGTTGTATCTGTTGTGTTCTGGGATGATGCTTGACAATGTCAAAAATATGAACCACTGCCAGATGCTTGATTGTGTTTGACCACACATTGGCAAGAGCTGGGGTAGGCAGGGCTCATGATCATCCAGAGGTATTCAGATGAGCTTCACTCTGTAAACCATTCAGGGACAGAGCTCAAGTGACAGAATTACGTCGAAAAGTTGATAGCAAACTCCAGTAGGATCGGATTTCCAAAGCAGATATTGACATATATTATGTGGAAACGGGGATGGAAACGCGTCCGAAAGGATGAAATTGATGGTATTCAGAGCTATGGAAAAGCTTGCTTGATGGTTAAATACAAGATGGAAAACAGTGGGAAAAGAACTCTGCAAACGCTGCCGGTCAGCTGACATGCCAATTGATTGCAGTCACTTCCACATAGAGGGAGAGAGGGTTGCATTATATTTGAATATATCACCGTTTCCGGGATCATTCCAAGTCAGTAATGGCCGAAAGGTCCAAGTAACACTTCCACATACTAGGGGACATTTACACTGACAGCTGAGCAAAATGGTTCTTCAGGCCTAGAGAGTCGATCCTGGCCACAAATCCCAATAATGTATCTGAAAAAAAGCCAAAACTTTATTAGAACAGAAGTCTGTGTATGACCCTTATATTGAATTTGTATAACTTTATACAGAAGGCGGGTCACGGTCAAGGGTATAGCTTAGGACCCTATAAGCCACGACGCTTTTCTTGCTTGCCCTACTCACGATATTTTCATGTACATGTCTGTCGAGTACCAAGTATTGTACAGAGAAATTACATCCACTCAAAGAATAGACACTAAGTTCTCCGATGTGATTTGCAAGCTTTCGGGCCTAAGGAGATTTACCTTACTCTGTGGCTGAATTCGTGCCAGTCCTCCAGATTTCTATCTGTTCGCGAATTGGGAGACAAAATTAATCTATATGGTTAACCAATCTGTAGAAAATCCATGGAACGTCCAAAATCCTTGAAGTTGGGAAATGTGTCGAGAAGGAGGCCCAATCGTGTAGACAACACAATATGAATACTATTTGGGTCTATTAAGCCAAGCTGCCCTTCCATGTTCATGGCACGGGCACCCTGAATTGGACGGTGCCTGGGTATAAGCCCCCTAATCAAGGGGGGAAAAGATACGTGGATGAGAACCACTTCTCTCAAATGCTTGATTGCAAGTCGATAAACCTTTTCATGTCGCGATTCAGAGCTCAAGACTGGGAAGAAGTTCTGAGCCCTGGATGCGCCATTGACTGTTCCTCATACCTTTGGCAGAAAATGCTGCTCACGGTCAACCAACGGGTCAATATGTGCTGTACCGATTGGCTTGCAGAGTTTGGATACATCTAGCAACAACTAGTGCAGGGGGGTCGAGGAAGGTGGAAGATCATGATCCTTCATACTACTGACAACACACGCCGAGGATATAGACATGGACAGGAAGGCCCATATGGAATTACGAGAGCCCGGACATAACAGCTTGAGGCACCCACATGAGTTACAACGGGAAATTATTATAAACCAGAGAGACAAGAGATTTGATCACTTTGTATGGGTGTCACAGGACGGAACAGTACCTCGTAGCAACTGACTCGGAAGTCTGCAGGTGTCTGTCTGTTTCTACCCCAGTCGGTATGTTCACACTTCTTGCTTCCTAGCGGTTGTCGAGTTGTGAGACATTCAAACGGGCAACTTCAGCTGAGTTGCAGTGTTTTCCCCCTACAAATCGTCATTCTGCGTCTTCATTCTTTTGCAACCTTGCAACTATTCGCGGCTCTTCATAATCATCAATATCGTCGTTGTTTTGGCTTTTCCATCGCTCTTCCCTCGGCGGTCTTCTTGATAAACATACATATTTTTGCCTGGAAGCTTTATTTCCCTCCTCCTATCTCATAACTACATACAAAGTAGGGATTGCAGCGGATAGTCTCTTCCTTTTCTCTCCCTTCCTGGACATCCTCTTTCGAAGCTTCTGAATTTACTCATCCTGAATCATGGGTCTCGACACCACTCCCCAGCTTCCATTTATAAACTAATTAGCGGTTCTTTCGTCATCTTGTACCACTAATTATCTTAGGTTTTCCGTCTAGGAAAGGAAGACGGCTTGTCATTGCAAAGAAGGCCAAGTTGATACAACAACAATGGCCTACCGTGTGTTGCTTAGAGCTCACCCAACCACTCCTCTTGACTCTAATTCAACCTACTATCGATGGATGTTCTTTGTCCATGGGTTAAAGAGCGGTGGCCTGAAAGTTTCCCAGTAAGAAACGGTCATCCTCAAAAAACCGAAGCCCGATTGGGAACCGGAGTTCGACACAGAGAAAAAAGCCTACAAGCTGTGAAGACCTATTCAGGGGACCGACATCCCCTATTTCTACGGCAAAGCGGTATACGACGGATCCATGGCACTTAATTTTTTGGCCATCGCTGGTCGCCATCTGTACTATCTTGCTCGCAACAAACTCCCCGAAAGTGAGAATGAGGCCTTACAGCAGAGCCTTGAGGATGCCTTGGAGACTTTAACACCATACGGCGTCGAGTACGATGCTGGAGAAAAAGCCTGGCAAGGACAGACAGCGAGTGATCATCGTCGACCTCGAACAGGTCAATTTTGATGTTAGGGGAGAGAAAAATGCCAACTCTGCCACTGCTGTTTGTCTTATGCAAGATTTCAGGAACATTCGCTTCTGGAAATCGCAGTCAACTATACCACGATTATAGGCGGGCTATAATATCCAGCAGAAGTCTTCATCCATACGAACGTTGGAGGGGAAGAAATGAAGGAAGAAGCATATCATTGCTAGCTAATGGGCCGCGGGCCGGTATGTACAGGAAAGCCGTTGCTCCTGCCGCATAACAAGTACCTAGTCTAGCCCGTAACCCCTTGCAAAAATGTAGGGTACATGTTGTCGCAATATATATAAATTGACTCACGGAGGGCAAACTTGTCATTATATACTTTGAGGCCGAGTGGTGATATCTTTCAAACACATGGATGTGATCCATCAGGTGCCTTATAGATCAGGCCATAAACATGACGTTATCTTATCGATAAGCACTGTCAATCATGTGTCGTCACGTGTGGGGCAGCTGTTGTCCACCCTTTGGTCTCCAACGACCGATTCAAGCTACAATCGAGTCAGAGCCATTATTGATCTCAAAGAAAAAGGAAAGAGGAAAAGAAGATTTTCCCCATTTGATTGAATTCTACACTGCAAATCATCATCTTGAACTTCCACCTCGAGCAAGCCAGCATCCAGGACAAAGCGATTGCTGTGTTGACTTCTCCCCCAAGGCTGACCTCATTGAAAGATGCCGCCGCCGTTTGTTCCGATCGCAGAGATCCCCACCGTTTCATTGTTGTATAAAGTGAAACATCTATTCCCAGTGCCGACTCCTCTCGCACCTCCGTCCCGATCTTTCAATGATGTCATATCTCTGATCCGCAGCGACATCACCAAACTTCAGGATGTCGATTGCATCGTCAATGCCGCAAACGAATCGCTTCTTGGCGGGGGAGGAGTCGACGGCGCCATTCATCGCGCCGCTGGTCCTCGGCTGCTGCGGGAGTGCCGTACCTTGGATGGCTGCGACACGGGCGATGCCAAAATCACGTCTGCCTACGAGCTGCCGTGCAAACGAGTCATCCACACCGTTGGGCCGATCTATACTTATGAGATGCGACGGGGCAGTGACCGACCCAAGGCTTTGCTGCAGAGTTGCTACCGCCGGAGTCTTGAGCTGGCTGTGGAGAACGATATGAAGAGCATTGCGTTCTCTGCGATCAGCACCGGAGTCTATGGATATCCTAGTGACGAAGCAGCGCGGGCTGCGGTCGAAGAAGCCCGGAGGTTCTTAGACGACCCGGACAATATCGGGAAACTGGAAAGGATTATCTTCTGTAATTTTGAGGAGAAAGACCAGGTTGCCTACCAGGAGGCCATACCGTATGGGTGACACATATTTGCGCAATACATGGACCCCACAGCTGACCCGTTCCTAGTTACTTCTTCCCTCCTGAGAACCAAAACGCACCTGAAGCCAGCGGACGGACCGGAACGAATGATACCAGTGAGTCTTCACCATCGCCAGAGCTTCTCGCCGCCAAGCTTCCCGATGCGCCCACCGTGGACCCTGCTTCGGATGATCTCCCGGAACGCAAGAAACAGAAGGTTAATGCAGACGACCCTGGACAGAGCACTAACGTGCAGAGCGACCATATACTTCCAAGAAGCGATGAAAGGAGCGAGGATGACTGGGAGGAAGTTGACAAATCCGAGGATGGTCGAACGGAGCGGCTCGAAGATGAGCCAGTCCAGGTTGATGGACCTCCTTCCCCTACGGACGTGCAGAGCGTCCAGTCGAGTGGGATCATTGACATGGATGGATCGCATTCGACAGAGGGCTCTTTTGCAAAGGACTTTTGAACGGTCCTTACGAATAGCCTGAAGGCCTCAAAGTCCGAGTTTTATGACTGAACGTTTTCTTACATTGGTGTACTGGGCTGGGATGTTCGGAGATAAGGTTTTCTTTGTGCTTCTCTCCTATATTCATTGACACTTATTTTTTCTTAATGCTCTCAGTTATTTGTTGATATATGTATGCACTGGGTTCTTGTCTGCACTCATTTTGCATTACTAGGCCATTGTCTCCGCTTCTCCTCTCAATGACAAAAGCCTCTTGCTGCCCACAATCTCTAACTTCCTAATACATAATGCCACGCCAAACCACCCACATCAGTAGCTTGGCTGTATGTCGATAAGTTCGTGGTTATCTGGCTATGGAGTGAAATGCGAACTCGTAGATATGCATAGAAAAGCCCTCAGCTATAAGGCTGATAATGTAGTCTAGAATCTGTGGCTTCCCCCAACAACATACCACCAAACACTAATTTGCACTAATTCTCTGCATAAGTAGACGCATGGTATAAGTGCCATGCTGACCTACCTTGTACCTAGACAGGACCGTGTGAGACACGGCGAGTCTAGAACCAGCGCGTTACGGGGCTTCCTAACCAAATCCTATTCGTTGACAATATGGGAAGCTGGTGAACAATGCACAGATCCATGGATAAGTAGAGTCCAGGGGTCGGCCGTGTCATGTTTCATGTCTAGTCACCTGCATGTCCATGACTCCGACCCTCCTCCACGTCGGGCTAGGATACGAATTATATCACCATCTCAGGCGTCATATCGCAAAGCCACAACCTCATGACAGCTTATCTTTGGCTTATCACAGGCAAGTGTCAGTCATGTTCACTTCATTTGACACCTGGGAGGTTTCAGAAAAGGGGGATATCTGGGCAGCTGGACTTCGGATTTCAAGGATATCCGCTGTCGGCATTTCTCCGGAGGGATTAACTCCCCGCTTCCCACCCCCCCACCCTTACCCAAAACCCATGGATATTAAATGAGGTCGCGCTAGGCCTCACAGTGTATTAACTATATTAGTACTGCCCACACACGCCGTCGCCACTAGCTGAGAGGTAGGGGGGCGAGGTTTAAGCGAATTGAAAAAAAGCAAGACACTGGGAGATACAGGGTGTTGCCATGCGATATCACCAGGTGAGAGAATCCGGGCAGACGATCTACGCAGTCGGGTTTCGCTCATCCGGCTGCTCCTGAAGGATGGAATAAGTTGTGCCGAACCATAGATAAGAATGGGGGAAATATCGGGGGTTCATGTTGTCGCTGCATCCACTCTGCTTTGACGCTAACCCGCGTTCGGGATTCAATTTATGCGAGATGGCAAACGATGGAGCGCAAAGCTTGGACGATTTCTCGTCTTTCCAGACTTATGGAGGTGATCTATGTCGTTGTTATCAATGGTGAAGTGAGAGGGGAGTCGAATTATATAGCAATGGAAAACCTTTTTAGACACCCATGGCTATTGTGTAGACTTCAAGGTCAGGGGGTGCAATGCTACCCTAGACGGTCAGAACCTTGAATTTACTACCTCGTAAACAAGGCAAACACTCGGTCGGGTCACGGGTGACTTTGCCTTTGTCTTTCTCGTCGCAAAGCTCCGGACGTAACTTTATTCTTGACGGATCTTCAAGTTTAGCATGGTATTGCCCCTGGCATCATTGTCGATTCTAGCCTTGCACAAAACCTTCACTGGCAGCTTCGCTCGTGTTTTTGTCGGGGTTTATCCCCGTGGTCCACTACAGACGTTCCAAAAAAAGGTTCGGGAAAACGCCCCCAAATCCATCGAGACATGGGGGAAACCGCCTGCGAGTCAGTCGCCTTCAGATCCAATCGTTCTAGGCGTCCTACTTAAATCACCACGTGTTGATCGAAATCACCACCATGATGACAATCTCTTCTGGGTGGGAAGGCCAAGAGACATCTCAAGCCACGCCAATGGTTCGAGAAGAATGCCGATCTCGGTCTCACAAACAATTACATACATGCTCCATACATCGCGCCTGATCGATCACGATCTCTTGAATCGGTGGAGTTTCCATTGAGTAAACATCTGAGGTGTTCATTTCGTTTCTCGTATTAGAAGCATGGACCGCGCTGTCGGCCCATGTGAGAGCCAATCTCCAGGTCAAAATAGTAGTGATCGGACGACTAGCCTGGCAGCCTGAGGCGCTGGCTTCAGGTTCCCGACCGACACGTGCTCCGCGGAAAAGAAAGTTCGCTCCTGGAACCATGAAATGCCGGCCCAGCTTTCATCTATTACATTTTCCGAACCCCTGTCATTTTATTCTATTCGCCGATTGCCTGCATGGTCTTCAAGCGAGTGGCCATCTGCGAATTACGGGAGGCGCTCTTTTAGCACAATGCCACCCTACTCGGACACTCTGCCAGGAACGCACTACGACCTGAACAGGTGCCGACCCCTTCCTACCACATTGGGTGAGGATCGCCTGCAGCCTAACCACCATGAAGCACGCAGTGAGGGCTAGTGGAATGCATCATGTCCGATATAGAATAAAGGCACCGGTGCATGGTTTAGTATCGTTATCAGCTTCTCCCCTGGTGCGTTCTTTGGTCGCTTCTGCAACTATCAGCACTTAGGATTCGTTCGGTAACGCATGACAGCCAGTCCTGGATTATCGTGAGCGTGAGGGCTAGATATCTATTGTCTCACTTGTGGAGTTTGCCAGCGCGGCTGAAATAGGATCAGGTAATAGTGCACGACCAAGTGGAGGAGCTGGCTCTCGGGCCTCGTCTTTTCGTGAAATCCGCCGCACTCCGCCCAAGGGCTAAGAGAGAGTCGCTGGAGCATCGAGAAACACCGAGGATGACCAAGTCGCTGATCGGCTGTTTAGCCTGCATTTGGGCTGGCGTAGCCATTGCCACGACTTGGCGATTTTCGCCTCCCTTTTGCTCGTCCACTATCTGCGGCGATTTGCGATGAACTATTATCGCCCCTATAGAGTGAGTCCGTGTTGTGGTTGGCGATCTAATCCGATAGGTCTTGGCCAAACATGCACCCACTTCTTTTTTCCGCTCGGTGGGACCACCTGAACGGCTACTCCGGAGTGCACTTCCTGTTCCTGGTATGGTCTCGCAGATGCGCTTATCTTAGTTGACAATGGCGGACGTGCTCATCTAGTTGGACATCATATCGTTCGCTTCCTCTCTCCAGTCTCCACGAGAACAATGTCTCTCTCCAAGAGGTCGGGTCCACGGAATGGGCTCGAGGTCCCTGCTTAGTAGAGGTTTATTCCCCACTCTGCCCCAAACAATCAACGGAGTACTATCCAGGGTTAGTCTCTAGGTCTGCAGTGTTGCAACCCCGGTATCTATTGTCTCCTTGTAATCCCTGTCCAATAACTTATAGCCTTTCGACTAGACCCAAATGATCTCTGGTATCGTAGCCAAATCCCAAACAGACGATGGCAACCCACCCCACCAAGCCTGATGGCAGCCCGCAGGCGACTTGCCACTGGCCAGTCAGTATTTCGTATTTCCCCCCCGTAAATGCTACCTACGGACTACATGCCCCTAGCGTTTGACGTCCTTCCTCTCTTTTCCCTATAACGGCACTCCCCGCCACCAATGGTCGCCCGTAGAGAAAAGGTGCGTATATGTTGCAAAAGACTGTTATGCTAACCGTCCCCGCCTGAAGGGCATGCCATCCAGCCCTGAGATTATGAAAGTCGCCTGATCAATCAAGCCTGCGCTGCGCTTCAGTATGAGGGAACTCTCAGGTCGCAGCGAATCTATATTCGTTGTCACGGTGGTTTTTTTGGGAGTCTCCTTCGTCACAGTGTGTCTACGATGTTTCGTCCGTCTGCGCTTAGTGCGAGCATTCGGGTGGGATGACACTCTAATGGTTGCCGCGATGGTATGTCTCGTCACTATCTATATTCTTTTCCAGGGATACGGGCTCACTTGTTGCGACTTCTTAGGGCCTGAATATCTTGTTCGCATTGTGTGGAATAACAGGCTCATTATATGGCATGGGCCAGAAACTGGGAGACCTAGAACTCAAGGAGATTGAAACTGCCATGTTTGTAAGTTATCTATCTATCTTCCTATGTTGCAAAGTGCAGGGAATAAAGCCGGCGCAATATTCTAACAGCAACCGATACAGTGGTGGTGGCTAGGCCAACTCAGCTATGTCTTCACCTGCGCCGTTGCCAAAATATCAATCGCGCTGGCGCTCCTCCGTCTCACAGTCGCCAAACTCCACAAAATCCTCCTGTGGCTCGTCATTGCCGTAACCGTGGTGGTGGGACTCGTGTTCTGGTTCATGTTGACCCTGCAATGCCAACCGGTCCATCATTTTTGGAAGCGGTTGTCCACCAAGGGTCATTGTTTGAAGACGGACTATCTCATCGACATCGCCTATGTCTACAGTGTCACCGCCTGTCTTTGTGACCTTACCCTGGGCCTCTTGCCCATCGCACTGGTGTGGACTTTGCAAATGACTCGAAAGACTAAAGTTGCTTTGGCGTTTATCTTGAGTCTGGGCTGCATGTATGTCCCTGACACTCGCCAGACCCCGGTGATTCAAATACTGACTGTCGAATGTAGTGCCAGCGCCGCTGTCATCGTCCGTATCCCTTATCTCCATAATTATAAGGACCCCGAGTTCCTCTGTAAGTTCTCTCTGCCAGATCCTCGACGGTCAACATACGGAGACTAACTTCCCTCCCTCCAGACGCTACATCCGAGATCTCCGTATGGTCCAACATCGAAGCCGGGCTAGGAATCACAGCCGGAAGCCTCGTCACCCTCCGTCCACTATTCCGCTGGTTCCGCGGAACCTCCTACGGGGGCACCCACAGCGCGAAGAAGTCAGGCACCTTCCCCCTGTCCAGCATGACCGGCAACGGAACTTTCCAGTCCAAGCACGATCGAAACGCCCCGAGCTATTGGAGGCCGGACATCGACCGTGGCGAACACCATGGCGTGGTCACGACGGTGGCGACCTCCCGGGGGAGCACCAACAGTAGCCAGGAGAACTTGAATCCCCAGCAGAACTCGATGGCTGGCGGGGTCAATGTACACAAATCGTTTCTTGTAACAACAGACCAGGTATAGTGGATCTGTATAGATAATTTGGAAATGATTGAATTGAATAATAGAATACTTATACTACATCTGATTAATAGACTGATTCTTTAGATCTGCTTCTTACAATCTCCTTAGATACCTGGCATAAAAGCGTACCTGATAAGCAACTTCCAGATAAACTCACCATATACACCTAAACGATCCATCGACGTAACTCTAATATCAAACCCTTGCACCTTTCAAGTATACAACTAGAAGCTTCCATCACATATAGTGTAGACTCGGAAGGAAAATCAAAGATCCGTGCCCTGAAGCGTGGCACTTGGCCTAGCCAATCACAATCCCCAACGCCCGGCCTAGGCGGACTTCCAAGCAAAGCGGCGAAATCTCCGGAGAACCATCTGGTTTGTTAAGGTGGCTTTTTCCCTGCTACGCTTTGCAGCTTCGATCACTTCCTTCCTTTACCCATTTAGGAGATTAGGAAAGATAGGATTACCTTTTCCCTCTCCCCTATGGTTTACTAAATCTTTTGACCCTTTTTCCCCTTCTCATTTCCCTTTGATCCCGCGTCGTTTGGCCTGGACTGTGGTCATTCGATTGGCACAATGTCAGTTGCACATCTTTACCCCATGGTCCCCGCAAGCTTGCTTTATTCCCCCCTGCTAACAGCTCTTTTAGGGCGAAACTCGTGGAGGATCCTCAGATCAAACATGCGTCCCTCCACAATCCCCTGCCTGTCCAGGTGCACACCTATGTCTGGCCGTTCCTAGTCATCTGGCCCGCGTTTCTCGCCTTCTACCTCTCCCCTGAGCGCTACGATCGATATATCCAAGGTCAAGAATGGACGTTTGTGTGGGTGGCAACGATCATCACGGCCCAGTCACTGTTGTGGTTGATGACGAAATGGAACATCAACATTGAAACTCTCTTCACGGCCAAAGAGGCCAAGTCCCTGGACTCGGCCCAGCTCATTAAGGTCATCCCCGGCGCCAACGCCGGTTCTGCCGAGATCTGCCCGATAATTCGCGAGTCGCTGGGTGGGAAAAGGACGGTCTCGTTCTTGTTCCAGAAGCGCCGTTTCCTTTTCTACCCGGACCGCGGGTGCTTCGCGCCCCTGTCGTATGTCATTGACGAGGAGCCAAGACCCGCCGTCAAAACCTTCCAGGACAGCCAAGGCCTGAGCTCCAAAGCTGAAGTTGAGCGCATCCAGCACCATTACGGCGACAATACGTTTGATATTCCCGTCCCCGGTTTCATCGAACTGTGGAAAGAACATGCCGTGGCGCCTTTCTTCGTTTTCCAGATCTTCTGCGTTGGGCTGTGGATGCTTGATGAATACTGGTACTACTCCTTGTTCACGCTCTTTATGCTTGTCGCCTTTGAGAGCACTGTGGTATGGCAGCGCCAGAGGACTTTGAGCGAATTCCGTGGAATGAACATTAAGCCTTATGATGTTTGGGTATATCGCGAGAAGAAGTGGGTGGAAATCACCAGTGACAAGCTGCTTCCCGGTGATGTCATGTCCGTCAACCGGACCAAGGAGGATGGCGGTGTCGCTTGCGACATCCTTCTTCTTGAAGGCAGTACTATCGTTAACGAAGCTATGCTGTCTGGTGAAAGCACGCCCCTTTTGAAGGAATCTATCCAGCTTAGACCCGGAGATGACTTGCTTGATCCGGAAGGACTAGACAAGAATGCTTTTGTACACGGAGGTACCAAGGTTCTGCAGGTCACTCACCCGAGTACCAGCATGGAGGGGCCGGATAACACCCTGCGCACAGGGAAGGTTTCTTCTCCTCCGGATAATGGCGCTATTGGTATTGTGGTGAAGACTGGCTTCGAAACGAGCCAAGGGAGCCTTGTCCGTACCATGATTTACTCCACGGAACGCGTGTCTGCCAACAACGCTGAGGCCTTGCTTTTCATCCTCTTCCTTCTCATGTTCGCCCTCGCTGCTGCGTGGTATGTCTGGAAAGAGGGTGTCGCAAAGGACCGCAAGAGATCGAAGCTCCTCTTGGACTGTATCCTGATCGTCACCAGTGTCGTTCCTCCGGAGCTTCCTATGGAACTGAGTCTTGCGGTCAACACCAGTCTGGCTGCGCTGAGCAAGTTTGCCATTTTCTGCACGGAGCCGTTCCGCATTCCGTACGCCGGACGCGTTGATGTTGCCTGTTTCGATAAGACCGGTACCCTGACCGGTGAGGATCTCGTCGTCGATGGTATCGCCGGCCTTAACTTGGGTCATCGGGGCGCCAGCATCGAGAAGGACGGCGCTCACGTCGACCTGGCCAAGGGCGGCAATGTTAGACTTGACACCACGCTTGTTCTTGCGAGTGCCCACGCTCTGGTGAAGCTCGATGAAGGCGAAGTTGTCGGTGACCCTATGGAGAAGGCGACCTTGCAATGGCTTGGCTGGACTCTGGGTAAAAACGATACCCTTACCTGCAAGAACGCACAGGCTGCAGCTCGTCTCCCTGTCGAGTCGGTTCAGGTCAAGCGCCGTTTCCAATTTTCTTCCGCTCTGAAACGCCAAAGTACTATCGCTACGATTGTCTCTAGTGACGGCAAGAACTCCAAGAAGGTCAAGTCTACTTTCGTTGGTGTCAAGGGTGCTCCTGAGACTATCAGAGCCATGCTTACGAACACTCCTCCCCATTACGAAGAGACTTACAAGCACTTCACTCGTAACGGTGCTCGTGTCCTTGCCCTGGCATCCAAGTATCTTTCCACCGAAGCCGAACTGTCCCAAGGTCGTATCAACAACTACGTCAGAGAAGAAGTTGAGTCTGACTTGACTTTTGCTGGCTTCCTGGTTTTGCAATGCCCTTTGAAGGACGATGCTATCAAGTCCGTGCGTATGCTCAATGAGAGCAGCCATCGTGTTGTCATGATCACCGGTGACAACCCTCTTACTGCCGTCCATGTCGCGCGCCAAGTTGAAATCGTTGACCGCGAGTGCCTTATTCTTGACGCCCCCGAGAACGATACATCAGGGACAAGGATCGTCTGGCGAAGCATCGATGACAAATTCAACCGCGATGTCGATCCCACTAAAGATCTGGATGCCGAGATCTTGGAAACCAAGGATATCTGTATCACGGGCTATGCGCTAGCGAAGTTCAAGGGCCAAAGGGCATTCGCCAACCTTCTCCGTCATACCTGGGTTTATGCACGTGTATCCCCGAAGCAGAAGGAGGACATTCTGCTTGGCCTCAAGGATGCCGGTTATACGACTCTGATGTGTGGTGACGGTACCAACGATGTTGGAGCTTTGAAACAGGCCCATATCGGTGTTGCCCTTCTTAACGGATCTACTGACGATCTCCAAAAGATTGCCGAGCACTACCGCAACACTAAGATGAAGGAGATCTATGAGAAACAGGTCAACATGATGGCCCGCTTCAACCAGCCTTCTCCGCCCGTTCCCGCCCAGATTGCACACCTGTATCCCCCCGGACCCACCAACCCGCATTACCAGAAGGCCATTGAACGCGAAGCCACGAAGAAGGGCGCTGCCGCCGTGGCCCAGGCCCAGGCCCAGGCCCAGGTCGAAGGAACCATTACTTCCCCCGGTGCCCAAGCACTGCAGCAGTCTAATTCGAACTTGACCCCCCAGCAGCAGCGCCAGCAACAGGCTTCCCAGGCCGCTGCTGGTTTTGCCGACAAGCTCACGTCTTCGATGATGGAACAGGAACTGGATGATAGTGAGCCTCCCACCATCAAGCTGGGAGATGCGTCCGTCGCTGCGCCGTTCACTAGCAAGCTGGCCAATGTGATTGCCATTCCCAACATTATCCGCCAAGGTCGCTGCACCCTTGTTGCCACCATCCAGATGTACAAGATTCTCGCCTTGAACTGCCTGATCAGTGCCTACAGTTTGAGTGTGATCTATCTCGACGGAATCAAGTTTGGAGACGGCCAGGTTACTATCAGTGGTATGCTGATGAGCGTCTGCTTCCTTTCCATTTCTCGTGCCAAGGTAAGAAACCCAGAAACTTGTAATGATGACTTTTTACTGATAAATTATCCAGTCTGTCGAGGGATTGTCTAAGGAACGCCCTCAGCCCAACATCTTCAACGTATACATCATTGGATCCGTGCTTGGCCAGTTTGCCATTCACATTGCTACTCTGATCTACCTGTCGAACTATGTGTACTCCATTGAACCGTATGTCCATTTACCCACCTTACTACCCAGCTCCATGAACACCCCGCTAACATCTTCAAGGAGATCATCCGACATTGATCTGGAGGGTGAATTCGAGCCGTCGCTTCTCAACAGCGCCATCTATCTCCTCCAGCTTATCCAGCAGATTTCCACCTTCTCGATCAACTACCAGGGCCGTCCCTTCAGAGAGTCTATCCGCGAGAACAGGGCCATGTACTGGGGCCTGATCATGGCATCGGGTGTTGCTTTCTCCTGCGCCACGGAGTTCGTGCCTGAGATCAACGAGAAGCTCCGTCTTGTTCCCTTCAGCAACGAGTTCAAGATCACGCTCACCGTCCTGATGGCACTCGACTACGGCGGATGCTGGCTCATCGAGAACGCTCTGAAGTCCCTGTTCAGCGACTTCCGCCCCAAGGACATCGCTGTGCGCCGTCCCGACCAGCTCGAGCGGGAAACCACCCGCAAGGCCAAGGAGAACCCGGAGCAACTGGCGGCAAGTGGATAATAGAAGATAACCTAATCTCCTTTTTTTTGTGTCCTTTTCTTTCTGTCTCCCCGCTTGGTGGTTTTACTTTCGTGGGCTGATGGAGTCCTGATGTCTGTATTAATTCCGATGTGTTGGTGATAGAGAGCGGTGTTTCGAAGACCGATAATTAGTTATATGGATTAGTGCAGTACAGTACATAACAGGTTAGACCAATATGTGATCTCGATTCTTTCCCCCTTTTCTTCCTACATGTGTGGGCATCTGATGGGAGTATGGGTCTGGAACGTCATAATATTCATGGGGGTGTTTAGTTTGATGGGGCAATGATATACCATACATTATACAGTATTTGCAGATAGGGATTCTGGCAGTGTTTATTCTGTAGTATCCAGTATACTACATCTAGAATAAAACATAATCAAATATATATACGGAAAATGAAACCAAAAGTAATGAGAAGAGAAGAGGCTGGCTGTCTGCCTCAGGCGACAAGGCTGATACCGCCCCTCCGCCCCAGCGGCCGCAATCTCCCCATGTGTTCCATAATTCCATTCCGTCACCCACCCGTCTCCTCCCTCTTGATCGACACCGAAGCTACTGAGCTGGGTTGCATGCACCACCACCCTTTTTCTCCTCACCCCCCAACACACCCGCTGGTCATCGCCTGAGTCTTGTCATCTTCCGCTTCTCGCGGATCTGGCTTCCCATGCTCCAATAAACTCATCTCACCATGCCCCGGAGGACGCTGGGTGGTGGTCGTGTCCTGGGCACCGCAAGCGCTGTCCCCCCATCCGCCTCAACTCCGTCTCCGCAGCCCAAACCAAGGGTCTTATCGCCGTCAGCAAGCAGCATCTCTCTCAATTCCCAGGCCTCCGCCTCTCAGTTTTCTTACGAAACGCAAGACCTCACTTCCCGAATCTCTCTCGAAAATGCCTCTCCTTCGATGCCTGCGGCCCCGGCTGCGCCCGGAGCCCAGCTGGCCTGTCCCATCTGTAGTGAGGAGATGGTATGTTCGCTTTGCGCGGCCTTCTGCCGCTGATTTTGATCGCCGATCGTGAAGAAGCTTGCTGATAATGAGAAACAGGTCACTCTACTCCAGTTAAATAGGTATTCCTCCTTTTCCTCCGACAAGCGCCCTCCATCCCGACTTCATATCGCTAATACATAGCCCACCAGGCACCTCGATGACGTACATCAGAATCTGGAGGACGATCGACAGGACGAGGTCAAAGACTGGTTCAAGGTCCAGATGGAGAAAGCGAAGCGGTTTCAACCACTTGCGGTTCTCAACCAGAAACTCAAGGGACTGGACGTCTTCGAGTCGAACGAAAACCTACAATCTTCCGCGGGCCCCAGTCGACCTCCCGGGCCTGTGCCTGTGGTGTCCGCTCAACCCGCTGAAATACCACGAGCCCCCGAACCAGAAGATATTATCACAAAGGAGCACTGGCAACCTCGCGGTTTCTACGATGTCTGCCTGGAGCCGTCATGCGGGCAGCGGCTCAACGCGACCAACGGGTGTGTAAATTGCCGTAAGTGCGGGAAATTGTTCTGCGAGGAGCATACCATGTACCAGATGAGGCTGTCCAGGTCTGCGCAGCATGAGCCTGTGCGGGGCTTGTGGTACCGGGTCTGCGAGACCTGTTATAAGTCTAGGGAGGGATACAACGACCACAACGGTACGCAACTCTTTTCGCTGCATTGTTGGGGCAGGAGCTGATTATTTGCAGGCGTCGTAAGAGATCGAATGGACGAGTTCCAGGCTGTGAGGAAGCAAACTGTCGGCAAAGCGTTCTTCGAGGTTTCCCGGCTGGAGAAACGTTTGACGCGTCTTACCCAGCTCCTCGCTGCTTTACCTCGGGACCAGATCCAGTCCGGCGCGACTAAGCGCTGGCCCCTCCTAGGCCAGATTGATCAACGGAAGGCTCTGGAACAAAGTATTATCACCTGGCAGGATGATTCCAGCGTGTCTAGGTGTCCATTCTGCCAGCAGGACTTTTCCAGCTATACGTTTCGAAGGCACCATTGCAGAACTTGCGGGCGAGTTGTTTGCGGCGACCCAGAGACTGGGTGCTCGAGTGCAGTGCCTTTAAGTATCACACCTCGTATGTTGTCTCGTTCTTCACTGCTTTTGCCCAGACTTACCAGCTGCAGTTTCGCAAACACCCGCAGAAAAGGCACCGGATACTGGCTCTATAGATATCGATGTACGGCTTTGCAAAGACTGCAGAGCTACTTTGTTTGACCGGCGTGACTTCGAAGCCGACGTAATGCGGAAGCCTCCTGATTTGAAGACTTACGAGAATCTAATTCAGTTCGAGAGAGGCATTCGGATCCTCATGCCGAAGTTTCAAAAGCTTCTGGTTGCTTTACAGTATGTCTTGCAGTCAAAGCATTTGCCAACCATTTACTGTTGGTTCAACATGACTGACCATTTCTGCAGAGACCCCAAGCGGCCACCCACATCTAACCAAATAGCGGAAGCCTCCAAAGTCCGCAGGCGGCTTACCGATTCCTTCGCTCAGTATAATATCGCCGCCAGGCGAATACGCGATCTCCCCACAAAATCCCCCATGCAGAAGAATCTCCAGAACGCAATCTACCAGCAGGCGAGCAATTTCCTCCACCTGCACATGCTTCCTTTGAAATCCTTGCCCAAGGTCCTCAAACACGCTACTCCCCACGGACGAATACCCAACCCTGCCAGCTCTCCCGATAGTCCAAGCCCCGGTACTGCAGGGCATCGTCGCCAAGGATCCGCCCTGGCGTCTATCAAGTACGGCAGCGCAGCAGCCGGCGGCAGCAACTGCAGCCTCGCAAGCGATACAAGCAGCGCCGTGTCCGCCCTCGAAGCAGAGGAGAAGTCGCTCCGCGAGAGGCTCATCGTCCTCGAAGAGCAGAAATTCTTCGTCTCCGAAATGATCGCAGACGCCAACCGGCGCCGCAAGTTCGACGAAGTCAGCAGCTTAGCAATGAACGTGGAGGACCTCTCTCGTGAGATCGACCGGATCAACGGGATGTTGGACGGGCTTGACTTTGAGAACGTATACACTGGTAATTTGGCGACGAACTGAACACGGCCTTTCATGCTGAACCCTGGTATCCCAGTCAACTTGAGCCTGCCTCCCTTTAGCGGTTACTTTACTGGCCTTTTTTCCTTCTTTGTTCTTACTTTACTTCGTGGCTTGGCTTGGCTTGGCTTGGCTTTGGTATTTGGCGCGGCGTTTGTATGAGCTCTTCCTATTTGCATGGCATCAGGCGTCATCAATATGTGAATCACCTGTCATACTTTTACTTCTATCATACATTTCTTCCATGGGTTCTGACATAAAGATGGAAAGTAGAAGCTGTCGGTATCAGTCGTCGGTATGGGCTGTCGCCACTAAACTCCGGATTTCGCTTGCCTCTAATAGACTAGACACGGGAGGCTTTGGCATTCTGGATATCGTGCCTCATGTGTATAGCTGGCAGACGGCTTCAATGTGGGTTCCACTGGATAACTTCTATACGACAGCTTTGAACAAACAGAGCGAACCTTTCCACCAGACGACAAGCTATACATTTCAATGATAAAACGAAAGACAAGGATATTTCAACTCATTATTTGAATAGAATCTAGCACGTAGATGTCTCACCTGCGCTTCGAATCTAGTCCTCGGGTATACAAAGCACGACCATCTAGTATTAGCAGAATAAAATTTTACTCAGTCTTAATAAACCAGCTAAGCAAAGCCCTTCATATAAGCTGGCCTGGCTAGCTCAATCGGCAGAGCGTGAGACTCTTAATCTCAAGGTTGCGGGTTCGACCCCCGCGTTGGGCTTATTCTTTTTTTTCTTTTTTTATATTTATTGACTATTCATTCAGTGCTAGTTATTACGCAGTGCTTTGTTTTTATTTTATTTTGTTGTTATGTATGGTCTTATCTTACTCTTTGCTATCTAACCTGTGTTGGATAAAAGTAAGCTAGCAAATAGAATAAGCAGGCCTTTAGTTAAACAAATATGCATTGCATTAGCTCTGCAGGGTGATGCGGGCGGCAGGCGGGCGGGCGTATATACGGCCCACAGTCCGTCCACTGTTCAGCATGGACGAACCGAACATACTTGATGCGAGTAGACCGCCGAATCTCCCATCTTTCTGTGGCTGCGACTGTTGATATACTTTGTCTGATATCACTTGTTCGGGCGGGGATAAGTTAGTATGTTTCCCCGGCCTAGAAAGTGCTATACTACACCTTATCCAAAGGCCCCCCTTCGATGCCCACAGTCATCGGCGCATATTCTCCGGCGAAGATCCAATGCAGGTAGACTGTGTGCCTTGCAGGTTGCTTTGCAGGTGTCTGTTAGGTTAGTCGGCTAAATATTGGTGTCTTCAGCTCTGTTAGGTGTGTTGATAGTCATTCTCTGTTTGAGGTTGGATGTAGGAGTAGAGTGGTTGGTGGCGTCGCATGCGATGGATACTTTTGGATGGTTAAAGCGCTTTTTTCTACTTTCTTTTTTGTTTTATCTGTGTGTACTTGGGGTGAAGATATACTGGTACTGCTCATGAGTATGTATATACTGGGAGACAAATCTGAAATAAACTTCTTGTGTCGTTGACTTGGTTGTGTGGTGGGTGTGGGAAGTGTATATTTAGAGTTGACGGGAGTATAACTAAAAATATATGTTACTCCAGTAAGACAAGAAACTCAATCATAGTGATTATATCGCCCATATGTCTATGCCTCGTTTACATATTTGGGATTTTTATTATGACGAGATATAACGAATCCATCAAACTAGTGTTTAACCACCAACAACAAAAGTCCATGCTACTACTATTGCCTGTAACTATAATGATGAACATCGATATACCAAGCAGACACAGCCCTACGACGAGTATTTCAACAAACCAAAATATAATGTTAACACCAGCTCGGCAATATAACAAGCGAGCCTGGCTAGCTCAATCGGCAGAGCGTGAGACTCTTAATCTCAAGGTTGCGGGTTCGACCCCCGCGTTGGGCTTTCCTTTTTGCATTTTTGTCTTGCGCTTTTTTTTTTTTTTTTTTTTTTTCGCCTTGCCCATTTCTGTATTGTGCACATGCTGGCTTGTTAACGAGGTCCTTCCTGGAGGAATGGATGCAGTTGGGAACTGTGAAACTGCATGTCGGACCGCCAAGGCTGGTGGAATTTGCCCGCCGGAATGGGGGCAATGGTCAATTCGTCCTGCGATACTCAATGGTAGTCGGGACTTGGACGAGACAAAGTTCACTCGCCCTCCGCGACAGCTGAACTCGGCTCATCGCACGGCACACCCGATCCAGAGCTCTCAGTAAAAACCCTGATCATATCTGTTAAATCCGAGATCTGCTTTTTCAATTGGGCAATCTCCGAGCCGGTACTGTCCTCCAGGACATTGGGCGTGGTGTCCTCAACAACCTGTTTCCAGCTATCATCAAGGTCAAAGTCAACGCCCCCGGCGACATGTTCCCATTCCTGCATGTGATCGTCATCCTCTTCGCCCCGACGGCGGTTTGATCGGATGCGACGGGCGTCACGGGTCTCAAAGTACGCAGTCACGACGAGGATCGGTGAGTATATAATGCCCATAACGATGTCGTTTAACCGCGCGTAGTGCTGGCGCGGGAGCCACCACTCAAAGGGGATGATCAGGAAGACGATCTCGAGCAGGTTGAATGCTAGTCAAAGTCATTTTTGTTCACTATTAGTAGGTCTGTCTTTAACGCGAGAACTTACGTGGTATGAAGACGTTTTCATCGGGTGCTCGGATAAACTGCATTGTCTTCTGTGCAAAAACGGCCATATACTCGTCGTTGGCATTACCGGAAATATCTTCATATGCGCTGTTGTACAGCGCAATTAAGATGTTCAACAGAACTATCAAATTCGGGAATCAGCAAACCAGTAGCGGAACGGTGATGGAAGGGGTTGACTCACTGGTCATGACGATGAAATTATAGATGTAGTACAAGATCATGCCGAAAGGAAAGGCAAACTCCTCGAATAGACCAAACTCAGGGCTTTGCATCACGCTGTTGGCCATCCCTACCAGGATTGTCTTCGTGATCGGGACATCACTGGAGGCTTGGGCCATCCCAATAAAGGCTTGGAAGAAACCGATCAAGACGACGAAGAGAAGAGCAAAGAAGATCAGACTTTCTTTCATCATGACTCGGAGAACGACGACCATTACTCCAAAGAACCTGATGGAATCAAGATAGAGAATCATGCGAATCCAGAACATCGGGCCCGAGAAAGCTAAGAAATTGTAGCTCAGCTCGTTCAGCCTCTGTCTTTCTGAATCGTCGGCGGAAGAAGAATGAGTCAAAGCAGCTATCCGCAAGAAAAAGGAAACCGCAAGGATCGTATACATGGTAGAGTTGAGGGCATTCCAAAAGTCAAAGTAATTCGTCCCGATCTTCCACAATTTCGCCAGCTCATCGCAGATGAACGCGAGCGTCATAACATAGAGAACGCCCTCAACGACGTCCAAGTTTCCACTTGGATTGACAGTGTTTATAACCTCGGTGTACAACCCAAGGTACACCAAAGAGAATAGGATTTGGCATATCTTCTGATATAAAGGCGTTCTCATCCGGTCGGGGTGAAAATGGGCGGCGAAGCTGGTGTTGTCTTTCTCAGGGTAGGGGACGAAATTCGTGTTGTTCCCACCCTCCTGCCAAAACCAGCCGTTCCATAGACATTTGATACATTTCTGGTATCCAGAGGACCCGATGACCTCCAGGGCATGGAGATCGACGGCGCGTTCGATCACATTAGCCGGCGCCGTGTCTTCCCCATCAACGAAGATGGAGTACCGTTTCAGTAGTACGTGGATCAGCAAGAAATCCTGATCCTGGTCGGCCTCGATACTGTATACTTCATTAGCGATCGTTGCACACAATCCTGAACGCGAGGAGACTTGTGCTACATTCGCTTTGCAATGACTTCACATGCGAGAGCCCTGCACTGATGAAGGTCGGAATCCCAAAGCTCCTCCCCAGCCTGCGCCTTGAACCATCGCACACAAACAAGCAAGCAAAAGGGAACACAACCCCGCAGATCCTCACCCCCTGCTTGCTTGGCGGCTTGGACTACATTTGCGGTGATCACGCGGCTGTTTGGGTTGGTAATGATCTTTTCTTCAAGCTCGCAGGGAATGAGCTGCTCGATCTGGTATCTCAACCGGAGAGCGATTTTGGTCACCTCCTTTGACGGAAGTGCCGCAGGGATTGGATCAGCGGCATAGGCGGGTAGCACTATCCTCATTCCTGTCAGTCAAGGGTTTGGGGTAGACGGTGAAGTGTACGACGACATACGGCGGTGTCCGTCGCTAGGACGATCACTGGTGGTTTCCCTGCTATCGCCATTGAACAATGTTTGCCAAAGGCCCATCGTAAGTAGATTGACAGAGCTGACCAGGACGGTCTAGTGGGAGGTGGTCAGGGTGATGTTTACAAAATCCTGTAACTCATAACAAAGAGATATCCGGGGGTAAACTAAGCCGGGTGCCCCCAAGCTTATCGAAGATCCAACTACCCCACTCTCGGCCACCCAACCACCGCATCGCCGGTCGCATCTCAGATACGATGCATCTACATTATAAAGTTTGCGCTTTCGAAAATACCCCCACCAAACTGAAGAATAATAAATTGATAAGCTCTAACAATAGGTACCACTTGCATTGATGCTTAGATCAAAAAAGCTTATGTACATCAGAACATGGAATTAAGCACCATCGTCCGAAGCGCAGTCACCGACCAGCAGATATTCAAGTGACCGGAAAGGGCCACTCTCGTACAGAAGACAGTATATGTAGCACCATATGCATTCATATGAGATTCAACACCACCGCTGCCACCCGTGATTGCGCCTGTGAGCACATTAAACCGTCTCCAGTCTCATAAATCGTATCGCATCGAAACCTTTCTATTGAACTTTTTTTGTCGGCCTCCTCCAAGTAGACAACCCAATACCAAGGATCAATTTGTCCCCAGGCATATTAAGGCTACCCAACTCCTGTTTGTGCAGATGTTTTGAAACTTTTTTGCTCCGTCGGGATGGGCTATAAGCCGAAGGCGGTGCTGCAAGATGGGATGTGTGTGATTTATTCAGGAACACCGGCATCATCGCTCTCGGAGTCATTCTCATCCCCGCTGACCTCCATGTTCTCGCGCTCACGCTTCTCCATCAGCTCCTGGAGAACAGCATCGTCGTGCTCCGTGACGGCCTTAGGCTCCATCTTGACGATGCAACCACCGCCCGCTTCCCTGATCGCGGCCGAGATTCTCTGGATAGCTTCCTCGAGCTGCTTGATACCAACAGCCTTATCCAGGCACTGGCTAGTCAAGACATACAGGGGAGGAGCGACCAGCTTGACCTTAATTTGGCTCTCTTCGGTGTTGCTCGCCTCCGCAGTGCGCAGGGCGTTCTTGACCGCATCGATTCCTTCATAACCGAAGCAGGTGACCTCGATGTCCGCACGGATCTTGGTGGGGTGGGGAGTGAGTCGCTTGCTGATATAGTGCGTCAACTCCTTCTTCACCGCTTCGCTGGGGAACTCCACATCGTTCCACACGTCGGTGTTACTATGCAATGTTAGATAGCTGCCGGCGGCATCGACGAACGAGAGATCTTACGTGATCGAGATCTTGAAAGCATCATGCGAATGCCCGTACTTCTGGTTCAAGGGCCAGCCGATCTTCTGATATAGCTCCTCGAGGGGAGTCTGGGTGGCCTCCGCAACATGGCGCATGATGGAGTGCACTGCCTTGCTCTTGTTGTATCTCTCCTCACACTTCACCACATCTTCCGGAGACACTCGTCGCTTGGAAAGATCGATATATCCCTTCTCCTTATCAACACGGAGCACAATAACGACTTCATTGCGTCCAATTCGGATGAGCTTCTGGATACTACGGATACGTCTGCGCGACAGTTCCGAGAGCAGGATCATTCCGTCGATGTTGTCATATTCGAGAAGTTTCACGTATGCGCCCATCTCGGCAATCTGGCAAGTCGGAATGACACTGATTAGATTCTGTTCCATACCAGTCACCCAAAAGACGGATCAAGTTCACGCACCTGCTTCACGTTGACCATGACATAGCTGTCAACCTCCGGATACTTCTCCTCGTAGAAACGGCAGTTTGTTAACGACATTTTGGCGGGGTTGCGCCTGCTGCCCAGCTAGACTCCACGAACGAAAAACCACGGGAATAGGATGAAAAGCGGAAAGGAATCACGGGAGAGTCCTTCGAGTAGTCTTCCGCGGGATAAGGAAGTCGAAGATGGGGTGATCTAGTGCTGGTTCAGGGACAGAATACTTTGCTGGGAGCGAACACAATTCAAAACCTCAAAACCCACTTTGGGCTTTGCGTGGGTGACTCATCACGTGCACCGCTGCCGCCTCACCGCCCGGCAGATCGATTGCTCACCATTTTCCCATTTTCCTCTTAGTTGCTTCTTAGTTGCTCTATCGTTTATCGCTTGTCGCTCCATTGCATACTTAGCCAAAGGTCTCTTATCAGTCTCATCCCCGACGATCCATCCACTACACAGTGCGGAAACCAGGGGATCGTTCACCCCCGGTACAGCAGTCCTTTGGAAAGTGGAAGTGCCCTAAAAAGTACTTTCCAGTTTCACACTGGTCGATTCCGTCATTTATGTGGTAATAAATTACTTTTCTTTCCAGGAAAAGCTTACTATCCCTCTACGGGTAATGGCCACCTCCGCTTGCACTAATGCGCTGTCTACCTACTCGCGTTGACCAATGTCGTGAACCCATTACCATATCGATTGGTTCAAGAATTCTTTGCTCGCCCTTTGCTTCCTCTTCTTTCTTCACCCCTAGATGTATGGCGTGTTGTCGACGAAGATCCCGTCGCCTTCATCCCTGAAGCCTTTTCGTTGCTATTGACTTGACTTCTCCCGAGAATGTCGAGCTCTAGTTACCTGCACGAGTCGGGTCAACACCGCTCTTTGCGGGACCGTATACTCGGCATCTTCTATTCCTCCCCCCCGAATCCCTCGGGGAATACCACGCATAGTCGTGATGACTCCATTGACGGATCAACAACCCAGATCCCCGATGCCCGAACCCGTCTATTAGAGTCGTATAACCGCCCAGATCCTGTAGGCGGTTCAAGAGAATCATACAACCATGGCACCTTCTCTCCACAGATCAACGAGGGGGATGCTCGCTATATGGATATAGACTCGATGCGGGACGCTGGGAATGGGGTGGGCACAGGCCTCGGAGGAGCATTCAAACAGAATCAGACTCCCAGCGGAGCTTTGGACGGGGCACAAGGGCCGGAGAACATGCCTTCGATGCACTCATCCACCTCAGGGTTACCCGTGCACAACCATAAAAAACTGTATGTTTCGGATCCATGCTGGTTTTCGAGTTTAGTAGCCATTCGCTACCATTTCAGATTTGACTGACTGCTTTTAGTTATATCTCGTATTACATCCCCTTCTTCAACTGGATCACCCAGTATCGCTTGTCGTTCCTTCGGGGAGACTTTATCGCGGCGTTGACTGTTGGGTCGATCTACATTCCGATGGCACTATCCTTGTCGTCAAATCTCGCCCATGCTCCTCCGATCAACGGGCTATACTCCTTTGTGATTTGTCCGTTTATATACGCCATCCTAGGGAGCAGCCCTCTGCTGGTAGTCGGACCTGAAGCGGCCGGATCCTTGCTTATAGGCACGATTGTGAAGACCAGCGTCAAACAAGGAGAATCGAGTGAGGAAGATGGCATCGCAAATGCTATGGTTGTGGGGGTAGCTACGGCCATGGCCGGGGCGATGATCCTCGTTGCTGGCCTCACGCGGCTTGGATTTCTGGATAATGTGCTCAGCCGACCTTTCCTGAGAGGCTTTATAACTGCTATTGGTTTCGTCATCGTCGTGGATCAACTTATTCCGGAGGTTGGCTTGGCTGAGCTGGCTAAGGAGGTTGGTGTGAGCCACGGAAGCACGGTGGATAAGCTGGTATTCTTCGTAACGAACATTCGTGAATGCCATGGCCTTACCGCCGCGGTCTCCGGTTGTAGCTTCTTTGTAATCATGTTGTTCCGGTATGTGTCGCCAATTACCAACAGGGATATAGGCAAGATCTAACTCATACTTGTTTAGGACTCTGAAGAAGTTCATCGAACCGCGGTTCCCCCAGGTTGTTTATTTCCCAGACCGCATCCTCGTGGTCATTCTGTCCGCGGTCTTGACATGGCACTTTGGCTGGCATGAGCGTGGGCTCGAGATCCTGGGCCCGACCAAGAATACCGCCGCGGGGGTGTTCAAGTTCGAGTGGCCGTTCCAGTTCAAGCACGTGAAGCACGTGCGCACTGCGATGAGCACATCCTTCATCATCGCACTTCTTGGCTTCTTTGAGTCCTCCGTGGCCGCTAAAGGACTGGGTGATACAAAACCGGATGGAGTGCAGGGGATCTCCGTCAGTGCCAACAGGGAAATGGTGGCGCTGGGCGTCGCTAACGTTGGTGCTGGCTGTTTCATGGGACTTCCTGCGTTCGGTGGATACGGGAGAAGCAAAGTCAATGCTTCGACTGGAGCTCGTTCTCCGATGAGTAGTATATTCCTGAGTATCATCACGTTTGTGTCCATCATGGTGCTCTTGCCCTACCTCTACTATCTGCCGGTAAGTTTTGACCCAGGACAGCCGACGGGCATGTATGCTAATGATTTACAGAAAGCCGTTTTGTGCTCCATGATTTCCGTGGTCGCCTTCAGCTTGATCGAAGAGTGTCCCCACGACGTGGCCTTTTTCATCCGTCTACGCGGGTGGTCAGAGCTCGTGCTAATGCTTCTCATCTTCGTTTCCACAATCTTCTATTCTCTGGAGCTGGGAATCGCCCTCGGAATGGGCCTATCTATTATAATTCTGGTCCGCCACTCCACCCAGCCCCGAATCCAGATTCTCGGCAAGATCATTGGCGCCCCCGATCGATTCGAAAGCGCCGAACTGCACGCCGAAGAAGTGGAACTCGTCGAAGGCGCCCTGATCGTACGGATCCCGGAACCACTCACGTTCGCCAACACGGGGGATCTCAAGAACCGTCTCCGCCGTCTGGAGCTGTACGGAACCAGCCGAGCGCACCCGTCCCTCCCTCGCATGCGGTCCCCCGAGCACAACAAGAACGTAATCTTCGACGTCCACGGCGTGACTAGTATCGATGGCTCCGGAACCCAGGTTCTGTACGAGATAGTAAACGGCTATGTGAAAGTTGACGCGAGCGTCTACTTCTGCCGTCTGCAGAACCGCGGTGTCTTCCGCATGTTTGAGAGGAGCGGTATCGTGGACCGATGCGGCGGGTTGGCGCATTTCCTCCCTAGCGTGGATGAGGCACTCAAGCGTGCGGAGTCTGAAGACCGTGGCCAGGATGTTTGAGTTTCTCTTTCTCATGGAGGAAGCTGACCCATGTTTCTGGTACAACCATGTCCTGTTATGACTTGAAGACCTTGCATCCGGTGTTTGAGCGATGGCAAATTCCCCCTGGCGTTTGGCCGTAGGCGTTCGTTGTATATAAGCCAGTCTCCCATGTAGATCCGAGAAAGACCAAAAAAAAAATCGAGACAGCCACAGATTAAGCGTCTCAGTGACTCAATCTTCGACGTAAAGCCACGTCAAATCAAACACCCTGCTCATCAACAGACGCAACCCTGCGTAGAACAGCAAGCAAGAGAGCCTCATTCGCCCGTAGCATAAGCCGAGCCTTCTCACCCGGAGCCTCACCACTACCCCCCTCACCCCCCACCACGTCCTCCTCATCAACGTCAGCCCCCGGTATCATCTTCTGCACCGAAACCAGCTTCAACCTCCCATCCCCACCAAGCAAGAATCCTCCACAAGAAATTCTGCTCACACGCACGTGCTCCTTAGCCGGACTAATCTTCTTATTTGACTCTGCGCTCAAATCCAACTTCATAGCCAGGTGTTTCTCAAGGTACGACGAAAGACTCGACAGTATAGACCCGTCCTCGCGATCAGTGTCAACGAAATCAGCCAATGACCCGCGCGGGATATTAACGTTCAGAGACCGTAGCTCTGGCGCGATGGATGACGAAAACGACAGCGTGATCTGCATCTCTTTCACCACGTCTTCGAGGACAGTCTGTCGCTGCGCTGCGCGGTCGTCTTCCTCGGTGTTTATTCCATTGACGTACGCTTCTAGCCCGGCGCACATGAAATGCGATGGAAAGCGCAGAGCGGAGCAGTATGTGTCGAAGTTTGCGGCTAGGAAGGAGATGAATGTTTGGCGGAGGGGGCCCGGTAAGCGCGTTAACAGGAGCGGAAGATGAGTGGATCCTTTGCGGTCGGAGGTGGGAGAGCCTGTCGTCGGGGGAGGGGCGAGCAACGCAGCTTTGTAGACGATGTTCTCGTATTCCAGGATCACGAGAATACCGGGTTGTTGCTTTGGTTGCCGACGGTTGGATCGAGACTGTGTTTGCGGTTCAAGGAACGAGAGGCTTGGGAGTGTCTCCCAGGTGCATGAATTGAGAGCGCCCGTTCGGGAGAGAGCTTCGTCGTCGGCGACTGCGCCTGATGTGATACCACTCGCTTGAAGCCCGCCTAGTGTGCTCCCGGTGAGTTGGTCTTGGAGTCGCGATGCGTATGTCTTTAATGCGGTGGGAGTGCTGAGTGTCGCGAACTCTTTTTCGTGGTGGAGGGGGGAGAGACGGTGGAGGGTCCAGGAGGTGTTTAGGAGGTGCTGGGGGGTGGCTGGTGCCATCTTTGATTCCGGTGTTGGACGTTGGAGTACTATTGAAGTGTATACATATCGAAGCTCATGGATAGCTCTGGTGGAGATAGATGCGCTCTGGATAAGTCGCGACTTGGACAAACAGGACAAACAAGCTAGCGCCAAGAATTGGGACTGCATAGGGTTTAGGGTTACCTACTTGAGTTGCTTGATAACCATTCCCATGGGAATATAGGTATGACAGGAGTTAGGTAGCTTGCAGTGAAACATAGCCGATAGGGCCAATTTATTTGGCAATGGCCATGACGCTTTCTTGAGTTTCATGGAGTGCAACAGATTTGTCTCATTCAGTAATACATGAACAACCACCAGGCCCCCAGACCGAAACGCCAAACCCCAGATAAATGACAAGAAACGCCGCTCAAAAGAGCATGGTATAATTATGCTTGCCAACCAACAGATTCCCGACATTCCTCGCAGCCAAATAATATAGGCAAATCTTCCCGGACCATGATGCGCTCGGCATCGTGTGGCCCAACGCCCCTTGAAGCCAATTCCTTGCGGACAATATCAAACCAGACGTCCTGCAAGGAATTATGCAGATGTTCGTTTGGAGCTTTCTGAAATACCAATGACTTGATCTTATCTTGTTCGTTCAAGGTGATATCGTGGTGGAAATTGTGCATAAAGTCCTTCCGCTGCATCCGCTGGCTGCCGCCATCCCCGATCTCCGCTGAGAAGTACTCGACGATCCGCACGAAGGGTGACACGGTGAGCAACGAGCCTATCCAACTGTCGTCTGGCACAGTAGTAGTTTCGTCGGGCGGTACGGTGTATTGTAGATAACACACAAGAAGACTCATGCAATGGTTTGCGGATATTAAGGTGGGTGTGTCGGTGAAAGGAGGAGATTGGACTATCTTCGTTTGTAATTCGCGGTACATAGATTTACCGATGTCGGGAGGTATGGGAACCGGCAGTCGTCCAGCTTCGAAATCGCGTAAAAGGGTATTGGTATGCTCGCGCCTGGCCAGGCTATACGCCTCTAGAAAGTATAATACATAAAACCTATGAAGGAAGGCGCATTAGAAATGCCGACGGATGTCTTTCGGGTATAACTCACATCAGTGGCATTAAGTGGAACATTATTCTCGCAGTCCCCCGTCTCACAAAATTACTGCGCTCACCCCTTGACGGAAACAAGGTTCTCATATACACCGGCTCCCTGTGAACGAATCGATCCATGACTCGGTCCGCGATGTAGTAGCATAGCCTCGAGCAGAGGTTCTGCCGCCGTTGAAGGCTATAGATGTACCGGAAGGTATATAGATGGCCACCCTTTGCGCTCTTTGCGGGTGGGAAGAGATCTGACAGGAGTACCACATCATCTTCCGGGTTTCGAGTGTATGTTCGCTCGCTGTCTATGGGGGATGGGAGGGTGCCATGGCGGCGTTGGCGAAGATAATGTCGCGCAATGAGCTGCTCGTGCGCGGTAAGGAGCTGGTTGAAGGACTGGCAGACGAGCTTTAGCGGTACAAAGTCCCTTATCCCGCATTGGGTAAATATTTTAATCTGAACCTCAACAGGGAGGACATCCCAAGGGGACGACGTGGGCACTATGTTGACTCTGTTGAGTCTAAACAAACAGAAACATTAGCGACCTACCATATGTAGGAGCCATCGGTGGGTTCAAGACCTAAGAGAGAGCTTGGACATACACTGATGTTGACGATACCGTCGGAAAGGCACTGTTCCTAAATGGATTATGGTTCTTTTTAGACTCCGACTTCCTCCTCCTCTGGAGGGCAGCGCGAGCTTTCTTCACATGAAGGACTAATTGGGATAGTGAGCTCATTATCGTGATACAGAGCAGTGGCTGAGGAGACCTGCTCCAATCTCAGGGCCAGTGTCAAAGAAAGTTGTCACCATGCGCAGACCCAATAGTCCCCTGCTTCAAGGAAACTGGCTGACCCATGCGGATGATTGTTGTGGCTGCGCTAGTGCTCCGCCCGGCAGAGGAAGGAGGGAGGGGACGGATCTGACTAAGCAGCAACCAAGGCTCTCTCTGAGCCAATCTATTTTAGGATTGGTCTGGCCGCGTCTGATAGAGGGTCGGATTGATATAGACCTTGTATAGGCTTTCAACAGGCCCATTAAGCCCACGCTGATTATGGTATATATAGCACTTTGGATTTCACAAGTGGTGTTTTATCAGATATACTGAGACTCTCCGATGCCGACTCCCCGTCACTATGTACATCTGTACTTCCGGATAGTGTAGACAGTTACCAGGCCTGACGTCATTATCTATCGGGGTTACGTCAAGCCAGCCATCACACAATTGTCTACGATTAGGAGAATGCTGCTCTATAAGTTAATCTACGGCTACAGCTTCTGGTACGGTGAATCATTCATCAGTCGATTCCACAGCTCCCTTATACCACGAGAAAGTACGCAAAGATGACCAACAATATCCTGATAGTCGGTGCGACGAGAGGACTAGGCGCCTCACTCAGAAGTATTTACGCAGCGAAGCAATCGACGAAAGTCTTCGCGACGACACGATCAAATCCACCATCTGACTCGGAGCAAAACGTTTCCTGGGTTCCAAATGTCGATGTCTCACATCCCGACGTGGGCCAGACCCTCGTGAAACAACTACCATCACCACTCAAGCTGTCAACAGTGATAATCACAGCAGGGTACTTTGGCTTCGAGACATTCGACAACCCAGACTGGGAGAAGCAGGTGAAGATGTACACGACATCAGCCATCGGGCCGGTATTTGTCGTCCAGAATCTCGTCAAGGCAGATCTCCTCGACAAAGGCAGCAAAGTGATCCTGGTCAGTAGTGAATCAGGGAGTATCACACTGCGGCATGAAACAGAGGGTGGAGGAAACTATGGCCACCATGCGAGCAAATCTGCTCTGAACATGGTAGGGAAGCTGCTCAGCTTGGACCTGAAGGACAAAGGCATTGCTGTTGGTTTGGTCCATCCGGGGTTCATGCGCACGGAAATGACCAAGAGTGTTGGGTTCGATAGATACTGGGATGCAGGTGGGGGTCAGTCATGTAAAGATCCGGGCGTTGCGACGAGGTTACTGACTTGGGCCAACTCTAGCTGTCACCCCTGACGAAGCAGGCCGGTCTCTTGCGTCGTTCATTGAGACGTTTGATATCAGCAAAACGGGTCAATTCTGGGCACCACGGGGTCCTGGGTATGTTTTGTTCTCTTCCTTTCATAATTCTTATATCTGACTAGTACTAGGGATATTGGTACTGCCGAGCCAGTTTTGGGATCGAACTTGCCAACTCCTTTGCAGCTACCGTGGTAATGGTTTGATATACGGAGTAAAAACAGGTCAGTATATCGTTGTAACTCGACGATACCAAACCAATCCATGTTCAATTGTATGGGAAAGAAAAAAGAAAAAAAAGATAGTGCATCATCCGTGAATCGAACACGGGCCTCATCGATGGCAACGATGAATTCTACCACTAGACCAATGATGCTTCTTTGATGTAAGCTGCTTTGATTATATAATATTCAAGCAGTAACTCTTTCTGATAATACAAAGCCACAATTTGAGGCATCGATGCCGAAGACCTATGCACTAGTCGTATAACTATTGACTCGAGGCAAGATGGTGAGTGGGATCAGCCTCGTCCCAGATTAGGGAAGCCAAATAAGATATGAACAGGAACGAAAAGCATTTCCCAAGCGAGTATGTGGACCTACTCCGAGTGCGCAGAAATTCTAGAAACTGATCCTACACAGCCTGGAAGTCATGTACGAACGACCCACACGGCTGTACTCCGTAGCCAAGACGCATATGGGTGCGGGTCTCCACTGAATATATGCCCGAAGTACTCCGTATTGTCGGGGTATATCTTAGATCTCTTCCAAGTCCACACGTCTATTAACTGCGAAACCACACAATCAGATAATTATTTATTATAACTACTTGGAGTAATCAACACGTGGCGAGGAAAAAGGGAAAATGTTTGTGTTTCTTGGCATGGAAGGCAGTGCCTGTTCGATTCTGCCAAATCAGTTGTTGTAGTGGAGCACTGTTTTATCCCTTTCTGGTGAACCCATACGGACGAACAGCCTAACGCCATGCCACTTACTACGGAATAGGCATGGATTCTCTCTATGGCTCTGTCTGCGAGCCTCATGACCGAATTTGTATATTGGTCTACAATTACCATGTGTAGAGACACATCTTGAAGACACAGTGACTACTAAGCCTCACAGGGAATTCTAAAGAATAATTACTTTTTGGCTCACATGGTTAGCAAAACGCCTACCTAGTACGCGCCATATCAAAGGGCTCGGATCCTTCATATTACTATCTACCAAGGCTTAGATCGATCTCCTGGACAAGGGCTATTGCTATTAGTGACCAACGTAGAAAATAGCCAGTGACCAAAAGCCTCACGCAGCCTGATTATGTCTCATCGGCACGGCTTGCCGACATGAGAGTTGAAGATGCGTCATATTAGCACAGGAAGCGGTAGTGCTGTTACCGATGCATTTGTACTTTCTTTGATGAATGATGTAATGCCAACTCGAAGGATTAAACCCGATCGTCGTTTACTGTTCCCCAAAGCTTCTTGGCCCCCGGTTCGCATTCCACAAGTTCCCGGGGATGAGCCAATGGTGATGATAGTGGCAGGGCACCTGACTAGCAACGCCCAGAAGACCAGAAACCAAAATGGTCATAGGTTGTGCTCAGCCTTGGGAGTGGGGACTGACCTAACCTTGAGCTAACTCACATCCCCGTCAACAAGGAGCGGAGATTGTTAGTGTGAGCCTTGAGAGTTGAGACAATGGGCAGCCAAGAGCCAACCATAGTAGTAGAAAGTTTGATCTTTCTCGGCGCAGGGTGCCAGCCACTGCCCTAGTCTGTTAACTACAGATTTGTTCCCCCATCTGGAGTAGCACGGCAGGGTAATGGCCCGGGGTTCTGTTGAGGAAGGGAGCAGCCACGGGCTCGTATTTGCGATGGTCTGAGTAGCTCCTGGGGTATTTAACTCGGGTTGGGCCCCTTCATCGCCGGACTATTTACTTCATCGGTCTTTATATTTATTTGGTTCGTCCATTATTCCCACAGTAATCGTACACCAGACAGCCGCTACCCAATTCACTACTACTCAGACCTGTCCATCCCATTACTCCACGCCTCTTCTGCCACCGATTCGCAAGCCCGACCTACCAAAATATATACGATAAATATCAACAACACAACCGTATTATCTTCCACCTGCCAAAATGTCCGCCGAACCAAACTCAACAGCCAACGGCAAAGCACCTGTTCGATCTGCCGACCCGCGCACTGGCCTTGTGAATGTGCAGCCCGCGCGCCTCGACGACTTGCAACCCAAATATGCGCAGAGGATCCAGCACGAAGAAGACAACTCTGCCGCCCATGGCTGGTATGCTGGGCTAAGTAAGTCTACTTTATTTCTATCCATGATCGAGGAGAGCCAAATTCTGTCAAACCCGGACTAACAATCATCATAGTTCATAGTTTGGGAGAGTGTCTCGGATTTATGGGTGCTATCCCGTGTTGTGTCTGCTGCCCCAACCCCTACAAACCCGTCGACCAGGGCGAAGTCGGTTTGGTGACTAAATTCGGACGGTTTGTGACCCCTTGAATTTTACTCCATGCGCGTTTTCCGGTGCTGTAGGAGAAGATACTGACTAGTGTGAAATAGCTTCGAACGCGCCGTCGACCCCGGTCTCGTCAAGATCAACCCGTTGAGCGAGCGCCTGAAGGCCATCGATGTGAAGATCCAAATCGTAGAGGTCCCTCGCCAGATCTGCATGACCAAAGATAACGTCACGCTGAATTTGACCTCCGTCATCTACTATCAAGTCACGTCGCCCCACAAGTCTGCCTTTGGAATCTCAAACATCAAGCAGGCTCTGGTAGAGCGCACACAGACAACTCTGCGCCATGTCATCGGTGCCAGAGTGCTACAGGATGTGATTGAAAGGCGCGAGGAGATCGCCCAGTCGACCGCGGAGATCATTGAGGATGTTGCCTCCGGATGGGGTGTCCTGGTGGAGTCGATGCTGATCAAGGATATCATCTTCAGCGACGAGCTGCAGGACTCCCTCTCTATGGCCGCGCAGTCCAAGCGTATCGGTGAGAGTAAGGTTATCTCTGCACGTGCCGAAGTGGAATCGGCCAAACTGATGCGCCAGGTATGAATCTATGATCGCAGGTAGAAAGCTTAGAAGATATGCTAACTTCGCGTCAGGCTGCCGATATCTTGTCTTCTGCCCCTGCTATGCAGATCCGCTACCTCGAGGCGATGCAAGCCATGGCCAAGACCGCGAACAGCAAGGTCATTTTCTTGCCCGCGATCAACCAATCCGTCCAGCAGCAGCTGTCTGCCGCCGAAAATGCAGGCGAGGGACCCAGCCAATACCAATCAGCGGGTCAAGCCGATGATGGGTTCCAACGTGCGATGAACGCGCGCGTGGTTGAGAACATTTGAACGGGTCCGCCTAGTTATGACTGGCTGTCGCGAGATCAACGAATACTTATACGATAATGCGTGATCAGAACGAGATGCCACAGACATAGCTGTCTATGGCGGAGGGTATACGATGCTTGTTTTTCTTTCTTTGCTGTTCTCTCGCCTTGTTTTGCTCTTGAGATCTGTACGACGATACCCACTTTACTTCTGTCGCTTGACCTAAACTTAATGAGCTGTCCTATTACTTAATGATTACAATGTTGTTGATTTATCGTATGTTATTTGGGAAATTTTTCGTATGATCATGTACCTATCAAAACTTACTGGGTAGTGGACGTATATCTCACGCCGATGTCGAGGAGGATATGTAGTGGTAATTTCCGGTCTACAACGTCCGTATTGGTACCACAGGGGAGATCGGGCGGTGAGTGCCGCTACCCACAGGGGCCCAGGCACCGCAATGACAACCTACTGGACTAAATAATGATTGCTCGATACACGATAACGACCTACCCAAAACTCTCCATTCTTTCGGTATAGGCTACTGTCCATTTACCCGATCTTTAAACCACAGCCAACTGGCAATTTCGCGCCCCAATGCCTCAAGAGACCCTCTTCACTGTATGATCAGATCAAATGGCTCCCTCGCAAAGTCCCTCCTCACGCCCCGGGGCGACGACTCACAGCCCCAGCCCGCGACCCTCACTCGACCTCTCTCCCAACTTCACAGACCCATCCTTCGACCCCGCCGACTTCCTAAACGATGCCCTCCCCCCGTTGACGCTGGCGTCATCGCAATCGCAACCCCCCCGAGGAGCAGCCACCACCGCTCCTGTCGCCCTCCCCGAATTATCCGCCCAAGTCCAGTCCGTTCTCTCGCAGGTCAATGCGCAGAGCGCGCGGCACTCGACTAAGCTGACGCAGCTCACGGATGAGATACTGCGGAGTGGCGCGCGCCTTGCTTACGAGGTTGAGGTCCTGCGGGGTGAGACTGTTGGGCTTTCGGACACGTTGACGGAGACACTACATGGGGATATTGGCAAGTTCGTCCCGGAGACTACTGCGCCTACAGAGACTGGCGCGCAAGACTCCGTGGAAACGGGCGAAGTGAGTGAGGCGCCCGGGGCGGGCAAAGATGCTACGGTGCAAGACCCCGTCTACATCACCAACCTACGGATCTTGAACCGCGTGCGAGCGCGACTCGAAGAAGTGGTCCAGTCCTTTGGTGACGCCATGGAGTGGCCGCTCCCGCCGTCGGAGACGTCGCTGACGTCGTCGTTCATCTCTGTGTCTGCGCCCGAGCCTGGAACCGAGAGCCACAGCCGCGAGGAGAAGGGCCAGGAGGTGATGAGGCAGCTGCGCGCGGAGGTGACGAGGCTGCTTGATAGCGACGGTGGGGGCCAGGAGGGGATCGACGCTGCTGCGCGACGGGTGGAATCGCTTCGGGTTTTGGCGGCTATGTGGAAGGGCACTGCTGAGGAGAAGGCCAGGACGCGGTTCGTGGAGAGTTTGGCGAAGACGGTCGATGATCGTCGCCAGGCTTTGGAGAGCCAGATTCGGGCGGAGGAGGACCGCCAGCTGGCTGCTTCTTCTAGAGGACGACAGGCTGCGAGCCATCGGCGCCAGGAGAGTGAGGGGCCGGCTGGGGGCATTTTCCGTAATTTACAACGGTTACGGGAGGAGATATACCTGGAATGAAGCATTGGACATGGAATATTTGGTCCAGGGTCCGAGCGAATACTTAATTCTTATTTCAACCTCATGTATATTGTATAATTTGCAATTTTCTTGTATTTGTCTCACGTTGCTTGTTCCGGAATACCTGGAAATGCTTATAAGCACCCGCCGGAGTCCGTTACGGTTACCAAGATGGAACCGCTCCCGGTTGCCAAGCCCGCAAACGCTACGACAATACCAGTGCTTAGGATAGATGACGCGGCGCTGAAAGGCATTGGATGGGTTGAGACGAAGGATCAGACGGATCATAAGTCTCTGCGTATTACACTAGCATACAAAGAAAAAGGAGACAATGGGAGGTACAGTATTGTGCTTCCATGTAATTTGCATGAAGAAATGAAGTTAATTGTCAAATTGTCGACAGGGACTAATTCCGAGCAAGCCCTTAAGGCTCAAAGAGGTAAAGCCCCCCCATGTACCCCGTAGTCTCAGTGTCGCACGCGGATAAGCCCCCGTAGGGCCAGAACAACTGTAGTTAGTTGGTTAGTTAGTTCGATGGTACGGATTACCGTTCGATTACTACACAACTACTACTACAGTGGTGGATTTACGACGGGGCAAGGACGACAGGCCCCCAGCGAATCTCCTCGTCAGGAACATCTCCACCGTGGACGTCAATCCACTTCCTCCCCCCCCCCCCCAAAAAGTTATTGCAACGTGCCCTTAGAGTTTCCTGACCAAGTCCCCCCTCGATTCCTGCGTCATCAAGTCAGCGGCGCATTTTGTTCGAAGTTTGGCGTTTTCGTTCCGGCCAACTTTCATATCAGTCGCCATCATCGACCCCCCAAGGTGGACAACATGGCGCATTGCTGTCTTCGTTAATTCTTCCGGTTGCCACGACGTCCCTTTTTCTCTCCTTCTCGAATAGATGAATGCTCGAGCGCTCGGAATGCTCATCGCTCCATGACGCTTGTATAGAAGTTCATTCAATCGTGTGTTCCTTGCTCGACTAGCGGGGGGTTTGATATCGGTCCAGAAAGAAAGTCTCCCGTTCTCAGTACCCAGGATGGCCTCCTTGGGTGCCCCCGGTAGCCCTTGGGGCGACCAATACCACTCAGTCCGGTCGACAATGTCGACCCTTGCCGAGAAGACGTCCTACCGTCGTCTGAGAGCGCGCCCGACGAGGGCCCTCTTTGTCACGGTCGGATTCTTCATCTTCGTGCTAACGCTGTTGTGGCGTACTCCTACTACTAAAAAAGAGGTGAGCTCCCGTGGCCTAGCCTTGGCGAAGACGAGGTCCGCTAGCTAGCAACTTGATATTGACCATCGCATGCGCTCTCTAGGATACTGAGAACTACTACCTGAAATTTCCTTCATATAAACCATCCAATGCTCGCCCCGAAGACCTCCAGATTGTCCCCTCGGCGGGACAGATCCCTAATACAACTGATCCCCTTCCGAATAATTTACAAAAAGCCAACCCGTCTTTCCATCTGGTCATTCCTGCACGGCGAAAGTCGAGCATGCTTTGTCGCACGTTGGTTTCCGCCATGATCATGAATTATCCGCCACCGACGTTGGTCGGATATGACAAGAAACCCCCGGAGGCGGCGACGGAGTGGAGTCTTATGGTGGAGCGCATACAGGACATGAACAACTTCCTCCAGCATGCTCCGCACGTGAAAGATGATGATTTTGTACTCATTGCGGATGGGGACGATGTCTATTTCCAGCTACCGCCTGAGATTATGATCCGGCGGTTCCAAGACCTCTTGAAGGAAAATAATGCGAAATTGCGGCGAAAATATGGTTTCGTCGCTGTGGAGAACCCGATCAACGGAGGAGCGGAGATAATTGAGCAGAAATACTCGCAAAGAGTCTTGTTCGGTGCAAGCAAAGATTGTTTTCCTAATATGACGCTCGATGCGGGGTGCGCCTCAGTGCCGGATTCCACCCTTCCTCCAGACGCCTACGGCTGGGATACGGATACCGAAAGAAATTTGATCAGACCACGTTATATCAAGCCCGGAGCGGCGATTGGCATGGTGGCTGACTTGAAGTTGATCTACGCAGAGATTCTGCGATTCGTTGACAGACAGCGCTGGTCGCGAGGTGATCACCTGGCTTTGACCCAGATGTTCGGCAGACAGGAGTATGTGCGGGAGCTGGAAAGAAGACGGACTTCCAGTCCATTCACAGAGTGGATGTATGACATGATCGGCATTTCAGATGCAACGAACATGACCAAAGTGCATCATCCATTCCTCGAACCTGGGCAGCGCTACGAATACGGAATCGGGATCGACTACGAGTCGCGTATATTCTTCAACGAGCTCATGTCCAAGGGCGACGTCGAATGGCTCAAGTATAATGATGTGGATCGAACCTCTGCCGTGCAAATGGAGCACGGCGTCCCCCGCGAACATCGCTTATTACTGCCTTACGATCTCTCCCCAGAGAACCTCGGCAACCCATTTATCCATCCCAAGTACGGCAGAAATGAAATCCTCAATCCGCCCCTCAGTTATAACCTGGATGCTCTCCCGAATCCCAACAACCGTTCGTGGAGCAATCTCCCGCTCATGACCAACATCCACTCTACGTCGGTCCCAGCCATGATCCATCTAGACGGGGACCACTCAATCAGAGACCACTGGTGGCAGAAGATGTGGTACCACCCATGGGCTCGGGCTCTCCTTCGCAAGTACGTGCGCTCCCCTATTGGGTTCGATGCGGCGCAGTCGGCTTTGCTGGGAGGCCAAGAATGGTGGGATCTCCGCGGTGGGAAAGGCGGTATCTGGACCGACAAGGGAGAATGGATTGACTTTGGCGAGGTCTGCACAGGCTACGAACGAGATATCTTCAACGATGAGTTGGGCCAGTGGAGACAAGAAGGCGGCGAAGGTCATGCCGAACCTGTTTACAACCAGTTTGGGAACCTTGTCAAAGGTAAAGAGGGTTAATTCCGTCTTTCCGTCCAGCATGAATAGGTTTGCGACTTGGTCTCGCATCAGGAGTTGAAACCAAAGGCAGAAACTAAAGCCGCCTTTCGCGTCACTGTACATATTTCTTTTATTTTTGTTTTGCTTCATCGCTTACAACAGCACGAGCCGGCTTTGCTATTCTGAGTATGCATTTGATATTGGGTGTTCAATCTCTTCCAGTTTCTTTGGATAAGTTGACTGAACTGGATTGGTTCTCTGGGAGGGAGTGCTGTGGACAGGGTTTGGCACTATTTCCCTGTCTTTCGCTCGTTTGTGTAATGTCCTTGGGAAGATGGGACCCTCGGTAGATGGAGATTGATGTAAGATAGATACCAACTTAGCTTTATACCATATTTTTAGAAGAACCCATAGTACTTATACTTGACCTCTTAGATCATTCAAGTTCATCGCAGCATTTCTATACTGTACAGCAAATCAACCATAATCATGAGGACTATCCAAAAGTACAAAGAATATAAAACAAACGCCTACCTTTTCCCAACCAGCCATCATACCTTTGCCTCCGGGCCCAACAACTCCCGAATAATACTCAATATACTCGTAACATCCTCATTGCTCAACCGTTCCTCCCGCTCTTCAATAACCGTATCCAAAAGCGCCAGAGCGCCGTAATCCTCCTCCGCTAGCTCTCCCTCGCCCTCGCCCTGCTCTCCCCCTTGCCCTTCCTCTCCTTCAACAGCGGCAGCAGCTCCCTCCCCTTCTCCCTCCCCATCAACCTCCATCCCATCAACATCACCATTCATCTCCCCATTCTCTACTACTCCCTCTCCCTCTGCCTCCACCTCACCCTCCCCTTCTACCTCACCCTCCCCCTCCCCTTCTTCTGTCTCCTCCTCCTCCTCCTGCCCAGCAGATCCAACAACCCCAACCCCCAAATTGACAATCATAAGCACCTCACCCTTCGTCAGCCCAAACGGCTGCAACCGCACGACGAGTTCCCGCAGCGCGTTATCCATCGGCGTCGGGGCGTTGGCTTGCGCCGGGGCGAGAGGCATCGTCGGCGCGCTGTCGCCGCCGTTGGTGTCTATTTGCGACTGGGTTTGCGATTGTTGTTGGGCTGCCGGGGGCTGGTTCTTGAGCTGGTCCGGGACATATTGCGGGTAGGTGAGGATGTGTGGGGAGAGGCGGGAGATGTAGTTGTGGATCTGTTGTTGTTGTTGTTGCAGTTAGTTAGGTTTCTTTTTGATTATTGTTTTGAGTCATTGGTGGGGACTGTTCGTTATGGGTGGTTGTATGCGCGGGATATTGAATGAAGAACAGAGCAGCGTATAGATAATGAGTAAGTATATGAATACACACCTCTTTAACGACAGTATTATGATCCCTCAAATCCGGACTCGGAACCCAGTGTCTCGAGTTCGGGGGCGGGTTGGGTGGTCGTCGGGGTGGGTTCGCTGTTAGGTAGGCGAGGACTTCGATGTTGGTTAGGGCTGCTGATTGGGGGTCGATTACCTATATTATTTTGTATTAGAAGTTACGTTTGGAAAGTGTAATGTGTGATTTGGAGTTGACTTACCCTCATTGTGTTTGATGTGTTATGCAATGATATATGGTGTAATGGAGTTCTGGGAAAATTATGGCGGAGGGTGAGGAGAAATTGGATTTGGAGGGAGCCTTTTGCCGGCAGAATTTGGTGGGCGGTGTGAGCTATAAGGTGGTGGGTATGTGGGGGTTGGATGGTATATAGTGTGGAATATATAGATCGAGATGAAGATGTTGGTTTTTGAATGATTGATAATTATTATTCGATTATTGCTGTGCTTAACAGCAAGTAGATTTAGTAGACATGATTGATAAGGTAAAGACAATAAATTGATTAGGAAATCAACCGAACAATCCCTTCCACTCACCATGCATCCAAGAGGAAGCCCATACACAGACTCCACTACTTACAGTTCGTACATAGTACACAGTCTATGATTAGAGACAAACCACCGACTCAACCACCGGTCTCGGCTGCACATTCCTCGCCGCCTCCCCCGCAACCTCATTCCCAAACCCCAACACCTCCCTCTCCAAATCCCCAGCATCCTTCCCATCCCTATACCGCGGAACGCCCACCTCACGCTGCAACACTTCCAACACCCTCACCAACCATGTCCGACACGTCACATCCATCTCGTTCAACTGCCCATCAAAAGACCTAATCACCTCGTCTGTCTTCGCCAGTACTGCAGGATTATCAGGGATCTCTCCGATGCGAGTCAGGCCTGCGAGGAGGAAGGTCTTGAGGATTCCGGATTCGGGCCCGTGGGACGCTACCCAGGTTGAGCTGGGGTTTGAGTTGACGATGTGGTATTTTGTGCTGCCTTGGATTTTGCTGGTGGGGTTGGGGTTGTGCAGGTAGAGGGCCCAGTGGTAGTTGTTTGGGGTGGGGGGGTCGGTGCGGAGGTAGAGGGCTATGTAGAGGGTGTTTGGGGTGAGGGGCATTGTTGGTTTGTGGGAATGGTAAGAATGGTGATGATGATTTTATGACTCTGATGACTATGAAGAAGGTAATGAATTGTTGAAAGAAATGAAGAGTCAAGGCAACAGTTGGGTTTGTAGGATAAAGACCCAAGTCAGCTAATGTTGGCGATTGCTTGTCTCGCGATTCTACAGCTGGACTGTGAATGGGTAGAGTAAGTGGCTTGCAAGGTAATTTGCATAAGTGCAGGGCGTTGTATAAGGGGGTTGTACCGGCGAAAGCCTGCAGGTAAGATGTACCCAAGGTAGAATACCCAGGTAGAGTGGGCTGTCGACTTGTAACTACTCTACTGAACAAATATTTGAAATATTCGACATTATTCCTAACTGCCTAAACCGAGCACCTCTGCGCCGAGGACGGACCTATCGAGTCCACCTGTGAAATGCCGCCCAAACATTGATAGAGCTCAAAAGAAATGACAAGAAAATTCAACCCACAAAATCTGTGATATCATACAGAACTTGAAACCATCCGTCAGATCAGATCAGTATAACTTTTTACCTTTTTCGTGCGTCTTCCACATTTAGTCCTTCCCCTTCTTCTTCTTCTTCTTCTCCGACTTGTCGACCGCCTCCCCGTCGTCACTGCGCTTGCGCTTCTTCTCGTCGGTCTTGGAGGACTTCTTCGATTCCTTCTTGGCCTTCTTCAAGTCCTTCTTGCTGATCGAGCTGGGCGTGCCATCCGCGCCGAATTCGATCTCGCCGCGCTCGAGCTTGCGCTGGTACCGCTTGACGCTGAGGCCGGCCTTCTCGGCCAACTTCTCCAAATCGGACTTGCCCTTCTTGGATTTCTTGCTGGGTTCATCATCCGATTCGTCAGAAGACTCGTCCGAGTCAGCATCGGCCATCTCCTCGTCGTCGACCTCCTGCACAAGCTTCTTGTCCTTCTGAGCGGCAGGAGGCTCATCGCCGGTGAGAGCATCAGCGTCAGCGTTGTATTTCCGGGCCTCGTTGATCTCGAACTTCTTGGGCTGGGAAGCCGCGCCGTTGGGGGCGATGACGACACCGCGGGGCTTGAGCGCCTTGCCTTCCATAGCGGCGAGTTTCCGCTCAAGGTTGAAGCGCGCCTCGGTACCAAGCGCAGCCTTCTCTTCTTCCGTAACATCATCCTCCCACTCGGCGAGGGAATCCACACGGATACCGAGAGAGGCCTTGGCGGCAAGCACACGGGCCATCTTGCCCTTGTTGCGGCCACTGGCCTGGCCGATGAGGGAAGCATGGTAGATGAGACCGTACTTGGGGGTGTCGTGCTTGGTCTTCAAGGCGCGGAACAGGGCCTTCTCAGCACCAAGGATCTGGATGGTACTGGCGGGGCTCTTGGACAGGTTGGTCAAGCTACCGGCGTGGGCAATCAGACGGGCGCCAACCAGTTCACCCACCAGGGCAGTCAAGTTGGGGGCAATGGCATTCATACGGGAAGTCAGGTAGCCGCTGAGCTGCTGACGGTACTCCGTGAAACCAACAACCTGCTCCGCCAGCGCCTGGATGTTCTCGAGATCTTGCTCGCTGATCTCGGTACCCATGGAGCGGTCGGCGGCGGTCTTGACGGCGCCCTCAATTTCCTCGGGAAGGATCTCGGCGAGGTCGGAAGACTCCCAGTTAGATCGCATGCCCATCTTCAGGACGAGCTTGGCATAAGCGAGGTTGTCGTTGAGGATCTTGGCCAATTCGGGGAAATGCCAGCCGTACCACTCCTTCACACGCATGGCATAGTTGTTCAACTCCTTGTCCAAATCATCCAGAAGCCCAATGGCTTGTACAATCATAGTATCGATTTTATCAGGCGAGAACTTGAGCTTGTGTCTGGCAAGAGAGTGAGACAGACCCAGCGACATAGTCGACATATCCTGGGGAAGCAGGCCGGGAATTAACGTGGGCAGATGTTCACGAATAGCACGGTAGACATCGGCAGTGCTGGAATCGGCAATTAATTGAAGAGAAAGACCGGGAACCTTGCTGATAGCGACACCTATCATAGAGAACGTTAGCATACGGACTAACTAATGCTGCTTTTATTACATATGGGCACTTACCGAGCTTGGGGTCGGCAACAGCCAAGGAGGCCTTCTTCTCGTCCTTGATCTCATCGAGAAGACTGGCCAGACGAGGAGAAACCTTGCCTTCAACGAGAGAGGCGACTTCCTCCAGGGCAGTAGCGGCGCTGTCGAACTTCTGGAAGCTCTTGAGCTTCAACCTGTACCGTGTGTTAGAAGACTTGTAGCGCACAAAAAATTTTCCCCTTAGTGCAGAAATTTGCAAAGAAGATTCGCGCCTCCATAATCCGAAAAAAAGAATTGCAACTCACAAGCTCGAGACACCCTCAGCAGTGGCAGCCTCAGTAGCCAGATCCTCCCTCTTGAGGAGCTTCTTGTCCTTGGCCTTAAGCAGGGCATAACCCGCGCTGGTTTCGGAGAGGATGAAGAGCGTCATGGTGGGCGGCTTCAATCCCAGCTGTTCAATAAAATATCGAAGTAACAGCTAGATCGAAGGTAAAAATAGGGAGGAGTGAAAGAAAGAAGACCGAGGGGAGTTGGCGACCGTGGAGAATACCACCAAGAACGAGCTGGAGGAAGAAATTCGATGTTCTCGCTGGCTGGCGGGAATTTTTTTTTTTCCCATGAAAACCAAAGTTAAAACCAAACGTGAAAAAAGCGAAATGCGCCAAGCCACACTTGTGGCTGGTGTCTGTGGGGCGGTGCGACCGGATTACATAACCAGCAGTGGATGCCGATGCGGTCTTGGTGGACTGGCCAGCTTCATCTGGCGTCGCGGAGTTGCTCTGCAGTCCTAATCATCTTGTTCACCACCATGGAGGGTCTACTTTTCAACGTGAACGGCGGGTAGGTTGGTTGATGCATCTGTATAGGACCTAAACTGACTGGATTAGCTACATCGAGGGCATTGTCCGAGGATATCGGAACAGCCTCCTCACCGGCCAGCATTACAACAACTTGACCCAATGCGAAACGATAGATGGTGCGCTTGCCTTTACCCTCCTAGACGCTTAGTCTCTCTAACGGTCTTTCTACCCTGCAGATGTGAAGCTCCAACTTGCACCCGCGTATGGCGACTTCCTGGCCTCGCTTCCTCCTAATCCCTCGACCTCGTCACTAGCCGGCAAGATGACCGATAAGCTAGTCGCCGAGTTCCGCTATGTCCTCGCCCAGGCCACAGGGTCGACTGCGAAATTCCTTGAGTACCTGACCTATGGCTACATGATTGACAACATCGCCCTGCTCATCACTGGCACCCTCCACGAACGAGACACTCGCGAGCTCCTGGAGCGCTGCCACCCCCTGGGCTGGTTCGAGACGCTGCCCGTGCTGTGCGTAGCCACCAACATCGAGGAGCTGTACAACTCCGTGTTGATCGAGACGCCCCTGGCCGGCTTCTTCAAAGGCAGCCTGAGCCACCAGGATCTGGACGAGCTAAACATCGAGATCATCCGCAACACCCTCTACAAGAACTACCTGGAGAGCTTCTACGAGTTCGTCAACACGGATTCCGACTTCAAGGGCACCCCGACGCAGGAGGTGATGTCAGAATTCTTGCAATTCGAGGCCGATCGCCGCGCGATCAACATCACGTTAAACTCCTTCGGCACGGAGCTCTCCAAGCAGGAGCGTAGAAAGCTCTACCCGGAGTTCGGCAAACTGTACCCCGAGGGCTCGCTGATGCTGTCCCGCGCCGATGACTTGGAGGCTGTCACGCTGGCCGTGAGCATTTCCGCAGACTACAAGGCCTTCTTCGACGCGGTGGGCCTGACGCAGGGTGGTGGTGGTCTTGGGGGATCGGACGGCAAGAGTCTCGAAGACATGTTCTACCACAAGGAGATGGAGATGTCCAAGGTTATCTTCACGCGCCAGTTCACACCCGCCGTGGTGTACGCGTGGATGAGGTTAAAGGAGCAGGAAATCCGGAACGTCACCTGGATCTCGGAGTGTATTGCCCAGAACCAGAAAGAGAGGATTGGGAATTTCATCTCTGTCTTCTGAGCGCGTTCTATACACTTTTTACTTGTTTCTTACCTAGTATTTGGTTCTTCTGGGATGGACTCCTCGTGTACTGTACTGTACTGCTGATTGCAAAGTATCTGATCTTATATCTTGCGTCAAACCATCCCCCGCATACCCACGCCAGCCAGGTTTATCATTACTTATATCTATGCTTGATTTGGGCGTTTGGGGTCATTACTGTTCTTGTGATATATTTTAGTATAGATAAGCAGCGTGAGTATCGAGGTATCTGTGGTTTCACTGTATTGTAAAGGTACATGTGAGCTCTGAACTAGGAGGCTCTGCTAGCCTTCCATGGAATGAGGTCGTCAGGTTGCCCAGGTCCCGTGGGGCTTTCTGCCTCCAGGTCTCAATTTTCTGGTTGTATTTCGAGGCAAGCCAACAATAGGATATTCACGCTGGGTGAAAGTTGAAGTAGCCAATTCCTCTTGGAACATAGAATGTTCCACTAACACTTTTGTGCCGACTTTTCATCCTCTCTTCGAGTCCTCTCCCCTGTATCAAAAGACAAATAGGGAAAAGTCAGATGAGGACCCAGAAACACATCGCGATACCAGGTATGGTATGCCTGTGATCACTTCCCAGCTTTCAACGGAATTAGGAACGCTGTAGATTTCAACCCTAGTACAGCTGTGATCCATTTAAGATATGACCAAAAGCAAAAGAAGAGGAAGTAATGCAGTTGCTGACAAAAGAAGACTCATAATCAATTAAATGTCAACAGGGCATAGATATGCAGAACAAAATTGAAGACATGTTGTATTCTTGTTGGAGCTGCAATAATCTATCCTTTTGCTTTGGAAAATGAGATAGTTTCACGCAAAGGCGTATAATATATGCAATGGTTAAGTTGGGAATTGTTATAGATCAAGGAAGTATAAGAAGGCAGTGGTGGGTAACCACGTGTTGAAGAGGTTTTAGGTCAAAATCAAAAGGACAGGCAGAAAAATTTTCGGTTCATCACTCTTCTTGCAAAATTCTTTTCATATACCATCCACTATCTCTGAGGAATAGTACGGCCAAACGAACAAAAAAGAAACATCAATTAGTCATACTGGAAGAGAACGCTGATACTCTCTCCGTGGTGGACGCGACGAATGGCCTGCGAATATTAGTACTAGGCTGATTTAGAAACGGACTGGCTTTCTTACCTCAGCGAAAACGTGGCCAACTTCCAGAACTTCCAGCTTGGGGCACCGTTGTAAATGGTCCGCTTGGTCCACACTGTTGGTCACGATGACCTTGTCGAGGGCGCTGGCGTTGATGCGGTCAATGGCATCACCGCTGAGGATGCCGTGCGTCACCAAGGCAAGAACCTGGGCGGCGCCCTCCTTCTTCAACAGCTTAGCAGCCCGAGTGATGGTGTTCGACGTATCAGCCAGGTCGTCAATAAGGATTGCCGTCCGGCCCTTGACATCTCCGACCAGCATCATGGTCGCGTTTTGGCGGTCGGTAATGCGCGTCGGCCGTCGTTCCTACAAAAGATTAGACAAAAGATCATCAGATGGTTTCGGGGAAACACACCTTGTGGATCAGAGCAAACTCGATGCCCATAGAGTCCGCAATGGCGGTGGCACGTTTGGCTCCGCCAGCGTCGGGGCTGACAATCACAGATTGTTTGTAGTTAGGGATATTCCGCTGAATGTAAGACTTCAGAAGAGGTCTCCCATATAAGTTATCCACGGGAATATCGAAGAATCCTTGGTACTGCGCATCGTGCAGGTCCATGGTGATGATGTGATCCGCGCCGGCACAGGTCAGCAGATCCGCGACCAAAGTGCCCGCCTGCGCTACCCACTGTTTGTAGCCGGGACGAGGCTGGAAAGTGTTGATCTTGTTTGCGTTCTCGTCATTGAGAATCCCGTTTCCAACAGTGCTTGTCGACTTGGCCGAATCAAGGGTGTTGCTGCGAGAGAGACCATTCACAGGGCGGCCCTTGACAGGGCTACCGTTGGCCTGGTCATCAATTTGAGCCTTGGCGAGACTCTTTTGGAGACTCTCGACACCGTTCATAAGGCCGGCGCTGTCGGCGTGTCCAGGGTGTGGGGTGGACGGGGTACTTTCGAAGGTATAGCCGTTGGCAGACTTGCTTCCAGCCGAGTTCTTAACCAGAGGAGCCCCGGCCTTGTTATACGGGATATCGCTCTGGCGCGAGTATGGGAACAACGGGAGCACGGCGGTGACTCTCTTCGCCGATGCGGTTTTACACGCAGAAATCGTGATGAGAAGCTCCAAGAGGTGGTCATTCACCTTGCCACCGCCAGACTGGATGATATAAACATCTTTCTCGCGAACGGATTCTTGGATCTCCACCCTGGTTTCGCCGACGGAGAATTTCGACAGTAATACGTCGGCAGGAGGGACGCCGAGAACACTGCATATCGTCTCCGTCAGTTGCGGGTGGGAATTACCCCCCATGACAACAATATTTCGGACCATGGTGGCTTGGGAATCGTTCGTGGTATTGGTTGATAGGCCTGGAGGATATAGGCACAGTGGAGTAGATGGATGTTTCGGAAGCGGCAAGGAAGTATTGGTTTGCAAATCCGATGCGGGAGGTCTGGAGGGGCGGTATGGTCGGTGAGATTAGTATTGGGGTAGCAAGATTTCCTCTTGAATGAAAAGGGTAACAAGAATCAAACAACTAGGATGGACGGATGAGCAACTACCTCATGGCGGTAAGTCAAAACCCAGGTAGGAACACTTGGACAAGACAGACATTGAAATGAAGGATTGGAAGTAAAAAGATCGTGTGAGTCCGAAAGTAAAAAAAAATGCCTCTCCGCCAGTGGAGCCGGCCGGTGCCTCGGGGTTCTGCCGTTGTCGCCTCAGGTTCCCAGTGGCCGGTTCCGGTTAGGTCAGCTTTCCAACAATACCCCGCGGGAAACGGTGGATGCTGACAAGGCGGACATCACCATCAAAGGATGTAAAGTATCACTAGGAGTTGGTTGACAAAACAAACTGACAAACGGTCGTCCTGTACCATGAAGCATATTTCTTCAATCCGCACAAGAACAGTAGGCGCTCTTTCAGTTACGAAAGTGCTAGCTCCCGTACTACAAGAAGAGCATGGTCTCCATTGCCCGTAGGTACATGCGACATAGAAACCAATTCCAGAAGATAACAAAGGATAGGAACAAGCAGGTAAAAAGCGAGAGGAACTTGAATGAACCAAGTGTCCTTCCTATCAATCCCAAGGGGTTCAAGTGCGAATGTGATTTGAACTTAGTTGATCAAATCGTAGATGGTCTGGCATAGCCAAGAAGATCAATAACGGCATTCCAAGATAACCTAAGCCGCGTCCAGAATATCCTGTGCGTTTTGCATCTACCATCAGCATGAAAAAAGGTATTTGAGAAGAGAGTGAGTGATTGCTCACGAGGCAAGAATACTCAACGGACTGGTGTCACCATATTGCAGTTGTAAGCTTGAGTTGACAATTTGACACACTTGGCATATTAGATCTTGCTTCATCCCAATAGCATCTGATCCCTTGAACTGGCACCCGCGGCTGTTTGGTAGTGCCTTCTATTAGTGGAATAATTGAGCCATAAGTGTTTAGACAAGCAAAAACACTCGTTATCAGAATGGATGAGGATCTTATAGAACGGTCGATTATTGCGTTTTTTGTTCCTAGTATAATTCCTGGTGATGTAAGTCAACATACACTATTCTCGAGGCGTTTATTCCCCAAACCCAGTGATATCTGCGTCAGTGTGTCTTTTCCCCACCAGAGTCATCGTATGCCCCTCCATTTGCTTGAGGCCATCTGCGTCGCATTGTGCATCCGTCTGCATTGATCTTCCTTTTAAATTCGGACAGCAGAGATACTGCAAGAACTCGATCCTCAAACTTATCATACGACAAGGAGAGAGCATTTAAGTGTAGGATGGACAATTGGGAGATAGGTAGGACAGATGTTTACAGAGCAGATGCAGCCCAACACACGTGATATGCACTGCGGCCCTGCGAGCTCACATTGAGGGACCAGACCGCGGAGCGATACTACCATCCTGGTCACGTGGTCTACCGGGGTGAGCTTCGGGAGCTGACAGTCGCGTTCCATATCGCGACTTGCGCATTGAATGCCGACTCTACCCTGTTGATTTTCTGATCCACTGCCATTATCGTCAGTTTCAGCTAGTCACTCACAGGGCCCATGAATTCATGTCTATGACTTAGGATTCCGCGAAGGCTCCCAGTCTCCGCAAATGCCCGTTCGCCTCCTATCGCGGCGTCCGTCTCCGACGACCGTATCGTTCACGGTATCCAACGCCTCTCGACGAACAAGCACACCAGCCAGGATCCTCTCACTGTTCCAGTTTCTCCTGCGCGCGCTAATTTTCCTCCTCGTCCACATCATTGATACAGCGAAGTTACGCCATTCCTTCTTCCAAGGAGATGGGCCGTTTTTGCCGTGGAGTACAATCTGGGCGACTCCTGGGGGTGCGCTCGCTTGTCGCATTGCGGATGCGTATAGCTATGGATTCATCGCGGTTGCTAGCACGGTCTTGATATATGGGGTTTTTAGGAAGGGATATACAGGTACATAAGTCCTTGAGATTTTGAATGGGTTGTGGAGAAGATGCTTATTTCAATTGGTGTCTATAGAAGAATCACTCCTCGTTATACGTGGTCTCGGTATCCAGACGTCTACCTCCTCGTCGACTTATTTGTCGAAAGCCTCGACGAGATTCATACCTACCACCCAGATACAAGATATCGTCATACATGAGGCTTTCAAGGGATTTGAAGTGCGATTCTACCTCGCGTTGATCGTGGAAGGGGAGCCTGACGTTGTGGTTGTTTTCCCTGTGAGTACTCCCCCCGGTCTGTGTGTAAGGAGGGATTGCTGACTGGCCTAGAAACTGTTACCGAACCGGGCGATATTAGAAGAAGTTTGGAGAGGTTCGCGGCGGTGCCTATATGATTCGAAATCATAAGACAGCTCATTCAAATACATATATCTATTGATTCTATGAGGTATATACAGTCTTGTTCCTATTCACATGTCAAGCCGACCCGATTCTTCACCTTGAGCGGCTGTCTTCCGCTGCTTCGACGCCAACCACCGCGCATTCTGAGCCTCAACGGTTTCGGACTTCCGCTTTTGCAAGACGGGAACATATTGCCCGCCGGTACGAACAATATGGCCGCCGTGGAAGTGCTTCTGTCCTCTCTTTTGCATCTCCGCAACGGCATTCTCGACTTCGTTGTGGACAATGCTCTGGTCACCCTGCTTGATAGATAAGTCCAACAAGGCACCGGCCAAGACCTCGTCGATCTTTCGTTGTCTCCAGACAGACCAGAGGTCGTCCACGACACCTCCAGCGCCAAACTTGCTGCTTCCCTTTCCGAGCTGGGATTTGCTCTGTCTCTGATCACCGGCGTAGACCCATTCCAGCGAATCTTGTCGACTGTCGCCTTTTTGATCGGGGAAAATGCAATCCCACAAGACCAACGGGGCGTCGCTAGCCATCTCATAGTTTGGCTTGCGCGGATTGTTGGTGACGTCCAACAGATCGGACACAATAGATGGTGATTCGAGGCCCTGGCCGACCAGGAACAGGATGCTGACCATGTGTCGGACCTGATGCCACAAAAAGGCCGAGCCGTGCAAATTGAACACATACACCTGAGAAGAGTCGGGCGATGCTATCTCTGACGACCTGTCGCTCGTATCCAATGCAGGATGTTCCACGGCTCGGAAGCCTGGCTGACCAACGTAGCCCAGTGGGCTAGTCTTGGGGTCCAGCAATTCAATATCGGAATGGTGGATGATTCGCGTGAAGTTCTCGATCTGTTTGCTGGTATCCAGCTTGCAGAAGTTTCGGAAATCATGCACGCCTTCAAATTTCCTGGCAGCTTCGCGCATTGCTTCAATATCCAGCCACCCTTCTCGGTACTTCAGAGAGGATTTCTGCGCTTTATTGGGGGATATGAACCCGAGAGGTCCCGGCGTAGGAGAAAACGCCGGCTGGGTAAAAAAGTACCTGTAGCGGCGTTCCCGGCACGAGAAACGGGCATCAAAGTCCTCTGGCGGGTGCGGACACCACGCAAGAACCCGGATATCCTCCGGAAGGGCCTTGTTAAGCATAGTAATATACGGCAGCTCATCCGCAATATCATCCCACTTATCCTCAACCTCCGTCTCCATAGTAGTATCCCCATTCTCGTCCGCCTGAGCCGGCTTATCAACCTTCGGCCGCGCACTCCGCACCCTAATCCCAATGACCTGACCAAAAGCACTCACACCGCGGTCCGTCCGCCCCGCCTTGGAATACTGGCACCCCTCCCAGTTAATAGAGTAGGGCTTCAACGCCCTCGGCTCATTGCTATCCTCATAATCGCCAGAATCGTTCGTCGGGAAGATCAGGCGCGTCCGCCGCAGAGCCTTCCACACCATCTCCTCGATCGTCGGCAGCGGCGTGATATTCCCATTCGTGTGCTCGAGCCCGTTGTACCGTTGCCCCAGGTAGGCGAATTTGAGCGCTATGTAGCGGGTGTTGTACTTTGACGGATCGATCATCCTTGCCTGCTTTGGGGGACGGCTTGGCGCTTTCGCGTGTGTGATGTCGTCCTCCTCTGGAAGTGGGTTCTGCTGCGAGGCGTCTTTGTCGGATGCGACTCTCTGCGCAGCAGCATCGGTTGTAGGCGAGTCCGCAGGAGGGGCAACGGAGGAAGGATTCGCGGGCGCGGCATCGCTTGCGGCTTGTGGGAGGATAGGCGTGTATTCCGCGGTGCGAGAATTCAGCTGGCGTTCTAGCTCGGTGATGCGAGATATCAAATGCGACGTACTCCAGGTTGAGTAGTCCGGTTGGGCCTGTAGAGGCGGCGGGTGTTCGGCGGCGCCAGACATGATTTCCGTTGTTAAGGAACTTGTCACTTTGGCGCGGGAGGATAGGGAGGACTGGAAGCCGCGCTTGGATAGGGTATGCTCTGCAAAACGACTTAGGGATTGGCAAAATCTCCCTTGCAATCTCGGCATCCCCTCTGAGGCTGTGGATGATTTGTAGAGCGTCGACTCGAGGGAAAAATGTTTCTGCCGGGAAGATTACCATATGGTGAATCTACACTAGTTATGGGTGTGTATTGTAATATTACAGGCACGCTTTGGATATACAGGGCATCTTTTATCCGATTGTTTGATGTAATCGACGTGTATATCTGGGATTTAGATGTAAAATTGTCTTTAACCAAAGGAATAAGAGGTGTAATACTTTTTTTTGGGTTCTTTTTTGTATATACTACCTAGCGTAGGTTCTGCTTCGAAAGTAGTAATGCGACTGAATACTATGGTTGATCTGCTTACGTTCTTATCTTATCAGGACCTTGAATAAGATCAGTCGTAACATATTCCTGACCACAAGACAATGTTTTACAATTGGCCTCCGACAACCAATACTTTCTATACAGAAGTAAGACAAGCCAATGGCAAATAGTGTGGATGGTCAAGATGACAAGCAGACTGTCACAGTCTTACTGTTAGGAGACCCTGAATGTGGCAAAACGACATTTCTATCGTGAGTACATACGACGCAACCTTGCGCAAGATGAGCCTACGGACTGCATTTCTATCGCGTTGCTGTTACAGATTTGGCCTCACTTCATCTCAGATCTAGCATCCTCACTCGGCTAACTTCGGGACTACAGATCTTTGAGAAACACCCATCGCAGACTCACAGGCCAAACACCACCCGGCGCAAGCGGGGCAGAATTGCTGCGCGATACCGATCAACCATTCTTGTTTGACATTCGCTTCACCAAGAAAGTATTTACTTTGGAAGCCTACGATGTAGCAAGCCCCAACCAACACTGGACGACACTCAAACCAGATGTTGTACTTCTGGCATTTGATATCTCGAATCGGGAGACGTTAGCCGGGCTCAAAGCTGTAAGTACTGTCCTGCTCAGCGATCAGGGTCTTTATTAAGTGATCTGTGTTGCTAGTGGCGACATGACATTATCAGATATTTCCAACGTGGCCAGGGTGAACGCATCCCTGTTATGTTGGTAGGCCTGAAGAGGGACCTTCGAAAAGAAGGCGAGGGGATCATTTACCCGCAAGAAGTAAGCCGCTTCCTTACCATCCTGTAGAGGGGCATTGTCTTCATATTTATTCTAGGTACTAACACTTACAATGATAGTCTTATCGGATTGCACAGGAGCTCCGCTGTGACCGGTATGCAGAATGTTCTGCTATCACTGGGGAGCTTTTGGTCGAGACTTTTGAGGACCTGGCTAGGCTTGCAGGTATGATGACTACTGAGACGGGAGGACAGACTGCGGGTGGTTGTGTCATTCTCTGAGGGCTGGTAGATGTGTAGATGTTATGTGAATTGTGGTGATACATTGGCCATCACTTACATGACTTGAAGGATTGGAGTTTTTGTTATGAGGGATGAAGTGAATACCTAGTCGTGGGTCATCTCGTCTTCTGGTTACCTGGGCAGTGGATAACTGGTCACGACCTACAACGGTACCTGGACGTAATCCTAGGTAACTACATCACTACATGGGGCTACAAAAGATCATGCACCTGGTAGCTAGCATCACTTTCGATTACGGCTATGATAAACATACAAGGAGAAACCAAGGCAACGCTTAAGTCCACCTTGTGAAATCAACAGCGCAGGGCTTTCCCCCAGAAGCTCATCAATTATATGAACATCTGGATATCTTTCCCTCGTAAGCGCCAGTCGATTTTTGGCAATGCAATTTCCCCCTGATGGCACCATGAACAACGCGTAAAAACGGACTGAAGTAAACAAAAGGATCTTCACTGTGGCATACCAAGGAAAAAAGGTAGGAAAAAGAGAAAAGGGGGGGTTTGAAGTTGCGGAATTCCCGGTGAAAAGTTTCGTTTCTTTTGCTCTTTTTTCGCGTTTTTGCTTTTTTCTTTTTGATTAGAACTAGGATAGACATGTCAAGGGATTTTTCTTCTTCGTTCTCTTTCTTGGTCGGATACTTTTAGCATCCGCCATGCTGGATCAAGAGATGATTTCTGAGACCGTGACTCCCTGATCGCCATTTTGAAAGAAAAGAACCATGACCCCTCTCAATGGTCGCCCTGATCATATCTGAAGATTTACCACTTGCCCTCAGCGGGCTGGGTCTCGGCCCAGCTCTCGGCAGCGGGAGCGGCAGAGCTGGCAGCCCAGTCAGCGCCCTCAGCCTCCCAGCTGGCGGCACCGGTAGCAGCGGTAGCAGCAGCGAAAGCAGTGCCAGGAGCACCAGCGCCAGCACCCTGGGTGTCCCAGTTGTCACCGGCGAAGCCGGACTCGATGGCAGCGGGGCCGACCTCCTCGGCGTTGGCGACCTTGGTCTCGTCAGCGATCTCCTTGGTCTCCTCGGCCTCGGGGTCACGGTAGAAGTAGAGATCGACGACAACGTCCCACTCAGCCTCGCGGGAGGCAAGAGTGCCACGGAGACGGAGGACCTCACGGGCGAGGAGCCACCAGACCAGACCGATGGAGTGACGACCCTTGTTGTTGGTGGGGATGGCAACGTCGACGAAGTCGGTGGGGGAGTCGCTGTCGCAGAGAGCGATGACGGGGATGTTGACGTAGCTGGCCTCACGGATAGCCTGGGCATCGGTACGGGGGTCGGTGACGATGATGAGGCGGGGCTCCTTGAAAGAGCGGGTGATGTAGTTGGTGAAGTTACCGGGGGTGAAACGGCCAGCAATGGCAGTGGCACCGGTGTGCGAGGCGAACTTCAGGACAGCACGCTGGCCGTAGGGACGAGCGGAGATCACACAGACATCGGCGGGGTTGTCGATGGCGGCGATGATACGGGCAGCGAGGAGGATCTTCTCCCTGTGAAGCGGCGAATGTTAGATCCTGCCCAAATTTTTATTCCACCGAGCCAAAAATTCCATACCAGGTCTTGCCAATGTTCAGAACGTTGACACCATCGGGGCGAGTCTTCCAGAGGTAAGGCTCCATGTGAACCTGGAGGTTCTTGGATCCCAGGTGGCACTGAGCTGCGAGCAGCATCTCAATGTCCTGGGACGTAGGGTTGAAAGACGGGGGGAGCTGAGAGGGGGCCATGGCGGGCGATTGATCTTGCAAAGGATATCGAGGTTGAAGATATCAATCGTCTGGCGCTTGTCGCAGTGGGTGAGAACGAGGGAGAGTCGGACGAACGCGAAGGTGAACTTTTGCGCTTTCTGGCGACGATATGGTTCGAAATTTCGCTTGCCGTTTGTGAATTCTAGGGCTAACTAGGGTTGGTCAGCATCGGGACCCTCCGACCCGCCCCGGTGTCACGTGTGGTCCCTGGACCGATGCGGACTAGCGCCAGAATGCGGCTTCGAGATTTCGGAGAACTTCATCCAAGCTCCAGATATCTGTCTTGGAATTAGAAAGGGAACGAACGGCCTTTTCTTTTGTCGGCCGCTCTCATCCAGGATACTCCACATATTCCGTCAACATGCCTCCTCGCTTTCTCTCCTGTCCTTCGCTCAAGGCCTTCAGTGGTATGACTCCCTCCTTGGCTTGGTATCCCATCCCGTCTTTGGTCTAACTTGCAATGTTAGGCTCCTCGAACGTCCAGAGCCCTCTTGCTGCCCTGTTGATTAACCCTTCCAAGACATCCGTGAGGGCGGGCTCGATTGAAAGCCGGGAGCGGAGAAAGCATGACCCGTATATGATGGCCCAGTCTCGCCGGCGCAAAGCCGCTAATGTGTCTCGCCAACAAGCGCTCGCTCAGGAACGCGTCATTCAAGGCGACCCCTTGCACACCGAGCAGACCGAATTTGTCCAGGAGCTCAAGACGACGCAATCGGGCGCGCCAAGCGCGTCGCAATCTGAAGCGAAGCTCAACTATCTGGTGACTCGGGATGGACTACAGGATGCGCTGGAATACTCGAAGAACTTGACTTCGCCCCTCGCAGACCCCGACCGGAATACTGCCGATCCCCAGCTCGAGAAGGAAGCGGCCGAAAGACATCTGCAAGAACACCGGAATGCTCAGGAGGCGATCAATCGTATCGTGAACATCAGCAACGGAAATAACCAGGACCGAATGCGCCTTCTTACCCAGAAGTGTATCGAGAAGCTCGGTCGACACAACACCGACCAAGTCCTTCCTCCGAAGCCGACAGCCGCGCAAGTCCCCAACGCTGTCCGTCCGGAAAAGACCCCTCGAGTCGGACGGGATACTGGTTCTCCGGAGGTGCAGGTTGCCGTGCTTACGGCCAAGATCATGAACCTCTCTCGACACATGCAGACTGCCAAAAACGATAAGCATAACAAGCGTAACCTCAGACTACTTGTTCACAAGAGACAAAAACAACTACAGTATCTACGGGCGAAGGAGCGAGGTGGGCCGCGGTGGCAGAACTTGGTTGAGACCTTGGGATTGTCGGATGCATCTTGGAAGGGTGAGATCAGCATGTAATTGCTGAAACTCTTTCCTACTTTTCTGTCACTCTTGTTTTTGTCTCTTTCAGTGAATATTGGCGTGTAACTACTATATGGTATTGCCCTTATGGCATACTCTAGCTTGTGATGTTTTCGGATCCTCTTTTGGGCTCTCGTACCAGCGGTGGGATCCATCTTGTACAAATACAGTATCAGTCTTCTATCTCCTCCCTTCTTTTTTAATTTCTAGAAACTTTTTGTTTGAATCACATTAGACAACGTTCATAATTCCCAAATATCCTTCACTGAGTCAAAAGAGGTGGTAACCAAATAGTAAGGTACTCTTGCATGTATTGGGACCTCGAGCTGTTACCGCCTTGATTCTGCCGTGACCGCAACTCAACTCCAATCACTGTTCCTTCGCCGCGCAACTTTGCGACCTCAACACCATCACTGTCAGTCCCATCTACGCAAGTGAATGTCGACCTCAACCTAGTTTTTTGCTGAGTCGTGTTGCTTGCACGTCGCCAGCGACAACATCAGTGTGAGTCATACACAACAAGACGCGTCTACATGAACCCCCTTCCCCCCCATCATTTCTCCCACTTTTTTTTCCCTCCCACATCCTCTTCCTCCACACTCTACAAACACCCACTTCCACCCACTTTCAGATCAAACCACCACAGTTTTATCTCTTCTCTTTCTATTACACAGTCTCAGACACCTTTACTAAAACACTGAGATTCTATCTCTCGATACAGAATATCTTTCGATACTTCTCCCCTTCGCGTCGCACTCTGCTCGAACCTCAACCGCCCTTTTGACGGCAAGCAGTCGAGATGCGTACTCGCTCACAGCAAGCGTCGCCTGGCGGCTTTGTTTCTCTCGATACAGAGGGGGCTTCTCGTCGTACTCGGTCCACCAGGAGCACTTCCCAGCAGCCTTCTGAATCACAGCCTGCTACTCGGTCAACCAGGAATACTTCCCAGCAACCTTCTGAATCTTCACAACCTGCCGCGCAGCAAACCACAACACGTGCAAAAGCTGGGCGTTCTACTAAGAAGGCTGCCCCCAAAAAGACCCCCCAAACCACTAAATCGAAACGCAAGCGCACTACGAAAAGTACTTCCAGCAAGGCGGAGCAGCAAACTTCTGCTGATGAGCATGAATCACAACACAACGAAACGGAAAAGCCCGCCGAGCCCACGCCGGAAACTACGCAGGTACCTGACCCGGATACCCAACAGGATGCCCCCGAGGTAGTCGAATCGACAGGCTCAGGTAGTGCCCCCCTGGGGGAACCAAGTTCATCTGGCCGTGAGTTTTCCCCCCAAAGGTCCCATTCCTCCCCCGAAAGGTCCCATCCCTCCCCTCCCTCCCCCCCACAGAACGCAAGCCCCATCTTTGGGAGTCTTGCGGGAACCATCGGAACTCCGTGGCAGGAGTTCCTTACAGACCCTGGACCCGAGCCCATCGGGTTGCTCCTCTCTCCGCGGTCGCCGCTCTCTCCGTGGTCGCGGCCCTCTCCGGGGTTGCCGATCTCCTCTCCGGGGTCGCCCATCTCCCTGGGGTCGCCGCTCTCTCCGGGCGCGAAATGCCTGGATGTAGACATCGACGCTCTTTTTGGCGGCCCCGACCCCGAGCTAGACGACTTGCTCGCGGCAAGTATCGCGGAGATGTTATCCCTACACGACAGGCGGGAGTCGGCTGCGGGCAGAACCGAAGTATCTGCCACGGAAGAAGCTGCCGAAGAACCTTCGGTCAGTGGTTCCCCGCAGCCGACTCCTGCGAGAGTTGAGCGACCCGATGCCGGCAATGTCACGGAGTCTGCCTTGGAGCAGCAACCGGCCCCAAACACCTCTGAGCCCCCAGCCGTGGCGGAACCAACCGTAGAGGAACCGGAGGAATCGGCTGCAGCAGTGCCAGAAGTCATCCATGCACCCGTTAGCCCGCCTATTACGGCGGAGCCTGCTGCACCGACCCTTGCGACCTCTATGGGCTCCGGAGAGGAGCAGACTGAGGCGGACGCACAAGCAGATGAATTGGCGGAGAGTCTTGCCAAGTTGAGTCTGGTGAGTTTGGAGGACTCTCTGCCAAGCCCCGTCCCTCAGCCTGCTCCTTCGACGGAGTCGTCCGCTGTACCAGCGTGTCGTCCTGAAACAGTGCAGGAGCCTGCAAGTGATCTTGCCCATGTGTCCCCATGTGCAAGTGTCTCGAATTCTCCAGTTACCGGGCAGACCTTGCAGGCCCTCACTCCAGTTTCAGGCGACTCTGTTCAAGCCCCTCGGTTCGCGTCGATCTTCGACGGCGAACGCCCAGTTTTTCACACTCCGATACTCGACGCTTACTGCAACTGGGTGGCTGAACAGGCCTCTCCATCGATCCCCAAAAGGACTTCCCTTTTGGGACACATCGCAGATAGCCCGTATTCGATTTTCGAGCCGGGCCAGGCCTCCTATTATTTAGGACGGCCGATCGTGGAGGGGCCGTTGGTTCCAGCGGCGTTGGCGGGGGAGCCTGAATTGACACCAGGCCCCCCACTCCGCCCGACTGTGGCGCGACGCAGGACCCCGGTCCGGCGTTCTGCGCCCAAACGTGCCCTGGCTGTGCTCTCTCCGGTTCCAGAGGAGCCAGAGATGAGCCCCAGGGCCGGCTCAAGTGTTTGGGCCGAAAGAGAGGGCCCCGAAAGACCATCGGGGTCCCTCTTGGCTGCCTTCAAGGCAGCGATGGTTCCCGCCGAAGTTCGGTCCCACGTCCCCCGTCATCCGCCCAGCTTGGGCGCCTCCCTTCCATCATCCCAGGAGGCGGAGACGACCAAGAAGGCCAAGCACGCGAAGAAGCCGAAGAAGACCAAGGAGCACGGCAAGAAAGCAACGCTAACCAAGGAAAAAGTCAACAGGAAGCGACCCCATATCGAAACCAGCGACGACGATCGCAGTGCCCCTGAAACGCCAACCGCAAACAAGCGCCGAAACTTGGGCCCCCCGGGTAGCACGCCTCATACCCGTCGACTCACTCCCCTTTCTCGTCGGCTGACTACGAACGCCGCGCCCTACTCGGAGAGACTTCTACGCCGGAAAGTGGAAAGAGACGGACGGATTCACAAGACCTTGTTTCGCGTCCCACAGCTCATAGCCCAGAGAGAGGCTGACCGCCGGGCCGCGGAAATGCTTCCTCTGAACCGTTTCCCTGAAGTTTCCCAAGCAAGCATCGCATACGAAGCGGAACAGCTCGAGACAGACTCCCAGCATCCCGAGAACGAACCAGCGGCGCCCGAACCTCCGGCCACCCCCGAAAGGCAACAGGGTTGGAACATCCGCGGATTGCTCAGCTCCGTGCCTCGCACTTTCTCCCGCTTCATACCAGGACTCGGTCGGTCCCCCGAGAGGCAAGAACCAGGTATGTCTATATCCATTTTCGTACACCACGCCATATGGCGAGTGGATTGCTCATCGTATATAGTACCACCCCAGCCGTCCTCTGAGCGCATAGTTCGCACCCAGCCCCTTGAGTCCGTTCCCTCTGTACCCACTCCCGAGGTTCATTCTCGCCGTCGTCTGAGTGAGCAATCGACGAGCGAAGGGCGGCCAGCGAAGCGGCCACGCAATCTGTCTTACTCTCTTTTCCCGGCCCCCATGGACAAGTCGCTTTATCTTGGAGATATCAGTAAGACTCCTAAGACTACTCCAGCTCCACCTCTGCCAGAAGGCCAGCCTACGGAAGGACAGCCGACAGACAAGTCGATCCCCAAGGAGTCAGTCCCGAAGGAGTTAGAGCCCCAGGAGTTAGTGCCCCAGGAATTAGCCACACCAAGACATCAGGACCTTGAGAGATCACCCCAAAAGGTCGACGAGACGACCAAAAAGAAGCGCAAGCGTTCACCTTCACCAGATGTCATTCCAAACCCAAAGGGGTGTAGCTACGGGATGGATATGGATTACTTCTGTTACAGTTCTGACAGTGAAGATGAGACGAATTCGACCTCTGAGCCGACAGTGCCTCAGACCGAACCAAGACAGTTGGGCAGACTGAGCAAAGGGATCGTCCGCAATGCCATTGGTTCGGAACACCACCCTTCGAAAAAGGTCAGATTCGACGCGAGCCCAGAGGACACACCTTCAAAACTTAGATCGCGAGCTCGCGCGACTGATCCTTACCGTGGAAAACAGTTTATTGGAATGGGCGGTGCATCCGCCTCTCCCGAAGTGTCACCCACCCCTGCCTCTCACGTCGATACCATTTATGAGCCACGGCAACGTCCAGGCTTCGTCCCTAATTTGCAGGGCACATTCCAGCTTGATTATGATGCGTTTTCAGACGACAGTGATTCGAGCGGGCCAGACTCCCCCATGAGCCTCCCGGCTCCCAGTCCACTGTCAGCTGGACCCAGCCCCGTGAAGGCTAGTGGTCAGCCCGAAAGGTATTGTAGCATGATATCCTGTTGTTCGTGCTGGCATGTACTAATTCGATTCTCTAGTGTGCAATCCCCTGCTCGTCAAGCTCCCCGCCCGACACCCGCAGCTCCGTCGACTCCTGCAGGCCCGTCAACCCCCGCCAAAGTCGACGAGGAAGCTCTTGCAAGAGTCCGTTCTCGAGCAGAGAAATACAAGCCCAAAACGCCCAGTGGCCTCCGTACCACCAGTCGTTATTCGAGCCCTATGACTGCTCCCACCCCCGACGCCCTTGCCAACAGAGAAGAAGTTGTAGCCGATGCGTTCGGAGATGATGACTTCGCTCGTGACGCTCAGTGGCTCTTGGAGAAGTGTCCCTCCGGCGACCTCCGAAACCTTGTTTGGCCGCAAAGACAAAGCCTAGTCGACAGCATTGGTACCCAACCCGAGTCTCTCGATGTTCTCTCTAGCATCTGGGATGATGCCGAAGTCGACAGAGCTTACCTTGTTTTCAGCGCCAGCCTGGAGGCGTTCGAGGAATCCAAGGCACGAAATGTTGAATGAGATGTTGTGTTTTTTGTGTGGAAAGTTAGTTGCGTTAGTTGCGTTAGTTGCGTTTGTTGCGTCTGTTATGTTCATTCTGTGATCTCCTTGCGTGCCATCTTATTTTCACTACTTTGTGGCCCTTCCACTTGACCCCCTTCTGCATGGGAGTGTGTGGCGGTGGAAAGAGGCCCAAAGCTGATTGTTCGATGCGCCGTGGAGATTTAGTTTTGTTTTTATTACTTTGTGGCCCTTCGACTTGCCCCCTCTTCTGTTACCGGGAACTGTGTGCGGCGGTGGAAAGAGGCCCAAACTTGATTGTTTGGTGTGCCGTGGACATTTCACATTGATTTTGCTCTTGCGTTTACTTTTCACTTTGCTTTCACTTTGCTTTTTATGTTGCACTTGATTTGCTTTGCTTTGCTTTGCTTTGCTTTGCGTTTACTCTTCACTTTGCTTTTACTTTTCATGTTGCATTTGCTTTTGATTTGCTTTTTTAACTGATTTGATTTGCTTTGAGTTGATTCGACGTGATTTGACTTCTTTTTGTCCGCTGGCCTAGCAACGGGCCTCTCCATCATTTCGCATGGAGTTGGCAAGTCCCGCTGCGGTCAAGACGTCTTGTTTGTGTATGGAATATGCTTTGGAGTTGTGATACAATCGGGTCATCCCTGGATTTGCATGAGCGTTATGGTGTTATTTACAGCATTTGTTGATTTGCTTTTTTAGCGTTAGATCCTAATGAGATACATTCAAGCTCGATTCTTAAAGTCCGTAGTATCCAGTCCGTAGTATCCCTTGCTCTAGCGAAATTGATGGTATACTTTGAGGGTGTGTAGTTTATCTTCGGATAGTCTTATTTCGGGGATCGAAATTCATAAACTGTAGCAAATAGCAAATCCTCAATATGTGCATATGATGGTGTCCTGACTGGAATATGAATCGGATTATGGGATAAACCCTTACATCTCATGCCATATACAGGATCCAATGTTAAGTTCACATAGGGAGGTAACAGAAAACAAGCGACACTAAGGACCACTGATGTTTTCAATATCTACAAGACGGCGCCTACCTCGGTAAACACACCAGCGACAGACACTGCAGGTGGGAAGTAGGTAGGATACAAATAGCAATCCGATCAATCAATCAATCAAACCCCTGAAATTCCTCCCCATCATCACCAGCCTTATCCTTCTCGCCGCCAGCTTTAGCAGCAGCGAGTCTAAGCCGTCTCTCCTCATCATTCTTCGCCTTGATATCCTCAACCATCTTCCTTGTCTCCAGAACCTTCTGCTTATCCTCCGCGCTCATAGCCTCCCACCTCTCGTTCTCGCGCCTCGCGTGCTTCAGCTCCCGCTTCTTCAGCTTCTTGTTCTTGGTCTCGATGTTGTTGCTCCAGGCCACGCTCTCGCTGGCTCGTCGCTTGTTGGACGGTTGCTCGGAGGGGGGTTTGGAATCGGGATTGGCGGCTGCCTCGGCTGCCTCCTGGAGGGCCTCTTTGCGTTGCTTCTCCCGCTGCTTGTCCTTGTAGGCGAACTTGTCCCATTCGACACTGACGCCGAGGGTGCGATCGCCTTTGAATTCCCTTGATTCGGGCATCTTGGGCAGTCTCAGCAGCGCCCATGCCTTGCCCAGAGCTTCCCAGTCTATGTCGGACACGCGGAAGATGCTGCTCGCTTGGTGCTTGCTGTAGCTGCGCAGCCAGCTGACGAAGGCGCGCTGCCCGCGATCGTGCAGGGTGCGGTCTTTGAGGATCGCTTGGCGGGCGGTGTCCGTGGCTTCGTCTGCTTCGGCGTCCGAGATCGAGATGGGGTGGGGGAACGGCACGACGGGCGTTTTGCGGACTTCTAGGAAAGACACGTAGTCTTCTTCGCGGCCGGGGTGGAGGAGTACCACGCTTATGCCTCTGCGGCCGGCTCGGCCGGCACGACCGCAGCGGTGGATAAAGGTCTTGGGGTCGGAGGGCGGGTCGATTTGGACGACGAGGTCCACGGAGGGGATGTCTAGTCCGCGCGAGGCGACGTCTGTCGTTAGGAGGATTGCTGGGGTGGGGGAGTTGATGAAGCGGGTGAAGTTCTTTTGGCGGACGTTGGCCTGGTGTTTCCCGTGCAGAGGTATTAAAGATACGTCGTCGCCCAGTATTAAGGGGAGGACTGCGGAGAGATAGTCCACTCCAGAGCAGGTGGAGACGAAGAATATCGTCTTTTGGGGAGTGGGTTCAATGGAGGCGAGGATGTGCTTTAGCGCGAGGAATTTGTGCCTGGGGGGAGTAGTGAGGTAGGTCATTTGTAAACTGTTTTGAGTTAGCTGAGGTATTCAGGAGTAACGTGCAGAGAGTCGAATTGTTACTGACCTTGCGGGTGTGCGTTTATCCTGGACTCCTGCTGTCCCTTTGACCTTGACCATGACCTTGACGGGATTGCGCAGACCGACTCGGACAATTTGATCCACAGCCTCACTGACACTAGCGCTGAACAACCCAGTGCGTCGCTGTTTCGGCAACCGACGCAAGATGTTCTGCAGAGTCTCTTTGAACCCAAGGTCCAGCAGCCTATCTGCCTCGTCGAGGACCAGCATTTCGAACGACGACTGCGGGCAGTACACGTGGGGTGACGAGAGGAGCTCCAACAGCCGCCCCGGGGTTGACACTAGCACGTTCGGCGATCTCTTCAGGAAGCTACTCAAGTCTTCCGCTGGGGTAGTCGAACCGCCGAGGAGGAGTTGTGGGACGACCTTGAGGGCAGAGTGTTTCTGGCGCGGCGCATTGCCGTCTTCGGGAGGATTGATCGCAGCGGCGGACGGAGGATGGAAGGCGAGTAGAGACGTAAGCACGTTATATATTTGAGACGCAAGTTCTCTGCGAACAGAAAGTCAGCATCGGTGGGGTCATTAATGTTGCGCAGAGGAAATGTTACCTCGTCGGCGAAATGATGATCGCCCCGACATGGTGCTTCTTCATGGGCTCTTCGAGTCGCAAGAGCTTCTCCACCACGGGAATCAAAAACGACAGCGTTTTCCCACTACCAGTAACGGCTTCCACCACGACATCTTTATGCGCCATGAACAGAGGGATAGCAGACGCCTGGACGGGCGTCATGCGGGTGAAGCCCATAGATGAGACAGCGTCGAGCACCCATTCCGACAGAGGGGGGTTGACACCATCCCAAGCTCTGGCAGACGTGCCAGATGGCGGCTTAGGGGCCATTATAGTGAATTGAGAGAAATGAAGTGGTTATAACCCTCTATATCTCCTTGAAATCGAGCCGAAAAACCAATATTTTCCCGGACGAAAAAAAACGCTTATCAGAAAGATCGGCGATTAGATATCAGGGCGGTGTGCTTTTTTCTGCCACACCACACGTGACCCGTTTGCAGCGGGAGGAACGGGCGCCTCAGGCCCGCTTTCTGTCTCCATGCGACATCAGCTTTCACAAGGGAAACTAACCAGCGCTAGCGACTCTGTCCTTTCTACAGGAATCATCGTCTACGTGATGCGTGAATTTCTGCAGTTTTTCTTCTTGTGATTCGGCGCAACCTTCTTTGTATACTTAGACTACACCATCTTCATCGTCTGGAAAGGTTGTCCTGCTTATTCCTACCTAACCGCCCACGATTCCGTCGAACGAGGCCGGCAGTTCTCTCTTTTATGGCATTTTTGCCTCGAGTATCTTCACACTCCCTCAGAAGCCCTTTGACGGGATAATCCGGTCTCCAAGCCTTCCACTCTTGTTGCTCAGATCGGTCGACATGTCCTCCCGCAATGCGATCCCCGAGACCCCTCGTGTCATCTCGCCGTCCCCTGCGCCCGATAGCAGATCGAGCTCCCAAGACAATTATGCGGCTCCCATGACCCGCTCTGCGGCGCGGCGCCGACAACTAGGGAACGTATCGGAGGAGATCGCAGGTGAGTCGGGTACAGAGAGCAGGTCTTCGCGGCTACGATCGCGCAGCCCGGCCACTACTCCTTTAAGCCCGCGAAAGCGTCAGCGCCGGTCGAACCCCATGCAGCGTGTCAAGAGTCCCGGAGCGAAAACCAACGAGAAAGCGGATTCCAACGGCTTTTTATCCCCGCATTCTGCAAAGGCCGACGGCGCCTTGCCTGACATCTCCCGGTCTCCGTCCCCTCTGGGCCTGATCCCGCTCCACACTCGCTACCGTAACTTCATCCATCGCCACGAGATCCCGCGGAAAGCCCTCCACGTCTCGATCGGATTTGTTACCCTACACCTGTACAGCCGCGGGGTACAGGCATCGCAGATCACCCCGTGGCTGATGACCGCCCTGGTCCCGATCGCAGCAACAGATGTCATCCGCCACCGCTCGGAGAGGTTCAACAGATTCTACACCAAGGTCCTGGGGGCGCTCATGCGCGAGACGGAATACACAGGCTACAACGGCGTGATCTGGTACCTGACCGGCGCATACGCCGCCCTGCGCTTCTTCCCCAAGGACGTCGGCGTCATGAGCGTCCTCCTTCTCAGCTGGTGCGACACGGCGGCCTCCACCTTCGGCCGCCTCTACGGCCGCTACACGTTCAGCCTGCGAAAGGGGAAGAGCTTCGCGGGCACGTTCAGCGCCTGGGTCGTCGGCGTCGTCACCGCCGCTGCCTTCTGGGGCTACTTCGTTCCTTACTACGGGGCCTTCCCGAATGACCCGGAGGGGTCGTTCATGTTCACGGGCCGTATCAATCTCCTCCCTGATTGCGTTAAGGGTCTCCTCGGCTGGGAGACTGGTACGTCCACGGGCCAGGTCACCGGTCCGTTGGCGCTCGGCGTCATGAGTGTTGTTTCCGGCTTGGTGGCCGCTGGCAGTGAATTCATTGATATCTTCGGCTGGGACGATAACTTCACGATCCCTGTTCTGAGTGGGATTGGACTGTGGGGTTTCTTGAAGGTTTTTGGGTGAGCCGTTGACTTAGTAGGGCAACTTGGATATACCTACTCTTGCTTTCTTTCTTGCATTCCTCCCCTCTCCCCTTTGTTTCTCTCCCCTTTGTTTCTCTCCCCTTTGTTTCTCTCCTCATCAGCACACCTCTTTTTGTATAGCATCATCCTTTATCGTCACTTGTCAGGAACACTTCAACCCCGCTGCCTATATTGACACTCCCTTCCTTCCCTACCCTACCCTACCTTTCAGCATTATTCAACCTTCTCCATCACTATGTCTATTATTACCATTCCTATACCACAATAACATCATCATTCCTCCTCTTCTCTCCCCTCCCCCCTCTCTCCCCTTACCTCCCTCCCTCCCTACGTTGTCTGGATCAAGGAAAGGCAACATTTCAACAAGTTACCACCATAGACAGCTTGCTTACTTTCCTTTGTATTTTTCCTTCTTACTTCATTCATAGTTACATATATTAGAAAACTTAGAGATTTAATATTCTGTGTTTATATTGCGGGTGTGTGTGTGGCACTGTAATGTATTCCTATTATTATGTATGTGCTTAGTGCTCAAAACGCGTGCGTTGGGGTATATCCATCCCTCAATCTATGATAGGTAGGTAGGCAGTTATTCAATTAACGCCTCAATCCACTGTCCAGTTCAAACCAGGATGCAGTCAGAAAGGATATATAAAATGACTATGCTAACTTTCCAGCGTCAAAGCCCAATCTGTCAAATGCAAGGCAAAGTTTAGCGCAAGTCAATGACACTAACGCGTGAAATGCGCTTAACGCCACGAGAATCAATCTTCTGCTTTTGGGCGACGTTGTCGTCTGAGGCCAGCTCAGTTGGAGGGGTATCTTCTGTTGTCCAGTATCCGTTGCATATTATAACTGAATCGACGTGGGAGGGGACTTGAGATTTTTCAGGTTGGCGTGTTCCAGGATCTGGATTGATTGGTTTATCTTGTGCCTGGGTTGTTGGTTTGGGTTTGTTTCCCTTCTCCGATGGAGAGTCGACGTGGGATGGAATTTGGGGGTTCTCAGGAGGTTGGCGTTTTCCAGGGTCTTCTTGGCTGGTTGGTTTATCTTGGGCCTGGGTTGTTGGCTTGGGTTTGGTTCTTTTCTTCGGCGAAAAGTCGACGCTTTTTGCTCTCGTTTCCTTTTTACTTGGCTCTTTTTGCTCTGTTTCAGTTGTGGTCGCTTTGCAGAGCGGAGGATCATCCTCAGGTGATGTGAGCGAATTGGAATTCCCGCCCTTTGGAATGGAGGCCTCGCCTGGAAGCTTTGTGCACACTGGTTCCTTTGAAGAGGGTTTAGGACCCCGTGGAGCTCGAGGTGTTTCCTTAGGTGCTTGAGAGTTGTCGCATGTCTGTGATCCCAGAAATACCACCTCGTCCGGCTCTTGGGATGCATCCAAAGCTTCACTAGTCTTCGACATGTTCCGGCGCCTCGCCCGTTCCGAACGGCGGGAAAATGTAGTCTCTTCCGTGTTGGGTAGTGCGGCTGCATCCTTACGGTTGACTGTTGAACGGCTCCTCCGTTTCTCCTCTACACGCACAGCGGGCGAGGGACTTTTCAACGAGAGGTTCACAGCATATTCATCAGCCTCCCCATCTTCAGCATTGCCTAGACTTTCTGCTCCACGCCTAGCTGAACCCCGAGAACGGGTGGCCTTTGACGGGGTGTTACATGCACGGGAAGAATCTCTGCATGACAACGTCAGACAATCGGCTAAATCACCGATATTCTGGAAGAGTGGACATGTACTGCTGGACATACGCGTCATGGCCCGATGAGGTTTGTGCACTCTCAGAGTTCGGCGGGCTATGCTTTGTCGAAGTTGCCGTTGACACCGCCTCCTCGAGCATCTTTGTCTGTTTGTGTTGCACGATTTCCGATCTCTCTTTTGTGAGGGTGCCGTATTTCAGAATACTCCCTCGCTTCATCCCCGCATCGATGGGTCCTTTCTTTTTAGGGCCTGTCTTCCGCGCTCTTGGCTTTTTAGGAGCGTTGGCCTTGTCGTACTGTTCCTTCTTCCATGTTTGCACCACCTCTGGGATCCCTATCGTAGCCAGTTCTTCAAAAACCCATATCTTTTCCGAGGCAAAAGGGTCGAAGCGCTTCGTCACCCGTTTCTTGACAGGAGACTGGATAACAGGCTCGCCGTCACCGTCAGCCTCTTCCTCTTCATCGCCCGAGATCGTCGTTTCCTGAGAAGGCATAGGAGGGTTTGGCTCCTCCGCAAGAAGATCCAGCCCTACAACGTCGATGGGGACATAATCCATCTGGAACTCTGTGAGCCCGTCGTTGCTGAAGCTCGTGCGACTCTTGTAAATCTTTTCCAGCATGGGAACGCTGCTGCCAGACAATCTGGCGGCGCCCGGCGAGAAAGCCGACGGCCCTTTCTGGAGGCGAAGCCTGTTCAAAACCAGCGGTTCTGCCAGTAGTCGAATCACTTTCCGTGCGCCAGAGCGATAATTCCATTCGAAGGTATCGGCGGTGAACATCCTCAGCTCTGCGGCGTCGATTTCCCGATCCCAAGAGTCCACTAGTTGACGCCGTAGGCCTTCTATGTTGTCTGCTGCCGAGACCACAGGCTTTGCGTAGTACGACAGAATCTGTCTGTCCGGGAACGTTTCTGGAATCCGAACGGCCTTGTGCTTGGTCTGGAAGTAGCCACTCTCGTTCTCTTCGAGCTCATACTGAAGCCGTTCTCTCCATTCACCAAGCTTCGTATCGACCTGATCCCCACCTGAATTGAGAATCTCGAGGAGATCCTCGCCAAACCCGGCGTTCGCAATCTCCGCTGCAAGCTTGCTACCACACTTGGGCACCCCAGACGGGAGATAATCACCTCCGCTGAGCATCGCGAATAGGATCATTCCAGGGCTACCAAGCTTGACATTTGCAGGCGACGACGGGTCGCCACGACTATAGCAAGTCACATGCGTCGCAGCCCCGCTCCCACTCCCACTCTCCTTGGAGAAATTCATGATAGTCAAACTCGAGCCGAACATCAAGGCGTCGACGTCATTGGTCATCACCGCATCAACAACACCCACGCTTTGCAGACGGGCGCATTCAGCCTCCGCTTCCCCCGGTGCCTCATGGCGAGGAAATCTGAAAAGATCCACTAGGATCTTGGAGAGCCGGATAATCGGGGCACTCCCGTAACTCCGCCCAGAGACAGATTTGCCTCTTTTGAACGGGGGCTTGTCCTTCCCGTCATACACAAAGAGCGGGTGGATGGGAAGAGCCAGGAATTTGAGCAGCCTGTAAAACAGCGTCCGTAACTCTGGGTTCCGACCTCCCCGACCGGCTTGGACTTGGAAGAGCCATATTGAGATGTCCACGGCCACGCGAATTGGTCTGGCCGTTCGCTCAAAATGCGTGATAGCTAATTTAGATAGGGATATGCGCTCTCCCGAACCAATTGCATTGATAAGTCTGTTGGTTGGTTGTTAGCGGTTTTGTTGAATGCGGTGAAATTGGAAGATATATATAATGGCGAGTTTTCTCCTTTCGACGGAAATGTAACATCGCAGGAAGGAGAACATGGCTATACACCTACCCGGGGATTCCCATCTGGAAAGATTTCAACAGTCCTACGCTAAAAACATCAATGTGCCCCGCACCTGCGGCGGGAATGGTAGATATCCTCTTAGGGGATGAGATGAGATGGTTGTTTACATGAGTGTTGTTGTGGTGGTGGCCGTGGAGAACCAAGGTGCAACGGCCCGATGTAGATCCGCCCTTAGCCCAGTGCCGGTTTCCTGTTTGGGAGCTTGTACTTGACTTCAGCTTGTAGAACAACAATGAAAGATATACAATAATAAAGATATTACTTTGGATTCTAGGTAGGTAGTTTACCTTCCCGTGGGAGAGTAGCACGGATTACGTGAATACGACGATGTTGATGTACCTTAAGCCAAGACGTTGGCTACTACATTATCAGGGGATAAAAGGGAAGAAACCAAATGAGAGTGGCATTAGTACTAATTATGTACCTGGACTGTGGACATGCAGGAACAGCTGACATGTCGAAAGTAATTAAATCCAATCAATAGATTGGTCGATCATCGCGGAATCTTTCAAAAGCCTAAACGGTACCAAACTTGTAGGTAGCCCAATTAATAGCCGGGGCGCCCGCAGGGGAATAGATCTGGTCGGACAGCTGGCCCCATTCGGGGTTGTTGATCCCGTCAATCCATCCCTCCGGCTCAATGACGACACAGCCGAACTTGTTGACCGCCGTGGCGCCATCGATCCCTTCCTCCTTATTGCGCTTGGCCTGGGACGGTTTGATCGCGATGTTGCCTTTCTGTCCCACGCAGGAGTAGATCTGGACTGCCTGCTGGTTGGTGGCCACCTCCAGGCTGATGCCGGTGGTGCTGGAGTTCATGAAGAGAACGGGGACCAACGAAGTGGGACCCGCCTGCTGGGGAGGCCGATCCACGATCCAGCAGTTGTCGTAGCCCGTGCAGTCGGTGCCGCACAGCCCGACAGCTTTTTCGACGTCTTGGCCGACCAACTTCCCGGTGGTAAAGTCCGCGGCACCGTCGTAGGAATCAACTCCCAGAAGCGTGCCATTGGGGATCAGGATGCCGTCTGTGGCGACAAGGCGCGTCGAGAGAGGCATCTGGAGGAAGGTGTCTTCCAGGACATTCTTCTCTTTGAATCCGTTGAGGTTCCAGTAGATGTGGTTGGACATCATGATGGGCGTGGACTCGGTCAAGGCCACGGAGATCAGCTTGGTGGTCAACTGGGGGAGACCGTCCGGGTTGTCCGGGGTGACCGCGGTGTCCACACTGTACACGGCGTGGGTGATCACATCGCCAGGGAAGTCCTGGAACCCCTGGTCGAGCAGGGTGAATGTCACCGAGGACTCCGATTGCGCGGTGACGGTCCAGTTGCGCTCATCGTAACCAATGTTACCCCCGTGCAGGGTATCAAGTCCGTCGTTTTCATTTTTGGGAACCTCGTACTCAGTGTCGCCGATAGTGAAAGTACCATTCTTGATGCGGTTGGCATACCGGCCGACTACAGCACCGAAGTAAGTGTGGTCCCCGTTGGTATCCTTGACGTAGTCTTCGGGATCATCATAGCCGAGAGCGACGTCCTGTTCCTTGCCATTGCGATCGGGCACGAGCACCGAGGTCAGACGGGCACCGTAGGGGATGAACTTGGCGGTGATATTCTCGGCCTTGATGGTGTACACCTTGAAGGGATCCACCGCCGACGAGTCGGTCGGCGCGGTGGAGGGCTGAGCCAGCGCCGGCAAGCCATACAGGGCTGCGGACAGATAGGATTTGAGATGCATCCTAGCACCCAAGAGAGAGATGACAGAGAGAAAAAGGAGACAGTAGATGGCCAAAACCCGGGGAGTGATGCGACGAGGGCAGACCAGATAGCGGAAGCAACCAAGATACTGGGGGGATCCCTGATTGAGTGTGGAGGAGCGGCCCATTCTATTTATTTATATAGTGTTTGGAGTAGGCTGGCACGGCCTACTACCTCATCATTTGCACCTGACCTCAAAGTGGGGAAACGGGTACAGGAACAAATGAATGGGACCTAAGGATTCCAGATCACTTTTGCTGGAAACCCAGTTGATTTGTCCCGAATTGTTGGTTGCAGTGATAAATTATCCGAAAAAGACGCAATCAAACTAAGAATGAACTTAAGGCGGGAAATCTGTTGGTACTGGCAGGGATGCCTTGGGTGTCTGTGTCACTGGCTCACCCCGAGTGTCGATTGGCTGGTACAGACGGGATAGATGAATAGACCCAAACGATTAATGAACTAGTAGACAAAGTTGGATTGATGGTGAATCCAACACTAGATCATCTGATTCACTATGAATGTGCAAAGGTAGTAGCCAGTGACTCGAGAGAATGATACCTTATGATGCTTTAACGTCAGTCCAAGAGGTGCACTAACCGTGAAGCCAGTGAAGCCACCAGAGAGTAAGAAATAAGAGGCGGCCACTAGACCACCCACTAGACCACAACGGGGCAATTCCAGCGGGGGATCCGGCTAGGCAAAGGACGGCGCACTGCGGGGAAATGTCAAGGCTGGTAATCTCCTCTTCTAGTGGCTCCAGAGTCTTTGGCTTGGAGTTTTCCCGTCCATTGCTTGGGGATTCTTGAGGAGGACAAACCACCATGGAAATGACAAAGGAGAGGGAAGAATGCCGTGGGAATCCATGTTACGGTAGTAGACGGAGCTGCACAATGCCGGAGTTGGCCTGATCCCGGCCTGATCTCGGCCTGAGATTTCGGCCTGAGGTCTCTGTGTCTTCGGTCGGGAACAATGAATCTCCGATCTTGATGACATAATCACACCATCGCGATCGCTGGAGCTGCTCGATTGGGAGGCTTGTTTATCATTCCACCTGTAGCTCTCATTGACTCGGTTTTTCCGCCATGTGGCCGCTGTCGTTCGCTTTCCGGAAGCTTTGTTCTGCTTGGATTTAGATATTACTTTTGGTAGACGCGTCCGATCGAATAACTACATGGTTCAACTGTCCTTCTCCGACTTCCCTTGATGAGACGCGCCTGGAGTCCAGCTCCCTCACTCCCCCCGCCGCCCATACCTCATGCATTCGATGATGTCTTCACGCAGCCGGACCTCCTCGCCGGACATTCTTGGTCCCCCCGGCGACCCGGAGTATCTGCTCTCGTCACCTATGAGGGCCTCTCCACGTCCGAAAAGCGTCATGTCACCCCCGAACTTCAAATTCCTCCAGACCCCACACACCGCCACCAAGGGTAATCGGCGCATCAGTCTCAGCCCGGCAAAAAGCGCCCATTCGATTCGATTCGACGATGTTTTCCTTCCTGCCTCTCCCGCAATGAACGCGAACCTTAATGGTCGGCAGAGAGCCCTGTCGCCCGACAAGGGTCCGCTCGATGGAAATGGGACACCATGGAGGCTCCGGGTGACGCTCGAAGCGACGCAGGACGAAGATCAAGAGCAGGGTAGCCCTGCACGGAAACGGCTCCGCCCATCGACGACTATGACAACGAAAGTGCCGCTCAAGGATGATTCGGAACAAACACCCCGACGACGCCGAGGCCGCCCGCGGAAGTCCGACATGCAACTACATGCGACACCGACACCTGCGCCGATTGCTGGTAGCCCGGGCAATACCCCGGGTCCAGGTCACACCCCCGGTCCAGGCCATACCCCCGGTCCAGGGGCGTCAGGTTCGCAGAAGAGGAAGCGCGGTCGGCCCAAGAAGCAAGCGCCAGACTCGGATGTGATCGAAGCAACCGGGCAGGCAAACGAGCTGGCAGATAATTACGCGCGGTCGATTGTGCACCCGGAACCCATATCCGAACCTAGATGGAGTCCTTTGAATTTCGGTGCGGATGCAGATGGGGATGATGATTCAGACGATGGAGGTCTTCCGACCGGCCTGGAAATGCCTGACTCCTTTGGAGCGAATTATCCAGAGGAAGAGCATGAGGCAGTTTCCCGGGACCGGAGCTCTCCTAGGGTGACGTTTGAGCAGTCGTTCAATACACCGAATGTCGATCACATAGACCAGGGGTATATGCACAACGATGGAAACCTCAACTCTACGCCGTCAAAAATGCCTTCCCCGTCTCGTGAATCTCACCGTGCCTCCGAAAACACATTCGATGCCGGCCACACACCGGGGCCACCGCGCCTCTACCCAGTATTGTCCTCTTCGCCATCTGCCGACGAAGAGAGACGAGAGTCACCGGAGACGGCCGTTGAAAACGCGAAAGAGAGCGAGCACAACACCTCCCCCGGCGAAGCCCACACAAATAACTCAACCGACAAAACCGACCCAACAGACGAGCACCGAGACTTTGACTCGATCATCGAAAGTGAAGGCTTTAGTATGGTTTCGCTAGATACATTGCCATCGGCCAAGAACCATATCAGTGCCGAATCGAAAATGCTCAAAGGGGCCCTCAAACCCTTTTTTGAGCGAGAATCCAATGGAGTTTTGCGCCGGAAATCAGCAGAAACGACAAAGGAGACAAACGCGGATGCTTTTGCTACAAACATGCAGCACGACGTAAGGCCAATGGACGAGCAACCAGCCTATCCTTCGTTACCGACTACCGAAAATGACATTTCGCCCGACCCCCAAAGCCCAGAAGGTGCCCTGGAATACCCAGCCTCTTCTCCCGCAAGGGATTCTCCAGTTCAGCCGTCATATACTCTGAAGGAACGGCGACCACTTGTCAGGTTAGCTAGGATGATCCGTGCAGGCATTGCGCTTGGGAATACTCTTCGGCATCCCCACGGAAGGAAGAGCTCTCGAAAGGCGAGGATGTCTCTACGAGACCAAGATCTGGAGCTGGAGGCATCCAGAAGACGCTTAGAACTTGTTTTCAGCGACCTTCATCCTGATTCACAAGAAGAGCTGCAGGCCGGCTTGAACTTTGGACAGGAGCTGGTCAAGTTACGGAGACGAGTTGAATCAGCGACAGATGCACGACTCAATACAGCAAAATCCAGGAAAAGCAAGTCGACGGAGAAAGCCATGTCGCATAATTCGGGAACGACACCTCAGCGAGCGGACGCGGCTTACGAATACCACAACTCCCCAAGCCCCGAAATGAAACGGCGGATGGCAGAGTGGCAACGGGAGAGGGAGGCTATCAGCAGGGAGATTGAGTTGGCTAACTCGAGCCAAGTCATTGTTCTTGATAGCGACTATCCTGCTCCAACAAGCCCGAATGGTGACGTGGAGGATGCCTATACATCGTGGAATGACCAAGAACAGGAGTACGATGTGGAAAAGACGCCTCGATCAGATGCTGTCCCAGAAATGCGACAACAGCCTGATTTTCAGGATGATTACGAGGATGATGCGGAATTGCGACAACAGCCCGATTTTCAGGATGATTATGAGGATGATGCGGAATCGCGACAACAGCTCGATTTCCAGGATGATTACGAAGAGGATGATGATGGCTCTGAAGACATCTGGCAGCAAGAAGCCCAGGACCATAGCATGGAGGCTGGCCGCTCCTCTCCTATGCCCGACGATGCCGCCAACGACATGCGTCCCGAACCCGAGTCGAGCCCCCAGCGGGCTGGATCCACTGCTGACAGCCCTGCGATGTTTTCGCGCTCCCACTGGGCCCACGAGCGAGAAAAGCTCCCAAACCTGGGTCCGTCCCGGGTGCGACAGCTGCGAGAGCAAGAGGTCGACGTCTCCGCTTTGCTCCGTGTAGAGAACACGCCCAACCGGTCCCGATATTATTACGGGAAAAGCAGTCCCGTTACCTCTACACGCGGGCCATCTTCCGCCCAGTCTCGCAACACAGCAACGCCTCATTGGGCCCGAGACGAAGTGGACGACTATCTGCCTGAGCAAAACCAGTCCGACGGATACTTCGTGTCTAGCCCGCATAGAAGCTCGGACGACGAGGCGTTTCAGATCGACCCGACTACCCGACACGAGCAAAGCCTACAGTACGCCAATCTGCAAGGCGACGAAGACGGAAACAGCAGTATTTCAGGTGCCGCGGTATCCGAGGGACGATCGCCCCACGAGACGTCCAACGTGCATTCTACGCCATCGCGTCCAATCGAACGCGATAACCAGGCATCTACATGGTTCCAAAAGATCAGTAGTCTCACACCAGGATGGTTGAAAGCTCCTGTGCGGAAATCATTTGCACATCCCGAGTCTCCTCTCGCTAGAGAAGTCCCTATTGAAGAGGAAGAGGAAGAGGATGAGGTGTCTGAAGCTAATCCACCTTCTCACGACGAGATAGATGATGAAGAGGTGGATGATGAAGAGGAGATAGAGCCAGTAGACACACCGAAACCCATTCCGCAAACCACACGATCACCCCCCTCGCGGCGAAGCCTTTCTCACAAGCGCTCCAGCCAGGTCATTGAAGAGCCACAACCTATCGCATCCAGAGAAACAACACTGAAACCCACCCGGCCAACCACACGATCGCCCCCCTCGCGGCAAAGCCTATCCCGAAGACGCTCTAGCCAGGTCATCGAAGAGCCACAACCCGTCACAACCAAAGAAATAAGCGGCGAAGCCTACGAACGGCAGCTTCCACTATCCGTCTCGGGCTACTTCTCCAACGACCACTACAATTTCCTTCGGCGCCTCTACCGCCTAGCAAAACAGCACCCAGAGCGATTCCCTTACTTCTCCGCGCCCGGACGCCCGGACATCATAGGCGACTGGATCTGGACGTCGAGCGGGGCGCACGGAGTGCCCGTCACGGAGCGCCAGTTTGCTGTCATCGACCGGTTTGTGCAGGAGCTGGCCAAGGCTGACCTGCAGGCTGGGGGGACAGGTCAGATTGGGTGGAGCGAAGCTGAGTTGCATAGACGACTGATTAGTGTTATTATTGGGGAACAAATTAGGGGAGATACCACGATTGGTATTTAGAGTTTGGGATTTTGTTTTTGAGCGTGCATATCACTGGTTCATGGGAGTTGAACTTGACTTAACTTGGCTTGTTGTATGTACCTACATGTTTTGCCTTACATTTTGCTAGCTGGATAAGGGAGCGAGTGATATTAGCATAGTAATAGCCCTGGTGGCCTATTGAATTTTCCAAGATATCCATCCAATCCAATTTGTTCAATAAACTTTAAACGCTCTCTTTCTCAATAGGATACTGAAGGAATCAGACGACTGACAGATTCGACTAGTGTGAAGGATGATAATGATATACTAACTCAAGCAGGAGTCTTTCCATAGTTAAGATGAATTTCGTTTTCAAAGTCACAATCACAGTATAGAGTGAATCAGGAGAGTTACAAGCGAAACGCAGGTGTGGCACTACAGTCCCATGATATAAACAGCTTTATCATGAACAAGTCTTGTTCCCATTCATTCTCCTCCATCTCACCACTCTTGCCTCTGGCATACTTGCATTCTCACAGTAAGACAAATGATGACACGACAGCTACTGCACCAAAATATCAAATCGGCATTTGATCGGGCTTGATATTCCAGCATAATATCATAGCGAATGGGTGTCTCCATGCGGAGAACTGATAGTAGTGATGGACACTTCATATCCAAATCCACCGGTGGTAGGTGCAAATTCTATAGAGTACTTTATTTGATACTGTTTGCTAGCACAATCGTCTAGGTACTGTCAGTGTCTTTTCTTTAAGAAAGACACTGGTAGATAAACCAGATTTATCATGATACTCTACAATCGGCGCTCGAAGTTATCAGAAATTTCCAGCCATATCAGCTAGCCCAACCACTGGAAGGACAGTACCAAAATGAGATTTATCACTGCCTGTTTTCTTTACTGGACAGTCATGTTCTCATGTCTCCTGAATTCGTGATCCAGACGGATATCAAAGATGGAAAAATTGGCTTGTTCCTCACACCGAAGAAATGGGGAGTAGAGCTCTTCAGAGACAATGAGTGGCCTCGGAACATACGTGTATCAGAACAGATACTAACCGAATGGTCAATATTTCGCCAAGATCGGACTGGAAGGAAAGATGGACCATTGCAATATATTGTTCCAAACACCAGCGATAAACTGCCACTATCCAGGTAGTTCATGTCACCACAGAAGGCGAAACACGATGTACAGCGCGTGGAGCGAGAAATATCCTGAGATCCGGAGACAGTGACGATGTTAAGCGTGGCGTTGATGATTGGGATTGTTTTTTGATGAGATCCCATCAGCAGCTAGATTATTTCACAGATGGAACTTTTCTTGGGTTTCCTGTCTCCTTGGGACTTTTCTTTTCTTTTCTTTTTCTTCCAAGTTTTTCTTCGGATTTCGCGGGTGGGCGAACCAATGATGGTCACAGATCTCTTCCTCTGTATATGACATGCTCTACCGATTCATGTACAATTCCCTCTTCGTGTCTCTCATGTGAATACCTTCAAACCTCATTGGATGCGCAGGTGTTAGACCAGGATTATTCCTGTTTACTCTCTTCGAATCCGAGATGTAATACATGCATTGATTGGCTGGTAGTATTGAAAGTTCAGGTTCCGGCGCTTGGCCTGTCAATGCTGAATGTCACGAGTCCAATTACTACTTTCGAATCCTTGGCTTGATTACTGTTTTGGACTTGGGGTAGGGAAATCCATTTTGCCACCATAATATCTACCTAGACAGATGCGTCGGGTGCATGTTTCTTCCTTGGTCTTTTATCCGAGCCCAGCACAGTTGGACGTATGTACATGGATGAACCCTATGGGAATAGCCACACAAAACACTACGACCATGCGAACACGGTTTGCCACATCATTCCATGTCCGTCTATACATCTCGGCGTGAGACAGTAAGATCGATTGATCAATCATCCACCGGCCACGTTTCCGCTTGCCATCGGGACTGTATGCAGTACGGGCCTGACTTTCCCGAAACTAGGGTTCCACGTAGTGAACGGACCCAGGATAGATGGATAGATCAGATCAGACTAGCAACTCTAGTGACTGCGTCAACGACGGGGAGGAGTTGTTTCGACTAAACCTCGCTCACCGCGGCAGTTTGGGCTGGCCATGTAGGGAGAGCGTCTACAGAGGGTGGGTCCTTTCGAGGAGAAGGAAGAAAGGGAGGGCCACCAGCCAAGCAGAAAAAGAGACGCCGGAAGCGCTTCCATGTCGGAATGTCTGACGATGATGTGTGAGTGGGCCATCTGTGGGTTTATTGGCTTGTAGGGGACCCGACGTGAAGTCGGGCTCTAGCTGAGAGTAATGTGGCCTCGATGCCAGGGCGGCGGAATGACATCCTCGTACATGGATGGCTTCCAGACCGGTCTGGTTGGATTTCTTTTTACTTTCCCTTTTTCCCTTTTGTCTTTAGCTTCTTATTTTTGCTTTTTCCTGTTTGGGTGGTCTGGGGGGGGGGGGGTAGTCCTCTTCCCCGGGGGATATAAAGTTTCGTGGAGCCCACGATGGCGGCAGGACCCTGGTGATCAGACTAGACGTTATCACTGAGTCTGGAGAACAAAGCAACAAGGTACTCACGCGGTTGTCGTCAGTTTACAGGAAAGTCAACCGAACTGGGAATTGATAATCTCCAAAAAGGGGGCAGAGAAAAAGAAAAGAAAAGGATTGAGCCCAAGCGTTGTGAGGGGCCAAAAAGAGAGAACCGAAGACAAAACCAGACAAAAGAACGAACAGAGTGACTTCCACTCACTCATACACCGCTACCTCAATACACATTGCTATCATCCCTAAAAAGCACACACCTCATCCCTCAACACAATGGGCGTCACCGGCACAGTCAAGTACATTTTCCACCTCCCGACTCGCACCAAACACCTCGCCCGCTCACCGTCCTCCTCCTCCACGCCCCGGAAAGAAAAAGCCACCGAATACATCAAAAGTTCCTCGATCCAAGTGACGTTGAAGAGTCCCAGCGATGTTGACCATCCCCGGACTCGCCACGGAGCGGTGAGCTTCCAGGAGCTGCAGCCTCCTCCCCACAGCCGCCACTACCGCCAGACTAGCTGCAACCCGAGCAGTAGCGGCACTAGTGGCCGGGGCAGCAGTAGCAGCAAGGGCAAGGTGGCGATGACGACAGCGGCCAAGAAAGGACGCCCTGCAGCGGTGCGGGCTGTGGGTTGGGCGAATATCGTTGGTGATAGGCCGCGCTGGACGGAGGAGCAGGAGCGCGAGTTGGAAATTGCGGAGGTTGAACTGCGGAGATGTCAGAAGGCGTGGAGTTCCGAACAGGAGGTTTGGTTGGCTCGTGTATGTCCCCTCACATCCCCTTTCTTACTCCTTATTCTTCTCTCCCTATTCCTTCCTTTCTTTTTGTTCCAGTCACAGACTCCTTAATTCGTGGTCCTTGAATATCCGAAATCCTAATCTCTTCGAACAGATTGAAGCCCTGAATGAGGAAAAAGAAGCCCACGAGGAATTCCTCCACAATCGCGCCAGACAATCAGATGACGAGCAGCAAATTTTCCGCAAGGTATGGAGTCAGCGCAAGTCATGCGACGACCCGCTGCAACGACAACCGTCGCAGCGGTTTCGTCGGCTCCGACGCTCGCAGGATGGAGACGACGAGGAGGAGGATCCCATGGCGCTGGCGAAATGGGGTGGGGCTGGTGGATTGCGGCGGTTCAGGAGGACGTGGTAATGGCTTCATAATGACAATCTGCTATATAATTCGAAGATCATTCAATACAATAGTTTATGATATATGATACCATATGAGTTGACGTCCTTAGGGCTGGCACTATTGTAGTCCACTGGTCAGCCTTGTCTCGATTCAAAAAGCTGGCCTATATACAAGAAATGTTGGTAGTAGCGTACATTACCTCCTTTCTTGTCTTCCCCCTCCATGAGGTTTTAGGGCAATATATACTGTGCGTATGGAATTTACAACTAGTGAATGATGTTCCTGCCTGTCCGTATCGGAAGAAGCAGATTGTATAGTTCGTAGAATAGTACTCCGTACAATCGACTATTTACCTTGTCTGTCGACAAACTATCGACTCCTCTCCACTCCCTAGTGAGCCGTAGGTACTTTCGACGTCACGAAACATGTATTACTTAGATTAATTGTATGGACCAGTCTACTGCCTACTACTCCAGAAGTAATCTTCTTGCGATCTCAACCTGCAAGTAATGGACCTGTTTTGGGTGATCTGTCCACTCTCTTATCAGTTGTCTATCCCGGCCACTCCCAGACAGAAACCAAGTATATATGAATGAACCTTTCTTCCTGAAGAATGTAACCACGGGAGATGTGTTCTCATTCTCCAGGATACTCCATTAAACCCGACGGAATGCCCCGGAGGAAGGACGGAGAGTGCCGAGGCTTGCGATAACAGCCTCGCAACGGCAGCGAAAAGAGATGGAAACCCGTCCGAATTGACAGCGGATATCTCGTCTACCGCTTTGACCTATACCTATCTATTTCTGTAGATCCATGCGATATTCTATGGGCCCATGCACTACACGCCAAGCACCTTATCTCGGGCCCAATTTGACTAAAGCCCCCGTTTCCCCTCATGTCACTGATAAGCCGACCAGGGTCCCATGACGGCCGTTTGCCCTAAGAGAAGTCAAACTCGCCTGTGCTGTGCTGTATTTGGCTGTTGGACTTTTGCTTCCCCGGCCAGATCGACGCCACTTGCACTGCTTCTCGTCCACTCATGTTGGCCGACGGATCCCCGGCTCGGCTGGAAGGCACATTTTGAGCATTGGGTTTTGTTACTGATCACAAAAGGTGGAGACTGGTCAACCGTTGGGCTTTTGCCTCATTGTTGTGGGATGCGCTAAACCCGCCATTAGATGACAATGGCCAAACAAAAGCAACTTTTGAAACGTCATATAATACCCCTACTCGGTTCTTGAATCAATGCTATATGAGTTCGTCCTTCGCCGATCCAGCGGTCGTGTCGCGTTCGCCGCAGGAAGGATGGAACCATTCCTCCCGAGCCTCAGGATTTAACATTGGCACCGCAGGTGTCCCGATCGCCATTGGTTGCATCATGGATTGTGCCTGTCTGATATAGATATTCTCAGGGTTTGGGTTTGAGCCTAGGGATCCCATGGTTACCTTGAACAGTTCGTTAACAATAGCCAATCATCCCGGACAATCGTAGTTGATAATGATACCTTGGCCGTTCGTTAAGTTCATGGGATCCTCCACTATTGATTATCACGTTGCTTTTGCCGTGAAGATCCCCTTTGGGACGCTTGATAAGCCTCGTGTCGAGGCTGATAGTGATATGAGCCATCACTGCAACCTCCGTCATCCGCTCTCCCTCCGGTATCTTTTCCGGGATTGCAAGTGGAGCTGCTTCTGCCCCTTAGTTTCTGGTTGAGCACCTACAATAACATGCGGTCGCTAACCTAAAAGAAAGTGCAGTGTCCCGAGAATTTGGTCATTTATATTATATCTTCCCCAGACCAAGCTCCCTTCTGTCGGCCGGCCAGGAATGCGCCCACCATGTCTGTCATCACCTCCATCTGGTGGCCCGAAGACAGAATCAAAGCAACCCTGTGTCCGGAATTCGTCTTCAGTAAACTTCCCAAGGAGATTCTTCCCCAGCTAGTCGGCCCCTTAGCATGGGGCGATGGGTTGACCAGCGAGACCTACCTCGAGTGGATCCTCACCAAGGCGGGTCGACTCTTCCTCACCCTGGTTGATATCGGCATTCCCGAGCGCATCTTCGCGCTGGTAGACGAGTCCCTCGATGACTCGGATCTTCCCATCGCCGCCCACAGCGTCGACCGACTCTCGCTCTCTCCATCCGGCGAGGACTCCCAGCTAGAAGCGAAGTTCTTCCTCGCGCAGTGGCGATTCGTCGTGCGCGGCATCCGGGAAGGCGAACACGTCAAATACACGGAGAACGAGGGCGTCCCCGTCGAGCTCCTGCGGACGGGGCCAACCCTCGCCCGCGAAGGCGTCGAGAAAGTTGTCCTCGCTGGCGCAGTTCCGCGAGTGTACTTGCGCACCCAGGTCACCGTGGGAGGCGCTCCGCATTTTTTCGACGAGGAGGAAGTGCTGGACGAGATCCGCTCCCTCAAGAGACTCTCCCACGAGCACATCTGCTCCATTTTCGGGTCTTACTTCGTCGACAACACCGTGTGCATCCTGTTCTCGGGGGCCTACGAACGCACCCTGATGTCGTTTCTCACCGACGCTCCGCAACCGTTCAAACGCCTGTCCAAACCCCACCGTCGAGCGGTCTTGCTCAACTGGCCCCATTGCCTCGCAAATGCCCTCGCCTGGCTGCACGCCCACGGCCAGGCCCACGGCTCCATCCGTCCATCAAATGTCTTCGTCGATGCCGATTCCAAGATCTTCCTGGGACAGTTCGAGGCCCTGGATACGCTGCTCTCCCCCATCAAAGTCGACGACGTGGAATCATACCAGTATGGCGCCCCTGAGCGCTGGGTGCGCTCCGCCAGTGTGCACGAGACCGGCCCACTGAAATCAGCCCTACCATCCGGAGGCCGCACCGCGCGGAGAAGTTCATCTGGGTCGACGAAATTAAACCTCAGCTTCACAAAACAACCCCATCAGGTAGAGCCCGACGCAGAGAGCGCACGGCCCGAGTCCACCGTCTCCCAAGGCACCGCCATCCGCATCGGATTCCCAAACTCCCCCTCTCGCCACTCCTTCACGCCGTCTTCATCATCATCCGGCTCAAGCGGGGGAAGCTCCCGCAAGAGCATCATCGCCCCATTCCGACGACCCACCATCTGCGCCCCGTCACAGCCCACCTCCCCCGGCTCCCCACGCCGGGCCTCATCAACAAGCCGAGCCAATCCAGTCGGCCTCCCCAGCACCCACTCCCAAACAGCAGTCGTCAACACCTGGCAATCGCACCAGACCCACCCCGCAGCGTCGGACATCTTCTCCCTAGGCGCTGTCTTCCTCGACATCTTCACCCATCTCTGCAAGCGCCGCATCTCCACCTTCGTCCACCACCGCGGTGCCAAAAACCGCACCGCCGGCCGCGGCGGCGGCGTCGCTGACTGCTCTTTTCACCTCGACCGTAACCTGGCCCAGGTCACCGCGTGGATAACCCTGCTCGACCACGACGCGACGAAAAAACAGAAAGACCCCATCTTCGCCGCCCTCCCGCCCATGCTAGAAATGGCGCGCAGCATGCTGAGCAAGGATCCCGCCACCCGCCCATCCGCCTCCCAGATCGAGCGCCACTTTGCTTGTGTCATCCAGCAACAGCAGCCCGATGCCACGATTCACTGTACCTCCGACCTGCGCGAGAACGGCCGCCCGCACTGGGCCGCTCGCCACAAACAAAAGACTGGACTCCCCCCGTCGTCCATCTCCACTTCCCGCCCGACGTCGCGGAACTCCGATAGTCCCATGACGCCGCCGCTGACTCCCGCCAGCGTCGTCACTTTATCTCCCGAGACGTCGCAGTTTCGTTTCACGCCGGAGGACTACGCGTATAGCAGTGGTGCGACGAGCGAGTATGCGAGTAGCACGGCGAGCGGTGTTTGGTAAGGATATAACCTGATGGCATGAGAGTTGTTCATAAACTCCTTTCTTGTTTTTTTTTTTTTTCCTTACTGTCTTTATGCTTGTTTCATCTCAAGTTAGCGTGGTTTCAAGATGTGTCTGTTACCCTACCCACTTTTTTCTCTGTTTGATACCCCGGTCATCCTTGTCTGTTCTCGACTTGTTAATCTCTTCTTATGTTCATTGATATGTGTGTTGGTTATGAAAATGGTACGACTTTCTGATGTTAGACGGAATGGATGGTATATCTTGTATAAATGATAGATGGACATGTTTATATTCATCAGCGCTGAGTATATAACTATGGATGACAGTGGCAAGATCACAGCTATGCGTGACCTCTTGTTTCAGAAACCGAGTATCCCTCTTGCGAGACTGGTTTTGGATATATCTACCTGAATTTATCTTCATTCATATCTAGATACCATGATGCCGAATGAATATTCTGATATACTCCCGCTGTCTGTTTTTACCACTCAACAAGCATGTGTAATTCCTTCTTTCATGGCTACGCGAAGGTGCTGGCTTGCTTTACCACGTTGTTCGCATGTCAGACTTGTTCGTCCACAGCATCTTCATGAGTATGAGATGTCAAGTCGGTAGGTAAGTACATTAGCAATCTGGACTGGTTACAAAAGCAAAAGAGACAACAGACAAGTCTGTCTTCTTTCCCGCCGGTTATTTCACCGACACCCAAACCACTCAACCCTTTGGCTTCCACGCATCTCGGCTAGCTGCTGCTGCTCTATAAACTGGGTGGGTAGGTAGGTATCTGGTACCGCGAAGCAAAACGAATCGGGGTCTCGAGTCTTCTTACTCTTGCCCATCGCTGGTTTTGCTCAAGTCCATCTATATGCACCCCCTATGGCCGTTTCATAATGTGCTTCACGAGTAGACAGATGAGCTAATCCTCCTTATCCTTTTGATACTGGGTACAATGCGTGCAAGTTGAGTTTTTGATAGTAAACGATCTCCTTACGATGCTGTAGTCGTGGTGGTGTAAGTTGATACGAATGGCAAATTGCATTCGCGGAATATAGTTTACCATTTTAAGAATTCAAGGCGTGTGGGCAGGGGTGGAAGAATCCGGCTACTTCGCGGTGATCCGGTTTCGGGGGTGGTAGTTCACCATCACCACACAGCACACACTATATGTGATCAAGGATACTTGTTGAAACCTAGAAACAATGTACCTAATGAAAATAATCCTACATTGAATTTGCTAGATAAAAACGACGGTAATACTAGGCCAATGTAGCTAACCAGCGGTCCTCGCATGGTTTCCCCAGTTTGCTTACAGACGCTTGCAACACCCACCCTGCTTCCTGGTTAAGGCTGCTTGCCCTGCTGAGCGCCTGGTAGTTTGAGGCTACCGCTTGGGAGTTTCAGAAAGGCTTCCATGTTCTCTATCACCAGCTTCATAGGGATCACGAGTCCAGCCCCAGTTGGATCTCCCCCAATAAGGATCCCAAGTACCTCTCCGTTTCCGTTGAGGCACCACGAGCCAGAATCACCCGTCGCTGCAAATACCCGGTCGGGGTAGGGTGCCACAATGAAGCAGCGATGATGGGGTCGTTGAGGGACCTCGGGGATACGGAATGAAGCCGGCGCTAGTCTGTCGAGTTCTCCGGTGGTCAAACCAGTACTGCGACCTCGCTTGAAAACGGCTTCGCCATTCAAACCTTGCTTGGCAACCGTCTGCACGACAAAGTCTTGGCAAGTCCAGTGCGACGTAGCCGGATTCATGTCTTGGGCGAGCTCCCCGGCGACGTTCCCGATGAAATTGACAGACTGGGGCCAGTGAGAGGGAGACATGTCCACAATCGCCCAATCCATGAGCATCTCTACAGGCGGCGCTGGCCGCGGCTGCGCTTGTAAGGGAACGTTCCTCCACCCAGAGGTCGCAGCCACATTACCCAAACTCACTTTGTACGACTCAACTTGTTCTAGCTTGGTCGCAGCTTCCTGGGTCTCCCTCTGGTGTGCAGCGATAATCGCCGCGGGAAGAGTGGAAGGCAGAGGAGACCGGGGAATTTGGCCTGAAAGCTGAGTTTTGATTGTTTGGACATCAACGGCGGAAGGGGATTGGCATTTCCACAGTAGATTTTTGCCGCCTGCGTCGTCGATATCTTTCGGCCCAAGAGTTAGCAATTCAGTCCTATAACAAGGTGCAACGACTTTGGGAGATTACTAACCGAGGTCCACTTGTTCATTCAAGCCTTTACGAAGAACGTGGTGGCATGTAATCCCAAGTGCATGACCGTCGTACTCCAAATAACCCCCAATGGTACCACTCCAGTCCGCCACTTCCTTTCGAGCCACACTCATTCCCATGTTATTATAGCCACGGTTGAAAGGCCACCCCAAAGTACCTGACTCGGTCGCGAGTCTCGGCACTGGCTGTGAGCCCGAGGTACCGAAAAGACCCCAGAGTCCGTGATCTCCAGTCAGTTCTAAGTGCAAGCCATACCCATGGAGGAATTCAGAGATAACTTGGGAAGCTTGGTTCATAGTGCTGGTAGACGCATTCCCTTTCTGAACTCGCGCAATGATGGTTGGAACAGAGATGTCTTCCCAGTAGCCCCGGTTCATAGGGAGGATAAGAACGTGAGGTAGTTGATGAGATTCCAACCGCTGGATGACGCCGGACAAAAGGAACTCCCAGTTTGCGATTGCTTGCTGAGGAAGTTTAGGCGGGAACGATTTGATTTCAGTTGCCCTGTTGTCAATAATCTCAATACGACCGAACCATCCCATGCCCAAAAGAACCTGTATCAGGGTGTCGAGCATACTCATCCATTGCGAGTGCCGGGCCGAGAGGTCGCCACGTATATTAAGAGTGAGGTCCTCACGCTTCGGCGGATCCCCTTCCGTGTGTACGCAAACCACTTGAATGAGCGAATAGGGGAGCTCCCGGGCATGCTGAGTTGCAATTTCGATCGCTGCATTTGCCAAGCGTTCCGGTATCTCAAACCCAGGATGACGGTTGTATACGAGCGGCCAGCCCGGGAGAGGCCCCGGTCCCCCCAATCGCCATCTGTCAGATGAATCAATCCTGGACGTGATGGAGCTTTCGCCGGACGAGCTTTGGCCTCGGCGGCTAAGAGAGCCCTGGCTTGGGCCGGAAGATTGGGAAGTGGAGGAGCCAGTAAAACCCGCGGGTGGATGGGGTGGGCTGTCTTTACCAGACATGATTCTATATAGGTCAGAATGGGGGAGGATCAAAGAAGGGGGTAATGTTCGTAAAGCAGACAATGCGAATAGATTCCGCAGGTGAGGGTAGCGTAGGGGAGGGGATTCCGGCGGCAGGAAACTTGGTTGATCTTGATATTCTCACTTACAAGTTACTTTGTCTTCTCGTGGTTGTCGGAGGAAGGTAACGAGGAGATGGAAATTGATGGAATGATCGAGTTTTGACTGTTTTGACGGATGGAAGAAGTTGGTGAAATACAGAGGAGTGGAAGGAGTTGGTAGAAATGAAGGAGAAGAGAGAGAAGAGAGAGGGAAAGTGGGAATACTTATAGGCAGGCAAGGCAGGTACTACTGGTGTTGTAGATTTGTTTGATCAAGTCATTGTCATGTAAACATGACCTACCTGCATCCCAATCACTTGTCCGCTTATGACTCAATTTGCCCGTAAATATTGGTAGCCTTGAACTCTGAACGACCCGAATTCCGAGCACCAGCAATCACAAGGAAAGTATCACCTCTCAAAGGAGGTGTCAGGTATGAGCTCCATTATCACAACGCTGAGGTGTCCATGTTGAAGCCAGCAGTGATTCCTCATGGTTTCAAAGTCACGGACCAAGCTTAGCTGGTGGAGTGATAAGTAGATGTCTCAAAATGGCAGTTATGTTCCTGAGGCCCACTATCAGTGATGATCCACTGATCTGTATACTCCACTCACTCAGATATCAGCTCGCTGTAGATTACGAATGAACGGATGATAGGTGGTTCTACATTGATCAGAAATATTGAGATATCTACCTACTAATTTATTATGGTAGAACCAAACCAACCAACATAGTCAGAGAGAAATAAACATAAAAACTGCTCCAAGCACAACACGTATCAGCAATACATTCATAGACTAACAATCGTGGTTCATTTCTTCTAGAGAGCAAAAAAATATAAAAATAAAACGGACATAAAGAGGTATACAAAAGCAGCAATCATCTACAGCCACAAAGCCAACCCTCCAACAGCCGAGCAAACCAACACCGCCAAGCTCATCGCCCCATCAAACGGCCGCGCAGCAAGGCTTCCAGCACCGTTGCTCAGCTCATAATCTGTCGATGAGGGATCGGACGACGAAGGTCCATGACTGGTGGAACCACCGTTACCATCACTACCGGAGGACGAGGACGAGGAGCTACCAGAGCTCTCACCATCTTTGCCACTCTCCTCCTTACCGTGACTGTGACCATGACCAGTCGGGAGATCCGTCTCCGCCGGACGATGGAACTCGTCACCCAGCGTAGGCAGCGGCTTGTCGGCGTCGACGAGCCAGCCGCCCGTGGGAGCCGGACAAGCTGGGGGCTTGATCTGGCCGGTGGTCTTCACGTAGTCATCGAAGGGGACGCCCTTAGGGCTAAGGGTCGCCCACTGGGCCTTGAGGTTATCAAAGTCCGGCTGGATAGGGGTAGGCTTGCCGCTGCGGACGAAGCCGTCCTGGACGTTCGTCTTGGTAGCGGGGGCGTTCGGCTCCTCAGGACCGTAGCTGATAAGCCCGTAGTCGTTCGTCTCCTGGATCCATTCGTAGACGATAGAGCCCGACCAGGTATCGACCATGGGGTCGGAGAAGATCGCGTGCTGGTCAGTGAAGAGGCGCGGGCGCGCGACGTTGCAGCCTGTTTCAGAGAAGAAGATCGGCACGGGGTAGTCCTTGGCTTGCGCTTGGAGGTTGACGTAGCCCGAGGTTTTGTAGTTCGCGTCGCCGCACCACTCGTAGGCGTTGAGCGCGAAGAAGTCGACCCGCTCCGCGGCGTCGTCGCGGCACGCAAGGTAGTTCTGGAGCATGGGGCGCAGCTCGGCGATGTCTGCTGCGGAGTAGCCGATTGGGATGTTGCGGTAGTGCTTCTTGTTGCGGTAGGATTTCATGTCGCGGACAGCGGCAAGGACGTACGGTGCTGCTGGGGAGCCCTCCTTTGTGGTGAGGATTTCGTTGCCGACGAAGAAGCCGGCGAGGTTGTCGTATTGGTGGAAGGCGTCCATGACAGCTTTGAAGGCGTTGGATTGCTCTTCTGTCCATTTGGGGGTGGTCTGTAATGTTCATGTTAATGATGAATTGGGGTAGGGAGGGTTGAAGGGGCTGACCTGGTCGATGGCGGTGTCGAATGTGTCCAGGTCCAGGAAGAGGTAAATGCCCTTGTCGGCGAAGGCCTTCATGCATCCGTCGTGGTTGGCCTTTGGATCCACGTGGTAGACGCGGATCGAGTTGGCGCCCAGCTCACCCATAAGAGCGGCATCGCGCTTGCACTGCGCGACATCGATCAGAGGGTCTTCGGGGATGAGCTGGTACGCGATGCCTTTCAAGAAGTACTGCGTTCCATCTTCGTAGAAGAACTTGGATCCGACAGCTGAGATGGTCTGCACGGCGTTGGCCGTTAGGGAGAAGCTCCCTAGCAAAAGGGAGATAGTCGACCAGGGGAGGGATGGCATGGTGATGGTTCGCGAGTCGAGGTCTGATGCAGTTACGCTAGATCAGAACGCAACTAGAAGAGAGCCGGTCGAATGTTCAAGGCTACGGCGAGAGAAGACGATGTGTGAGAAGACAATTCCATTGGAAACTACCAGCTCTTTAATACCCCAGATATCCCAGCAGATCACCTTCGCGAACACCCTTCTATCCCAGCCATACCAGATACTGTACTCTCCTTGGGAGCATGCATGCCAGTCTCGTCCCTGAAGGAGAATGACGTCGATAGCAATTCACACGCAGCGATTTACTCCCACACCACTGACTCCAGGGGCCCAGATATGTGGGTAGCTTGGGTACCTGTGTTTGATCGACTCCCAGTTACCTGGATATGCCGATGGGATGGAATGCAGTATGCACCGCAGGGGAAGCAGGGATACTTGGACGCGACCTATTCCGCGACCGCGGAGCGTGTTAGTTGGGAAACGATGAGATCAGGAATCCCCCGAGGACGTAAGGTTTGTATTTCCTGCTTCCACTGGAACTTCGGACATTTGCAACCCCAGATCCTGCCACTGTGTGGCTTGGGAGGCTTGCAATAGAGTATCTCCTTCCTCTGTCAACCACCGTTCGTGATATCACGTGAAGATGGTATTACTCAGCAAGGAGCTAACGGCGCTGGATAAAAACATTAGTAATAGTACCCCCTGATTCCTGAATTATGCGCGGATTCAACTCGGTTGCGGGAAGATCCAGCGGTTTTTGCCGACAGATCCAACTCCGTCCGGACGACCGACTGATCTCCTCTTCAATTTCGACCTGACACTTCCCAAACACGCCTTATCAAAGCTCTAACACCCTCCCAAATCAAGGTGGAGGAACTTTCCCCCCCGATAGGGCCTCGACACGTTTCGTCCCTACGGAAAGGGGCCCCCCTCATTGGACGAGAGGATGGAATAATCAGGGAAACGGAGAAGAATTTCTTCTTTCATGCGTCGACCCAACCTTGGCAGTGCGATCGAGACCCTGGCAGGCCCCACAATGTGATAATTGCGATCATCTTGTTGATGGTGTCATGGTATCATCTAAAAAACTCTGCAACTCCTGTTTGGGCTGGTGGTCCGGAGGGGTCCGAAGTGGGATTTAAGTTCGGATGACCTCCCACGGTTCTTTTCCCCCCCCTTGGACGAAAATATCTTGATTGTGACAATTGAACCAAGGGGGTGGAGTTTATTGAAAGAATCGAAAGGGGAGAAGAGACCCCCAAAGAGGGAGAGAGGGTGGAGGGGAGATTGGACTAATTAATTGGAGTGGAGATGGGGCGTCAGATAGACTGCGGACTAGACCTTCAGCCTAAGAAGCGTTAATATTAGAAAACGCACCAGTCAATCAGAAGGGAGAAACCAGTTTAATTATGAGGGAAGAGATTGCTTTGCTGGGAACTAAGATGAAATGATCGTCATGGGCTTGCGTGGATGACGGGGCCACACCGGACTTGGCCCCTGCCCGCATTCGATTACACCTTTGGCTGCGTTCATCGCCTCAGGCAGGTCGCTCGCCCACTCCCTTTATATAGTTATCTAATGATCCCCACCTCTCTCTCGCCTCCGATCTTCTTCCCCGTTGCGACTCCCTCCAGTCTCTCCATTAGAGCAGGACACTGGTCAGGTGTAGCTATCCTTCTTCTTGCGTTTTTTGTATTTTGAAGCTTCCCGGTTTTCTTGTCAGTATTTTCGCCATTGCCTGGACCATGCGATCCGTGGTTCGTCCACCCCCAATTGTCGCAGTATCTGGAAAGCTTCTCCGTCTGGCTCCGTACCGCAGGGGCTCTATTGGTTGGCATTAGTTGCCATTACCATCTTCGACGTCATCGTCCAAAATAGTTGGATTGTTATTCAAACCGACAGGTTCGCTGTCGGTCGCGATTATTCCCCCTGTCACGAATAGTTTCCCGACGACAGCCAACGGCTCGTATACATCCATGATGGCGAACACCACTATTACATCGCCGTTTCGCCTCTCGTACAGAGACACAGACAGGTTGGAGCGCAATGAGGCTTTCGCAGCGATGCGGGAGCACCTGAGGCGCCAGGAGTTGGGCATGCAAGCTCCCAGGTACGTGTGGCGAGATATACCGGTTTGGGTTCGATCATCGCTAACAGTCCATTGTCGCAGCTTTTGCTCGTTTCACCGCCAGTCTTGCTCGAACCATGCGCAAGAGACGTTCCGCTTGCATCGCGATATCATCCACACGCTGTTACTACCATTAGTCCTCCTGCACCACCAGGCGTCGCGGACGGCGGCCAGCGTGCTGCCGGATGACAAGGGTCTGGAATCGGAACGGGCGTTTCGAGGAGAGGCCCGCAGCGCCTATGCGTGGCTGCATTGCGTGCTCACCGAAGAGCACGATTCGTATCTGACCGAACGGTGTCCCGCCTGCATTGTGCTGCACGTGCTGAATTCCGAACCGACTATCCGTTTCGTTGCAGTAGCGTGTCTACTAGCCGACCACTTGCAGGGACTCGACATGCTCAACTCGAAGCGACGGCTGCCGAGCTTCGACTTTTGGTTCGAGGCGCTGGAAACGGCGGTCCGCGAGGATCCGTTCTGGGGTGACGACTTCTGGCCCGATATCGAGTACCGCGCCTGCACGCTGACCGATGGTGTCAAGCAACTGGTGTTACAGTGTCTGGAGCTCCGGGCGGTTCTAGACCGGCAGACTCTCCAGTCGCAGGCGTCGTACAAGGCCAACTCGCACTTGCGACGTGACACATCACGCCAGCAGGCCCACCCAATAGCGGTGAAGACCTCCCGGATGACGGGCGAGGAGCAGAAGTGGTTGGGCAAGGCCGCGGCAAGTCGGTGCTTGCAGTCGTATCGGAACGATCGTACTCAACGATTCCACACCCGCCGGCACGGCGACCCCCGCAGCAGATCGGTGACCTCGTGAATCAGTGTGTAGTTTGCGTTTCAACGTAAACCAGATTGTATTGTTCCACGGTCGCGATCGCTAAATGTTTGGACTCGTTTCGCATGTCAGCATTTCGCATGCCCACGAAACTCGAGGGAGGAAAGATGACTCGTTCGGTGTAAAGATACCGATCGGAGAACCCGATGTCAGATCGGGCGCTATTCCTCAAACATGACAGAGCCTCGGCTGTCCACACCAGACAGGACACCATATGACCGTCTGTCCTTGGCGTGACTCATGTCCAATATGTTGCCATCAAGACCGGCAGCAATTTTTTCCCTCGAACAATCCTCCTTGTGACATCACCTGGATACCTACCTCGAGGTCGAGACTATCACGAACCACATGGAATCCACAACTACTTCCCCTCAAGGTTGCATGACGACGACGACGACGACTCCCTCGTCCAAACAATGCTACGCAACCCCCTCTCCATTCGAGGAAAAGATTGGCTACTACCGAGCCGTCCGACATGGCCTCCAAATCTTCGTATCGGGGACCACCGCCGTCGACCCCACGTCCAGCCACGCAGCCCCGCAGGTACTTTACCCAGGTGATGCAGGCCAGCAAGCTCGCGTGGCACTCGACGAGTGCATCCGAGCCGTGCAAGCACTAGGCGGACAGGGAGCGGAGAGCGTGGTGCGGGTGAGGATGTTTGTCAGTCACCCTGACGACTGCATGGCGGTCGGGGAAGCCTTCTCGGAACTGCTGGGCCGTGCCAGCCGGCCAGGGATAGGCGCGGCTGCCACGATGTTGGTGGTGCGGGACGGATTCGTGGACGACCGTATGTTAGTAGAGATTGAAATGGATGCGGTGGTTGAAGCAGGCTAGCTAGTGCTTGTGCGACCCCGTGTGCGTGTGTGTGTGTCCTCAGGATGCATTAGTGTCTTTTTTTTTGGTGGGCCGTCTGTCTTTTGGTCGGGAGATGGGAATGGCCACGAATCATGGCATGCATTCAAGTATTAATACTACCACGAATGAAAGTACTAAAATCGACTTGATCTCCATCCGAATCACCAAACCATTTGTAGAACGGCGATCCCAGCGCCAGATCTGTCCAGAACTATGGTCGCATCAGCGCTATACTATCTATACCTTAGTCCTCGTAGCATTGAGATTGCCCGTCCTGAGGCAAATAATCAACAATAAATAAATAAACAAACAAAACAAAATAAACTAAAAATAAATGAATTCCAACCGAATCCAGTACACATACACAGAGTGATAAGTAACCACCTGAAACGCTCAACACGACCAACCAGTGGCCAATTCTTCCGATCCCATCCCATCATCGGAGGACGAGGGCAACGGCAACGGACTGCTCCCTTGTCTACATGAGACAAACAGCAGTGGAGACACGGGACGTGGGCCATTCATCAATCACAACCCATGTTGGAATATTATTGGTGGGATGGAAGCCAGTGATTCCCAAGAGATTGAAATAGGTACTATGCAGGAAACATGGGCGGTATTACATTGAGTTTGTGACTGGATTTATTCCAGTCATTCTCGCCGTGGTTATTGATTGTTAGTGTTGTGTTATTGTTATTGTTATTGTGGTAGTGTTGTTATTGACCTAGTTAATCTTTATCAGACTCAAACTAGGCATTCTACTACCTAAGGTGTCTAGTAGACCTGTCTAGTACTACTTAATCCAACTTATTAATGCTGATTGTGTTGACGTTGCCTATACTAATTAATACCTATATATCCATACAATATATAAATATATAGATCAATATATATATATAAAGTCTCCAACGACCCCAACCCCATCGGCACACCTACTAAATTAACTAACAAATATCCCATCCACAAAGCAGACCAGCAAGGGAGATGGAGATGGTGGGTTGTCAAGTGAGACACGGGCTTCCGTGGATTGCCCTGTTTGAGATCCCGGTCTAAGGATGGCTTTTCAGGCTGTCAGGCTGTCAGGCTGCCTGCTCCTCTGGGTAACGCACAACTCTCCGAGCCGAGGTATTTTTTTTATTCTTGATTATTTTGTCTTTTCTGGCTTTCTACCGTGGAAGGGGATGGTTGGGATTTCTGTTTGTTCAGTAATGATTACTTGCATTCTTTCTTTCTGTGGTTTGGTTTGGTTTCTACTGTGGTGTACTGGTTTGGTGGATGTGTTTATTGTTATTAGACTCGCTGGCGTTTATAGAGCAACCTACCCTACTATTCCGTACACTCCTACTACAATAGGTACATACCTATATACAACAAAACCAGCCAATATCAGGGTTCACCCACTAGTCACAGCTCCCATCAACCAACCGGACCAACCACCAATAACAACCATGCCATCCTCACTAGTCCCCCTGTCGTGCTCACGACAAGCTAGAACCAGTGGTCAATGACGACGATCCTCCGGAGGACAGTCTCTCGACAGCTGCACCAGGCGAGGGCGAAGGCGAAAGAAATGGTGCGCCCGGCGGAGCACCGCTCAAAGTACCCGTACTAATGGACGTGTCAGAGTCAGTACTGGTCTACGACATGCATGCATCGCGCCCGAATAGGAGGCCGGTTGGTTAGTGGGATTGGAATTGTTTCTTGAGAGGACGCATTGGAGGGAGATGGTGATCTTGGACGGTTGGGGAAGAATTGGGGAGAGTCGGATAATTCTCTTTCTTTCTTTCTTCCTTCCTTCCTTCCTTTCTTTCTTTCTTTCTATTCTATTCTATTCTATTCCTAGTGCGGTAGTACTTTGGGAGTAGATACGGACTATCTGACGATAGACGAGGCTGGCCAGGCGGCCAGGCGGCCAGAAGGGAAACTCGGATGGAAGTCCGTGACAGGTGCTGTGGTTCTAGGTCTAGGGCTCATACCTGTGCCCAGACCAGACTGGAGAAAATGGAAACAGCCGGATCGGCGATGGGTCGAGATCATGTTGTCTGTTTTCCTCTAGTCTCATGGGTAGTGATACTACTCTCAGGGAACCTTACTATTGAAAGTCTTTCTACCCTGGATAGAGAGAGATAGCAAATATAAGTAAGAAAACAATAACCCTAGATCCTCGTCACCAAGACCCAGGAAATTGGTGTCTTACTATCCATAGCCAGGTCGTAGTGAAAAAGAGATCATCGGCAGCACGGAACCAACAAGGGTCTAGGCGCCAAATCCTCCCGGAAGCGGCAATGGATTCGATCGGGCGATTGCAAAAAGACTGGCAAGTTGCCCCTCAGGCCGAGATTTCCATGACTCGTTGATGTCAAGACATTCATAATTCCTTTCTTGATTGATGGATTGATTTGATTTGTTTGATTTCAATATATTTTAATTATTATTATATTATCATAATTTATTCGATTTGATTTGATCTTTTTCGATCTTATTTTGTCTGGTTCCATACTCTCATCGCGGAAGAATGTCCGAAGTCATCCGCCGGAGTTATCTGTAAATACTGTATCTACACTTTTCTAATTTTTCTAATGAAGTTGTCAAAGCTGTCAAAGTCGACTCCGTACTTCAATAAGGTATATGATCACCGTCTAATTCAACTAAATGACTCGATACTATCTAGTATCTACTCCGTACATCACGGATACTTCTTGTGAGGTCAATGCTCAACTACTCCAAAGAGGATCGGGCTGAAACCAAAGTGCACTATTTGCACTATGGATTCCATGGATCCTTCGTTTCCTGACTCATCGATTCTCGTCCCTGCCTTGATTGGACCAGGGATTGTTTTCCGGCATTCATCACGTCCTGCCCTGAGATCTGGGTTCAGCTGTGTCCCCAAGACGGAGTAGCGTTGTGATCTATTTAGATTGTAAAGAATTGGCTAGCTGTGCGACAGACCGGTCGTTTATCAGTCCATCTCCCGAAACAAAGATATCCTTTGTTGTGCTGTTGTTGTGTTGTGCTGAGCTGATCAAGCTAAGCCTGCACCGGCCGCCGATCAGTAATACGAGATCCAATGTGATTGTATGATTGTAATGATGACCGGAGAGGAGGAGGTCAGGGAGAGAAACGGTGGAGGAGAATAATTGTCAATAATTCTTCCCCTCCTCCGATAGTTCTGGACTCTACTCTGGACTCGGCTCTTGTCCCAAGAAAGCCGTTCATTAATCCTAGACCTCCGAGATTGTCCCTCAATTTCGTGAACCCTCCCCAGTGCTTCCGTCTCCCAAGGGTCTTTCTCGATCCCAGTCCACACCGAATCCACTTTTTCTATCCAGTGACTCCAGTCAGACGAGGGAGTGGGGCCACCCTCAGTCGGGGAGGCAAAAAGGGAAAAAATAAAAAGAAGATCCGTGTAAGTCCCGTTACGGTTTTTTATTTTTATTTTTATTTTTTTATTTTTTTTTCGCCCCGATTAGCCAGCATAGGGGGGTCTAGACAGGTCCAGGGCGTCCGCGCTAGTGGCCTTTTGCCTTGTTTCTTTGCTGGATGATTTCTTGCTGATTGTGATGGATGGCTGTAAACAAGTGAAAGAATTAGGAGAGAACTGATGTAAGTTATAGATATTGAGTAATAGATCTGATCAATAATGAATATTATTTGTTCTATCTTTTATAAGGAGGACAAGGAAAAGTAATGGAAACAGAATGAGATAAAAGATAAATTACCCCAACAGACAAAATACCATACCGTACCAAACCACAGGATGGACCGTCCTCGTGTCCTGGTCATGGATTCCTCAATCAAGTCCAGACCGCCCGGTCTAGAACGAGCACTTTTCCTGCTGTTCTCCTTAAGTCCTGCCTTGACCATGGCGGGGACTCCTAATTTTTCGGGCTGTCACTCTCTCTCTCTACCTGTCTAGCCCTTGGATCAATTTCCCAGGCGTCATTCACATTATCATTCACCATCTTCTTTTCCTTCCTTCCTTCCATCCATTCTCTCTGTCCTTCAATCTCTCTCTTCCCCACTGCGTCATTCATCATCAACCCACCTGAATTCTCCCCCACCTCCCTACTCTCTGTTCCCTTCTCTTCCTCTTTATTCCGCCCTCTGCCACTTCTTCCACCATCAATCGCCCGAACATTCTCTCCCTCACTAACCACTCGTGTCCTTCTATCAACCACGATCGCCCCTACTACTACGACTAGAGTATTCGGTGTACCACCCTAGCACTCTTCACCACACTCAATCACCCTCCGCTTGATATCCCTGGCAGCCCAGTAGCCCAGTATATCAAGTCCCCCGTCTTATGTACCGGTAGCTGGCATTGGATCGACCGTTTTCCATCACCGCCTTCCACCGGTATTCGTCTTCCTAACGCAGACTGGATGAATCAGTCACAGTGCCATGGACCATATCCTCATACCTCTATGGTGCGAGACAGTTCGATCATGCGATCACCATCATCTTCTGCATCAACGTCTACCTACTCGCCCGGAGAATTCCACGGTGTCATCACCTCTTTCGACAAACAGGACCCCACTCGCCTAAGCCCCGTTTCCCCGTCACAGAAATCCTCATCACTCGCTCCCAACGTTGGTTCCAGCCGACTCAAACGTCGTGCCTCCCAAGGCTCCATTCTGACCAAGCCCTCCCCGGTCTCTCGTTTCCTCTCCCGCAGCAACGCATCCCTCCACATTCAATCCTTTGAGCACCTGGGCCTTGCCTCGAAATCCGGCCGGACCGAATCGCGCCCACAGTCCGCCGAGTCCGCCGAGTCCAATCTTCGATTGTCCACCCCGCCCACCGCTTCGAGTTCGCTGGCGGCTCAAGCATTCCAGTCGACCCCTGAAGAGTCGGAGAAGAGCGATTATCTCTCAAGTCTACCCCCGACTCCCCCGGAAGACGATCACGTGGCCTGGAACCCGCGATCCGGGATGTTACTATTTGAGCGTCACATGAACCAGGACCCTGGGCTGATGCCCATGGATGAAGGTCCCAACTTGAGTTCCCAGTCGAGAGGGGCATCGGGCGGTCTGACGAGTCCGACGGACCAGCTCGCCAACGTGACGCCCTCCAGCTCCAGCTCCGGTGGCAGCCCGGGCTCGTCCGGCGACATGGACTATGATCAGAATTCCTGGTTGGAAAACAGTATCGACGCCACTAGTAAGCCATCCATTGTCTAACCCGTCGAGAATAGTCCTCCTAACCCAATCCTCCAGTATCGTCGCTCCCGTTTTCCAATGGCCCTGGGGAGTCGGTCAGGATCGTCTCCCAGATGCTTCCGTACCCCCACTGCCCGGAGAAAAACGCATCCATCGTGACCCACGACAACGTCTTTTGCTCCCTCGTCCAGACCGTCCAGAATCGACTCCAGCATGGACAGTCGCCATACATCAACGTCACCCACGCGGTGCCCGAACAATTCAGCCTCTCCAACCTGCCGCACTCCCCTCCGCACTCTCCGCAGTCGTTCCCTCAGAACGACTACTTTAACTCCACCGTCTTCTCGAACGCCGCCGTGGTCTCTGCCTACCACGATTTCCGCGGTTTGATCCAGACCCGCGCCCCGCACTTTCCCGTACCGATTGTCCCTCCCTCCACCGTTCACGTCTCGATCCTGGAACGTTATCTTCCCCCGTCCTCGGCCCAGGAATACAAGGACCTCTTCTTACCTCACCGCCCCTCTTTCCTCGTGGACCGACTCTCCGAGCTGTCTCGGGAGGACGGGTCGATGCTGTTCATCTACCCCACCAAACGGGGTGGGTCGACGTTCAAATCGCAGTACCTGGGACCGATCCTGGACCCCTTGCTTCGCCAGCTGGTGGTGGTGAACGAGATGTCGGCGGACATTGGGCGCTACCTGGGCAAGCTGTCTTCGGTCAGCCACCTAGAAGATTTCGACACCATGAAGGATAACCTGTCGCAGCTCTGCGAGGCGCTGAGCTCGTCGTCCTCCCGGTTCAGCGTCGTCGATGCCCGCAAGGGCAGTGTCCATCCCGACCGCAACACGTGGACGGAGTGGTACATTCACCAGGAAAAAGCTCGGATGAAAGAAGTCCTGAGCGTGTACTGGCAGAATGGCCGTCGCCTCCCGGCCAGCAAGATGTCGAACGTGTCTTCCAACTATCTCCTAGAGCACAAGGAAGTCACGTCCGCGATGCTATTGGGGGAGATCCTCGATGGCATCCGGCGGCGGCCGTATGGCGAAGAGGGGCCCCCAGATGGGATTGAGCTGGGTGTCTTCGTGATCCGTCGGTCCCACTGAGGTCGGAAGAGAATTGTACATCCTGCAGAGCAGTGTACAATCCGCCGTCCCTCACCTTCTCCTATTATCTTTCATTTCCTTTGTCTTGGATACATCTGGGAGGGTCGGTCGGTGTCTATTTTGGTCGGGTTGTATAAAATCCTTGGAATGGCGAGGAGTCTCGGAGCATTTTCTGTTTAGTGCATTGATGATCGGATCTAAATACCCAGCGAGTTTTGTTTTGCTGCCATGAGTGTGGCCGGGTCCGCATGGATGATGAAATGATGGATGTACACGACGTGTCCATGTTCAATATATTCTACTACAGCAATATAGGCTGTAGCATATCACTATTATTCTTTCTATTAAAGCAAATCCTGGACTATGTTGTAGTAGCATCGCTAGTTACATACTGCAATATGCCTGTTTTGAAATTAATAAACTCAAGTGCAGATTGATAGAGTAGATATAATCATTATAAGCCACAGTAGCTATTGACAAGGGATCGAGACATATAGTGTAAGCATGAAGCAATCTGGTGGATGAAGTACTGCAGTTGATCGAATATCCCGATCGGGTTAACTGGACGGAGCATCTTCCAGAGAAAGGAATGTTTGCACGGTTTGCAGGCGGGCATTATCTCCCACTCTCCCGGGCGGTCAGAAGAAGGCCCAGAGACTCAATCACAGATCGATTATGCTCTCTCTCTCTCTCTCTTCTCATCACATTCTCTTTCAGTTCTCCTTCAGTTGATGTCTCTTCCTAAACTTATGTATACTCGTTTCCCAGACCTGCATCCCCGCACTGCTGCTCTCTGCAGCACATAGTCTTCATCCTCTATTGTCGAACCTCACCACCTCCCATCCTCCCTCCTCATCCGCCAAATCCTTCCCACCCCCAAACCATGGCCTACTCGCCAGCCCCGACCTCCCCAGCAGGCCCAGGCTCAGCCATGGGCAACAACAGCCTCCAAAGCCGCGGGCGATCGACGAGCCCTCCAACGAGCGTCCCCCTCACAAAGCGAGACAAGCGCCGCAGCGCCCTCCAAGAGCGCCTCCACGATCTGACCGTGTCCTTCAGCCAGAACCGAGACGCCCAGTTCCGCCAGCAGCTCCACGCCCTCCAATGCGACATGACCCTCATCAATAATGCCGATCCTTACCACCCCGGTCCCTTGCCGGATTCGGCGGACGAGATCGCGCAGTTGATTGAGAGTACGGTTGGTGGCGGCAAGTTTGCTAAGGAGATGGCGAGTCTGGCGGGCATGTGGTACTCGCGCTTTGTGCAGGAGGTTAATCAGGTTAAGACTGATACTGATGCGGATTTGGCGATGCTTATGGTGAGTTTTCTCTATCCTATACTACAGATTTTTTTCTCTTTTCCCTATTTCTTCTTCTTCCTTTCGCCTTCCTTTCCCTGGTGTCTGCTCTCAACATATCAATACTAACAGTTATAGCACCGTCATAACAATAACTTAGAGCGTTTCCAACGGGACTACGCGTTTCGAGCCCATTTCGCTGAAGAAGAGTATAAGCAGCTCTCATCCACCCTGCGCGAGCGCCTCGTGCAGACAATTTCCGGAAAACGAGCTCGGTTGATGCGCGAAAAGGAGCAGCTGGATATTGCCGACACCAACGCCCTCCTCCTTCACCCCAACCAGTTCAGCATCACCAACCCGGCCAGCCCGGGCGGCATCCACGGCAACCGGAAGACCCGACACACCCGCCACCGGGTCGATCTTGACGAGCTGGGTAATGGCATCATGTCGGAAACGCTCAACAAGCGCAAGCGCAAGGCTCCAGAGGAAGACGTCGGCTCGCCGGTCCGGGACGGAGGCCTCGCGAATCCCGCCGAGCGCGCCAAGGCCCAGATCGCCCAGCAGCAGCAGGCGCCCTCTTACTCCATCCAGTCTCTGTTCACGGAGAAAGAGCTCAGCGCGCACGCCAATCAAGCCCACGTTGCGACGGTGCATTTCTTCTCCACCTCGAAGCGTGCCGACCAGCCCTCGGGCGCAGCCACCAATGGCAACAACACCGACGAAGACGGCTCTGGCATGGGCGATGGAACAGGGGCGGAGGACAACGGCACTCCAGCCACCGACATGGCGCGCACCGCCAGCCACAACTACCACGCCACCCGGTCCACGCGGACGCACGGCAACCACGCGCTCAACGCCCTGGCAGAGCTGTCCGACAAGCCCGCCGTGCGTCCCAGCCTGCCGTACAACATCCTGGCCAACTACCACGCGCGGTCGAGCAACAGCGGCGCGCCGACGCCTCCATCGCTGATGAACGAGGAGGTCGACGACGACTGGGCGCGCATGGATCGGCTGCAAGGGAAGCCCGCCAGCTACGTGGACAAGAGTCTCTGCAAGCTGTTGGTCGATCCGGTGCCGTCCGAGGTCAACGGGGTGCCGCAGAACCCGCAGCGGTTCAATTTGTTGCACCCTGACTTCCCGACCGAGATGGGCATCCACCTGTTTCCGCTCAAGGAGCCGGAGCGTCACGAGCGTGCCAAGAAGACCCGAACGTAGCGTTGTCTATCTACCTATTCTCTCCGGCGTTTTTAAGGGTCATGGAATGATGCACTTGGGTAGCGGGCGATACAATTAATACCTTGGCGTTAGTTCCATAATTACTTTCTCTTTCCATTCTATTTATTTTATCTTATTTTTATTTTTATTTTTCTATTGTTTTGTTTTGTTTTATTTTGTTCCATTGGTGTTTACATACTTGTTTGTCGGGAATAGTTACGTTGCAGATGGACTGCAATGTGGATCAGGTGTATGGCTTTATTGTTTGCAGTGTATATGAGCAATAACTATTTTACTATCTATCAAGTGACCTACATGGTTATCCATTGAAATTTAACGTATCACTGTATTACCTACTCAAAAATCACATATTCCAAAGGTATAACATATCACACTACCAAGAGCTACAGCAGGGTAAATCAAAAACAACCAACTTGCTATATCATATATTAAAAGAAGAATCCCCCCAAATACATCTCATCCCAAAACCAAAGCCCTAACCTCAATACTCTCCCTCGGCTTCGCCCCCTCCACCGTCCTCGGATCCCAAAACGCAGTATGCGGCACCCTCCGCCCCACCCCGTCCCCCTCACTATCAGAGCACTGCAGCAGCAGCCTCTCATGGTTCTCCATCCCGGAGAGATACATCCACCGCTGGTTGGGGTTGAACTTTACTTGCAGCGTTTCGCCCGTGCGGTGCGGGTAGCGGTGTTCGACTGCTACCAAGTCACCCTCCCCCCCTTCTTCCGCTGCCCCAGAAGTAGGACCAGAGGAAGAAGAAGAAGAAGAAGATGATGATGATGATGATGATGAGGGGGTATCAAAAACACTCCCCGCATCCGCAAACGCCAACGGCGCACTCTCCACCGCCCCATTAAGCGGCCTCCAAACATTCACAATCCGATACCGCATCCCGCCCCGCAATATCCACTCCGCCTCTTCCTTATCCTCGACGTGCAGACGCACCCGCTCGGCGGCTGCCTTGGCAGTCTGATCGACGTGCGCGCGCTGCACGGGTTTTCGCGCGGCCCCGTCTATGTCGCGGCGGATGGTGTGGTCGAAGATTATGACCTTCTTTGCGCTGGGGACGTGCGAGAGGAGGAGGGATGAGACTTCGGGGTAGTAGGTTTGTTGGACGGAGGTGTCGGAGGTGAAGGTGCTGTAGGTTGTGGATGTGGGGATGTGGCGGTGGATTTGGAAGGCGTGGGTTTGGAGGGTGTATTTGTTTAACTCTTGTTGTTGGTCTTCTTTGTCTTGGGAGTGGTGAGGAGGGCGAATGTCGGTTAGGTGCACGTCGTGCGCTGCTTCGGTGAAGTTGCGCTGGGGGTACCCTTTTGGCGGGGTCTCGACGTAGTTGTAGGGGGTGGAGTTGTCTGGTGGGGGGTGGTAGAAGATGAGGGGGACTGTTATGGGGCCGCGGGGGATTGTAGACGCTGTAGGAGTGGTAGTAGTAGGAGAAGAGGTAGCAGGAGGAGGAGCAGTGGTAGTGGTAGTTGTTGTTGTAGTAGACATATTGGTTACTGCTTGTTGTATGTGAGTCTTGTATGGATAGATAAGTAGACAGATGTATGTATGTATGTATGTATGTATAGATCGATAGATAGATAGATAATAACAAGTACGAAAGATTGAAGATGATGATCATTTATATACAGCAAAACAGCAATTAATAATATGAAGCTATTCAGACCATATCTCTCCGATATTACGTGCTTGCTTAGCAACCAGCGCGGGGTATTATGACGTCAGATGATGATTTATCTCTCCGTCTCTCGTTCTTCTTTATGTGCTGAGTTGAGTGGCGGGGGGGGATTTGTCATTATATCTTTTTAATTCGATTTTGATTTTCAATATTTATTTTTTTGTAGTATTTTCAGGATCTATTAGATATCATTGTTGACGTAGGTAGTAGTAACCTGTCGGAGGATTGGGGGACCTGTTCCTGTTGTTAGGGTTGGATTGGAAATCAGGTTCAGTAAACTGCTACTATTGTTGTTGTCCTCGTGTAGGCTGCCTACTGCTCTAGTAGATGGATTCTTAGACTTTATTTGCAGTTATAATACTCATAGAAACCACCAAGTCAAATAAACCATAATTAAGTCAAAAAGTATATACCTATCAGCATAATACACCACCCACCTCCACCAACTGACCAACCAGTCCAATCTACATACACTATTCACATTGACAATCTGAAACGTAGATTACCCAACCCCGTCCCCATCTCAAAAAAAGAAACAACTACACAAACCCAACTAAAACAGCAACCCCCACCGCCCAAACCCCAGACACAACCGTCTTCGACCCACCATTCGACAAAATTGGAGGCGTCTCAGTCGGCCCCGCCACAGCGGTCGAGCTACCACCCCGGTGGGTAGCTAGCGTAGAAGACGCCGTCCACGGGTTGGGGATACGCGTCGCTGTGTTCCCCGGGATGACGCCCGTAGGAGCCGGGCCCGGGATCAGGCCTACACTCGTGGTGGAGACGCCTGCGCTCGTGCTGAAGCCCACTTGCGGGACGGTCACCGTGTAGGTGGAGTATGTTAGGGTTGTGCAGGGGGCGGGGGCGGGGCCGGGGCCGGGGCCGGGGCCAGGGGCGCCGGGGGTCCGTTGGGAATAGGGGCAGCGCCTGTTGGCTTGGGGACTGGGCCTAGGGTGATTGTTGTTGGGACGGCGGTGACGATGCCTGGGTTTGTGGGGACGAAGGCGGCGCAGATGCCTGTGAAGTAGGAAAGCGCGGACTGGATCTCGGCGGCGGAGGAGCCCCAGGCTTGGATGCAGGAGATGACTTTGGAGGTGAAGTCTGACGACGGGCAGAAGCAGGTTGTGTCGGCGTTGGAGTCGCATTTGGGGAGGTCGAGCCAGGTGTTGATGCATTTGGGGACCACGGTGGGGCATTCGGAGGGAGGGTTAGGGTGCGACGGAGGGTTAGGGTGCGATGGAGGGTTAGGGGGCGAGGTCGGGGGCCCGTGGGGTGGATGATGGTGTCGGTTGAAGTGAGGGTCACTGTTGAGACGGTTGTGTAGACGGATGTGGAGGTCGTGGTGCCGGATGTGATTGTTGTCGTTACCGGGCAGGTGGTCACCGTCTCGTAGGTCACCACGGTAGTGGTCTGGGCTGGTGGGGCTGGGGTCGAGGTGGGCAGCACGCCGGTGGGCACGCCTGGCGTCGGGGGATTGGCGCACTTGGTGCAGATGGTTGAGGTCGAGGTCAGAGTGATGGTGGAGACCGTGCTGGATACCTCGGTGGTGACAGACGCGCCGGAGGTGATGGTGTTGGTGACCGGGCAGGTGGTGACGGTCTCGTAGGTCACCACGGTGGTAGTATGGCCCTCGGGCGGCGAAGAGGGGCCGCTACTGGGCCCCACGCTAGACGGAGGAGGGATATGAACCGGGATGCTCGTGGGAACCGGGGGCGTCACGATGGGGCCCACCGGGGGGGTAGTTCCGTGCGACGGGATTACCGGGGTGGGGATCGCCGGGGGTGGAATCACCGGGGTGCTGAAGCCAGGAATCCCGGGGACGGACGGGGTGGGAAGGGAGGGGGGCGTGGGCAGAGGACCGGGGTGATGCTCATGGCCACCACCCGGGGGCTTCGGGCCCGGAGAGCAATCAAAGTCAATCAGGTGGATGTCCAAATCGCAGTCCTCGCTGTCACTGTTCTCCGGGAGTTCAAACCCAACGGAGATGGCGCCACCGCACTGGTCGTTGCTCACGTCCTCGGCCTCGGTCGAGCACCACGCCGTATCTCGGCAGGTGGAACCGTCGGGCATGCCATAGACGATGTGTATCTCCGTCTCGACGGAGGTGGAGACCTTGAGGTTGGTGATGGAGAAAGCGTCGATGTCTACACCAGCGGAGATCACCAGGGAGGCAGCGCTGCTCCGAGAGAGTTTACCCGAAATGCATCGGCCCTGGGGATGTTAGTTGGTTTAGGGAAGTCTAGGTGAGACAAAGACGTACCCCGGACTCAGAGCCACCGAAGCCCATGCCCGACAGGAAGCCGCTGAAGTCGAAGCCGCCGTAAGAGGAAAAGGCTCCATCGGCCAGGTCTGACCAGTCAAAGCCTGCCCTCTGATGGTCGGAGCATTCGTTGTCGGTGTTGTCTGGGCTGTTGTAGCAGGTGTCGGTGCCCCACCACTGGATCAATCAGCATGTCTAGATATACTTGAGGAGAATGAGGAGACGTACGAGGCCCTGAGGATGGGCGAGGGCCGCCAGAGGGAGGAGGGAGATGAGAGCGATGGCCCGCATGATGAGGAATCTGTTGATTCGTGAAGAGTTGTTGAAAACAGTGGAAGTCTAGTATCGAGACTGGCAATAACAATGAATCAAACGAACAATAGGAGACTCTATGCTGCCAGCAGAGATAACGAGTGATCCCCTGGTAGGGTTAGGGTTAAACGAATGGATGTGTAGCAGAAGAAGAAACGAGCAGTCTACGACTGACGGGACCAAACGAACGATGTAGAGAAAGAATGAGAGAACAATCAAAAGACGAAGAAAAAGAGAGGAACTGAATGGAGATGGGGGACTCTTTAAAGAAAGCCATGTCCGGCACTGATCAGGTACCAATGGGGGAAACATGGCAGACAGATAATTAGGGCTTAGGCTCGCGACTGATCCGGAGAGAATCCCCAAAGAAACCGCATGAGACATCGAAAGCTCCAGGGATCCAGTGGATGAAAGGAATGATTGGATTCCTAGCCAGGACAAGCAAGAAACGGTAAGACAATCTGCCCAGGTATCACCGTTCTGGCCCTGGATGACACCAATGGAGGAGCGTGGTTGGCCGACTAGTGCAGGAACATGCAGCCACACCACCAATCGCGAGAATTTCCATCATCCGTGGGGTTATGGAAGGCTTCGGCCATTGTCTGGCATCCTCCACACGAACTCGTTTCTCTCCATGGTTGCCGACGTGGCGGCCAATCAGGTGGACGATCTCGTTGATCCTAGACAGGGCTAGACATGCTCAGGTAGTGATACATGTTTGCATCCAGTTGACACATCATCGGTGTCTGTCTGTCTGGTCTTGAGAAGGTTGGGAAGATAATTGATCAGTTGAATTCATGATATTGATGGAAACGAAACCATCTTCTGTTTTGCTGTCTGTCTAAAAAAGAATCAACCAAATGATATTAATCAAAACATAATAGATGGGCGTCTCGCCCACTCGAGGGTCAAGACATTGGTCTGACCCGATGACTATTATTAGGAGCTGAAGAAGAATCCAGGATAGACTTTAGCCAGTGTGACGGGGATTTCCTTCCGAATGACTTCTTCACCTTTGTCCTGGCGGTTAGAAAAGATTCCCCTTTGGTCCGGTCTGGTGAAGAAGACGTTTGCCGCTGAGATGGTAATGCATATTGTAGCCGCTGTCATTTATTGTTCTCTTCTTTTTTTTTTTTTTTTTTCTCTTTTCATTTTATTCTAATGTGTTAAAAAGAAAAGTAATGATGAGAACATGACACATCAATCATGAGACATCAACATGTAAACCAGTATAATCAACAAATCCAACCCACCGCACAAACCCTAAATTAGAATCGAACAAAACAAGAATCATCCAAACAAAAAACAAGACAAGGCAAGACACTCCAAGTCTAGCCCTCCCCCCACTTCAACCACATCATGCAAGATGCAGCTCTCTGCCACCTTCCGCATGTCGTACCATGCGTCTTTTATCCTTTGTTTGTGCCCGTTGACGTATGTCTCCTTGTTTCGGCTAGAGAGTTGGGTGGCCAAATATACTACTCCTTGATCGGAGGATATGTCGTATGGGGAAAAAGACAGCTTACTTACAGATACTATCTGGGGAAATCTCGGATGGAGTGGCTCCGGTGTTACTGAAATTATTGTGGTAATAGGCGCCACCAATCTACTGACTTTATCCCTTTGGTTCTATCCTTGATGGCCTCGAGGGTGACCAGACCGTGCCAGAAACACGGACCAATACTTGATCAATAAATATCTCACTCAAGTGTGTTGTACTCCTGCCATGACCTCCTTCCAATGATTAACCCCGTACATCACGACCAGATATCTCAGGGCAGAGACTGATCACGGGATTCTATATCCCCTTACTCGGCTTTTCTTCCCCAACTTCTGTTTAGTCTCTTCATCCTCACCATGATCACTCCCTTCAAGAACACCCTTACCTGACACCAAACCCTTCTCAGCCAGAGCCAGAACCTTATCCAACGGCCTAGGTCAGGCGTGAGGTGGTGTTGGTATTTCATCATGCCAAGCCCGACCAAATACCGATCTCAACATTCCTCGGCATAGCGCAACAATGGGCTAGACCACAACAACCCCCACACTGGTATTTGCACCTGAACATGACGCCTATGAACCTTCACGACATCCACCAACGGTGGAATGGGCTGGCAGTCAATGGCATTATCACCGGCGCTGGAGCGGACCCGGGCCATTTTTTAGAGCGAGTGATTTATCGTGACAGTTTAGAGGACCTGATGTTCAGTGGGACAGATCCGATCTGATAGTATTTTTACGTACGTACAAACCTCATGCAATCATCTAGATTGTGTACTTGATGCACCCAAGTCAAATATCAGAGCATGTTGCATACATTAGCGTCTACTATCTAGCCTTACTCTACATGCAAGATATCAGTAATCTCTTACTATACTAGGAAGAAGAATTATAATGAATAGGTATTCAGATTTTTGCTTGATAGGTATTCTAAACAAACAGGCTTGGACGCTGACATGACAAAAAAAAATAAACAAACAGCCAGGAAAGGGGGAGAACGTTATCTTTCCTCTGACTTTCCAAGGGGAATTTACTATCATCCATCCACCCGTCAATCAATCACATACATACATACATGCCATATGGCTTGACTTTATGTTCGTGATATGAGAAAGAAAGAAAGAAATGGGAAGAAAGAAAGAAAAAAGATAAGGAAAAAAAAAAAAATTCGTACTTCATCAACTTTTTCCAGGATTATGTCCCAGTGGAGTAAGTCTATTCCCCGATCAGAAATTCAATGTAAAACCGAACCGACCGTCCCAGACGGTCGGCTGCAGGAACCCTGTCGTCGACACCCGTCCCGCAAGGTGCGTCGATCTCATCAAAGACGACTGGATGCAATCGAGATGTTATGGGAAGGAGAAAGAAAAAAAGTGTCGATTGGTCTTCGGAAATAAAGCGGGACTCAAGCGTCGTCAGTGGTCATCAAAGGTCATGGTGCCACAAGCCACGGTGCACAAGGCAACCGGTGACACACCCCCTCGGGGCGTGGTTCGTTCCTTTGGATCTCGGGGTTGTGGATAATTTAGAAAGGGAGCTGGCCGCGGCGGTGGGCATCCATGAGCTTGCGTCGGACAGCTTCGCCCCCCGTGTACCCACCAGCCTTGCGTTTCCGCGTCGGCGTGCGTTGGTCCGCATGGCGCGCATGTCGGAACACGCTGGTCGCCCGGGAGGGGGAATTGGCGGGCATGAACTCTCGGTGCTGGGGAAGGCGTAGCAGGGCTTGGTAGCGATTGTGGTTTCGGCGGAAGGCCGTGACGATGCCCTGGTCCAGGTGGTTGAGGAATCGCTCCGCACTGGTCGCCGGCTGCATCTCCTCGCAGCGGCTGGGGGTCGGCGTGCCCGCAGCGGTGTGGATGGAGGGAGGCGCCATCGGCGACGCGAGGATGTCGTCTTCAGACGCCTTCTCCATGTCGTCGTCGTCGGACGACCCATCGCCGAAGTCGATGAAGTCGTTCACATTTAGAACCGACTCGGGATCCTCATCCTCATCGTCCTCGAAGGAACTATCAATGGTGAACTCCTGCGACGGGTAGAATGCCTCGGGGGGGCCCATGACCTGACCGCCGGGAGCGATATCATTCCCGAGGGCTGTCATCATGAGGTTGGCACTCGAGGCCAGCATGGGACTCAAGTCAATATGGCTGGGTGAGACGAGAGCATCCGTATCACTCTCGTCTACGAGATGCATCGTGGTCGCCCGCGGACTATTGTTGGCCGTGTTACAGTTGCTGTTCGTCGTGGACTCCAACCAATCATGGCGGGACGATGCGTAGGCGGGTATAATCACCAGGTGCTTGCCAGTGCAGTCCACCAGGGCGACCGGCTTGTGAGGGTCTGCGACGAACGTCCCCATGACGGGACCCCGTCGACGAGAAGGGGTATCACTCTTGTCATCCGCCGTCGGGGCCAGCGAGGCAGAGGAGTCGCGACGGAGAATCGATCGCGGATGGGTGATGGTCGCCGGGGGCGGAAGATCTTCGTCTGTAGTCTCGCCATCATCGGCTTCAAATCAGGTCAGTAAAAGGATCGGAAGGGAACTGAAGGCTTCCTGCATACTCTCATAGCCGCTCGACTCGGATCCCTCGGATGCAGCGGCGTCGGACTCTACGTGGTAAATGTTGGAATGGCCATAATCCGACTCGGCGAACATCTCCTCGGACTGCCGACGATGATGGCGCTTGTAGGTTTCATTGTCACTCTCGATCATCCGTCGCAGTTGCGGATCGAGCGAGTCCTGCTGCAAAAAGTCGCTGGGGATCTCATCCTCGGTGTGAGAATCGCTGTCCGAAGAAGAGTCGGAATACTCTTCGAAATGCACACGCCGCGGCACCGGTGTCTCCACGGCCGTCTCGCTGGCGAGCTCATTGTCTCCGAACGTCTGCATCGCACTGTAGAGCTGATCCTCGTCGAAGAAGGAGGCGGTCGACAGAAGCATATGATCCTCAAAGACGTTCGGGCCCGTCCAAGCTTCGGCATCTCCACCGGAAGTCGCGGCAAAGGGAGCAAACCCCTGTTCCGTCTCGGATTCCATAATCATCATCTCCTCCATTTTCTCCACATCGCCGTCTTCCCCATCGTCCCCGTCACTAATGTAGTCCACCGCTGCGTAGATATCGTCGGAGCTGTCCTCCGAGTCATCATCGTTGCCACTTCTTTGGCCATCGTACCCGTCGTCATCCGACTCTCTCATCTTCCTCGACCGCTTTTTCGATTTTAATCCCGCCTTATGAGACCGTTCGCGACGACCGTACGACGAAACCCGCACAGCCTGTCGTTCATCCTCGTCATCGGCATCCTCCTCGGAATCGTTCGCATCGTCGCTAAGTTCAATCGAGGAGACAGAAGACACGCTAGAGACGGACGACGACGCTCTTCGTTTGCGGTCCGAACTGAGAGGACCCAGCGACACTGCCTTGCTCAGACGTTTCGGGGAAAAGTTGGATAGAGGGCTGGAATTGCGATGGATTTCCTTGGCGCCCAGGCGCTTTGACGACTGGTGAGGTGACATGATGAATGTGCACCCTTATTTCAATAAGGGGGGTTGATCCAATATAAGTAAATTTGAGTTTGTGGTTTGGTGCTGTTAGAGTTTGCGCGAGACTGAGGCCACTGCGTCAGAGACTTCAGACGGTCCCAATTTATTTTAGTCTTTTGGTTTTTGTCTTTCGCTTTTCTTATTGAGTAGACTGTATATCGGCACAGCCCGGAAGAGAAAGAGACAATCCGTTGTATCGTAAAGTCGAGTGGGAGAGAAGGATCGGAGGTGAGGAGGGAGGGATCGGAGGGAAGAGGGGGAGATTGAAAGTCGAGATTGATTGCAACCACGAAAGCACTCACGTCCAAAGTGGGACGACCAAGTGCTTCTTCTGTGAAGTGATAGAGGGGCAATTCCGACGTTTCTTGAACCGTGCGTCGAAAGAGGAACAGATATGTCAAGTCAAGATTTGATACTCGGAGCTGCAGGACTGGGGAGGGCAGGGGAAAAGACTGCCGTTTCTCCCCAGCGAGGGATTTACAGCTCAACGAAAGCCATCTTTGGCAACACTTGACAATATCTGGTTTAGAATAATAAGAATGTTTTGAATATGGTATTTGAGGGGGAAGTAAAGAGTCGTGTTGAACAATGGCAGTGATGAGGGGTGGGAGAGAAGGAGAAAGGCCGGGAAAAAAAGATGAGCGAGGAGGCCAACAGAAGATCTGCTTCCGTACCCACTGGCATTGCAAGTGGGCGTGGCGCCGGCCGTAGTATCACTAGTATTACAGGACAGAACGGGCCTTCTCGGGGGGCGGACTAAGGCGGGACTGACCCTAGAGAGCTCTGGGGCGGGTCGAGTTTTCCAGTGGGTCTTGGGCCCGGGAGTGATTGGTGAATGTCTGGTAAAACATCCCTATCCATTGGTTCCTCGTCATTCACCGCATTTTACCCTCATTCCATTTTTCCTCATGTTCATGGTTCTCTACTGGTAATTTTTTTTTCTTTTCCTTTCCTCTCTTCCACTGATTCTTGTCAAGCGCTTTCTCTATATTGAACCAATCACACCATTCTGTGAGTGGAGGGGCAAACCTGACACTCATCAAACTAATGGATCAGTCATAGATCTTCCTGATCCACTCGAGGCAACCATGAGAATGATGAGGGGTCATGAATCTAGGAGTTTTTCGACTCATCCTGCCAAAGTTCCAAGGGGCTCTGTTGAGTCAGTGGCTTGTACTGGAACTTCGGAAAAGTAACAGAGAGAACTTAGACCGTGGGTGTAGCATGCCACTGATGTACAGACTTCCCGCTCCCCTCCGCTCCCCGTTGGGTACCTGAATCTGCAGATGGGCTACCGACTAGTACCTACTACCAAGGTATGAGGATCCAGCACCAACGCAGACAATCACGACTTGACCCGCTCGTTCTGCGTCTCCAGTGCCTCCACCCATTCGCGTGCATTGTTAGGAGAGTCATAGTGACTCATAGCCGATCAAAGCTACAAATACACGGACCATGTCTGTTACTCGGGTTATGACTCGATGAGGGGTACAGTTGTTGTAAACGTGGATGGAATACGGACCGGATTTAGAATAGAAGCAGTCCCAATTATATATTTTGTGAGCTATTCGATCAGAGGTATGCAGGAGTTGGTGCAGATCGATCCGAACCTTCATTGCAGAGGCTCCTGGAAGTCAAGAATGGGAGGGGCTTCCCTGTGGGTATGCGACAGACGAAGCGTCCCCCATTGTATTACTAGAGTATCACCAGTAACTGTATTACTGAAATCCCTGTCGGGAAGGGGACATTCCTTGAACCGTGCTCCCTGCACGAATTCTGTTTGTCGACATCATGATCAACTCCTGTTTAAAACCCAGTTGGAGGTGACATATCAGACGAGGGGCAGGGTTCTGATAACTCAAGCTCGATGCATCTTCCTCTACAAGGAAGCAATTTCTTACTAGATGTTGATGTCTTCGACTCCACGATCTGCGGCTCAGATCGTCGAACGTTATACGTGGCCAAAGCAATCAACCCAATTTAGCAAACACGTTATTGATTCCCATATGGTTAGTCTGTATTTTACCGTCTAGATTGGTGATGGCGGCTAGTTGTTGGTCCGCTGCCTTGGCGCCAACAGCAACCGCCATAAGAAATTAGATAAATTGCAGGTAGCGAATGATCTGGTGCAATTCAATTATTTGGGGTTTGAAAATGGAGCTTGGTAGTCGATTGTCAGGGTAGTATTGGACAACTATCCGCATTACACAGCTGTAATATACCATAAGTATGGCCTGAGGCAGTATATATTTTTTAAGTTACTGCCTCCGCTAGACTTTAATGGAATACACTCTATATGCAATAGCAACGGAAGCTCACGGATTCAGCAGAACCCAAATAGCATGTCTCAATTCGGTACAATTAGCTCAAGTACCGCGACCTCTACACATGTCCAAGCTACTCCATGAATTAAAGAGTATATGCTCCAACCAGCGCATTGAAAACCAAAGAACCAGCTCCAGAACATTGAACCCCAATCCGAACTCGCATGCAGGACACCACCTACTCATCTAGCTCTCGGAAGATTAAACCAAGCCCAAACACAGGCCAGCAAGCCAGCCAAGGTGAGCTGCCACCGCCAGACGCCATCGCGGAAGAGAACCCAGAAACCCAGACCAATATCAAACCACTACCGTCAGGCCACGCCGTCCGTTTAGCGCGCCTCAGTGCAGTAGGTAAAAAGCCCTGAACTAAAACCTCACCAGCCTCCTAGAGGTAAGGTAGTATCGAGCAAGGTATCTACCTACCTACCTACCTACTTACCTATCCATCTGCAAAGACAACTCCAGAGTGGATATCAAGAACAAAAAGAGGGGTACTGACATGCATGATGCGCGATGCTGGGATATGATTGGGTTGAAAGAGCGGTAAGGAGGGAGACAACTGTCTGTATCTTGCTTAGGTGCTTGGGGGCTGTTAGCTGCGTTAGCTATCGGAAACTGCCTTGGGTGTCTTGCCGTCTGCTGGGCCATAGCTGGGCCATGTGTTTGGGGTACGGTAGAGACCAGAGTGTCGTGATATGGGCGGGTCTGTTTGCCGCATCCTAAAACGGAAACTATTCAGGAGTTCCCAACATGGTCCACCCATACTCAAGTACTCACACTTCATGCGGTGCTCGGAGATGGCGGCGGCCTCGTGGCTTGGAGCATACCTTACCATAGGTATTACTTCCTAATTGAAGTACGTATCCAGTGGCCCAACTCCCGGAAGAAAGAAATTCTCATGGATCCATGAGCCTCACATTTACTCCAAACTCGCCACAATCCATATTAAGTAGTAGGCACCGCCATTAACTGAAATCAAAACCGTGATGACAAGTACGTAGGATTCCTATAGTCTCCTCTCAGGGTGGAAGTACCGGAGCCGACGTTGGTCCGCCTTCATCCTGCGATACCACGCTTACCTTACCTTACATACTTCGGTTCTATCGCAATCGGTGGCTGACGGTGGAGACGCCCGATCGGCATCAACCAGCACACTCATTGGCCAATGGGGACAGCAGTATTTACCACTCGGGATTAGCTGCACCCCGCAGTTACTTTGATGCCGAGAACTTGATGTACGATTTGCCATATGGCTGGACGGCAGTATCCGGCAAGACTTGAGTCTACACTCTACAGATATATGAATGAAGAGAACGTTGGGAAGAAGTTGGCTATATTAGTGGTGTTACCTGACATGAATCCAAGCTAGTGTTAATGTCTTCCCCTAATCGAAGATTGACGCCCCTCTGATCTCATAGTGGAAAACACCCCCCGGCTACGATAAGACGGTGGAAAAATTATGATCATGAGTTTCAAAGTCGCCACCCGGGGCCCAGTGTCCCGCGCTATTTGATGCTAAACCATGGCTCATGTGACGGTTTAGATGAATCAGAATTGTGGGTTTGGTGCCAATTTGCGGATCTTATTATTAGAAACGGGAGGAAATCATTCTAGAAAATTGAGAGAAAACAGAAGGGAAAAAAATCAAGAGTAAATAAACATGGTTTCGTAGTATCGTTGCAAAAGGAGAAATGGGTATAGTATCATATGATAAATAGCCAAGATATCCAAAGGAATAACAAAAAGAATAAGAAAAAATCAAAAAATCAAAAAAAAAAAAAAATCAAGGAGGTGGTTATGTTCCAGGATATGGTTGGACATCCTTTGGATCAAGCGCAGGTTTCGGATGTGGTCGACCGAATATCGACAATCTTGACTTGGACCGCGTCGGCTTCGCAGGTGTATCCGGTGCTTCGTTCTCTTTCTCTTTCTTTTGGCTGCTCTCAGCCGGAGTCGAAGCTGTCTCCTGGGGCGTCTGTCGGGCTTCCTGCGCCTGTTTGATTCCGTCGCGGATTTCAGCGGCGGACGCACCCTGCGGCGCGGTAGTAGTAAGAGTTTGAGTAGCACGAATTCGCTCCTCCGGAGAATCCTCGTTCATCTTCCCGATCTCCTCCTCGGTGACGAGGCGTTCGTTCTCGAGACGGACCTCGCGACCGCGTTTATGGCAGTACCACAGCACGAACAGGAGTACTAATCGGGTGGATATACGTCAGCTTCGCACGTAGACAGTGAAAGAAAGAACCAGAGAACGCAGTGTCATACTAAACAAGGCCAACGACCAAAGGGCATTCATCCCCAACACAGCAGGGAAACGAGCCCTCAGGAAAGCCACAATAGACCGGAGCATCCCCACGACAGCAGCCGGTTTTCCAACAAGCTCCTTCAAGCTCGGCACCTGAATGCCCATCTTATTGGCAGCAGCGGCTGCCTTGCCGACATTCTCGATATTCATGCCACTCTTGGCCGCTCGTTCGCCCGCGACGGCGAGAATCTCCGGGGCTAGGGTATCCGTCCATTTCTCCGGAAGCTTCTCGATTAGCTTCTGCAGGAAGCCCGGGAGCTGCGAATAGGTGCTCTGGAGCTGCCGGTTGCCGTTGGTCAGCAGCATTTCGAGATCATGGTAGGCGGTTGGGACGCCGTTGATCAGGTCCTTGAAGATTAGCGTGAATTTCCGCAGCAGCTCCTGCGTCTCGTCGCTAAAGGAGAAAACGTTGTTGTTGTCCGCCGCTAGGTTCAGACGTTCCAGGATCTCCGTCATATCCTCGGTTTCTTGCTTCACTTCGGCGTCGGCTGCGCTGTCAACGGGCGCGTTCTTGGGGATATCGGTTGTGGCATTCTTTTCTGGTTCACTTTTCTGTGGGCGCAATAGGGTGAGCGCGTGGATATTGAGGCAATGTAGAGGGGAAGCGTCATACCTTCTTCTCGGGACTCTTCCTTCTGAACCAACTCAGTGGATTCAATTTCTTCTCTACCGGAGGTTTATCTGTTTTAGAAGACCCTGCCGGCACATGACTGGCCCTGCGATCCTTGGGCGTTGCTTTTGCCTTCTGCTCCGCTTCCTCCTTCTCGAGTGTCTTCCTTCTCTCTTCCTCTCCTAGTTCTCTCCCAAACTCCTCACCCGGCGAAACCGAGGGTTGGATCTTTCCTGCGACCGGCTCGACCGGGCTGATAGGGGTCTGTACGTCGCGATTTGCCGGCGCCTCTTCGGTAGGAGGCGACACGGGAGGCTGGCGCGTATCCTCGGACGTGATAGTTCGGAGAAAGGCTTCATCTTCGGGGGTTAGAATAGGAGGCTGGGACGGTCTGCGCTGTGACTGGCGGCCCCAGTTCTTGAATTGCTGCATTTTACTTCTTCGGTGCCTGACTCTGGTTGACTCTGCTGAGAAGACGTGGGGGAGATGAGGAGGCTGGGCTGTGCTAATTACTGTAGTAGTATGTCATAAGAGACATCAAAGACATGAATAGTAAGTAGTAGTATCTCTAACAGAGGAGACAAGAAAAAGAAGTAAATTAATCCAATCAATCAATTAGGATATCAGCCCGATAAATGATGAAACCCCCTCTTTAAATTAAGATGGCCACCTTGCATCCCTGCGCGCTGCATAACAAAGACCAGACCAGACAGACCATCCATGTTTCGAGGGCTGGGCGGATCAGGCGATGATATCACTACCTGGGCCTGAGGCGCGCATGAGCCGTGCGCCACATGGGCCTGCGCCACTACTTGCATTCGCCACGATTTCCCCTCATTCCAGTGGGGGGGATGGGATGTCATTGGTTGGTTGGGCTTTGGATCGACGATCGCAGTGTGGATGTCTTCGTTATATTGAGATTAGTTTGAGGATGCTAAGTACTTTATATAAGATACCTAATAAATAGTTATATTGATGGTTGTAGTGTTCTTTGAGCAAAGTGTCGAAGTATGAGAGCGCACCTTGAAGTGCGGGGAATGAGGTGCCTATTATAACGTAGGAGTCAAATTGGAGCAACAACAGAATCCAATATATATATTTGCAGAGTATATTGTAATCTTATGATCTTCATGATGTGCAGGACATTAATTCTTTCCATGTACTCAATGTATCATCCTACTACTCCGTACTCTGGTTTATATCTCCGGTAGATGTCACTATAGGCAGCAGACGAACACACCAATCAGGAACACAATCGCATCACCTGCATGATATCACATGATCTCTGCCTAGCCTCCTCGTCGTCATCTCATCCTCTCCAGCTTCGTATTCTTTCTCTCTTTCTTCCTCAGGCCCAGAGTCGACCGATCCCCGCGCACGCAAGCCTGTTTTCACCCTCTACCCGTGGATGGTGGGATCTGGATTGTGCGTACGCGGCAAGCTTCCTACCTAGGACGTGTCATCCTCCCTCGATGTCCCCAGGGTCTTCATATCCCTCCTTCATATGAAGCCCTGCGGCTCAGAGGGGAGTCTCGTCTTGGATGGAACGCTTCCAAGGCTCATCCCCTCATGCGATGATCCCGCGCATGACCCGGTAGCGTCAGCCCTCTTTTGCCCTCCTCCTGACCCCCAGCTCGCTCGCTTGTTTCCCTTTGCTTGGGTTCTTCTGTCGTTTCTTTGTATCTACGTCTGGATGACTCTTGTGTCGTTCCTGACCCGGTTGATGGATGTAGACGGCGGCCGTCGTTCGGCGGCTAAACGTTCTTTTGGTCCTACGGGTCGAGTGGGAAAGTCGACTAGGGTTAAGCCGTCACGGTCGAAGACGATGGAGGGTAAGGTGAAGGGAAAGATGCATGGGAAGACGCAGAGTCCACCACCGTCTCCTACGGAGTGAGTCCCTTGTTTGTTTCATATTGACCTGCAGCTGAGACTAACAATGTGATAGCCCCCTGATCAGCCCTATCGTTACCTTGGTTGTGAGCCCCGAGGAGCGTCTGTTCGTGGCTCACGAAGACATCCTTTCTAGGGCTCCCTTCTTCGGTGCGCTGCTCAAGGACCAGTTCGCAAAGGACAACACCAACAAGGTGGTGATCTTACCAGAGGAGTAATCCATTCCCTTCTCCCTTTTTCTACTATATAAAGAATCATCAATAACAAATTCAGGGAGCCCGAGATCCTGTCTTGCATCCTCGAGTTCCTATACAAAGGGGACTACTTCCCCCGTCTCCTGCGCAACAAAACCCAAGATGGGTGGGAACTCGAGAACGCCCAGCAAGACCCCACCGTGCCCCCCGGCTACGGCAGCCGCGGATCTAGCGAAGCGACCATCACGCTCTCCGCCACAAAGGAGGTCGTCCTCCGCGACACGGCGGTCTACTGCGCGGCAGAAAGGTACGGCATGGAGGACCTCAAGCGTCTTGCGCTTCGCAAGCAAGGCCTCCAGACCGGCCTACCCGTCGGCGTGATCCTGCAATCTGCGCGCTATGCCTACGACAACACGCCGGACACGGAGTACCAGCTGCGGGCGCGGTACTTGGCTATGATTATTCGAACTCGCCAGATCTTCAAGACCAGTGGAACCATGCAGTTTGAGATGGAAATGGGGCACAGGTTCTTCTTTGACTTGTTTGTGGCTATGTGTAACCATATGGATGATATGGAGCAGTCTCCGTAAGTTTTCCTCTGTTCTATATTAAAAAAAAGCGAGACCAACCTTATACTGATGACCCTCACCATCCAGTATGGACTAATCCCCGATTCTCCAAGTCGCACAACCGGCCACAACAAAGACACCCCAGACCTACCTACCCATTTTCGCAAAGTCTCAACTAAAACGCAAAAAAAAACCAAAAAAGGACAAAAGAAAAGAACAAAAAAAAGTCTCGCAACCCAAACAAACCAAAGCAGCCACGCGCCATGCCATACATGCCATACCATGCCAAATCCCAGAATGCCAGTCAAACATGGTAACGAATGATGAATGACCTCTTGTCACTTCTTGTCAATCCTTTGTTAATAATACTGCATTCGCTTCGAGGTTGGCCGAAACTACCTTTTTAATGAAGCCATGCGCCTGCTATTTGTTGCTCCAAGCGAATGATTCTTTTTTATATATTTTTCTTTTCGTCGCAAGTCAAACTGCTGTCGCTCCTTGATCTGACTGGTTTTTATGTATCTATCTGTTCTTTTCTGCTTTTCTGCGTGCACGCTCAGTGTATGCCATGAATACCATCGATGTGGTGAACGGGAACAGAATACTGGGAGAATGATCTAGCTAGGAAATAAATACTCCATTCGGCCGCCTCTATTTTTACGTCCTGGCTGTCTGTTTGTCTGTAGATGAATACGATAGATAGATAGTCTAGCTGCAACGGCCTAGACAATGTATTTGTATATTGATATTAGTACATGGATCTGAGAATATCATCTCTGGGAGTCAATCAAGTAGGAAATGTAACGCAGATACTGGTTGGTGGGAAGAAGGAAATGTGGAATATCAGTGATTGAAGACTGCATGCATGCATAGACAGGATATCACATTTCATTGACAGCTTCCTTCCATGAATATATGCCATAGATCATCCCTCAAACACAACAAAACACGCCACATAGGAAATAAAAGAACGACCACGACAGACAAGAAGATAAATATAAAAATTAACGAAATAAGGGAGAAATGTACAAATCAAGTAGACTTCTTCTTCCGTCCCCGCTTCGGCTTCTCCGCGACAGCAGGCTCAGCGACATCCTCCTCAGCCGCGGCCGTAGACCTACGCTGGCGCTTCGGCCGCTCCGCAACAGCAGGCTCAGTCGTAACTTCCTCAGCCGCCGTAGACCTGCGCTGGCGCTTCGCAGAGGAATTAGCCACAGGCTCCTCAGCGGCTTTGGTGGAAGGACGCCCTCTCTTGGCGGCGGGTTTCTTCTGCTCGGGTTGAGCTTCGACCTCTTCCTCGGGTGCTTTCTTGCCGCGGCGGGCCGGTCTGGTCTTGGGGGTTGGCTTCTCCTCTTCGGGCTCGGATTCGGCCTCGGGTTCGGGTTCCGCGACCACTTTCTTGGGTCTTCCGCGGGGTGTGCTGGTCTTCTTGGGGGTGGGCTGCTTCTCTTCCGCTGAGGGTTCGGGCGATGCGTCCTTTTTCTGGGCTTTGCCGCGGCCGCTTGCCTTGGGTTTGGGGGCTGGTTTTTCCTCATCCTCTGATGCGGCTTCGTCCTTCTGCTAGTGATTAGTATGGTCATTTTGAAGTCCGGAGGAATGATCAAGAAGAGTTACCTTGGCGGCCTTTTTAGAGATACGCTTGCGGAAGCCCGTCGAGCCGGGACGGTTCACTTCGACATCCTGTGAATCGTTAGTATACGTGTTGCATGAAGTACCTATAGGTGCGGAACGCAGCTGGATAGGAAATGCAAAGGAAATCAGTAACCTACCCCCTTCCAATCCTCATCATCAACATGGCCCTGCTCAAACGCCCTCTGGATCTTCTCCTGCTCACCAGCCTCCAGCTCATCATAGCCATCGAGGGCATCCAGATCCATGTCCTCTCCCTCTCCAATAGATTCTTTGATATTGGAGATGAGCTTGGGAGTGGTGCATCCCCTGAATAAGAGTATTAGTATAGTGTACTTACCTGGACCTACTTGTGAAGGTGCGTGTGTGTCTAGGTAGATATTCGTTCCCCACATGTGAGGAAGAAGTGAAGTACGTACCAGTGCCTCCACATCCAAGCCTGGATGCGGTCATTGTCAACCCAGGTGCCTAGGCGGAGCTCGCCCTTGGCGATCTTGACTTTGGCGTCTTTGCATTCTTTGTTTTGGCAGCCGGCGCGGCCGGTTTTGGCAGCCTCTGGGGGGGAATTAGTTGAGGCTTATAAAGAGAAAGGGAAGTAAAAGGATCTTAATGAGAATATAATAGATGTAGGACAGGGAGAATGAGGGATAAGTGACTGGGAATATGCCAGTTGACGGGGTAGGATGATGGACGGGGAAGTAATCAGGAATGCAGGGAATTGACACGAGCGCAGGTACAATTGCTTGGGAATAGTAATTGATTGACCAAAACCAAATTGTCAAAAGTAAATGAATGAATGAATGAAAGAAAACAAGAACTATGATGTAAATTGAACAACATACCCACACGATAAGGCATCTCCTTGTCTGACGCGCAAAAGCTCCGAGTCGCGGGTCAAAAACAAACAAAGAAGGGAGATATAACCACAAGGTCGAGATAGTTTGGGGATGTAGTATAATCCAGGAAAGAAGAAATAGGAATAGTAATAGAAGTAAAGAAATCTATCAACAGAGATAAAAGATGACAACGGATGGAAGAAAGCAGAGAGGGGAAGGAGAGTGAAAGAAGAGAGAGGTGGAAAAAGATGAAGAGAGCGAGAGTGATTGACCCACGGCCTCCCGACCTTCTACCATGCACAGTGCTTACGTGTCTATCTGCCTCGCCCATTTATTATTTATATGACTATCGGTTTTTCCCCAGAATTTAGATATTTTGTTGAGTTTCTGTAGAATTGGGAGGAGAAATAAGGATGTATTACATGGAGTCGGTGCCGCGACCGGGGCAATGGAGATTGTTGCACATTCGGTAAAAGAACGTTGTACTTGCTTGTTCTTTTCTCTGAAGTATAACCTGGCTTATCTACTCGATTCAACAAAAGGATCAATCAGATACGATGGATCTTCCAGAAGAATTTCTCCTGGAGTCCTTAGCCCCATGTCTAGTCGAGGCGCTGGGAAAAGATCAACTGATTGCGTTCAATCGATAGATGCGATGTCATGTCTTATGAGTATCTAATACGATATCTAATCTATGAACAACTTCGTGCCATGGCAGCAGCTTCGATCTTTTCGAGCGCAGTGACATGTTTACGGAGCATCACGACTGCCCCGAGACTGAGTCGCGAAACAAACGGCGAGACGGCCTGGGTCGCATCGCTAGCATCCTCGGTAGAGGTCGAGTTGTGGTGCTCGATCATGTCAAGGGCCTCCTTGATGGCTCGTCGCAGCAACTGAGGATGCTCGCTTTTCTGGTGCTCGGCGTCGGCAAGGTAATTCCATGCGATGATATCTTCTAACCCGGCAACCGGATGTTCCAGCGCATGTTGGATGAATCGCCGAGTCAGTAAAAATGCCTTCTCGGTGTACTGGCTGGACTCGACTCGTCGGTCGTTCTCCGCGGCAAGTGATTCGTATCCGGGTTCGTCTGGGACCGGTTAGTAAATAGACAGGCTACCGTGGCGACCACAGGAAACTTCACGGAACTTACTGTAGAATGGCGTCTTTACAAGAACCAGACCCATGATAGACACCAAAATTTGCAGCACGGTCGAGTTCACCGGCGACCACGTCTCCTCGGGGTTCTCGGTAGGCCATGTCCCCAAGACGCTCAGGCAGACTTTCCCGTCTTCATACATATTCGGGTTGATCATGCCTTGTCCGTTGGTCCATGAGTGGAAAAACGCGGCCGGCGGCTGGGTGGGGAAATCATCAGAGAAGTGGAAATCGATCACGAATGGAGCATGCTCGTAGGGAGTCCCTTGCGGTCCAATGATCAAGACGCGGAGTAGGTCGATTCGCGACTCCCATGTCCTGACGAAGATGCCAGGCGGTAGCGACGAGGACAGAATCCCGAATTCCTTCCGGATGCGCTTCAAACATTTGCTGAATGCACTCGGTGCAGACTGGGAAATGAAGCGATGGTCCGAGGGAGGAGAACCTTCCAGCAGGGCAAAGCTGGGGGGACATGATGAGGGCGCAGAGCCTGACGGATCGTGGGCCCCGTCTTCTCCCTGAGTAGGCTGTTCCGTAACCGCGGGGGGGAGAGCCTCCTCGTTGGTATGGTCATCGTCGTGATCAGGCGGTGCGATCTCCGAGACTCCAGGTGTCGTGAAGTTCTCGTTACGGTCGACACCACCGCCACCGGTTTCATGGGCGACGTTGGGAGTCTCTTCCCAATCAATCTCTTCATACCCATCCTCCGTCATCCAATCATCATCTCCGCTACCATCATCGAGGCGTACACCCCCTTCGTACTCATACGTCTCTGTAATCCACGGATCTTCCATGTCTAGCGGGAGACCGGGTGGGGGAGCGCCAGGGGGAACGGTTTCTTCCTCATCAATAATCATCATGATCCTCTCAAACGGAACGCGGATATCTCGGCAGTTGTCAATGCCCGCCAGTCGAACGATGATGGTACCATCCACGTCCATGCTGATGATCTTGCCAACGAAGTCTGTCGGCTCATTCATCCCGGCTTCAACGTAGTGTATGCCGAACTGTATCGGAATGGGCGACGTCTCAATTCTGGTCGTGTTTCGGAACCATTCAGTTTTTACAATGGCATTTTTCATGGATTCAAGATACACAAACGCCTTGAACAAGGTGACAGGAGCCAGGAAGCTTAGAGTACACGGCCCCGTGGCTTCAATTGCCTCCTCCTGTGGACCCGGCATTGTTGACTGGTGAACCGTTTCTGGAACTATTAGTACCGTATCGGAGATCAATCTGCTGAGGCCGGGATATGTGGTGAGCTCATAGAGAGAAACATGGGTCGAGTCACGGCCAAGTTCGCCTAGAGAGGAGCCCGGTCGCAATATGTTTCCTTGGCTCAGCAGTTCGACCCCGGGTCCGTTGAACCAACGTACTGACGCTATACGCTCTCGGCTATCCACAGCTTGAACCACCCCGATCTTTTTGACAATAATCGTATCCCAAAATTCAGCACTCGCTGTGGTGAGACGAGGATTGTCACTTTGGTGATACGGCCTTTGAATCCTCTCAGTCGCGTCTTTAAGGGCAACGATATTCCCGGGCCAGACTTCATCCTCGGGGCCTAGGAATCTATTCAGGTTGAGCCCCTTTTCGGTAGTGGTAGTTCCATCCTGCCACTGAACAGTAACCTCTGTCTCGGTAGATACTATCCGCAGAATATTGAGATCATACCCAAAGGACTGGTCAGGGGGGATGTGCTGGTAAGTAGCATATGTGGTAGCTGCTGCCCTCGTGTCTCGGAATCGAACTTTATCACCGGCCCTTAGCCAAGTATCCGACTTGACCTGGGGCACACGAGAACCCTGACCAGGTAGACTGCCAAAATCACACTTCACCGCATTGCCAATCAAATCTGAAGCCATTAGAGTCTCACTATCATCACTGGTATAAGGCATCCCTGTCGCGAACACGTTGGGGCAAACCCAGTCGACATGCACGTTCTCAGGCGGCGTCGCTAATACATAACCCTCTGGCACGAATTGCTCGCCACTGCTAAGGGTTATATCCTTCCGGTCCAGATTTTTGGAAGGAGTGAACACAAATTGACCGGGGAACACAAAGTCAGCTTCTGTCGTGGACCACATGAACTCGCCATTTTTCAAACGGTGTGTGTTAATAGCGTCAAAGTGGTCGGGGAGTGACACGACTTTGCTGGAGTCGGAACAAAGTGGAACTTCCAATTGAGCTGGTTCGTGCGGGATAACAACCTTCTGGTTCGGCAGAAGTAGCACCGCATCCCGGTCGACCGCGTGTATGTATCCCAGCTTCTGTCGATAGATGATATAGTCCCCTTCAGAGAACTCTTCGTAACTGGTGAGCTCGGACAGCGGTACATTGTATAGCCGTGGCGTTTCTCCATCGTCAGGCTCGGGATGGACCGAGCAGACACGTGGGCGCGGTTTGTCGGCGAACTTGAGTGAACCGTACTCTCCCGTGTTCGGGTCTCGATTTCGAAAAGCGATGGGCTCAAGGCAGCACTTAGCAGACGTGCTAACGACTGTGCCACTCATTGTATCGTCCAAGTGACGCTTCACGGTTTCGCCCAGCTCCAAAGCCCGGTCTACAAGTTCGAGATCATCCTCATGTATGAGAGAGCTACCCTGCGACGGCTCCAGGAAACTAACGAAGACATATCCCTTTGGTGGCTGGACACAATAAGCCGGCATTCAGAGAACATAGGCCTTTCCCGGGCGAGAAATTACATACCACGCCTGTTTCTAGGAATTCCATCAGAACCTGCTCGGGCACGGAGGTGTAGGAACGGATCAAAAGATCATGCAGATGGTCCTGGCTTTCCACCTTTTTACCCAGTTACCAAATGCTTTGGACGGAAAAATAAGGTCAGTATATTACATACATCATAGTGCGTCCTCTGCAGAGTAACCGCTACCACGTCAGATAAGGTCAACCGAAGTAGAAACCGCCGTATCACTCACACAGACATGTCCCAACAACGCGGGGTCTGACTTGAGGCGACAAGTATCTTCAACACCAAACTAAAGACGAGATAGCTTAGCAAGACCGCATGGGCGTAACCTTGGGCTCACAGTGACCGCTCACCTTCTGGCCTGGTTTGGAACCCATAGCTATCTACCAAGTGATAAACCGCGGGGTGATGCGACGCGGAGAGTTTAGACCCGGAATTCGATATTGAAGAAAATGTACAGACAAGATCATAACATCAGAACGAAGAAGACAAAATACAAACGATGAGATAAAAATGCACCGCAAAGAGCGACAGCACAAGCGTCGAGATCAAAAAGAACGATGAGATCGAATCACCAAGTCCGATTGAATGAATTATTTTACCCGTGTCACATGTTCTGTTCCCCAGTTGCCATCACCGCCTTGGCTGGAGTCCTTACTACAGCTTATATCTGCCGATCTTCTTTTTCTCCTGCGCAAACGGAGGACCATTTCCACCTCACGCCTGGCGCAACTACCTTTCCCCAGCGTTGAACATCAGTTTAAAGTCATACTTCTGTTACACGCGAGCTTGCAGCGCCCATAACGCCACAACGGCTACGCGCAATAACCGCTTATTGTTACAACCGGGCTGAAGAACCTCCGCTCTCCTCCGCGGAAAGTGGCAACAACAACTTTCTCACCACTCTTCTCCACCCAACACCAACACCGCTAGACCTCTACGCGAATCATCCCACCACAATGTCCGAACCAGGCCCAGAGTCCGTTCCCACGAGCGCTGACCCGCGCAGCAAACGCCCCGTCAAGCGTCGCGCGATCACGCCTCACCTCGAGCAAGCCACACAAATCAGCTCCCTCTTCCGCGACCCCGCCAAAGACATCCGTCTTCCCGGTCCATCCAGGGAACGGACCGCGGGGTCGATGCCCGCCCCGCCGGAGATTGTCGCGAACGTGCAGGGGTCCTCGGCCGGTGCGGGATCCGGCGAGTTCCACGTTTACAAAGCGAGTCGCAGGAGGGAGTACGAGCGGCTGCGGTTAATGCAGGGAGAGGTCGACAGGGAGAAGGGGGATGAGGAGTGGGAGAGGAAGCAGGAGGAGATTAGGAGGAAGGATGAGGAGAAGACGGAGAAGAATCGGAAGAGGAGGGGGAAGAAGAATGCGGCGCGGAAGAATAAGAAGGGGCCTGATGGGGGTATGGCTGAGCAATCGGCTAATGGGGCGTCGGGCCATGCGCTTGGTGGGAGTATGGATGGGGTTCAGAATACGGGCTCTGATGAGGTGGATCGTTCCGTTGAAACACCTGGTGTTATCATTCATGATGATTGAGACCTCCTTTCCCCTTCCGAAGAGCTTCCACAGGCAATATATCGCCAGGTCTGGTCGCGAAGTGTGTAATATGAAGATACCCATGTGAATTCTTTTATAGTCTAGAATACTCATACAGAACCAAAGAGTAATCGTTCAGCATTATGTACGCGATCTTTTAGCCACTATTTCTATGTCTTACTCCTCTCCACCGCCGACAGGGGCGCCTGCCTGCTGGGCAGACTTGGCGCTGCAGATGTCGTCCACACGAAGCAACAGGCACGCGGACTAGTCGAGAGGTTAGTGGAGAAAGACCGGGGGGAAGGGAAGGTTCGAAACTCACCTCAACCGCGGTCTTGATGCTCTGCATTTTCACCGCCTCAGGCTCCCAAACGCCATACTCTTTCATATCGACCAGGGTGCCGGAGTCGCCGTCCAAGCCCCAGTTGGTCTGGCCCTCGACGTGCTTGGCCCTCAAGCGGGTAAGGACACGGATGGGGCTGACGCCTGCGTTCTGGGCCAGCGTTCGGGGGATGACCTCCATCGCATCGGCCACGGCCTTGTACGGCCATTGCTGCACGCCCTCAACAGACTTGGCCAGCTGAGCCAGCTTGACGGAAACCGCCATTTCGAGAGCGCCACCACCGGGGGACAGTCGCGGGTGGAAGATGACGTTTCTGGCGACAGACATGGCGTCTTGAAGGTTGCGCTCAACCTCGTTGATGATATCCTTCGAAGGACCACGGAGCAGGATGGTACAAGCCTTGGGGTTCTGGCACTTGGTGAGGAAGGTGAAGTATTCGTCGCCGATCTTTTCAATCTCAAACAGGCCACACTGCGTGCCCACGTCGGACTCCTGAAGATCATCGACCCGGTTGACAATGGTGGCGCCAGTAGCGCGGGCAATACGGTTGTTGTCCGTCTTCCTGACACGGCGGAGAGCGGTGATGTTGGCCTTCACCAAGAAGTGCTGCGCAAGGTCTACCAACACACGTTAGAAACCATAATTTCCGCAGAAGACCGTCGAATTCCCTTACCTGAAACACCCTTCTCGGTGATGACAACGTCGGGCTTAAGAGCCAAGATAGCCTCACACATGCGCTTCACCTGCTCCTCCTCGATCTCCAAGATTCGGTTCCAGTCGTCCTCCTTGGTGATCTCAATGTTCGTTTGCGACTCGCCCTTCTTGTATTCCAGGGGGCAGTCGAGCAGGAGGACACGGGGGTTCTCGATCCTTCTCCGCATCTTGGGGTGCGTAATATCCTTGTTCACCATCACACCGTCGATGACCTCGCTGTCTTCGATCTGACCGCCAGGGATCTTCTCAACACGAGCGTACCGCTTGATGTCAACCTCCTGCTTTCCACCACCGGCGTCGAAGGAGACGGTCCGCACAGCCTTCAATGCAAGGCTGCACATGAGATCCGACCATCTGGAGACGAACTTCGTGCCAATTGACGATTGGATCAGAGTGTACATCGACTTGTCATCATGAATATCCACTGGTACCGACACTTCCTCCACGATAGCAAGAGCATCCGCGAGCGCGCGCTTGAAAGCCGAGATGATGACAACCGGGTGAATGTTACGTTCGAGTTGAGGAAGAGCCTGTGCGAGCATCTCACCGGCTGGTACAGGTTAGCATGCAAACCACAAGAATTCATCAACAGAAGAAAGAAGAAAATTAAGTACCGAGAATGATGACGGTCGTGGTACCGTCTCCAACCTCCTCATCCTGCGTACGGCTGAGCTCGATCATGCTCTTGGCTGCGGGGTGTGACACTTCAATCTCTCGGAGGATTGCATGACCATCGTTGGTCAGGACAATACCACCCATGGGATCCAAAAGCATCTTCAGCATAGCCTTGGGTCCAAGGCATGATCGGATGATGTCCGCAACACTGTAAGGGTCAATTCCTCTGTTACGGCCGAAGCGGGGAAAGTGAAAGGCGGAAGAGCCACATACGTCTTCGCGGCAGCGATGTTCGAAAGCTGTGCTTGACGACCAACCTGTCTCTCACCAGAATTGGTGTCTGCAAATACATTAGCAACTGAAGCAAAAGATCCCAGGTAGTCCATCTCCTCGGGGTAACATACTCATCACCACCACCGGGGCCTGCATTTTGGCGGTGGACGTTTACGTTGTCTCGGGGGGAAATTAAAAAGAAGCCAGCTAGTCCGGACGTTTCCAGTGAAATATCCTTCGCGAATATCTCGTGGCGTCCGAAAGGTGGGGGGAAGAAGTGTAGATGATGTGGAGAGTTGTGCCCGCCTTCAGCATCAAATTTCCAGCGCTCCTCGAAGTGGGATTGCGGACTGGAAGCTCACCGCCCTCTAGCCCGATCGGGACTAGCCCGGGTGTCCCTCCCCCTAATCTAAATCTATCAGCTTCGATGCTTCTCTTCGCTTGTTCTTCGTATTTACTTCGGATGAAATGTTCTTTTCCTATTGATAGCATTTCTCTAGTCTAGAATTAGCATTTCACCATAAAAGAGCAGCTACTCCCAAGTGATCCGTATCCGTTTCCCGATGGCTCCCCCGCCTCCCAGGGGTTCCCAACCAACCCGCCAGAATGACCTGCGCATCATCAATAAATCACCTCCTGAATATCTTGTTCATTGTATGAAACCCCCTGGACATTCGATTGCGCAGGCTCCACATAGTGGACGTGCGTTTCTTGCAGAACTTGGAGTAGAGATTCTCCTTCTGCCGCCACGTTTTCTCATCTTCGTCTGCTTCGTATCCATGATGCGTACCGCTCGATCGTAATTTCTGCAACAGAGGCTCACTCCGACGTCTATTCTCACCGATCTGTGCTGTAGTATCTAATCTCGATGCACCCGTATAATCCGGAAGTGTTGCATTGCTAAAGTTCGCCATGCCGCTCAACCCAGACCCGTAAAGAGCACGCACATCGCACTTGTTGTCTATGGCCCGCACGCTCCGGCAAACTGCACACCTGCACCATGTCATATCAACTAGCCTGGGAAACCCTCGGGTTTGCATTCCACGGTAGCTACTCGGAAATGCCCACGGTTGGGAGGGTGGGAGTCGAGACGGCGCAGTCGCATACCGTCGCGACGGCCTTGTAGTCTTGTGCTGTCTGCGGAACCGTCCATTTGGCTGCTCTATTCTCAGTCGCTGTAGTCGCTCGAGGTGGATTCGGCGCATGATACCTTGAAGGTTGTGTGGGAGTTGTGCCATGGCTTCTTCGTCTAGCTCGAATAGTACTTCCTCTTCGTCTTCGGTGGAATAGTTGTCTTTGTCGTCGGGCTCGCAGGATGGGCTTGTCCGATTTTGATTATTAACCTTGGAGTCTAGGGCCATTGTGGTATTAATCAACCCGCAGGTAGTGTGGTTAACTGTGTAGTGGTTGTGACCCGGTTGGGTTGGTAAATCGACGCAGATAGCAGTCTCAGAGGATGGATTGCTGTTCAAATCACGGTATACTGGATACTAGATAAAGGAGTGAGCGTGGTCATATACTCAGTTTGAATACAAACAGAATTGAATGCTTACCACTGTTTGATATATGTGCAGTTTGTTGTCCAAGATGTGTGTACCAAATGATGAGGCATATTTTTATTGATGAATAGGTAGTTCGTTTGCTTGTGGAAGGCCTCCATATTCACTGTTGTCTTGCGGAGTGACTGGGAATATTATGTCTGTCACTGTATATCCTACATGGGCATAAACATAGTCTAAGTTGTATCAGTAAATGACATGGTTGTTTCTATTGATCAATCAGAGCTAAAGAGAAAGACATTATAATCACCTGCGCATAGTGTCATATTGTCTACCTGTCGGATTAATTATATGATAGCTAGTAATGCATGATCGGTCTTGTTTAATTAAATTATATACTGACATAAGAATCTGAGGCGCCCTCCAACAACCCTCCATGTCTCCACCCGTCTACCTCCACATATACTAGCTTGTCTATTCAAACTCGCGGCTTTCACCAATATCACAGACATCAAACACACCATCTTCCGGAATTTCATGCCTCTTCAATGCCTCTCTCAGCTTCTGCGGAGGCTCAAGCACATCCTCCTCCGTCAACACCCAAGTGCCCCAATGCATACCCAAAGCTTTCCTGCACTTGGTATCTTGGAAAATTCTGACCGCGTCGTGAGGGTCTGCATGCATAGGGCTCATAAACCACCGAGGATCGTAAGCGCCGATAGGAATCAGTCCCAGATCGAACGGGCCCCGGAACTCCCCTACTTGTTTGAAAGCGGGACAGGAAGGGAAATTGAACTCCGGGGCGTAGTCATCCGTGCCGATGGGAAGATCCGGTACCGCTCTGTAGCCGGTGTCTCTGAAAGATACCAAGATTATTAGTTGAATTCGCGTATAAAGAGTCATCGGTTACGTACCCCGCGAAGTATACATTTTGACCTCCGGATTCAATGGACCATGAAGCCCATAGCGTTTTGGACCTGTCAAATATCCCTCTGTTGCTGGTGTGTTGGCAAGGTAGGCAACTGATGCGAGCTTCGATATCGGTTGCGCTGGATGGGGGACTTCCAGTGCTGTTCCCGACCTCAACCTTCGACTCGTGTGATGGCGAAAGGGAGATGTCACGCTGGTCCCACCAATCCAACTCTGTAATATTATGTATGCCAGAACTGGTAAACCATTGCTTGTTTCCCAGCGGGGCAAAAAAGTGGCAATTGGGATGGGTTTTGGCGATCTCCTTGATGGTGGGGTACGACAAATGATCGTAATGGTTATGGGAGATCACCACGGCATCAATGACAGGAAGGTCGCGGACCTCGCAAGGCATCTCTGTGAAACGCTTGGGCCCTAGCCAGGACACCGGCGAGCATCGATCCTCAAATACAGGATCGAATAGTACTCTGAGTCCGCTTGGGAATTCGACATAGTAGCAAGCGTGGCCTAACCACGTTGCGCGAAGCTTCGAAGTTTCCCGCGATGGTAAGAACTCGGGTTTGCGAACAGGCACTGTAGGGGGTGTGGTGTCTGGTTTATTCGCGTGTCCATTGAGCTGACGGCTTCATGGTCGTACGCATTAGATATAATCATCCGGATGAGAGACCTAGCAAAAGCCGACTCACCTAGCTAAACGCCACATATCCCCAAAGCCAATCGTTCTCCATGAACTAGAACATACTGCTTAGTTTTGAGAGACCACAGATACCCGCATCCCTATCTCCCCGGAATTACTTACTCCCAGGGGTTTTTGAATCCCCCGTGCACATGATGCTCTTTCTTACCCGCATCATCAGGATAAGAGGACACAGGAGGTGCTGATATACTCAGTGCGTAAAGAATCGTGATGGCGGAAGAAGCCATGTTGCGTCTCTCTGGTGATGATCGGCGGGGCCTTGTTGCACTATTCATATGCAAGCGAAACCAATGGCGCAGAAACGAACGCATAGCCGAGGGAGCTGCTCTTTATAAAAGAAACGGTCTGACCTTCGGCCACGGTTGACAGCGAACTAGTACAACCTGATAGATGGAGTTAAGGCCGCTTGGGCTCTCCGACGCGCCGTCACAAGAGCAGCCAGGCAGCACTGCAGTCGTCAGCTGAATTGTAATTAGCGAGAACGATATTATACAGATTATGACGCATTTTCGTGGAGAGAATCGTTTGGACTGGGAATGAGCCACTCCACAAGTGGTTTTCTGGGCGCAAAGGATTCTAATTACCTCCTATTGCAGTCTAGCAATAATGACCGTCTTATCCAGACCGTGAAGATAATCCCTGACAAAGAGAACAGCTCGAGGGAAACAAAGACAGAAAAGACCGGAGGAAAAGAAAGCACCGGACGTGTTAACGCGGAGTTAGCTGGGGAGCACATTAACCCCGTTATCTCCGATCTGTGTTAAACAGGAAACCTCTATCTCATCTCGATTATGGATGGAAAGCACTCCGTACGCGGTGCTTATGATTTTCTAGATTTTGTATAATTGTCATGACATAGATTCAAAGAATTGTATATATAGAAAAACAACTTGAAGGTATTTGGTATCAAAACACCCCAGAATCCAGATTGACTAGATTGACGTTCTCGGCCCGTCTGACTCCGGCTTTCCGATATCGTTCGGTATGATGTTTTCGACCTTCCACGCAACTCGCGCGATCGAGGACCGACAAAGCATCCATCCATTTTCCGTGGGATGAATCCAGATGGACCTTTAAACACTCCGGGGCTGCCTTCGGCTGGCGAATTAATCGTCCAGCAAAAGAAAGATGCCATCCAGGCAGCGGGGCAGCCCACGGGGGACGGCGGACTTTTCTCTCAACTTACCAACAATCCTTTCTTCACAGCGGTAAGGGATCTCGCTCGCACAATAAAAACAAACTGTCGCGTGGGGATGGCGATAGCTAATCATTTTTATCGTGCCAGGGATTCGGTCTCGCTGGCCTCGGCGCGGGCTTGAGTTTCGCCCAAAAAGGTTTCCGACACGGTGCCGCGCTCCTGCGAAGGCGCATGCTCGTTGACGTCGAGATCAGCATCAAAGATGATTCCTACCCGTGGTTTTTACATTGGATGACGCTGTATCAACAATCCCAGCTCAATACGGCTCGGTCCGCAGCCAGCAGGTCTGGCTTCGTGGATTCAATGCTCCAGCGATTAACGCCCGGAATGCGCCATCTCTCCATCCAAACTCAGAAAGTCGAACATTCGAACGGTGCGATCCACACTCAGTTCACGTTAGTGCCCGGCCCCGGGCGACACGTCTTGCGATACAAGAATGCGTTCATCTTCGTCAATCGGATGCGGGAGGCGAAGTCACAAGACCTGCAGACGGGCCGGCCATGGGAAACAATCACGTTGACGACACTCTATTCGCATCGCCACATTTTCCAGGATCTTTTCACTGAGGCCCATGCCTATGCTGCTAAGTCGCACGAAGGAAAGACCTCTATCTATAACAGCTGGGGTGCGGAATGGAAACCCTTTGGACAGCCTCGGCGGAAGCGTCCGTTGGAGTCGGTGGTTCTCGATGAGGGCGTCAAAGAGAAGATTGTGGAGGATGTGTCAGACTTCATATCGACTGGGAAATGGTACCACGATCGGGGGATTCCCTACCGACGTGGTTATCTGCTCTACGGCCCACCCGGCACCGGCAAAAGTTCGTTCATCCAGGCCTTGGCTGGCGAACTCGATTATGACATCGCCATTCTCAATCTTAGCGAGCGTGGTCTGACTGACGATCGGTTGAACCACCTCCTTACTATTGTTCCGAATCGGACCATCGTGTTGCTCGAGGACGTGGACGCTGCTTTCTCAAACCGCCGGGTCCAGACGGAGTCAGATGGGTATCGCGGCGCCAACGTGACCTTTTCCGGGCTGTTAAATGCCCTTGATGGCGTGGCCAGTGCCGAGGAGCGCATCATTTTCCTCACCACAAACCACGTCGAGCGACTTGACCCGGCACTGGTTCGACCGGGTCGGGTGGACATGACTGTCCGCCTCGGTGAAGTCACTCGCTACCAGGTGGGCTGCCTCTGGGATCGGTTCTACGGCGAACTCGACACGGAAGGTACCCATAAAAAGGTGTTCCTTGATCGACTGCATGAGTTGGGTTTGATTGAAGACGAACATGGGCGGAAACCCGATGGGTCCCGAACCACGAGTGCGGCCGCGCTGCAGGGGTTGTTCCTGTACAACAAGGACAACATGGAGGGCGCGATCGCGATGGCCGAAGGGCTTACATATAGCGTGTACGATGATCCTCATGAAGCGTGAGCCACGAATCCGTCGCTTGTACCATATTTGTATAGATCAGTTAGGCGTCTACTTTCCACCAAGGTATATATCTACTTGGATTTCAATATATTATTTTATTTCGCTCATTTATTCTACTGGTTGATCAATTTCTCATGGAATAACAAAACCGCTGCTTGCTTTAGAGGCTAGTTGAAATGATAGTATATGTCTAGATACCTAGCCCTGCTTTTCGCCCAGACTGGCCTAACCGAGCTCATTCGGGCTGTACCTGTCTTTTTTTCTTTTTAATTGGTAGATGTAAATATTCCAAGCAGTGGGGAGATTAAACAAACTTCTTATCACACCGATCTTACTATTCCAGGGTCCTACAGGCATAGACGCAAGACCGATTATGCGGGGAATATGCTTCCCAACCACGAATCACGACGAATATGCTTTGCTATCACAACCTCCCGACCTGAAGGATGACAAGGAAAGACCTCACAATAATCTTTCTTAATCTTCATTGGCTATTGAATATCAAATTTCACAAGTAAGGCTATACAAAGCGTTTATTGGCTCAATAGAACCAACCTGGTGACCACCTTCCCATAGATAACAATATCTTCAACTTCTTCACGGTAGCCCGCGGGGAGAAGAATCCGATCCTTCGCATCTCAGCGTCTCGAACCAGCAAATAAGAACCTTAGATTGTTTACCGAAGCGCTGTCACTGATGTCAGGCCGCCTGCGCGCCCAGGAACCGAGCCTCCCATTCGGCCAGCGAGAGGTCGAAATTAGCCGCCGGGTTCAATACCCCGTCCTTCATGCACTCCAACCCTTGTTCTTCACACTACTGTGAGCCTCTCATAGCTCAGATCCTTGACGCCTTTGTGCAATTGCTCTTGCTGAAGATTTTCGACACCATGATGGAGGTCGGTTGGGGTGAGGGGTATATGTCGCTGCGGTCTTGCTGGTGATGGTGGTTCTGATGTCCTTCTTTCTTCTCGGTTCTTCACCTACCTCAGATCAAATCAATGGTCCTCTTGAGAATTGGATTTACTCCAGTTGAAAGGGCATCATGAGTCAATTCCAACTCTTTCCTCCTGCCTCTCCGGCCAAAGTCGCCAAGAATCCGTTTCGAAGGGGAAATAAGAAGCCTACTACGACCCCCGTGTCTGGGGCTTCGATCCCTCTAGATGAATTCAATGGGAAGGACAGCGGAGCTGAAGCCGTGTTCGTTGCAATTACTGAAGGCAAGAATAACGCTACGCCGCCTCCTGAAGCCCGTGTTTCTCGCCCAGCGACCGCGTCTACTCCTGAATCTGTACATGCGCCCCGGTCATCGGGGTCGCAACCCAGACCGAGTCAGCAAGACAAACCACGACATGATGTCCCGATATTTGAAGACTTCAGATCAGTGACACATAGCGAAGATGATGTGTCTTCCTACTCTCGGAAATCTTTGCCGAAACCAGGCTCCCCGGGAAACCCTATACGGTCGATGTTTCCACGCTATAACCCAGATCTGCCGCTCAATCAGCAACAGTACTATCCGCAGACCGTGGATAGGCCCACTCGGTCAGCTTCAAGACCCAAAAACCTTACGCTCTCGCCAGCATCGGAGATCGATCGGAGTCTTGGGCCGAAAACGGTTCCTGCGAGTGTGCTGAACTTTCCGATGAGTATGCTCGAGCCGGCGGAGGCACAGTACCCTTCTTCGGAAGAACTGAACAGCCTCTGGGATGCTGCCAATGGTCAGAGACCGCAGAACATTAAACCGTTCAATCTACACATGACACGGTAGGTGTTGACCCTGGCAATCCTCAAGTTCCTAGACACTAACTCGAGCAGGGCCAATTCAGCGACGTTTCTATTCGGCGATCCAGAAAGCCCATTCTACACAATGCAGACATTCTCGACCAACGAGATGTCCGTCACTAGATCGAACCCATCGCGCCCGAACAGCAATATCCCCGTAATGACGCTGAAGATCGAAGACCGCCAGCGACGCAAGCCTCCCAACGACGGGCTCGTATCGCTACTCTTTTCCCGGCTGGCCGCAATGCTAGCCATCGACCAGGCCGAGGAGTCCGCAAAGGCGCGCCGACTGAACCCCGCGGAGGCCGCAGAACTAGAAGCCCACGCACTCCGACGTGCAGCAGCCCAAGAATCCTGCAGACTGTCGTGGAACTCCGAAAAGCAAGTCTACGAACTCTACCACCCGTCGCTCAGCAAGCCCCCGCCCCCGGCTTTGGTCGGCGCAGCTGGAATTCCCCTCTCGCCCATGCGATCGAGGTACGCTGGCATTCTTCACATCACCGTTTCGACGCCGTCGAATGACTCGAAACACCACCAGCAACCGCCCGTCATTCTCGTGACCACCCCACTCCCGGCCAATTCGGCGGAGACGGGGAACATGGTGGCGACGCCACGCACGTCGACACTGCCTCTGACAGATGCCGATGAACCTCTGGCATCGCTTGACCTCGGCACCATGTCTCTTTCTATCTCGGCCGCCGCGATCATCGCTACGGTCCCCTCCCTGTACGCGATCGATTCGCTGGTGACCGCCATGTTGGCCGTAGCCATCTCGGACGAAACGACCAACCCCGTCTTGGCTGATATGGAACTGTTCGACCCCCACAAGCCACAAAGCATCCAGTCTCCAGCCTCAGAACCAGGCACAATGTACAAAGGAAAGTTAGTCGCAACACTCGCAGAACGGGAGGACGCCCTCGAAGGCAGCGATCTCATATCCCAGGTGAAAGCCCAACAATCAGAGAACGCAAGCGGACAAAAGAAGTGGTTCCGATCCTGGAGCCGGCTATCCAAGCCCACAAAGCCGCAGCGGAAGAAGAATCAAAAGGTCGTGGTTGAGGAATTTGACCTGGAAAAATACGGCCAATTCGGACAGGGGTCTTCGCGGCAAGGAGAGAAGCTACCGGGCGTCACGCGGGGCATTCTCCGGATTCTGTTTTTCGGCTTGGATATGATTGTTCGGGGACTTACTATGGTTGTCAAGATTGTCGCGTGGTTGTTGGTTTCTCTCACGAGGTGTTTTACGAGTGAGAAATTCTGATTTGATTCGGCTTGTTGCTGGTTGCTATGCCTGCCCTGGCGGCGATGGCATGGCATGGATGTCGCGTACAGGCTTTGATGATTGTTTATGATTATGATGTTTATTTTGGACCTACGCTCTTTGTAATGTTAAGTCGGACGGAGTTTGGTTGACCGGCTATGAGATATCCAGCAATTGACACGATTTCATCACGCGATATGACTTCCCTCTCCCTGTCCACCCGATAGAGACAACAAGCAGTCACGCGAGCTACTACAGATATCTCGCGCAAAGAACCCACTGCTCTATCCACAGCAACCGGTAACCTTGTTTCAAAGGACTCAACCACAAAATGGCGTTGTATCCAACATTCCAAAGACACGCCCTCCTTACTTCCACCGTGGCGAATGCCGGGGGGTGTCACGGATGGCTGGTTTTGAGGATTCCAAACCGGTTTGTGCGGAGAATAACGAGGTAGGGCTGTTGACTTGCCCGGAGAATTAAGTCCACAGGGAGATAATTCCGAGGAGGTCGACGAATGATGATCGCAGATAGGGCCCTATCTGGACAGGAGTACCTACTTTTGCGCATTCCAGACTTCATTCTGCTTACCTGGAAGCTGCCAATAGCCTTGGGGGGCTCTGGGGTCGGTGTGCACCAAGGGATGAGACCTACACTGTGGATATTGTATTAAATGGCTGGTTTTTCAGCCGGTTTCTTCTCGATACTTTTCTCTCGACACGTTCATTAAATTCGACTACCGACTTATACGATCTTTATCAGCTCCTACTTGATTCACTCTTTACTACGCCTCTCGTGGTGATAATCCACCATCAGCTTCAACCCTATATCCTGACCATACTAACCGATATCAAAATGCGTGTCACTACAAGCATTGCCGTCCTCACTGCGGGCCTCGCCAACCTGGCTGCATCGCAGAGCTTCGACAACTACGACCGCTGTGCTGTAAGTGACTTCCACCTTCTCTTCCCTTGCACAACCAACAAGAAGAGAGAACCTCATGATATAAGACCACAGCTAACCCACACAGGACGCCATCTTCGCCGACCCAAACCTCGGCACCTGCGCCTCCAACCCCGGAACCTCCGCTCTAGTCTGCTTCTGCACCTCCGATATCACAGGCCACAATCTCACCGACGCGACTATTGCCTTGTGTGCTCGTAACCACTTCCGTATGCTCTCCACCACCTTCCATACCTATACCATATATAGCAACCTAGGTACAAAACTAACCTACTTCATCCTCAAAACAGCCGTCGAATCCCTCAAAACCCTAATCTGCAACCCCAACACCCATATCTCAACCTCAGACCGCAAACACAGCAGCAGCCCCATGGTCCGCCTCGCCAACGACGCGCACCAAGCTCGCGCCCTGCCCGAATCATCCACTACCACTGGCACCGACACCAACGCCGACACCGAAACCACCCACGAAACCGCCCACAGCGTAATCTACCAAGTCATCACCGTAACCAGCGCAAGCTGCGACTGCCAGTCGACACCAGGCCCAGCCGTAGCAACAGCCTCAGCAGCAGCAGTCGATCCAAGCCACGCCCCAGCGGCGTCTCGCCACAGCATGGCTCCGCCGCGGTCCAAAGCAGCAGCGGCGGCGGCGATATCCTGGCCCATGCGACGCCGTCGACGAGCGCTACTGGTGCGAGCGGGTCTGAGAAGGTGGTGGCGACTTCGTCGGCGATTATGCCGAGTGGGACGGATAGTAGTGATGGGGAGGGGGAGCAGCATGGGATTTTGTTTCAGGGGGGTGCTGAGAGAGGGGTGAGGTTGTCGGTTGGGGCGGTTGTCGGGGGGTTGGTTGTTGGTGTTTTGGGGGTTATGGTTTAGACCTCTCTGTTTTACCTACCCTCTTGGGTCATTTTTATAGTTGCTCTTTACTCTGCTTGAGTTTTCTTTTAATAAGGTTTGTCTGTTGTCTGTTGTCTTGTGTTGACTGCTTGATTTGATGATTTGATGTTTCGGCTTGTTTTGATCTGATTGATAGGACTAGTTTATGCCTCTCAGTTGATGCCGGTATGGTTTATGACTTGGTTGGTTTGGTCTTCTCATTTACTGTTACGATGCTAGCATGTTTAAACGATGAAATAGTATTAATAGTGGTTATCCACGAATACTATGATATTTAAATGGACATAGTCTACTTTATCTCCTAACTAATCATACAGCGGTATCCGAAAACACCTCATTCCACTCCACCTAATCATAATAAAACAAATATGAAAATCAAGTATGCACCGCCTGCTGCACCTTCGGATACAGGTGCACCAACCGATAATACAAATCCGGATGATCACTGATCATAACCTGCGGATCCCACCCCATAGACACAAAGATGGTCTCAATGCCACTCCCCACAGGCGTCATGAAGATCTGGCATATCTGCAGCCCGATCACAAACGCGAATGCCATGATAACAGCAGTGAAGTTGCCGTCGGTGTTGTAGGCGGGCTTCGTGAACTGCAGGTACAGGTACGCGAGCAATGCACACAGGTAAGACACGAAGACAGAGCCCATGGTGAGTACCGGCCCGATCAGACAGTCTTGCACGAGGGCGTCCAAACCCCTGTCTTTCATCATCGTCCAGGTGTCCTTCGCGGAGGGGATGTAAGCCTTGCCGTAGAGGGCGATGTGGCAGAATGCGTAGCGGTTAAAGAGCGTAACGAGCCAGTCGAGCAAGGCGATGAAGCATCCCAAGATCCACATCATGATGCTGCCGACCAAGCTGCCCTGCGCAGCTTCCTGGCGCTGGGCGATTGAGCAAGCCTGCCGCAGCATGTTGATGAACGCGATGATGAGACTGCCGAAACTGATGCTGCCGAAGGAGTAGGTCGTTGCGCGTTTGAAGGCGCCCCGTGTGGCGCCCTTCGGCATCCCGTTCGGCGAGTTGCTGAAGTAGTACCACGAGCCGTAGACGCCTGCGATGGTCGTGTGCACTGTATTCTTGATCCACTCGCTGACCCAGTACATGGCGAAGGTTACGTAGACGACAAGCCCGATGACGCGCGCGCGGCTGCACCCACCGCTGGCGCCGTTCGGGCAGGACGGGTTGTCGCCTGTGCCGCTGGGCTCGTAGGCGACGTAGATGGAGACCAGGGTGACCGAGAACCAGGCGGCGAAGGCGGTGGCGACGATGCCGCCCAGAGCGCTGACGATGAACATGTGTCCATAATTGCGGGAGACGTCGATGGCGGTCTCGAGCATGAAGGCTGTGAAGGGGATGCGCGGGATCCAGCTTATGAAGCAGATTATGGCGAAGACGCCGAATATTAGGAATACGATTCCGCCGCCGTATTGCTTGCGCACGATGTAGTAGATTCCTGTTCCGAGGGCGAAGACGATGTTGAGGATCCCTGTCGCCCAGATGAAGAACTTGGGGAAGTAGCGGGCTCCGAGGAAGTAGGCGTATGAGAATGCGAGCGCCACGCAGAGGACGAAGATGAATAGCACGAGCGTGTTCGTGTCGAGGGAGAAGTTGTTGGCCGAATCGTAGATGCCCCCGCCGTTGAATCCTTTGTATTTCGAATATCGGTAGATGGCCACGCCGGAGACCGCTACGTAGCCGAGAAAGACCGCAATGAGCTGTATTTGTGAGCAATCTTGCCTAACAGGGGGTGCGTGTAGCTATAGCCCCATGGATCGGGTTCGCGCCTACCAGGAGACCGGCCCAGATATCGTGAAACTTGGGCTTCTCGATCTTGAACGCCTCGTCAAACCCGTAGACCGCTTGATTATAGGTCGGCGGGGCGCCTTGCGGTGGTGGCTTTGGTTCCGGGGGCGCTCGTGGGTCCTGATACTGATAGGCATTTTGATCGCCCACGGGGGCATTGCTGCCACTCGCGTTCTGGTTGTAGACGGGTTGTTGCGGCTGCTGGTACTGGCCGTCCGCGTAGTTCGGGCCAGAATTGTAGTAACTCGCCGCCTGTCCACTCATGGCTGCATATGTGGAAACTATCGACGGGTTACAGATGGGGGAGCAGATCGGGACAGAAGGGGAGGGGGAAGTGATAAATCAACACGAGGGGTACAGGGAGAGAATGAAGGGAGGCAAACAAAGCGAGAGGAACAGGCTCAGGAGCAGGGAATTCTTGAAGAGTGGTGCTAACCCCGGCCGAACCAACTCAATCATGCAGCAAGGGGAGTGGAGACCTGCATGATGTTATGATATCCCTTTCCAGCGAATGGAACACCGCGGGAAACAGTCACCGCCGGGCGATGCGTCATGATGATGGCCGACAAAGCAGCCCCGGAAAGTCAATTTGGACCTCGGCTTTGGCATACGGTTGTAAGTTCGAGGGACCTAAGGATGGAGGATGAATTTCTTTCGCATGTACATGGGCGGATCATCAAGGCATTGATGGTTCTTTCGAAAAATGCGACTCTTCACTTGGTGGTTGAGACTGTGCGGAAGTCTCACTCTTTTCCTGCTCCATTCTGGGCCAAGGGATGAAAGGCGGACCCGGTTCAGGAACCACTGGGTAAACAATCAGATCTATTGGGGTTGGCATAGCCAGAGCTCTTGATGTCTAGAAAATAGAGAAACGAAAAGAAAAGTCCAAAGGAGGGAACATTATCGGGGTATCATTGAAAATCATTAAATAGAAACAGAAAAAGAATAGACCATGCCGGTGATCAATCACCTAAATGCATGGTGTTTCATGTGTCGCCAGGAATCGACAAAGCTGCGCTCCACTTCCTGGATCGGGGTCTTGGCCCGATTCGTCCGCCATTCATCCGTCGCCGCTTGGAGATGACCTTTACTGAAAGCCGCCGATCGTCGAAGCTTCTCCTGCCGCACTGCCGCTCGGCGTGAGTTGCGGAGTTCGTCGATGCGACCCTGGCCAAACCGGTGGCGTCTCACGAAACAATCGTCCACCAGGGTGTTGGCATCCAGAAGTCTCTTGGGGACCGCCTGGACCACCTGGAAGACCTCCATCGGGTCGGAAACCGCCAGGATGTCCTTCTCACAGGCCTTGAAGATGGCCAAGGCCACGCGGAAGAACGTTTTGGACCCTTCGTAGAAGAAGACATCCCAGACACGCAGGGTCGTCTCGACGGGCAAGGTCCCGATGAAGACCGACATGAGCCAGTTGGTCAAGCCCAGGGTAATGTCTGGCAAGCGGGAGCTCACCGTGAGTGGTGGCGGCGACTTGTGCCGTCCCGGCTGGGACCCGGTGATCTTGTTGTAGATCTGGGGCGCTGAATCTCTCAGGAGGACCATCAGAATCCAGAGGTCGATATTGGCCCCCTCGAGACTGATCTCGTGGGTGCCGGGGAGGTAGACGGAGGTGATGATGTGCAGCATCCAGAAGGCCTTCTCCTCGGGGAGGAACAGAAGCAGCATCCCCGTGATGAAGTTGAGGGACTGTGTGTAGCCCACCTGGGGACTGTGGAGCGAGAAGGCGTAGAGCACCCGGCGGAGCGATTGGATCATCTCGGTCTCGACCGTCACCGATCCATGCCCCGGGTTGCTGCCACCCGCGGAGTCGGCGGAGTCGGGTTTGAAATGGACGTTGTCCGGGAAGGTGCGGTGCAGGTCGCGCTCGATGTGCTCCTTGTCGTCGTTGGTGGGGGATCCCATGGTCTGTTCCACCAGCCGGTCGTACACGCCGGGATTCTCCTGCAGCAGGTCGTACCCGCCCGCGTAGAAGAACCACGCCGCCCCGCGATGCTCCGGAGGGATCCCTTTGCGCACAAACCGCTTGACTTTGTTGGATTTGGGCGGGAAGATGGTCGGGTCATTGGTGGGCAGTCCATGCCCACGGAGCATTTCCGCCCATTTGACCCGGTGGATCGCCATCGATTCGGCATACGGTGCGTTCCATGCCTCGTACATTTGCGCGGTGACGTGATGGCTCGTCTTCCGGAACCCGTAGCGGTCTCGAGTCTCGGTGCCCATCACCAAGGGTGGTGGCACACTGCCGGGGATCACCACCGTCTGGGGCGTTTGCTCGCTGGCACGAGGGGGGTCGATTCCACGCGCGTCCAAGGGTTCCTCCTGCGGCTTCGTGTCTGAGTTGGACTCGCCCAAAAACTGCTCTTCCTGGGGGCTTCGGTCGGGTGCACCCGCCTCGGGAAACGGTGGGAGTGAGGGCAGATCCTTGTCGTTGGCAGCAGCTTCCTCTGACAAACGCGGCTCCTCCGTCGGACGCAAATCGTCCAAAGAGATCTCTGCGGGCGGACTCCACGGCCGTTGCTTGGGTTCGCCATACAAGTCGGGGGAGCCCGGCTCTTCCGTGACATCACTGAACCCATCCAGGTACATGGAGATAGCATCTTCGACGCTCATTCCTTCGTCCTTCTCAAACGGCCCGCCGGGCGTATCGGGAGACAAGTCGGTCAACGAGCTGCTCTTGGTGAGGACACTGCTCCTTTCCGTGCCACTGTTGTGTTCGAAGCTGGACTGCGACGTCATGGCCGAATTCACACTCGACCGCAGCGGACTATCGGCGTGGGCGTCGGGCGACCCATTGGGGATCGATCGAGGCAACAGACCCTGATCGTTGGGCGGTTTGGGGCGCTTCGCTCTCAGCTTCGACGAGGACATGGACGTCCGCAGCCTCGGCTGACGGGGGGGCGTTTTGCGGTGGGCGGGGGGTTCGAGGGAGCTGTCCCTGCCGGGATAGTTGGGGCGACGGTCGTGGGGGGCCACGGGGAAGGGCGGGGCCCGATATGTCGGCATCCGCCCAGCACGGTCACCCCCGACCCCCACCTGGGGGGACACCGGGCGTGAGAACGGATCATCCGGGAACCTGGGTGGAGGAGGGTATCGGCGAGGGGATCGAGGGGCCGGAGGTCGACGGTTAGCAGGGGGTCGCCGCGGCGCGTCGGCGGTCGAGGGGCGTGTCGGCGAGGGAGGATTGATCCTCAACGGATCGAGGCGGGGTGGATTAGGGATCTTGCGACGGCTCGGGATATCATGTTGTGCCGAACGAGGCGGATATCGAAACTCTCCATTTTCTGTGACCATGGCCACGGTGTAGTAGAAGCCAGTTCCCGCTGGACATTTGTTGACAAGATCAAAAGGATGGAAAGTGAACTGGACGCGAATCCACGAGCTGGGTGGATTCGACTTGGGGCGTTCGACTCAGGGGAGGGTAGAGGTGATCGTTCAGTTTCAATCAGGAGAGCCCGTGAGAGATCGATGAAGGGGAACAAAAGAGAGTAGAAAAAGCAATCGGCACAGGGGGGCGCGCAGTCAGCAGTCGGTTGGCAAACGAGTGAGGAGGCAAAAGTGAGGTCAAAACTAGCCGACCTAATCGGGATGCAGGTTGATCAAACGAGTGACGGGGGGGGTAGATAATATGATAAACGAGTGGTAATATAACGAATCATGCAATGAGCCCCAGCATCTAGATCTCTCACAACCCTACCAGAGGTTCAAATGGGTACCCATTCTGAGAACAGAAGGAAAAGAAGAGGATGTAAGAAGGAGAAAGGAAGAATGAGAGAGGATAAGAGAAAAGAGGAGAAAAGAAGGGACTGAAGAAGCGACCCGAGAAGCCCTAGAATGTTGGAAAATAATAATCAAATAACATAAATGGGACAAACTAGACTGAATAAAAATATAAATCAAATCAAATAAATAAAACAACTAAGGAAAACTAAACTAAAATTAAAATTCAATCCAGATCAAATCAAAGACGAGAAAGAGACGAAAATGGCCCATCAAGACGCGGAAGAGAAAAGCCGACGTGGAAAAAGGGGAAAAATTGATGGGAGCTCCAGTGCTCTTTCTGGTTAGTCGGACCCGTTAATAAATATAAAAAAATAATGAGAATAGTCATACGAATAAATAGAAGAGAATAAATAAATAAAAGGATCAAATTGATGTCTTGTTGTCTTATTAGAGGTCTTATTCTCATCCTCCCTTTCGACGTAGTTTCTCCAGTATGGTTTCGTTCTCACCCTCCCAATTTGGAGGTCTGAAAGTCGATCGACGTTGGGGACCAGCACAGTTTCAGAATAATCAAATGTCCACAGCAATGAATGGGATTGTAACTCCGTCCCAGTCTGATCAATCCCATCTCATATCCTATCCCTTCATTGATCGGGTTACACAGCAACCGACCCAGGAATGTAGCCATGCCTCCATGCAGGTCAAGAATCATATCATCCAGCTGCTTTATGACAGGTCAACCATCCTGCGCGTCCATTGCGGGCGACACCTGTCGTCATAATGCCATATGTATGCAGGACGGTCGGGCGGAAGGAAACCTGCATCCAGCAGACCCGGCGCAGAAAACTTGATATCAACATTCAACTGTCATACATCCTATGTAGTATGTCATTGTCCTCCGTAGTATTATGTACTCTGAAGATCTTTGAAACTGGAAAAGTTAGAAACGAGTCAGAAGGTCAGCCGATCATAACAAACCGGTTTCCAATCGGGATCGCAGTTGGGCCTCGTCTGGCTCCACCGTCGGAAGCGCCCAAGAATCCGGTCGGACTCGTAACGCTCGACTCGTTACTGGTCACTCGTCCCATTTCATCCCGGTAGGCATCCTTCTGCCTCCGATTCTTGTTCGCTGTGAGTCAACGGTTGAACGGGTTGGCCGGTTCTTATTAGACAGCCGATCGTTCCTGGGGGAAGATGAGAAGGGTGTCCAACAAATCCACTGTTGAGTGTCCACTCAACGGGATGCCCTCCGTACTCGTCGCCTTGGCCGGCTGCCCCACAGTGCTAAGGCCGGTGGGTCAGCGACTGGCGACAGGTACGGCGGTTACTTCCTTCGGGCCCTTGGTCCGAAGGCCCTGGCAAGTAGATTGGTAGAAGGATGCAATGTACCCTTGCGTCATTGGGGTGTGATTCGCAAACCGACTGGCGAAGTCGATGGTGCTTCAATAAGGCAACTGAGGCTGAGATAGTCTGGACCTGAGGTCGTGAGGGCAATCAATGGAGTCAGCGGACGTCAACTTTCTGACTGGCTGTTCTAGAGGATGCATCCATCCTCTTACCCTAGCTCTAGTCTCATCGTATATGCGGACTCTGTATGAGTCAAAGCTCGTGGTGGCATGGATCTCTTGTTCCCTGTAAACGAGCCCTGATTCCTCTTCGCGGTCTTTGCAGATACGAATATGCGCATCAATATACCCTAGTTTGAGAGGAGATGCCTTTATCGTCAGCGCCATTCAAATCCCGCCCGAGGCGCCGAAATAGTCCAGTCGGGGTCCGTAAAAGGAAGTTCAGTCCCTGCAATATCGCTCCGCCACCCCGCTTCATGGCCAACCTCACGTGTCTCGTACAGTATAGCGCTTCAGCTCGGCCATCTTTCTGCGACTCCTCTTAAAAACAATGAGAACAGCACGAGTGTCTCCCGTGTGAGACAGCTTGCGACTTAATCCCCTTTCCGATCATCATGCGTGGCACCGGTTCCATGCCCATCGGCTATCGATGGCGCTCGTCCAAGTGGTTCATCATTGGCACGATCTGCATCGCTCTGTTCGCGGGTTCGTCAGCAGTCAGCATCTAAGACAAGGGCTAATCGGGCAAGTTAGACACCTTCCTCTATGCCTTCCTGGTTCCCATCCTGGGCTACATGTTCGAGACCCGTCTCCATAAGGACTTCTCCGAGCTCCAGTGGTATACGTCGGCCATCCTTGCCCTCCATGGCTACATCTGCGCGCTCTCGGGGGTCTTCATCGGCCATTTTGCCGACAAGTCCGCCAACCGCAGGACGCCCCTGGTGATCTCGCTCATCGGGTGCATCATCGGCACGTTCATGATCGCCTGGTGCAGCTCTCTCACCGTCCTCTTCGCGGGTCGCGTCTTGCAGGGGATCGCCGGGTCCGTCGTCTGGATCGTCGGCCTCGCGACCATAGCCGACACCGTCGAGCAGGATGCCATCGGCACATCCATGGGCTTTGCCATGTCCTTCGTCAACGCCGGCATGATCAGCGGACCCATGACCGCTGGGCTGCTGCTGGAGCTGGTGGGATACTGGGCGACATGGTCCGTCCCGTTGTTGGTCTTGGCCATCGACGTTACCATGCGAATGGCGATGATCGAAACCCGGGTACCGCCCCCTTCAGCAGAAGAGACCGCGAGTCTTCTTCCCGACGCCCAGTCATCCTCTACTACGGCCACTGCCACTACTACTACTACTCCTGCTCCCACCCCAGAATCCAACTTCTGGTCCGTCATGCTCTGCGACAGCCGCCTGATCGTAGCGCTACTAGCCCAGATCACCAGCGTCTCCATCAGCGTAGGCTTCAGCGCCACGCTCCCCTTACACGTCCAGCAGGTCTTCGGCTGGGGCACCTCCCTCGTCGGTGTCGCATTCGCCTATCTCACCGTCCCGGGTATAGTTTTTTCTCCCGTATCCGGCTGGCTCCGCGATCGCGTCGGCATCCGAGCCCCCTCCGTCGTCGGATTCATCGTCCAAGGGATCCTCCTGTCCCTCCTAGGCATGGTGGGAGACGACCGCTTTCCTTGGGCCGGGGGTCGGGAGCACGGCCCTGCGCTGTACTCCGCAACTCTCGTTGCTCTCGGAATTGTGCGGCCGTTTGGGTCTGGTGTTGCGACGCTTGAAGCAACCGGTGCGTATAACTAACCCATACTCTGGCCCCACCCATACATCGTCCCGGAAGAAAGGAACAGAGTCTGACACAAGCACACCTACAGCGGTAGTCAAAGAGTACGAAGAAAAACAACCCGGGATATTCGGCCCCGGAGGCGGGCTCTCGCGCGTGATGTCCATGACAGAGATTGCAGCCTGCCTGGGCTTAGCTTTCGGGCCGAGCATCGCAGGGTATCTCGTCGAGACGATGGACTATGCTGTTATGAACTGGTTCTGGAGTGAGTTTGGTCCAGTCTGTTCTATTTGTTTGTTATTGTTTATTAACTAGTATGATAGGTGCGACGTGTCTTGTCATGGCTACTTTGATATACTGTTTTCTGGGGACTGGACAGGTTGATGGACATGTCGATGGACAGTGTGTTGATGGACACAGGCAGAATGAGTAACTGTGATGGTATCCTGAGGGCGATTATCTTCGCTACTGTCACAGTTGGAAGTATATACAAGTGGTCTACCGTAGTAGGAGGAGACTTGCAAGTCAACAAAAGCTACTCATATCATCAGTTACACTAAATCGCAGCACCCATGGTTCCACCACCTAAACAATATCACTAACCAAGCCTAGCCCTACATATTGTAATTACAAACAGGTGGATATAAAAATCATCGTACCATGGTTCACACCCGGACCCAGCCCAGCCTAGCCCGGCTCTCAAACCAATCCATCCCCCACATCCACATCACCTCACATCACATCCACAGAAGTTATGAACTACATGGTTCGACTCAGCCACACATGATAAGCCAGTCGACAACCATTCAATAGTGTTACCCAAACGCACCGAAGTTTGTGTCTGCAGACTGCCCCGCGACGCAAGGGTCAACACCACCACCACTATATCTAATTTAACTGCGTCCAAGAGGGGGTATATGTCTAGGTAGGGGGTTTCAAGGGCAAAGAGGGGGAAGTTTCATCTTTGTTCACATGACAGGAAGAAAAGATCCTGTCTTTGGCCCTTGCAGAGAGATGTGTGGAGAGAAGGGGTGTAGTGTGGGGGAGGGGGAGGGAGGGGGGTATCTTGCTGCAGATGCATGTTGACTGGAACACTGCGCGAGAGACAACCTGAGATTGCATGAGATGCTGTAGATTTTCTTATCTGGTAATATCGATCCTAGGTCTTATAGATCTCTAAGTGGGGTTAAATCTGTTATTTGGGGGGTGTTCAGGATTGAGAATAGTTGCTTTATCGATATGTGTATCGTTGATAGTGGGGTTGGATGTATGGGAGTTTCTTTTTGTAGAATTCTGTGATTATAATACAGTTATGACATTGTCTAGAAAGATAAGATCAGGAATCATTCATGTAGAATATTGAACTCACTGGATGTAAATGGTCGACCACGAGTTGTGCGGCATATATATATATATAGTAGTTCTTGAAGATCTCTTCAGGTCTTACGTTAATAAGGATGATAGACTAAGATCAACACCGTATCGATCAATAAAAGTGATGGTCTACCCCGCAGACGCGAACAAAGAATCCATGTGGAATATCTTTCCGCTACGGAGTATAGGGTAAAAATAGGAAGATCTCGGATAGAGACCCGACGGACTGTGAAAGTAGGTTTTATACTCTTGGTATGTGTATTGGAGCACGCTCGTGGTGGTAGTATATCTGGATAAGATGACGAAAGGGAAAGATTTCAGAAATATATCCAGGTGACAGGCATATGTATATATCTGCGCACCCGTCATAAAGGAGTCATTCGAATTCATCTTGCTCTATTCTCTTGGGCCAATTCCCCTAGCTGTACAGAGGGAATGTAAAAAGGAAAACAAAAGACAAAAAAGGTAAAAATAACATAGTCCATCGCGTTGTATCATGTACCAAGTAACCCACATGCGATCAGTATCCATTGGAATCTTCGTCGTCAAGAGAGGTAACACTGGACGTGAGGAGTCGGGTTTCTCTACCCTTTCCTTTTGTCCCCCATCCAAACACAAGAAGACTTTAACGGATCGATTCTCATGAACCCAACCGCATCACGAACAGCCAACAACACCCACTTTACGCCGTCGCGTACTTTCTCGTCCACTCCTTCGCAAGCTCATCATACCGAGCGCGGTCATTCTTGTACTGCTCCGCGATGCGGCCCTCCACCGCATCGTCCGGCATGGGCTCCACGAGCAGTTGTCGCGCGAACTGCAGCACGGCAGCTATCTTCGAGCTTGGCTTCCACTCGTCGGGCCGCAGCATCCCCAGACACATGCTCCCCTTATCATCGTTCGTCACGTTGGGGTGGTAGATCTTCGTTCCGAACGATACGGCGGGCGGCTTGAACGGGTACTCGGTGGGGAGTTTCAACTTGACGAGGAATTTTCCATTCTGGGAGCCGGTGGAGGTTAGCGTTGCTTGGACTCTTTCCTCGTAGTGTATGACTCAATAGGGTTCAAGTTCAACGCGGGGGTGGGGGCGCTTTGTTGGGGAGATGAGGGAAATACCTGGAATGGAGACCCCTCTGGCCCTTCCATGTAGACGTTCCACTGGTAGAGATCGGACTCGTCTGCCAATTCCACTTTGATGCCTTCCGGGGGCGACTCGACGAGCTCGGCCAGTTCCTGGTGGGGCGGGAGTTAGCCAGAGATTCTGAGGTAGCGGGGTCACGTTGAAAGGAAGGGTGCGGGATTACATACTTTTGCGATTCTCTTTTGACTCATTGTGACTTCTTCACGACCGACTCGCAGTGGCGGGGGTGATTTCTGTGGCGGGCGCTTGGAATGGAACGTGGGGTGAGGGGTCGTCGGGACCGCACGGTGTTGAGAATTGGCGGGATGTGACCTGATAAGGGAGAAACGTAAGGTTGAAACGCACCACGAATGTAGCAGAATCAGAGAGACAATCGATAGAATATCAGAAAGGTGACAGATCAGGGGAAATCGGAGTCAGCCTTGGATTACGGGGATCGTCTCGTGACAACAGCTTGACGCGGCGGCGGCGGGGCCGCGCTGGAGGTCGGGCGGGGCGGAGATCGGGCCGGGCAGGAAGACGTCAGTTGTCCGTTTCGGGTGGATTACTTGAGGAGACTTGATGCTATTAATATTCTGACGAAGCGAATCAAGCTGAGATTACCATGCGAATAAAACAAGACTGAGCATGAAAGCAAAAAGGCAATAGTTAAAAGACGGATACTACAACCGACGATGGTTGCGGCCGAATTGCCACCCACGGACCGTGCTTACTTTCCAAGGGACAGCCTTTTACAAGTACCATGCACTGGACCTTTTTAGGGAAGGCATCTACAAAGCCAAGCGACGTGTATTAAACTCGCCCCTTCAACATAAAAACATCCGCAACAATCATATATTGTGTCCGTAGAACCGCCAAAAAAACCAAGTCAAACACCGAAAGATTGTCCTATATCCTGGACCCCCTGATCACTCCCGTTGCATAATGACCGTCAACCCCATTATCCCCAGAAGAACCGTCTTCAACCAGGGGTGTTCGCTGAGCATGATCGTCACGTAGCCCACGCTGGGAATGTACCCGCGCACACTCCCAACAATATCCTCCCGACGGTCCAAGTAGTCCTGGCCTCTCGCATACAATTCGGTATCGTCGGCGATGTTGTTATCACCCTTGGTGAGGAGCATGTCGTTCGAAGGCGCGGAGGAGCTAGGAAAGTCGGTAATGTCAGACGGCCGTTGATAGCTAAATAATTTGCAGAAGATAATAAAGAGAACAAAGGGACATACTCTGAAGGCTCCACGACCCTCTTCGTCTTGCTGTCCACCTCCGGGAACGTCCTCACAACGCGATGCACGATCGGAATATCCTTGCCCTTGACATTGTACACCACGACCTCACCCAGCTCGGCGCGGGGGCTGCGGTTCCACAGGAAGAGGAGATCGCCTCTCTGGAACGCGGGTTCCATGGATCCCGAAAGGACTGTTGCGGGGGATTCAATCAGCTATTTATCCTTGAGATCTGTTCGCGCGAGAAAAGGACGACTCACCCACGACGATGGGAGAACTGGACGCTGTCGCGATCGACAGGCCCTTCCATAGCATGAATGCCGTGGATAGCACCAGCGCGAAATTGAGAACCTGCGTCAGCGTCTGACGCGCACTCGTTAAATTGGATGACAGGGCGGACAGCATGGCGGCGATGAGTGTTGAGGTTGACTCTTGCGGAGGAAGCTTCGGAGGTAATGCGGAGAGAGAGATAGATTGCTAAGGTGGGTGGAGCTCGGGAAAAACAAAAACAAAGGGCCAAATCAACTGATCAGTGATTGCGATGTTCAAGTGACGGACGACAAGCACTATTATCTTGTGGTCGATCGACTTGTGGGGTGTCGGTCGCAGTTTGTTCTGCTGGGATCGCAGATGAAAGAGCGTAGGTGTCCTCCCTGGAGGTGAGCTAGAAGGCCATGTGGTTTCCCGCCTCGTTGCCTGCGGGCTTGGGTTCCGCCCTTCTCCATCATCTTTAGAACACTGCGGATGCTCTTTCTACTACCTTTGCAAGATCAAGCAAAATCAAGTGAAAATTCTATTGGAAATCTAATTCTATCATTAAACACATATATCGCTGTCTTATACTTCATAAAACAAAAAAAAAAAAGAAAAGAGAAAAAAAGACACAAAGACAGTGAAAAGGTCGTTCATCGCGAATAGTATAATGTCAAGCCAAGTCCCTGCCCACTTTCATACCTGGGTCGGGCTAGAACTCCCAAGGGGCTGCTCATCTTCCCAGAACTTGTCTTTCTTCCCCTTTTTCGTGACAAGGCCGACCACATCAAATGGATCGAAAAATGTCTGAAGGAAAGGGCGTTTATCCTCGTATCCAGGCCCCACTAACTCCGTCACCCCGTCTCTCGCAAGGTATACCTTGTTCGAGCGGGGGAGCCACTGCATCGGATGGAGGAGATTCAGCATCGTGGTATTTGAGAACATAATCGCAGTCTCAAAGACCCAGAAGAACCACTCGTTCTTCATGATCGGGTTGATGTTCTTGACATCGATGGTGGCCGTCATGAAGTACTCAACAGTTCGATAGATAGTGCGGATGGTGATAAGCGTGCAGCTGGCGAGCAGCACGGATAGAGCGCGCTTGACTTTGCTGTTCAAAACACCTGCGCGGCGGCAGTTGAAGTAGAACTTGCCGGCCAGGGCAACAAACCCGGCCATGAGCGCCAGTTGGAGAATCAAGGCGGCTTTGAGCAATGCCTTTCCTGTATCTTTGGAACTCTCCGAGCTGCCCATGTTCGCCACACGTGCTGCGCCGTTTGCTGTGATGACCTCGATCACGATGGCTAGGGCCACGAAGGTGGTAAACACACGGCCGGGGTGGATTGGTGCATGGTATGGGATGTAATACAGAATGCGGCCCAGAGTGAGGAAGTTTGCGCTCTCGTAGACCGGCCTATAGACATCGTCAATAACTGATGAGGCAATTTGCACAACATGTCTGATCACCCGGGGTGGGGAGTGAACTCACGGCGCTGCAAGCAAAAATACTGAACCGGCGATGTAGATGTTCAGGTTGTCCCACTCTCCGAAAGCGCCAATCGTGCGCAAGATAAACCCGACGGTAAAAAGTAATGCTGACCACGGTAACAGGCCAGTCACCTTCCATGACTTGTACTTGCTGGGGATCCGATCAGCGATAATCATATGTTATAGGACCAGCAATACATACTTGCATTGATAACCATGGATAACGCCTGATATCACGAAAAGTATTGCGAATGCGATGGGTGCGCCCTTATTCGGCGCATAATACCAGAGGCTGCCCTCCTCTTCGCGACATTAGTACCATGATACTTCTGCCCTATTCGTATGGGTTTCAGGGTATACTTACGGTATGGTGACCGTTTTTCTAACATGACCTCGTGATACCTTGCTGCTGGAATCTATATGAACAAAGAAAACAATAGTGAAAAGTATGTGATCGTCGAGGAGAAAACAATCAAATGGATAGTATCTAAACCGATGGATTCTAATCCTGAGCCTTGAGACAGATAGACCCGAGTCCCAAGGCTCTTTATATACTTTGGACCGTCTGGATAGTATCATCGTCAGCATGAACGTCCGCCGTTAGCGAAAACGAGCAACCCTAAATAGGAAAGGAGCGAAGCAGAAAAAAGAAACAAGCCTCCACCTGGTGATACATGGGACACCCACGATGTGGGTTCTAAGCTTCTGGTGCTGACAGCACAGCCTTCCAACGCAAGTACGGGGTCCACGTCTGGTTAGGGGCGCTGGGTTTTCCCCCAAGAGGTCGCTGACGCTGCGCCACAAGCCACAGGATGGAATCACATCCCAGAAGATTGAATCGCCGAGATGTGCTATGACCGTGAGCTAACCCCAATAGGAGAGCGCTTTTGAGGTGGAATCAGATGGGAACACATCGTACAGGTCTTCAGCTGTGGCTAGCCTGCTTGTGAGTAATCTCGGGCAAGGACCGATTCTTTCACCCATGACTATTGGCTTCTAAGCGAATACGATCGGGCAGGGCTGAGCCACGCGATTTCTCAGATCACCTGTCCTTCAAGGGCTGAATGACTCGTATTGCAGAAAAGGAGGCCAGCCTTCTGCTCAGCAAGAATGATGTATTCACTGCCAGAAACACCCCAAAAAGTGGTGCCTGATTGAAGTCGCTGATATACCATGGGTCGGATGCCATAAACATCAGGCAGTAACCCCGGATTACCCTTTCGGGAGGGCGTTGTCGGGGTAACGACGCACTAGCCCAAACGGGAAGACAACATTGCAGAAGGCAGTCCCTCCACGTTCCGATTGGGGCACATTTCATCATCCACTCTTAATTTCCTCTTCTCGCGCGGTCTGGACTCGCGTTGAGATTCATATCCCACCAAGTAGATCCTTGACAACACCTGTCACTCTCAGCCGGAGTGCATAAACAGTCATCATGGGCACGAAAACCCCGCCAGCGTCACTCTTCCAGGTGTACTTGCGCCTCCGTCCGCCCGGTCCACAACACCAAGATCACCAAACTGAGCGTTGCATGACTATCGATACCCCAGAAACTAGAGATTCCCAACTAGATGGCCAAGCTCCCAATGCTGGCCCGACCCATATTACGCTGCAACCGCCCAGCGATACCCGAAAACGCGCAGTCGAGAAGTTCGGATTCACCAAGGTCTTCGACGAGTCGGCGTCCCAGCTGAACGTGTTTGGAGAGACCGGGATAGACTCTTTGGTAAAGGGTGTGCTGCAGGAAGGAAGGGATGGCCTCATTGCGACCTTGGGGGTAACCGGGAGCGGCAAGGTATGAACCTAATCGAACCAAATGGCAGGAAGCATTGTCCTAACGATAGGCAGAGCCACACCATTCTGGGCTCAAAGACACAGAGGGGACTCACTCAGATGAGTCTCGATGTGATCTTCAGGTCCCTGGAATCGACAATCAAACCCCCCGACAACTCGATCAGTCCCTTTCTCCTAGCATCCGTCTCTGCCTCGGACCCTTCAGAAGCGCAGATATTCTCAGCCCAGACGTTCCTCGAAGCGGTATACACCGACCCGAGTGAACGTGGGCGAAATTCAAGGGCCCAAACCCCCATGAGCTCGGGCAGAGCTAACACCCCGATGACGGTATGGAAACCCTTCCCCCCGAGCCCGTGGTCCCAAGACATTCCCCCATCAACGCCTGGGAGATCCCCCGATCGTGCCCATGGAATTATCCCGCCAGTAGTCCTGTCGTATGGAGAGGCGCCACGCTCCCCACGATGTAGTCGCAAGTTGCGCCGTGGTCTACAGACTATTCCTGAAGAGAGACCCAGACACGTCCAGGATGGTTCCGTAGCGCTTACTCCCAACTTCCACTATTGTTCATATGAGAAACTGTGTGCTAAATCTTTATCGCAAATATTGAAGGACCCGACGCCAGCGATCAACTTCCCTCGTCGTAACCTGCCGCCACGGCCCGGCGCTCTGCCCAAATCCCCCGATGTCAGCCACCTGACCTTGGAATTAAACCCGAACTCCGAGTATATCGTCCTAGTATCGATGTATGAAGTGTATAACGACCGCATTTTTGATCTATTGTCCCCAGCTATTGTCCCTGGTCAAGGCAGCACCGTGTCACGCCAAGGGGCCAATATGCAGCAAAAGGATCGACGCAAGCACCTCTTCTTCAAGTCGACCGAAGGATCTCCCGATCGAAAGCTCGTTGCAGGTCTGCGTAAGATTGCCTGTAGCACTTACGAAGAAGCACTGGCGATTCTTGAGATTGGCCTTACGGAGCGGAGGGTCACGGGAACCAATTCCAACAGTGTGAGCTCTCGAAGCCACGGTTTCTTCTGCCTTGAAGTCAAGAGACGGATGCGGAGTAAGAGAACTGGCGAAGAGACCTGGATTGGGAACACATTGACTGTTGCGGACTTGGCTGGTAAGAATATACCATCGGGATATGACGGGTCGATGTTAACTAAGTGTCAGGTTCCGAGCGAGCAAGAACCGCGAAAACGGGAGGCTCAACACTTGCTGAAGCTGGTAAAATCAACGAGAGTCTGATGTACCTCGGTCAATGCTTGCAAATGCAAAGCTCTATTCAAGACGGGAACAAGGTAGGGCTGCAATCTTTTTCGTCTAATAATCCTTTGCTGCTCTTGTGCTGATCAAACTAGACCGCTGTCGTCCCTTTCAGACAATGTAAACTTACAGAGCTGTTGTTCTCCAACTCGTTCCCCTCCCCGGGCCAGGCAGCAGGCCTGAACCGTCACCCGCAAAAAGCACTTATGATTGTGACGGCAGATCCGTTGGGTGACTACAACGCGACATCCCAAATCCTGCGCTATTCGGCACTGGCGCGTGAAGTTGCTGTGCCTCGAGCTCCGTCCATTGCGGAGTCTATTGGGTCTAACTCTCTTGCTACGGCAAGCGGGCGTAATTCGCCGGATTTAACCACAGCCGAAGAGCTTGAAAGGGCCACAGCTGAAGTCAAGCGACTGGCCGAAGAAAATGAAGGCCTTGCCATGAGGCTCGCCGAGGAAGAGGTCATGAAGGCAGAACTCGAGCTCAGATTGAAAGCTAGCGAAGAGACCTGCATCATGATCGAGCAAGATGTGCGGGAAGAGTGCTGGGCGGAGATGGATGAGAGAATGGAGGAAGAACGGAAAAAGTGGCAGACTGCCCTGGACGAACAGGTGAGTACGAGCGATTCCCGGGCCACCCTTGCGCTTCTACTGACCTCACTAGGCTGGCCACAATAACGAACACCTTGACAAGAAGATCGAGCTTCTGTCCCGAGGCTTCCACGGTAAGTTTACGCTGTTCCACTATATCTGTGGTGTGACTGACATTTGATACCCAGTCCATGAAGATCCAGCATCCTCCGAGGACGACCGAGTGAACGACCTTGAGTTCGAGAATGACCAGCTCCGCAGCAAGATTGCTGCTCTCGAGCGAGAGCTCAACTGCCGCTCCCCGACCAAAAAGCCCAAGCCCAAGAATGTGCTCGAGTCGTCTCGTAACTCCAACATCCTGGGCCGCGAAAGTGACATCGAGGTTGCACTTCAGCGCATGGACCAACTGAAGTTGGCCGACAGCATGTTCTCTCCCGCCCAACCGACCAAATCCCCCGGAAAGAAGCCTAGAAAGATGGCAACCCGCAAGTGGGATTTGGCACCCGAGGAAGATATTTGAAGTGCTTATTGAAGTTCTATTCCCATGCTCAATCGTTTTTTCTCTTTCATGAATACAAGATATCACGCCAACATGTTGGGTTTACTGCTTTTGCTTTTGCTTTTTACTTTCTAGGTATTTGGTTGATGTAGGTTATGCGAGCAAGCAATGTCAAGATAGCACTGTTAAATAGAAAATCATCACTTCCCCTATACTAATACATTATGCGAAGATCGCAATGTCACTGCTAGCCTACAGGATAGTAACGCCGGTAGATCATGGTAAAAATCACACAATAGCAATAGCGCCGGTATCCCGATATCGTACCAACACCCGTACAATGTATAATAGACAAGGGAGCATGCAAAGAAAACAGAGGGAAAGAAAGAACGAAAGTTAGGCAGACGACGAAAGCTCAACGAACGTCCATAGCTTCAGGTTCACCTTCGCCACCAGCAGCTTCTTCAACATTGTCGGCCTCTTCTTCTTCAACGTCGACGTCGTCGCCATCGACGTTCATCATGTCTCCGGGTTCGTTGTCGTTGTCGTTGTCATCGCCTTGGGTTTCAGGCTCGTCTACAGGTTCAGCTTCTTCTTCTTCTTCTTCTTCCTCTTCGTCTTCCTCTTCTTGTTCTTGTTCTTCGGCATCGGCGCCATCTTCGCCGTCGTTTTCTTCATCGCCTCCCATTTCGGCGTCTTCTCCCTCGGCGACTTCTTCTCCTTCTCCTTCCTCTTCTTCTTCACTATCGCCTGCTTCGTCGCCGCCTTCATCTCCTTCTTCGTTATCATCTTCCTCCTCCTCCTCCTCCTCTTCGTCTTCTCCGACAGGTCCAGTTTCTTGTTCGTTCTCGCCGACATCACCCTCTCTATCGGCCCCTTCTTCCACCGCCGCCGCAGCGGCTGCCCCACCATCTCCGTCGGCGCTGACCTGAGCCGACATCTCCGACCCAGGCTCCACAGACCCCCTGTTCTGCAGATTAGGGAAGAAACGCTTCCTCTCCGGAGCGAGCTTCGACAGCTTCTCATCGTCGATCTCGCTAAGCTCGCTCTCATCGTCGGCACTCTCGTGCAGACTCCCATCGGGTGCATCGCTCTGGTGTCCCGTCGAGCTGCCGACGGCCTGGACACCATTACTGGTGGTGTCTTTGTTCGTCTGCGAGGGCGCGGAAGTGGCGCCGCCTTTCTTGGGAGGGTGGTTCTGCGGTGTTGGTTCAGTCTCCGCGGGGGCGGAGACCTTGGCTGTGGGCACACGCGGCGTCAGCTTGCGGCTGACGATTGTCTCCGCTCGTTTTTGGATGTCGCGGCGCGCGATGCCCTTTGTGCGGCCGCGGGGCGCGGGGGCTTCGGATGGTGGGGCTGAGGTAGGTGGCGTTGAGCCGTCTGCGGCGCCGTCGGTGGTGGCCATTAGGAGGTGGTCGACTTTCATCTTCTCTTTGTTTTCCTCGTTGGCTTGCTCGAGGACCTGCGGCATGTTGACTTCGTAGAGGCGGGAGTAGAGGTCTGCGATGAGGTCTTCGAGGAGGGAGACTTTCATGAGGTTGTTGTTGAGCTTTTTGAGCTCGATGGCGTCGCGGAGGAGCTCGAGGAGGAGGGTGCTTTCGGGAGCGAGTTGCGCGAGGCCTTCCAGGCGGGCGGTGTTGGTCACGAACTCGTCCCAGCTGATTGGCTTGAAGACGCCCTCTTCGTGGCCTTCTTCGATGCCGCCTGCGCGCCGGATGACTCTTGCGTAGGTGAGGCAGACGTCTTCCCAGAGCTTGGTGTGGTTGATGAAGTCGCCTTGCTTCTTTCGCACTCGGCGGAGTAGTTGGTCGAGATTCGCGCGGTCGTCGAGCTGGTCGAGCAATGCTACGTAGAAGTATACGTATCGTGTTGTATACACGAAGTGTCTGCCGGGGCGCTCGAATTCAGGCCTCCAGACTTGGATGGTCATGGTTTTGGTGAAGATTTGGTGCCCGAGTTCGCCCTTAGCTGCCGCTGCTGCCGTGGCGTCCTTTTGGTCGTCGTAGAGGATGTGTGCAGCCTGACGGGGTTTATTAACAATGCCATGCAAGGCAATAGGGGTAATAAGTGGCTTACCCTGAAGGCCATGCGATGGTGCCAATTAGATTTGTCCCCATGCTTCAGATTTCGAAGCACTTTGAGTATATACGGTTTCCAGTCTTCGCGTCCTTCGGGTGCTTCAACCTTGCGAGCCCAGGGAGTCGCTAGAAGAGTCTTGCTTGCTTCGGCCGCCTAGTGGGGTGTTAGCGAGGTGCTATACGAAAAAGGTAGCTTCTTATGTGTGAGCGTATTACCGTCAACGTGTTTCTTTGAACCAACTTGTCGATGATCGACACAAGCTTATAATGCGGCTCAAAAATAGGTTCTGAGCGGGAATCCCTCCGCTGAGGAAGTGCGTCGATCGCATCGAGTAGAGAATCCACCATTTCGTCAACCTCGATGCGTCTGAAATTCCCCCGCACAGAGTCGTCACAGCTATACATCTTCCAGAGACATTTACTCCGCATATAGTAAGTCCTGTATCGTGGTCAATAAGCTTCCGTACTGTTATAGGTAGTGGGTAGACCAAACTTACATCCAATTCTTGGGTTTATTGATGATGGCATGCTTGAGAAGAAAGCTCGCAAGGCTCCAGACAGAGTAAATCTTCATCTCCCTGAACGGCTGCCTCTCGTACATCTGCTGGTTTTCTTCGCTGTTGAAATGACGAGTCGCTTCGCCAATGTTGAAAGCTGCCATCGACAATGGCTCGCGCGAGGACGCGTAGAGACGGATTCCGAAATCCGTATAGACATCCGCTAGGAGTGTTCGGGTTTCCGGTGCTGGGTCGGCAGTGCTGATTGCGGTTGCAATAGCCATGGCGTAGCAGTGGATTGCATTACGCTGCCAGGTTACCAGGTCGGTCCGATTGTTATTGATTTTGTCTGCAGACCAGGTGATGTCCTCTTCTAACTTCGAGTCGTATGTTTGAGCAAGGCGATACCACGACTCCCACTTTGGCGTCCCATGCTCAATATCTTGCCGGAACCAAGTGATAGCGTCGTCGAGATCAGTGGTTGGGACGGGGTTCAAGCGCTTTTGGGAACGGAATTTCGTTAGGGCTGCATGGCCCAAAAGGAAATACCACCCTTTTCGTGCGATTACTGCACTCTCGGTAGGAACAGGGATCAAGGGGAGATCGTCAAGGCCTCGGATGGCGTGAAATATTTCCGTAGGGTTGAGCGGAGATTTCAAGTAGGACGACAGAACGCGTTTGTTGTATGTTAACGGAGGCGACGACTTGGTAGTGCCAATGGCCGACTGCATCTTATCAATCGTGGCCTTCAGCTCTGACTTGGACAAGTCCTTGATGTTTATCTTCTTTGCCTGTTTCATGACCAAGTCGATCATCATTATCGCCGTTGGTCGGTCCAGCTTCTCAACGGGGCAATTGTGCTCGGCTAACAGACCGTCAACGGGGGACAGCTTTATGCCATGGATATCGTATAGAATTTGGCACTCGTCCGCCTCAACATCTTGCTTCACATCCAAAGTAAAGATCTCCGATTTCATGATCTTGAGGAATTGCTTTTGAGAGCGCTTGCACATCTTCCGGATACCAAGAGCATTGTGCACGGCACGCAAGTAATGGATGCGGTCCTCTAGCGGGGTGTCAAAATCCTCTTCGCTTTGTGCCATGGCTTCCCTAAGGAGCGTGTAGAGTAAGATCCAACAGCGGACATTCATATCGCGTAGTTTGTCTTTGAAGTTCTCCAAGGATTTGGCGAGTGCGCCGCGGAGGTCAGATCCGGCCGTTTGGCCCACTCGAACTGAGTCTTCATAGACGATGAAGCTATGGAGTAGGTTTAGTAGAAAAGCGAGTGCTGACATTGACGACCTGAGATGATCCATATCAAAGCAATCGAAGGCCTTCTCCTTGTCCTGAAGAACAGCAGTGGTCGTCTTGCTCAAGATGCCATCAAGCGATTTGAACCATCGGATTAGGAGGGTCTGGCGATGCTCAGTAGGTTCCTCCAGATGCGCAGGATTCTGGAGCTCTCGTGTTATCGTCTCGATACTACGAAGCTGGCAAGATATGATCTTGGGCGGGTAATTGATTGACTTGTACGCGTCCTGCAGTCTTTGCCACAAAAATAATCGCAGAGTGACATCCCCCCTATCCAGGAAAGAGCCCATTTCGTGGATCTGGGAGGTTGGCTGGTCGAGGCTCTGCTCTTCGGTCCCATTCTCTTCGACGAAACGAACAGAACTAGGCTCGAGGATTGGCTCGATTGTTTCAATCAGCCCTACAGGGTCTTCCGATTCGGGGTTGAAAATCTTCATGAAGAAGTCCATGGACTTCAACTTGGATATCTCCTGGTCGATGGCCTCGGCCGCTATTTCCGGCATCATGGCGTTGTTCACGAGGGTTATCTCCGGATCTTTCAGGCAATGCAGCAGGCGTTTTAATTCCTGAAGACAAAGGAGGACATGTTCTCTCGAAGCGTCAGTAATCATGTTGGAGTAGAATGTGGACGCCCAGATATGGCGCAGAGTGATATTGTCCTGGTTGACTCCCGAGGGCCCATGGTCCATGAAGTGCGTGAGGGAGGTACGAGCTAGCATGTTCCATCTTGCCAAGCGATCTCGCTGCACGCTCCTAATGCCCGAATCCACCTCGCTGTTCGGGTTGTTTATAGAATTGTATATGTCGAGATGGAGCTCAAATACAGTTTGGAGGAAACCCAAGTCTGAAAAGTGCCCGACGGTGTATTCAAAAGGTGCCTGGGCGCTGCTAGAGAGTATCTGGTGCTCGAGGGCTTCGAGTTTTTCGCACATCCTCCCATAAACGTACTCGTCGTCCCGCAGCAAAGCTTTTGTCACGGTTTCTTTGAGAGATTCAGGCCACTGGCATTGATCGTAGGCCGACTTCAGGCTGGACCAATCTCCTGCGCTGGAGACATTACCTCCCGCGAGACCTTTCCCAAATTCGGGTGCCAGGAGCGAATAGAGCCAGCCAAAGGCCACTTCGTGGACATTGAACCATCCTTGATTGACATGGTCTGACAACTCCTGCAGCTCTTCATCCCCAGAAAGGACTTGCTTCATCCCTAATTTGCGGGTAGATTTCCTCGAGTGTTCCAGGAAAATGGCCAGTCCAGATTTGCCCATGGTTTGGACGTTCTGAAGCGTTGAGAAGTTATCGCTTTGGAGCATGACCTGGGACCTCCCTTCATCCCAACTTTTCATGATGTTCCTCAGGTCCTGGGGCAGCAATTGTTCAACTTTTGCAGGCAAACTTGCTGCATCCGCCGGGGCGTCCCCTTCGGCAAACACAAGCTTCCTTATGCCATCGACCGTCCCTAACTTTTCGACGCCAACCTTGGATAATAGAGACCCCACCGTGTCGAGCATCCATTCGTCGGCCTGGATATACTCGGCAAGTTGATCCTCGTAAAACTTATTTTGATCGAATGCGACTTCTTCGGACTGGGTGGGCAGATCTGCGTTTGATTCTCGGAGACGCGTCCGTCTACTTTTTGACCTGGAGCCCTCCGCTTGGTCCTCAGTCATTGCCGATGCAGAAGACCTTTTGCGACAGCCGTTCACCGATGATTTGAGATCCGGCTCTTCAGCATTGGCGGGTTCTTGTTGGCTGTCTGCTTCAGGAAGGGTAGGGGACGGGAGTTCCAGGCCCTCCATGAGCTGTTGTTCTGCCCTTTGGTCAACAGACGAATGATCATCGGCATGCTCTCCACATGAATCACCTTCGGTTTTGATACTCGTCGGAGGCCGGGACTTCATGATCTGGTCTCCATCGTCTGGTATAGAGGCTTCTGGTTTCTGTGCTGTGTCCTCTTCGTCGCCCTTTTGTTCGGAAGGCAGTGCATCCTTGGCTTCTGTCGCTTTCACCTCGCGACTAATTGGCGGCAAAGTGATTTTAATTGACGACCCGGGGCGAATATCGGACGACCCCTGCTCTTCATCCTCAAGGACTTGGAGGAGAGATTGACCCACACCAGCCCAAGTTGGCGCGGTTGGTTGGATATCATGACGTGAGGGTTGTAGGGCGAGAGAGCGTTTCGTCTTATCTGCGTCCTGTAGACTATTTGGCAGGGCAGGCAAATAAGGAAACGGGTCAATGTGACGTTTCAAAATCTTCAACAGAGCCTTCTTTGGTTTCTTAATTGGGACGTAGGAAGCGGATAATCGGTCGTCCAGTGTCCGTAGCGTATTCCGCAGTCGCTCTTCCGCAAATGTCTCCTCCAATCCCAATTGCTCTGTTCTGATTTCCAGACGGTTTTCGTCATCCGCCAATACACTCTCCAAACAGTATCGTACTAGTCGATAGCTCTGCAAGGCGCTGCTCAGTCTCGCGCTCTGTCTCCACAGGTTGAGGTCGGTATCGTCGCTTTCCAAGGCGTCGGCAAACGACGATAAGGCGGTGCTTGCTCGTTGCGCAATCTTCGAAGATATCTCGTCGGCATTGTCCGGTGTGCTCGGGGTGTTCTCAAGATTGGACCGTAAAGAATCGAGGATGTACTGTCCGTGGTTTTTATAGGCAAGGTAGATGGTCTGCAACAATGTGCTCGATGTGGAATCATTAATATCGTATTTTGTCAGCGTTTCAGCCTCAACCGCAACAGAATCATCCAACACATCCGTCGGCGGAAGTTCAGTATCTTGCAGGGCAGCTCTCTTGAACCCGGAGAGGGACTCGGGGTATTTGAAGATCTCCGAATTAAGCAGGGCGTCATAGGCTTCCGCGGCCTGGTCATAGAACCGAGGGCCCTGAGAGTGAAGCTTCAGCGCATTCTGGTATAGCTTCAGCGATTCCTCAATCTGGATCTCCTTCGTATCGTCCACCTCCTCCTCGACAGCTTCCGCGGGTTCGATATTCAGAGCCGTCCAATTAGACATGATGACGATGCGGGCTTATTTCCGGCCCTGGGTTAAGTCGCTGGCATTGGAAAACGGATGGGAGTCGCGCTATGCAACATCGCAAGTCCAAAGAATGGGAGGGAAAGTAGATGCGACGAGAACACTGAAAAGGTGGAGTTGAGATGGACGATGCGATCAAGAAGCAGCGGAACACGCATCACGCGTTTTCCGCCCGGGGGGGGGGTGGCCTCAGGCGGGAATTGGGCTTAATTTCCCAAAGGGGAAAAAGTGGTGGCCTGGGTGCCTGGGGTCGCATTGTCTAGCCGGGTCTGCCTGAGGATCGGCCGTACTTTGTTTGATTACGGCCTGGTTGATCTCCGGCCGTGACGACGCCGCGCCGAGACTCTTCTCCCCCCCCCAAAAGACCTCCTGCGCCTTTTGTCCCTGACAGTTACTCCTAGTGGCTTCTTTGAGCATCCTCGTTCTTTCGTACCAAAAAGTACATTCAATTTAATTTTTGATTCTTTCGATTTTCCTCCTATCTCTGTCGCATCTCTTCCTCCTTTCGCATGCGCCATGGTTGCGCCAGCTGTCCCCGAGTACGTACTCCTGAGGCAAACAGATGCGCTCCACTTCCCCCCAGTCGACGTGGAACTGATACCCAATTGCCCGCAGATTATACGAGGAGGAGGATATCTTTGCGGCGGTCGAGGCGCGCACAGAATCGTTACAGAATCTCCGAGAATTAGGTCCCCCGGATTTGGTGTATCTGGTCAAACAGCCCAAGTCGAACACGGGCCGTCAGGTACGTCTCTTTCGAATCCAATTTCACGATGGCGCGACATGGTTGCGTCTACCAGAGATCGTGAAGGCAATAGATGATCGCTAACCTGATTGCGACAATAGCAGACGGGGGTTTATCACCATGTTACCGGAATCGATGCTTCGTCCTCCGCCAGCCTGGCTGCCTACGTAAATACGTTGACGTTTTCTCCCCTGGACAAAACCCACAAAGTGGTCTCGGGGATCTATTGGTGAGATCATCCAATGATGTTGGTCTCTTGTCGCATGCACCATTTCTGACCCCCACGCAGTTGTTATAACGCCTTTTCCCACCTGGACATGCGTGTCGAAGTTAAGATCCCGGGAAGCCTGGAAAGCTATTGCATCGACGAGCGCGGGGAGCAGCGTGTTGCCACCGAGGCCCTATGGCTGGAAACATTCTTGTGCGGTATCTTGAGGGCCTACTCCTACGCGGATAATGGTAGCGGGGATTCCATCCGGAAGATTGTTGGCGTTCGCCGGTTCAACCCCGTCACGAACACGGAGATGGAGCACAAGTTCCTGGACGCCGCAGAGAGGCTGTTCTTCTTGGGTGCGCCACGCTGGGAGCTTTCTACTTGAGACACATACTGACGGCAGTGTAGGACGGCAACTTAGCTCCGACCCCGAAACCCAAGTACCGAATACCGTCAGCAATCACCTCACATCGGGCCTTCTGAAATACATCCAGACCACCGGGCGCTACACTTCGGGAATCAACCTGTTTGAGAAGCTTCGCACAAGAGACGTGGAAGTCTCGTCGCTACTCGCCCAGGTCATGCTCATGGCGGACGAGGAGGTTCAAGCGGTGCGGTTGATGTATGACTCCTTACAGGACGTCCCGATGGACTATTCCTTGCTCGACTGCCAGGCCTTGTTCTGCAAGAACAAGGGCGAGGGAGAGATGGCTCTGGAATGCGCGAAACGCGCCGTCACTGCTGCGCCCAGCGAATTCAGCACCTGGGCCCGACTGGCGGAGGTGTACGTGGGGTTGGAACAGTGGGACCTGGCGCTCCTCACGCTGAACTCCTGTCCGATGTTCACGTACCAGGATAAAGACACGCCCCGCATGCCCCAGCCGTCTCGCATTATGCTCCCGATCTTAGCGGAGAGCATGTTGGATGAGATCGACGAGGGCCAGCCGCGGCAGGGCGACCCCCACGACTACGTGCACCCGTCCCTGCGGAGACTCCATGCTGCGACGTACCAGGGGACATTCCTCAAGGCTTACAACCTCCTGACGAAGATCACGGCCGCGATCGGGTGGGACCAGCTCCTCAAGATCCGCAGCGAAGTCTTCGTCATGGAAGAGGAGTACCGGGTCGAGCGTCAGCATTCCACGTCGAAGGTGTCGCCGTCCATCGGTTCTGGCGCGAACGAAGAGAGCGAAGACGCGAGAGACGCCGAGAAGGGCGCTGGTGACGAAGACGCGCAGACGCAGTCCGAGACCGCCACGAACGGCGACAAAGCATCGGAGGTCACCGTCGAGCGACCGGAGCAAACCGTGGCGTCGGCGGTGGTCAAATCCGGCCGCGACGATGTGAGTACCTTTTACCTGTTTATCTGTTTCCCTGTTTACGTGTTCGCCTGGTTTTGAACAACATCCTAACCATATCCCAGCCCGACCCTTCGCACGCATCCTACACCCAGTTCCAGAACAAGCGTCTCTGCGAGCGCTGGCTGGACAACCTGTTCATGGTCCTCTACGAGGACCTCCGCATCTATACCATCTGGCGAACGGAGATGGCCCAATTCCGACAGCAGGCGATCGAGTACAAGAAGTCCGCGACGGAATGGGAGATCCTCGGCGAACTCGCCGAGCGACTGCACCACTTCGACGAAGGCATCGAAGCCTACCAGCACTGTCTGGAGATCCGGTTCTCGCCCAAGGCCATGCGGGGAGTGCTGAAGCTGTACGAAAAGCGCAACGACACCCGGTCCATGCTGGGCGCATTGATCCGGTTGATTGCCTGGCAATACCGGTGGTATTCTGAGGTAGGTCCCACAAACAAAAGGAAAAGGGATACCCCATTAGATGAATGTTCTAACCAATACAGTTCTCCCCCGAACTACTCTACCTCATCCGCAAGCTCATCGAAGACGAAGGCGCCGTCAAGGTGCGCAGTATAGTCCAGGCCACTAACCTGTCTCAGCCGGTCCTGGATCTCACACACCAGTACTGCCAACTATGCGCGACTTTCCGCAGCAGCGGCAGTGATGGCTGATTTTCTTTTTCTTCTTCTCCTTATTTCATTTAATCTCATTTCTTACCCTATTTCTATACTCTTTATTTTCTCTACAATAGTCCCGGACGGGACAGTCTCTCCTATAGATTACTTAGGCAGGGGAGGGATGGAAAAAAGGGATTGGGAGAGAGTCAATGTTTCCAGCGTGGCTGCAGCGAATACACGAAAATGGGGATGTTTTTTTGATTTGTGTAGTCGGTACACTTGTTATAGGTAGGTAGTTATAGGCAGGTATTGATCATCCTTAGATCTTTATAGTCACTAGTTGTGTGGATAACCGTAAGGGAAACGATGTGTAGACCTTTTGTTCCTGCTTACACGTTGTTACCTATCATTTCCCTCCATCTTGTTTACCCTAATATACCATCTATTGAAATTTTTCAATTGTCACTGGGTGTATAGATGGACTAGCAGTCAGTGTCATTATGTAAGGTATGTATGTGCTGGCATCTCAAAAAATGTAAATTTATCACACCACTTCCACTAGTGGATCACCACTGAAATAACTAAACGATGATAGAATTCTCAAGAATGTGACAATCGTCCTTGGAAATTGGAAATATGTTGAACTACATACCACGACAAGAGATCTTTATACCATAACCTCCGAGTCCAGGCCGTATCAGAACAAGACTACCTACTACTGATCCAAGAATATAGACTAAGGCCCATAGCAGAAGCAAAGAATAAGAGGTCAACTTGACGGATTAACACAGCATTATCCAGGGTTAACAAAGACGTTTGACCTCACTCATCCGCCTCCAAAGCATCAGAATCCACCTCTTTCTCTTTAGGCACAACATCGCCCTTGGCTTTCTTCGCCGCAGCAGCAGGGCCGCTGCTCTTTTCCGTCTTTTCAGCGCCCTCGTCTTTCTCTTCCGCCTCTTCCTCCTCGTCTTCGCCTGCCTCCTCTCCCTCCTTGTCATCCTCGACACCATTCTCGCCAGTGTCCTTGCCATTCTTCTTCTCCTTCACCTCTTCCTTCTCTTCACCTTCACCCTCACCCTCGGGCGCGGTGGCTGTCTTTCGCTTCTTCGGGGCGGGAGGGCCTAGGTGGTAGGAATACACGTTAGCATTGTTGTCTTTCGAGGGTAGGGTGAAGATGGAGAGAATGGCAGGGAGCGAACCTTTCTCTTGAGGAGCACCTTCTTCCTCTTCTTCCTCTTCGTCTCCTTCTTCGGCGCTCGCTTCTGACTCGCTTTCTTCTTCGCCTGCGCTTTCGCCTACGTCGGAGTCCTCATATCTGGGCCACGTTAGTTTTGCATATCTTTCCATGAAGATAAGGCATGATGAGAATCGAAGATAGCAAGCAGAACGCTATCATCGCCGCGACGCAGCGCGAACGAATCAATCCACAAATAACAAGTGTGAAGAAAAAGTATCAAATCGATGACGATGATGCAATCCAACCGAGGCTAGTCAACTAAGTCCCAGCCGAAGCTCAGAGCAACCGCAACAACGACAGACATCAAACAAACGACACAACCGAGCAATTCATTCCATTTCAATATATTTTTGAAGAGAGAAGGGAAATCAATTGGTAGGCGCATTCGCAATACACTAAAAGACTAACAAAAAAAGATCCAGACAGACAGGACTTACTCTTCTTCCTCTTCGCTCTCGTCGCTAGGAAGCGCCTGGAGCTCTTCCTCCTCCTCGGCTTCTTGCTTTCTCTTACGGGTGGACATTGTGTGGTGTGGTATGGTAGGCGCAATCGATGCGCAAAAGTGTGCTGTGCAGAAGTTGGAGGGTTTCCTTGAGCTAGGATGGTGCAATGGGGGAGGGGAGAAGTCGGAAGGGAAGTAAGTAAGTAGGTAGGATAAGGAATGGGATGGGGGGAGGAGAGGGAGAGGAGAGGTTAGGAATAATAAACGGACCAGAGGCAGGCAGGGCAGCAGGGCAGCAGGGTTGGCGCAAGTACAGACAGAGAAAGTAGCAGCGCCGCGCAGTGCAGCGCAGTGCAGCCCCAGCCCATGCTTCTCCTCCTCTGTACCCTGGGAAGGGAGGGGAATGATGAGTGAGCATCATCATTAAGTTATGAGCCATTATTTTTCCATGATTTTATTCTATTATTTCTCTTTTTTTCTATTCTATAATGCCCCAATTTGATCTTATTAACTTCAGATCATTCAGATCAAAATCAAGAAAAAAGAAACCAATTCGAAATGGGATTCAAAAAAAAAAAAGAAACAGAACAGCAGCTGCAATAATGATAATCATCTGCTGGGGAGGAACTTACTTGCTGCTGCTGGGAGAACGAAAGGGGGGCCGTCGCTTTAGTGCTCAAAAGGCTGTGTCTATAACACTATCTTATTTACTACCGTCGTAATCTGACTATTTCAATTTGTTACCCACCCCCGTTTGCCTAGGTGGTCTAGACTACTGACTACTGTAGGTATTGCCGTGGTTGTCTGTACAGTCTCTACCTTGACAAGCTATCTATTACCTACAAAACAGGAAAACAAGACACCCTTTCAACTGAATCAAGAAAGTATTGAGCTTTCATCCAGATATTAAAGACAGGATAAGACCGATAGAAGAGAAGTGAGAAAACAAAAAGGAGTCGCACTTTCACCTGCAAACAGCAAAGCAACCCCGTGTCTTTAACCAACAGGACGTGCCCATAACAGCAGGCACCAGGCACTCCTCTCCTCTCTCTCCAGCCGTTCATTTCAGCTTGGACTGACTGGATCATGATGTCAGTTCCAAAGGACCAGCCAGCCCTTCCTTGCTGCTTGACATTACATACTTTTTTCTTTTCTTTTTCGCTACTTTTACCTGGACATTAAAATAAAATAAAAAGAAGAAATAAGCCGGGCATCCATGTTACACTGCAACCCCACCCACTTCTCTATTATGGACAGAGCGAGACCTGCTGCTCCTGTGTGAGTGTTACTGTTTTACTTGCTGTCGTGTGTGTGGTACATACATACATACATACATAGTACATACACTATCCCCAGCTCCAGCTTTAGAGCTTACCTACTCTCAGACGGATGCGCTCGGGCCAACCTATTCAACTCAATTCAACCCAGACAATGTAATAAACCATCATCTTGATCCCCAATCTAGTATAATATCGATCATTCTGATATTATATATATATATATATATTTCTTTAACTGGTATATAGGTCACTGCGCCAAAAACTCAAAATTGGCCATACTCGGATCCAGCAGATTCTCATCCAACCCGAACCCGTACGTCCCTACCATGTCATAGATCAGGTCCGGCGGCGGAAACCCCTGCGCCATGGCATTGGCTCCACCGGGTACATCGCCATCGGCCCGGTTCACGGTCCCTGCCCCTGACCCTGCCCCTGCACCCCCAGGTACACCAGAAGCAGCAGTAGCGGCGCCCCCGCCCACACCCCCCTGCCACGCCGTATCCCACGAGTCGAACCGCTCGAGCATCTTGCCGAGCCCGCGCGCAATATGCCGCGTCAGGTGTCGATCGCCCGCGGAAACGCAATTGAGCAGCTCGATGACGCGCTCGACGAGCCGGCGCACCTGCCGGCCGTCGATGCTCAGGTAGGCTGAGTTCCAGTTGACGGCGACTTTGAGCAGGAAGACTGCGGAGAAGGTCACCATGGTGTGTGTGAAAATTGGGACTCCCACGATGGCGTCCCGGATGTCGGGCTCTTCGAGGACCATGTTTAGGCAGGCCATGGCGGAGGAGATGGCGATGTTGGCGGCTTCTTTGCGGTCCATGGAGAAGACGGGGGTGTTGGTTGGGGAGAGCGCGCGCAGGGAGAGCGAGTTGAGTTGGAATTTGGCGAAGTGGTAGTGTAGCACTACGCCTTTGGAGGGGTAGGTGCGGACGTAGGGGCTGTCGCCTGGTTTAACTGTGAGTGGTTGGTTTGACTTGTCTGGTGTGTCTTTAGTTTGAAGGTGTTTACTTACTCGATCGGGGTTGCCACAGGAGTCGCCATTGATCCAAGGCCACGTTGTACACCCGCAGCTGGCCGAAATCTTCCTCCGTCAAGGCCTGTTCCGTGTCGCTGCCAAACATGCGATACGCCTCGGTCAGGATCATGAACAGCGCCACTTGCGCGATCAGTCGGATATCGCCCGGGACCACCATCGGGGACTGCAGGAACGACTCGTAGTTCTTGATCGCCACGTCCTCGTGGATGACGGGAGGTCGCCCGTAGGCGATGCTAAAGTGGTGGTCGCAGACGTAGAGCAGGTACCAGAGCTGAGCTCGCTCGTACTGATCGCCATGGCCCCGCATCATCTTCTGGTAGCTCTGATGGAGACCCATCTCCGTCGCGATTCGCACCGCGTGGCCAGACAGCTTCCAGCTCAGCTCGGAGAGCCAGAATGCGCCCACGCACAGCCCGCGGATGTCATCCAGCGTGTGCGCTCGAGTCAGAGACATGTCGGATACCAGTGACACGTACTCGCCGTAGCACCGATTCAGCGTTTCCGTCCGATTGGGGATGTGCAGGGCCGCCACCGTGAGGACCGCCGCGGAGAGGAGGGTTGACGCTCGTCGGACGGATGTTAGATCCCGGTGGACGAGGATGATTCCTCCCCAGAGCAGCTGGTTCATTGTGCGGCTGAAGTATGCAAATAGTTCTTCCGCTTCATGGATGGAGATCAACCCTCGTGAGATGAAGTCCTCCTCCAGCAGCGTGAGCTTGGGCTGTTGCACCGGGTTATGCCGTAAGTCGCGCAGCTTCGTGACTTCGTAGAGACTGCGCATCGGCGCCGGCACCAGCTCTTCTCGGTCTCCAAGGTCCGGCTCCTGGGAGGCCTCTCTGGTCACGTCCATCATAACCCCTGGCTCTGAGTGATTCACGTGGTTGGTCTGGTTCAAGTTCATCTTCGACTGCGAGCCATCGAACGCCGAATCGCGACGGTAATGCGACGAGGCGGGACTCGATCCATTCTGACCGCTATCGTTGGCGAAATACGTCGACAGCTCCGGGAGTGCGTTCTGGCGCAGCAAGTGTGCCACGGCGGCTTGGAGCTGCTGAATGGTGGCCGCCGCTTGAGACTTCCATCTAGCACAACAACTCAGAACCACCTCACCAAAGATTGAGCCTTATATATAGAACCAGAAACCACTCACACTCCATCGTCGTCGACGAACTTTTGCGAAAAGTCATTGACTATGCATTTGATTCCACTGCGCATACACTTGTTGCACGTGGCTTCGCCCGGTTTGAACTCGCAACGGATCTTATGGCGCTTGCACTCCGCACCTAGATGCGATCTATTTAGAATATGCACCCCGCACGATCCACCCACGCTCCTCGGGAGGAATTTCAGTTACTCACACGCGCGGGCTTTGGAGATCCTCGGGACCGGGGCCCGTCCGTCCGGGGCCAGAGACGCACGCCGGTCATCTTTCCGAGGGGACTCGAGACCGACATCCGATGAAGAGCGCTTCATAATGGAGCTGTCCTAGAGGATGACTGGAGGGTATTGGCTAGGGGCAATGGGAGTGATCGGGGATGCTCCGGGGCATCATGCAGCCAACCTGGGACTGCAGTTTGCGACGGATACAATCGGCATGAAAGGAAATTGGAGGAATCCGATCGCGCAAAAAAGCAATCAATCCTAGACTTGCGATCCGGTTGGTTTGTACGGGTGAGAATTCAAAAAGCAGTATGCGATAGGGGTTGGAGGGAAGAGAGTAGAAAAGGAAACCACTGGTTTCATTGAGGGGGAAATCATGGATGCGAAACCCCGCCTTTCTTCTAAGCGCCCGTGGGGTTCAATGGGCTTCCACGTCCTTGTTTTCTTCATGGATAGTTCGTGGGATTTCTATATTCTTTCGTTATTACTCAATTGATCTTATTTGACTGTCTAATATCTGAATAACCACCAAGACAAATTCTCTATAATTGGAGGAATGCTACGAGGCCTTGTGTACCTACAATCCCCAGAAATGTTGATTGATGGGGCAAATCGCATAGTCTTATTGGAGGAAGTGAGTCCTCCAACCCCACCCCCATACTGTTGAGTCTGGCCACAATGTCGAGATATCTGACAAGCAGACGACCTCAACAGCTGTCTCCCATGAAGAAGACAAGATCGAGAATACAATAACTAACTTGTCTCCATCTCCTTTCCTTGTTTATTTCCCTCTGGGTAACAACGGGTCAAGTCCGGTGGGGAAGCTGGACCTCGGACTTGATGCGAGCCCCACCCCCGACATGACGATAGAATAACAGGGTCAACATCAGGTCCGACTTCTTTTAAACCACTCTTCTCCATCTCCAATCCAAACCACTTCCCCATCCTCATACTGTATCCTCTACAACATGCAGATTCTCATCACCGGCGCAGCCGGTTTCATCGGCCAACTCCTCGCCAAAGAACTCCTCAACGACCCCTCCCACATCGTGACCTTAACCGACATCAACGAACCCCCCATCCCCAAAGGCGCCAAACACCCCCAAAATGCACGCACCGTGACCGCCGACCTTCTCAAAGATGCCCAATCCGTCGTGACGGAATCCCTCGACGCCGTGTACGCCTTCCACGGCATCATGTCCTCCGGCTCCGAAGCCAACTTCGACCTCGGCATGAGCGTCAACGTCGACGCGACCCGCAATCTGCTCGAAGTCCTCCGCAAAACCTGCCCCGGCGTGCGCGTGATCTACTCCTCCAGCCAGGCCGTCTTCGGCCAGCCCCTTCCGAAAGTGGTGGACAGCACCGTGATCCCCACGCCCCAGTCGTCCTACGGCGCGGAGAAGATCATCGGCGAGACCCTCGTCAACGAGTACACGCGCCGCGGCTTCATCACGGGCTTCACGCTTCGCTTCCCGACGATCTCCGTTAGACCTGGGCTGCCCACTGCCGCTGCGTCATCGTTCCTGTCGGGGATGATCCGCGAGCCGCTCAATGGGCAGGAGTGTGTCATTCCGCTGGAGGATCGGTCGTTCGAGTCATGGATCTGCTCGCCCCGGACTCTGGTCCACAATCTGATCGTCACGCTTTCGTTGCCACCTGACTCCATTCCTCCGCATATCCGCCAGATCAGCGTTCCGGGGATCTGCGTGACGATACAGCAGATGATGGATGCGTTGGAGGCGGTCGGAGGGAAGGACAAGCTGGCTTTGCTGAAGGAGAAGGAAGACCCTGTTCTCCGGCCGATCTTGGATTCGTGGCCTACTCGTGTGAACAATGAACTAGCCATGTCGTTGGGGTTCAAGCGCGATGAGTCTTTTGAGCAGGCGGTCCGGGACTATCAGTTGGAGTTGACTCAACAATGAGGATTGCGTCTGGAGGTTGGTTGAGTCGTATACAAGCTGTACATATGTCTGTAGTCTCGGGACGGTCTATTGATAGTCAATTAACGAATACGCATCATGATATATCACCTATTATACAGAGGCCAATATAGTAATACTAATTCTAACGAGCCCACTTGACCAAACGAAGCCCACAGCCATGTCTAGAACAAATACCGCATCATCTCCAAACTTGAACATCTCAGCACAGTTCTCACAATCAATAACTCTCCCAAACCTGCCCATCAATCGCCACCAACCGATTAAACAAATCATTCCTCGTCTTCATAGCCGTCAACTGATACCTCTCCTGCGGCCCCTTCCCAACAATAACCAGCCCATCCACCACCTCCTTCCCACCAACCGCCCACCCAGCCGCCAACTTCCCCTTCCACCCCAGCCCCCCCATCTTCCTCAACTCCACAATATCCGTAACCGGAAACGCAAACAACACAGACTTATTCCCCTTCTTGTCCCGCACGCTCTGGTCCTCCGCCATCGACGCCGGATCCGTCGTAAAGTAAACAACCGGCGGATCCTGCATCGCGTCGAGCATCACCGCGCCGCGTTTACCGTGGTACCGCGCGTCGAAATGCACGGGGCCCCGCGGGACGACGGTCTGGCCTTTGCGTCGGAGGACGCCCACGCGGCTCTTGGCGTGCCGGGACCCGGCTGCTGCTCGGGCGCGGTCCACTGCTAGCTTGCTTTGGAGGCCTGTGGATGTGGTGCCGCGGAAGAAGTTGACTAGACCGGACATGAAGTTATGTTTGGGTTTGGGCGCGTCGGTGGCGGGCTCTTCGTGGGGGGTGGAGCCGGGCGGTGCGGGAGATGCGGCGTCGTGGATTTCTTCGTTGGAGGCTCCGAGTTGGAGATTGTTGGTGTTGATTGGGGTGGGCTCTGATGGTGGGGGTGCGTCCTTATGGTTGTCTCCGGGGGGTGGGGGGATGGGGGAGCCGTTTGCTTCGCCGCTGCGGAGGAGGGTTAGGGTTAGTTGGGCGTTTGTGGGGATGCCTTTTAGGAGGGAGCTGTGTGTGGACTGTTAGCTCTGTCTGAGAGTAGATTGACTTGGAGAAGGGGAGAGTAGAGGGGCTTGCTTTTCTAGTGAGAGGCTCTTTCGCCAGAGTGGATATTTGTCGTCCAAGTATTCCATTCCGCGCTGGATGATCGGATCGCCGAAGAAACTGAACCCAGTCACCAGGGTAGTAATCTTGACGAACAAGTGGCTGGAAGTCACAAGCGACACTGCAAAAGAAACAGCCAAGACGCACGAGAAGCGAAAGTACGGCGTGAACGAAGAAAAGGGCGGCGTTGGCGAAAGCGCACTGTCACCATTGATTAGAGCTGCATTCCAACAATACGTGAAGCCACACATACTTAGCAAACCGCTCATACGTATCAACAGTATCATTCACACCACGCATCAACTGAATAGCCGTAGCAAGCACAACCTCCTTCATAGGCTGTCTCGTCTTATCATGGGACTTCTCAGGGACCTCCCCATGCACAGAAGCCTGCGCATCCGCCGCGTCCGAAACCACGTCCATCGCATCTGGAGCGGATTTCTCCATGGGCGCGTCGTCAGGTGTGCCTTGGTCGTGTTTCCCTGTGACGCTTCCGGCTGCCATGCTCGCCATGCTGCTCATCAGGTTGCTGGCTTCTTTCTCGGCTGCTTCGCCTTTGAAGTTCTCGGGGGCGCCGGTGATGCTAGAGTGTGAGCCTAGGACACCGGCTGTTGGTTTTTGTACCCCGCCTGTGTCTTTGTCGACAAGGGGAATTGGGGCATGTGGGAAGAGGATTGATCTGGATGGTGGGTATATAACTAGGGCAAGGAGAACGCTGATTAGAGTGGGTGCGAGCAGGTCCAGAAACCATGCGACGAAGTAGACCTGCACCATCTGTTAGCCTCATGATAGTAATTTCGAGACCCCAGAAGTCCCAGCATACAATGCAAAACACCGACGTCCGACGTGGCTCCCTCCACGATCGTAATCTAGCAACATGCTTGACAAACCCAGCAAGCTCCACAACAACAACAGTGTAGAACCGCTCTATAGTAGCGCGCAACTTATCAGGCGAGAAATCCTCATCGGCCGCACGATTGAGGTCCAGGCTCTGCGCAAGTGACTCGGGCACGCTTTTGACGCAGTATATTTGCTTTCTTGTGTCAATATCCGGTCCTGCTGCGGGTGTCGACGTCCAGATAGGTACATACCTTATTGAACCGTCTGATAAGCATCCAGAGATCTTCATTTGACAGGCCAGACACGATTCGCTTTTCGAATTCAAGAGGAGATGCCCCCCAGCCAATGTCAGATGTGTTATCGATAGGGCCTACGTGTGGCTTTTGCGCGAGGCCCTTTTCGTCTTGTTCGACTTGGGATAGGATGTGGCTGTCGGTTGGGCCGGTGGGCTGGCTTACTACCGCGGCCATAATATTATCTGACTGCTGTTGGCAGGACCCAGTAGTATGATTTGCAAAGGAAGAATGATTCCAAGGAAAAGCCAGTATTATATATTATTACAGGATATGGAGTTCGCCCTGGCCAAAGGCTCAACCACGGTATATGTATGGAACCCGGACAACGACGTCATCAATATGTTTTTGTTGGCATATGGGATTTTTTGTGCTACTTTCAACCAGGAAACAAGATTGACCAATGCAATCATTTTGGTAACTGCTCCTATACCTTGGTAGATACAGAATTAGTGATTTTGAAAAATTCGTCACTTATTTTCTTATACTGCTGGCATACTTTGAATCTGACCAATGAAAAGCACTGATAATCACGCGCCACGAACGCCACACCTCCCATGAGCCACACTTCCCAAAGTGGAAATCCACGTGAAGCTCATTCATGCCGGGGCGCGTTTCGATCTACAATCTCTCTATACTCATCACCCTGCAGCTCAACAATCTTTAAAAAGGGGGTCCTAATGATGATTGTCTCTTTTGAGTCACCACTCGTTCATAGTCTTCTGGGCGGTTCTGATTGAGAAAACGCTCTCTAGCCGAGTTTGATTTATCAAACCATGGCTGACTCGGAGACCTGCGCGAATCCCCTGTTACTAGGATGGATCAAGGAATGGTTGGATCAGGCGCGAGAGCGTAATAGTAAAGGGGCTACAGTGTTAGTACCTGCGGTTTAATCCTTCTTGGCCATATATGGCGCTAACAGTCTTAGATACAAAAAAGCTTACGAATCTATGAAAGCATGCCCACTGAGCTTCCAGCATCCGTCAGAAGCGCAGCAGCTGAATGGTCTCGGACCTAAACTTTGTGATCGTCTCACGGAGAATTTGAAAGCTTATTGTCTGGAAAACGGGCTTCCGGAGCCTGAGCATCCTCAGAAACGTTGGTTTGCAGGCCCTGATAGAGAGTCATCGCAGCATTCTGACATTGTGCAGAATCCAGCAAAAGGAACCCTAGAGAAGCTACAGAAGAAGTGGAGTCTCAGCCTGCGAAGAGAACGCGAAAGGCGAAGCCCTATGTGCCGTCGTTACGGTCGGGTCCATATGCGTTGATCATTGGCCTATCGAGCCTCGAGGAGGATTCGTCGCAGAGCCTGACCAAAGCGCAACTGATTGAGAAGGCAGAGCCGTATTGCGATACCTCTTTCACGGCTCCTAGCGATCCAACTAAGTATTTTACTGCGTGGAGCTCGATGAAGACCCTGATCCAGAAGGATCTGGTTTATGACCATGGGCATCCGCTCAAGAGATACGCTCTGACCGAGGAGGGATGGGAGGTCGCGAAGAGAGTCCGGCAGACTCTTCCGGGTAACAGCCAGCAGAACACTATGTCATTGGGCGATTCTCAGGTAAGAAGTGCTTGGTTTGTAGGTATCGCGGATTCTGACCTTAGTAGGCTACGAACGGCACCAATGCCGAGTCCCAAGAGTCGGGAATATCCATGGCCTCTCTGGAGCCTTATGACGACAACGAAACCCAAGATCGTGACAACGACTGGGGAGGAGACTCAGAATACGACGGCCCCGTCACACCAATCAACCTCCCACCAGGAAGCTTCACCGTCCAGCTGGTCCTGGACAACCGCGAAGTCCGCACATCCAAAGACAGGGACTACATCTCCAACGAACTAGACAAAAAGGGCATAATTCCAGAAGTCCGCTCCCTAGAACTAGGCGACGCAATGTGGGTAGCCAAATGCCACGACCCGGCATTCCTCTCACAGCACGGCGAAGAAGGCGACGAGGTGATGCTCGACTGGATCGTCGAGCGCAAGCGCCTCGACGACCTCATCGGATCCATCAAAGACGGCCGATTTTACGAGCAAAAGTTCCGCCTCCGCCGCTCCGGCATCCGAAACGTCATCTACCTCATCGAAGAGTTCTCCGTCTCCAACGAGACGGGCTCCAAGTACCAGGAGATGGTCGCCTCCGCAATTGCCTCCACCCAAGTCGTCAACGGCTACTTCGTCAAGCAGACTAAAAACCTAGACGACACCATCCGCTACCTCACCCGCATGACTTTCCTCCTGCGCAGCATGTACTGCGCTCCGTCCGAAGACGATACAACCACCACAACTACAACGACAACCACCCCGTCAACCTCCCTCAACCTCATCCCCAGCCGCCAGCTCTCCTCCTCCCAATCCTATCTCGATACCCTCGAGCGACTGCGCGCAGAAACGCCGTCGGCAACCTTCGCCGTAACCTTCCCCTCGTTTTCGGCCCTCACGTCGAAATCAGAGATCCTCACTCTCCGCGACGTCTACCTGAAGATGCTCATGTGTACGCGCGGGGTCACGGGTGAGAAGGCGCTGGAGATTCAACGCAAGTGGCCCACCCCTCAGGCATTTGTTAGGGCGTTCGAGGAGCTACAGCCCCAAGATAGGGAGACGATGGTTTCGGAGGAGCTGGATGCGATGGTTGGGCGGAGGAAGATTGCTAAGGTTTTGAGTAAGAAGATTGCGGAGGTGTGGGGGGAGGCTGGTTGATTATCATTTATGTTTTATTGGCTTGAGTGTTGTTAAAAAATGATTGTTGTGATCATTACATGATTTCGTTATCGTGATATTAATGTGTACATGTGTGATGTCCGTGCCAATGGTAACACCCATCTCCATACCAGTCCAAAAATGCACCAAAATAAACCACACACCCAACATGAGAAAAGAAAAGGGATCAACCCTTCTTAAACCCCACCAACCCCCTCAACCAACTCCAATCAATCCCCAGCGCAAGACTACTACAAACAACCGAAATACTACTCAACGCCATAGCCAGCGCAGCCCACACGGGCCCCAACCTCCAATGCATATCAACATCCACCATATGGCCATCATCACCAACCATCCTCCGCTCATGACCACTAACAATAGGGTAAAAGACGCCCGCGGCAACAGGCACAAGAGCCATGTTGTACACGAGCGCCCAGGCGAAGTTGACGCGCACGCGGTTGAACACCCGCCGGCTGAGAACCACTAGGTTGAGGATGGAGTTCAGCTCGGAGTTGAGCAGGATGAAGTCGGCGGAATTCATGGCTACGTCGGAGCCTGAGGCCATTGCTATGCTGACGTCGGAGGCTGCGAGCGCTGGGGAGTCGTTGACGCCGTCGCCGACGAAGGCGACGACGGGACGTTTGTGGGTTTTGTTATTGCTGGTAGAGCGCTGGTTTTCGATTTCGGAGAGGGTGAGGGTGGTGGAGTTGTTTTGGAAAAGTCCGTCTTGGATGCGGCGCACGAAGTCGGCTTTTCCGGCGGGAGTGACGTTCGCGATGATGTTTGTGGGCGGAATGCCGATCATTGAGGCGACTGCTTTGGCGGTTGTTTCGTTGTCGCCGGTGCACATGTAGGTTGCGACTTTGCGGGTTTTTTGGAGGTCAGAGATGACTTGCGCTGCTTCGGGGCGGATGGTGTCGGAGATGGCGAAGATGAGGGCTGGGGTGAAGGGTGGGGTGGGTTCGTTGCTGTTGGTGGTTGGTGATGGTGTTTGGCGGATGGAGAGGATGGCGGTGGATTTTCCTGCAGCTTGGTATTTGGATAGGGCTTTGGAGAGGTTGAGAGTGTCATCTTCGCTGAGGGAAACTAGATTCTCGAGGAGACGCTGGTTGCCGATTGCTGCTTCGTATTGGGTGGTTGCGGTCGTCTCGGACTGATTGGTAGAGACAGTGAATCTGCCCTTCATTCCCTGTCCGGAGATCTCCTCGATGTCGGCGTCTAAGATAGATACACCGTCTCCCAATTTCTCGTTGCAGAACTCCGAAATGGCTCGTGCGATGGGGTGGTTGCTGCTCTCCTCGAGCTTTCGCGCCAAAGCCCAAGCGGCCTGCACTTGCTCAGGGGAAGCGACGAGCGACTCGTGGTCGGACACTTTGAGGCTACCCCCCTCGGTCAACGTTCCGGTCTTGTCGAAGACGATGGCATCGAGATTGCTCGCTTCCTGGAAGGCCTCGCCTCCGCCCTTGGCGAGGATACCCTGTTTGGCAGCCAGGCCGCCTCCAACGAAGAGCGCCGTGGGCGCAGCAAGTGCAAGGCCGCAGGGGCACGCGACGACAAAGACCGCAATAGCGAATTCGAGACTCCAGAACGTCCAGCCTCCGCGCGCATTGTCCAGATAATCGGCGGGGAGAGCCCCCGATAGCCCTAGGGCCAGCCAGATGACGAAGGTCAGGATGGCGATGAGCGTGATCACCGGCACGAAGTGGGACGTGAGTATGTCTGCGAATCGCTCCAGCGGCGCGCGTCGGCTCTGGCCCTCGCGCACCACGGCGATGATCTGATCCAGCATGGACGCTGCCCCGAGGGCGGATACCTTGATTTGGACGGGCTGTCCGACGTTCACGGACCCCGTGTACACTGCGTCGCCGGATTTCTTGCTCACGGGTCTTGACTCTCCCGTCAGAGAGCTTTCGTCGAATTGGTAGGATCCGGGACCGACGACATTCCCGTCCGCCGGGGGCGATGCACCGTGGGGGATGCTGACCACGTCGCCGATCTCCAGTAGGTCGTAGCTGATCCGTTGGATCTCGCCGCCTCCGGTGACCAAAAGTGCTTCCGAAGGCCGCAGTTGCCCGAGTGCTGCGACCGCATCGCCGGTTTTGGCTTTACTGTATGCTTCGATGAGCCGGCCGGCGAGGATGAAAAAGGTCAGAAACACAACCGAATCAAAGTAGTTGGCGCTGTGTGCGTCGGACGATGTGTCTGCCACCGCATCCATGATCAAGACCGCTAAGGAGGAGACGTAAGCCACGGTTGTTCCGGCAGAGATCAAGAGGTTCATGCTTCCGAAGCGGTAAAAGCGTCGGAGGACGGGTACACGACTGCCGGGACGCCAGAGCGAGTAGATCTCCTTGATGGCCCGCACGTGGAATAGATCGGCTCCGTATAGCATGACTGGGGTCGCCATGATGAGGAGAGCCCACTCCTGCCGCGAGACGTTGCCGGCCCATATGGGCTGCTCTAGGTACTTTCTCGTCTTGTTTTCGGGCGACACCAGAGTCATGAACACGATGCCGATCACAAAGGTTGGGATGACCACCAACAAGACGAAAAGAAACCGTGCTAGCAGCCGGCTCTTTGCTTGTCGCTGCATCGCGCGCGAACGGTCCTCGATGCTGGGAGGGTGGTATACCGTCGCCACGAAAGAATCATGCGCCTTCTCCGCGGTTTGAAGGATCTCTCTGATGGTAAAAGATGGAGCATGGGGGATGTAGGTGACCTTCAGGATTGGGTTCTTGACCGATAAACCGGGGTCTACGCTGATGTCCGGGAGCTTTTCAAGCGCTTTATACACCTTTTCCGGGCAGTGGTGGCAGAACATGCCATCGATGTGAATAGCGATTGACCTGGTCTCGGTTTCGTCGGCGACCGCGGCCGTTGGAGAGACGCTGTTGACAGAGACGTCGTACCCTAAGTCTTCGACTTTTTCAGTCACTGCGTCCAGATTCTCGCGCCCATTGAACTCGACTCTTCCGCCATGCGTCAAAAGATTGATGGAGACGTCCGTCACGAACGGCAGTTCCTGGAGACCTCGGGTTACAGCCCCAACGCAGGAGCCGCAGGTCATGCCGTTGATGGCCAGCTCCGCGACGAAAGTGGACGACGGGCGTTGACCAGACGGCGAAGCCATCTCCTCGGGACTGACTTCATCCACAGACGCCTCGAATCCAATATCGTCGATCTGCTCGACCACTTTATTGATGTTTTCCTGGGGCCCGCGATAGACCAGCGTTGCGCTATTGGTCAGTAGATTGACCGTCGCGTCGAGGACGAAATCGAGATGTTTGACTTCATCGGTAATGGAGTTGACACACGATGCGCAGCTCATTCCCCCGATGCTCACACGGGCACGAAATCTTCCATGGTCTTTCGGCGACTGTGACGAGGAGGTGACGTGCGTGGTGACGGAACCTTCAGCCGAGGCCGCAACTGAGACCTGAGGCGCTAGAGGCTCGGTATCCGACAAACTGTCCTGCTCCTCCTCCGTTCGGTGACATCCGGGCTGCGCCCTTGACCGGCCGACGGTTCGCTCCAGTGCCGCGGGGTCAGTCGAAGCGATTTCGAGTTCTTCTTTACGACAAGCGTCGCAATTCTCGGCGTGTCTTTGGGCGGATTGATTCGAAATGGGCTGTGGGTTGGACTGAGGAGAGAAGAGGATGGAGTCTCGGGGGAGCCAGGACGAGGTATCCATGTCGGAGACAATTGTCCCTTGCAGGTCGTAGGTGGTGACATGATGGACCTCGAAAGCGGCTTGTATCAACGCCGTGGCCAGATCGGAGGGCTTGGTGTCCACCGTGTGGACGGCGCGGACCTCATGGGTAAAGATGGAGACATCGAGCTCAATCAGGCCCGGGATCTCGTCCAGGACTTCTGAGATATAGGCCACACACGAGGAGCAATGTACATTGCTCACGAAGAAGATACTGCGGAGGCATTGGGTGCCCTGCTCCGCGAGGGCAGGCATCATTCCGAGAAGAGAAGAATGTATGTCTTAAGGAAGACTTGTGGAGGGATGTTGTATTTCCTCTATGAGGTAAGATTAGTCACGAGGTTTATCGCGAGTTAAGTTATGGGTCCTGGAAGAGATGAATAACCAAGTTCAGATTGAAAAAATGGATCTGACAGGGAATTCCTCTGCTTTTATCCTTTCCCCATTCTCCAAATAAATGAAGGGACGCGCCTTTTGTGCGTGTGGTGGACATGGTTGAGCACGAGACTAAACGACGCACAAATCTCGCATTCCCACTTGGCTCGACAAGCCGGGGAAAGCAACAGAACGGATGCGGTGGCAAACTGGTCCGATCTTATCAATCATCAAATGATCTCATTATCTGAAGATCTCCGATCAACTAGTCTTTTTTGTTAGTCCTCTAGTGCTGCTAGTTTTATTCTGGAATCATGGTGGTTGTCTATGAGATATGTGGTAGTTCGTGACTATATCTGGGTGGTTTATATAGCGCTTCTCACTATTACAAATGATTTCGGAGAACATAAATTCACACGTACCAAAAAGAAAAATAAAAGTCAATCAAATCAATAATAATAAGACCAGACTGTCATCCCAGCATCATTCGGAGAAAAGAAAATTCTCGACAATATCTCGACCGGACCAGGAGGGAATCGAACTGACACCACTGGGGGGGTAGGAAACCTGAGGCAGAACCCAATAAGCCACGTGACCCGCCCGCTGGACCACCGAGAGCCGGACGTGCCTCAGGTTGCCCGCATTCTTTCGGCGCCATCCTCTCCTCTCCGCGCCTTCTCTTCTCTCTCTCTCTTCACTCTCTCGATCATCGTTGCTATTGGATACCCTTCATCCATCCAGATCAACTAACCCTAGCTACCATTCTCGACCATTTGTCTACGAACTGCTCCTTTGTACTATATCTCGGAGGTCCAATATTCGTTCGTCGTCGTTCTTTCCCATCCACTGGTGGGGCCTTTTTTTTCAACTTTTTTTCTTATCCTACTCCCTTGGTGGCCTGAGGCATCAAACTCAGAACCGATAGAGTCAGGCCCATCTCACCTTACATTACTTGAATATGAGTCAGCGGTGAAGTGCTATTTGAATTGTACCGACACTTGGAAGGAGAAGAAAAAGATATAGAGGCAGAACGAATAAGATCGTCCCACTCAACGACACCACTATCATAATGTCCGCACCCAGACCTGGGCCTCGTGCGCCAATCCCGCCCAGGAGTGGACCGAGGGCTCCCATGGGTCGTCTAGCCAGTCTAAAGGCCCCCAACCCAACCCCGATCAGACGCCCCAGCCAATCTCCCGTCCCCAGCCGGCCAGGCCGACCACTCATCCTAAGACCTCAACGTGTCCGAACCCCGGCTGTCCGGCACCCCAGATCGTCGAGGATGATGGCCAGAAGGTGTGTTCGGGCTGTGGTACAGTCATCAGCGAAGCGAACATTGTGTCCGAGGTGACATTTGGGGAGACCTCCTCGGGTGCGGCCGTCGTGCAAGGTACCTTTGTCGGTGAAGACCAATCGCACGTCCGCAGCTATGGTCCCGGCTTTCAGCGCGGAGGTGCCATGGAGAGTCGAGAGATTACGGAGCAGAATGGTATGTTTGTCTAGATCTCTTGCTTGGGTTTACTCCCGCTAATCGAGCGAAAGGTAATCGCTACATCAATCAGCTGTCCCGCGCCCTGATGATCCCCGAAAGCGCCATGAAGGCCGCCGGTCAGGTGTTTAAGCTGGCCGTGGGTCTCAACTTCATCCAGGGTCGTCGAACCAAGACCGTGGCCGCAGTGGCTCTATATATTGCCTGCCGTCGACAGGATGGAAACACGGTCATGCTGATCGATTTTGCCGATGTCCTCATGGTTAGTATATCTTGAATCGCGTCTAGTTTAAAAACCCTTGCTCACCACCGTCCAGATCAACGTATTCAAACTGGGTCGAACCTACAAAGCGCTCCTGGATGAGCTGCGTTTGGGCGGAAATGTCTTTCTGATGAACCCTATCGACCCGGAGAGTTTGATTTACCGATTTGCCAAGCAGCTTGAATTCGGTTCCTCGACCATGCAGGTTGCTAGCGAAGCGGTGCGGATCGTGCAGCGCATGAACCGTGACTGGATGACTACTGGTCGACGCCCCGCTGGTATCTGTGGCGCCGCCCTGATCCTAGCAGCCCGGATGAACAACTTCCGTCGAACCGTTCGAGAGGTTGTTTACGTGGTCAAGGTGACGGAGATCACCATCAGCCAGCGACTGAACGAATTCAGCTCCACCGAGAGTGGAGAGCTGACCGTTGACCAATTCCGTTCAGTCCAACTGGAGAACACCCACGACCCGCCGTCCTTCACCCGAGCCCGGGAAGGGCGGAAGCCGTCGCGCAGCATCAAAAAGAAAGGCCCCGAATCGGCGGCCGAGATCGAAGGGGACCTACCGGAGGCAAGCGTGTCGACTCAGCCGAAACGTGTCGACGCGGATGGCTTTGCCATCCCAAGCCTCCCCATTGACCCCGCGTTGACGGCGGACAGTCGCTCGCGGCAACCGTCGGTGTCGTCGGTGTCATCGGTGTCATCCGCGTTGGACGAGGCCACTCCCGAACCGGGCGAAAAAGCCCCCGGTCACGGGAAAAGAAAGCCACTGCCTCCGCCGACTCCCGATCAGATTGCCTCGGAGGAGGCGCTGGAATCCGAGATGACGGCGTTGCTGGCGAAGGGGTCGAACCTGCTCGATAATAATACGGCACCACCTCGAAAAGTCATATCCGAAAGCATGGAGATCGATGCCTCTGAGTTTGAGTCTGATCCCGAGGTGTCCAATTGCCTCCTGTCTCCCGCCGAGGTGGAAATCAAGGAGCGGATCTGGGTACACGAGAACAAGGATTATCTACGAACCCAGCAGGCCAAGGCGCTTAAGCGTGCTTTGGAAGAAGCAGATTCTGGTCCAGGCATGCATAAGCCCCGCAAGCGCCGTCGGGGCCGGATGGGGGATGTTACCTACTTGGAAGGGGAAGGGGAGGAGGGCGATGGGCGGAACTCCCGTGCCTCCACCCCTGCCGAAGCGACCCGCCGAATGCTGGAGCGGAGGGGCTTCAGTAAGAAGATCAACTACCGTCTCCTGGAATCGCTCTTCGGGGAAGAGGGTGCCGACGAGGCGGCCAAGGCCAAGGTCGAGAGTCTCAGCCGAAGCCAGAGCCGCAGCCAGAGCGTGGTGTCCCGGCGGAGTGCTAGTATAGAACCCGAGGCGGCTATGAAACGCACTAAACTCACCGAGCCGCCGATGCCCGCCAAGACCGCCGAGTCTCCGGCTCCTGGGGCGCCGGGACCTATCCCGTCCCAGCAGCCTTCTCAGGGCGGGACCGGAGCGGGCGATGCCAATGGAGAGGACCGCGGCCCCGCAGGGGAAGCGGATGAAAAGCCGGATGATGACTATGACGACGATGAGGAGGATGGAGACGATGACGAGGATGATGGCGTCAACGCCGCCTTTTCTGGGCATTACGGCGATTACTACGACGAAGGAAGCGATTATGATAGCGATTAGGATTTGCCTCCCGGGAATTTGAATACGTCTTCCAGGAAACCTTGGGGCATAACTCAAAACTAATAATACAGTTTTTCACACTGACATGGCCCTGTAATGAGATCTCATATAATGCGAGCGCCAGCCCTCATTCCGAATTCCCCATCGGGCTAGATCTGGTATGCCTCGGACGATCAGGGAGCTGGGGACTATGTGCTCTTGGAGTAATCCCGACAGCGCCATGATCTCCATAGCTCCACCTCCACTTCCGTCTCCACACTCCAATCCCCAGGCAGATCCCCGGAACTTCCCCTTCCAGTCACGCCATCTCGTGCGTTCCTGTGCTCAAAACAGAAGGAGTTGCACCGCACGACCTACCAATTCTGGCCAACCGAGTTAAACTGAACCGTGCCAAGTGAATTACTCTCTCCGGGCTTTTTTTTCCTAAACTCATCTTTCCCCGAGCCTCCTACATCTGTATCCTGATATCATTGAGTCCTATATTTAGAGATCTTTAGGGAACCCTCCTGTCCAAGGAAGGAAAGATTGACTAGCAAGGCCTTGGTAATAATCACATGCCAGGACCGACGCTTCTTACGTGTTGTACCCAGTAATCCTTCCAAGTTTTCACGGCAACGCGGTATACTAGCATACAAGGCACTTTACGCGGCCGATTTGAAGCGGAATGAGGTTCATGTAGCTTCATTTCGTCAGGCCATACACCTAGATCTCTACAGATGTGAAACATCCGGCACAGCTGGATGACACATCTATGCCATGTGTATAAGTAACACATGATCTGCATCAGACTGATTTGTGAGCAACAACCGGCGACACCTCGGGCCGAATCCTGGGGGGAGGCAATTCACCTCCCTGAATCCAGAAAGTCGCCCGTGTCTTTCAACATCGACCAGCTCACAGGGCTGCATATCGCCGGGGACTGACTACCCGGTGCACGATGGAAGCCTCTACGTCGTGTCCATGCCAATCCAGGGTTCTTCAACACAGAGCTTAATTTGGAACAGACGACCAGACTGGGGAGGATACGAATGTCGCCACCATCACAAGCGCTTGAAAACTATTCGACCGCCTTTACAGCACCATGACTCCAACCCCTCACACTATCAAGGCAAGGGATGGGTCAAGAATGATGCCGTGGGATTTGGGATGGATTTCAGGGAAAGAACCGTGCTTTTTCAGCAGGTCCTTGCTCGAGGAATTCCTCCAAGATTCATCGATAATGCCCGGACTACGCCATGGCGATGGTTTCTGGGCCATTGATGCTCCCCCTCCCAGTATAGCGTCGAATGGGATCTTCGGCCGAGGCCAAAACAAGAAAGAACAAGGTCCAAAAAGAGAGTGTTTAGCTGATCGTTGTGGATCATGTGGGATGTGAATATGAGAAACAGAACATGATTCGGTCAATCAGAAATCGCTGAGACAGTGCATCCCACCATCTGACCTCGCCTCCTGTGTTCCAGGCTGAAGATACGTGCGGTATTTTTGGTTAAGATTTTCGGTTGGTATGGGGCCCGCTCTGATGCCCACCTCCTAAAGGCTGGAGGGCTGGTGGGCAGGCAGCACAGCTTGTCTGCCGTTGGGAGAGAGCACCAGTCGTGGCAGGGAAATGCCCCTTCCCTTGTGCCCATGGCTCTCGGCCCATTTGCAGGCACGGTGGGTGTATCCTCTGGGGCCCACCGGGGGACTAGTCATGATGATCCGCTATGTTTGCATGTCGAGTGCGCAAACCCCAAGCGCAGTTGGACGTATTTAAACTCTTTCAATCGGCGTTGCGGCCTACCTCGAGGATGTCTTCTCACTCTCAGAATCCCACTCCCATTGTACTGTTGTCATGACTGGGAACAACACCATGTACGGTCGAGGGCTTGGCCTTCGGTTGGCCATTCTGTTCACCTGCCAGGTAGCTTTCATCTTGTTCGGTACAGGCTCCCCTCCTTTTCTGCGAGTCCGTGTCGATCTTAGACAGAGCTGACCTGGATATAGGTTATAACCAAGGTGTATTCTCTGGGATTGTCCGGAACGATGACTTTCTCAGCCTTCTCAACCACCCCAGTTCTGCCGTCCTCGGCATCATTGTGGCAATCTACAACCTAGGATGTCTCTTTGGCACGGTTGTTGCATTCGTCGTGTCAGATAAACTGGGTTTTCGGAAAACAATGTGGTTCTCCATGGCCTGGATTATAGTTCGTCCCACATTTGAGCCCTCTTCGTTAGACGAATGGCGTGACTGATGAAACATTCCGTGCAGATTGGAGCAAGCCTACAGGCCTGCTCCTATTCCCAGGCCCAGCTGCTCGTGTCCCGCTTTATCAGCGGCACCGGGACTGGGATCATGAGCGTTGCAGCCCCTGTGTACCAAGCGGAATTGTGCGAGGCAAAGAATCGAGGAATGTATGTGTGCAGTCAGCCTCTCGCCATCGGAGTCGGCATCGTCATCTCCTATTGGTTCGATTATGGAATGAGCTATGTCACAGGCTCCGTGAGCTGGAGGCTCCCTATTGCATTTCAAATGATCTTTGCAATCGTCGTGGTCATCATGGTCCGTGGGTAAGTTTAACTTGGATGTCCTTGAGTGTCCCCGTGGTTAACCCTGCCTTTTTCCCCAAAGTCTTCCGGAAAGCCCACGATGGCTGTACCGGTGGCAGAGACCCGACGAAGCTTTGCAGGTTCTGTGCGATGTCTATGACCGAGCCGCGGATGACCCTAAAATTGTTGAGGACTCGCGAGGAATGTACAGGGCCGTTGAGCTCGACAAGCTCCGGGAGGAGTACAGATGGTCTCGAATTTTCAAAAAGGACGAGCTTCAAACGGGACGACGCGTCCTGCTGTCTTACGGTCTACAATTCATGAATCAAATGACCGGTATCAACTTCATCGTGGTAAGTGTCAGCAATCGAACCAAAGCGGGCAACACCACGGACCAGCTAACAAGGCATGTAGACATATGTCACATCGGGTAAGAATCCAAGGATCTCAACGGCCAGTGTTTGAATGACTCGGACAAATGTTCTGACAAAACGCGATCCAGTCCTGGAGACCAATGTGGGCCTCGACAAGCAGCTGAGTCTGCTCCTGGGCGGCGTAATCCAAGTTATGTTTGTTATTGGTAGGTTGGAATTTGAAGTGCATCTCTGCTATGTGGAGACGAACACGCGCTGATCATGGCCCCAACAGGCTCCATCTACCCTACAATGTACTCGGATCGCCTGGGCCGCCGCAGGCCAATGATGTGGGGAAACTTTGGGCTTTTCCTGTGCATGATGATGATCTCCATTCTTCTCTCATTTAAGGGTACTCACCATCTCCGCATGCTTCTCCGTTTACCAGCCGGGTCTCAACTGACCCGACCACTCCCACAGGAACGAGCATCGAAAAGCCAGCGGCAACCGCCTCGATCGTGTTCTTCTTCCTGTTCATGCTCATCTTCGGAGCCTCCATCAACTGCATCCCGTGGGTGTACAGCCCGGAGCTGCTCCCCCTACATGTCCGCGCAAAAGGGTAAGGGTTTCCCCCCGCCCCATTCCAGATGTTTACCTCCCTTGCGGGAATCACCACGCTAACGCTGAAAGCAGACAAGCCATTGCGATCTCAGCCAGCTGGCTGTGGAATTTTTTCGTGGCCATGATCGCGCCGACGCTGATCAAGGAGCTCGTCTGGAAGGGATATCTGATTTTCATGTGCATGAATCTGATTTTTGTCCCGGTGAGCCGTCCTTATACATAGCTGATGTGCATTATATTCATATGCACTCCGGTTACCGATTTACAGGTAGAGACTAATGAGGGGGCAGATCGTATACTACTTCTACCCCGAGACCGCCAACCTCACCCTCGAGGAGATCGACTACCTCTTCATGGACGGCAGCCAGCCCGACAGCCAGCCCGACCTCCTGTATCCCGACGCGAAGGAGCCCGCGGTCAGGGAAGTCAAATGCACAGCGTAGGCTCACCCGGACTTACACATACTGAGTACGAATTTATCACGAGAATCGGCAATCAATCCACGAATCGAATTCAATCAAATCGATACAAGTCTCACGACCACCATAGATGGGCGTTCATTCATTTTTTTACTTTCCCTTTTCTATTAAATGTCTACTCCTCGGAGTACTCTCCTCTCTGTCTACTCTATATAATATCGAGTGCAAATCCACTGTTACTATATTTATATTTATGTTCAATAGATATACACAGCTATAGGCGTCGGAAATGAAATACTACACTCGCTTATACACACCATCAGTGTAAAATGGTATTCAGGCTAGTCATACTTTACCTAGCTACCTGGGTATGTGCTTAGGTATGGGTAAATATAGTGTAGTGTAGTGAGTGAGTGTGAGTGTGGTATGTACATACCACAGACACCCTATTCTTCGCGTGAAGCGATGCGGAGGGATCGAGATCTATATTTTTACCTAATTGTTCTCTCCAGCCACATATAAACATGCACATACACTAACTAGACTCAATGTCAATATTGTCTCGGAGGATACATTCATTTCCACAAGTCGGCAGTACTTTCTAGTAAGTTCATTATATAGTCCTAGAAACTCTCCGCACTTCGCAATTCAAATGCCCCTTTTGATAGGTATTGATGTCAACCAGCCTAATAAGATCTGTCTTTGACATATACATGTGAATAGAAAAGTGCAATATAATGTAACAGATATACCAGAATGTAAAAGAATATCCTAGCGGCTGGTAGCTAAATAACGACCACAGGGTAAACCACCTAAATTAGACAACCAGCCTCAACCAAGAATGGAACTCAAATGATACGAGTCAGTCAGTCACAGCATACCTAGGTACCTACCTACCTACCTAGTGAAGGGGGAAAAAAAGAAAAAAAAGAAAAGTACGGAGTGAAAATGATACCAAAATAGACACACACACACAGAGAGGGAGATAGAAGGGAAGACTAGAAGCTCAAGGCATCTACTTTCAAAGGGATGGAAAAATGGGGAAAAAAGCCGAGGCTTACTTGCCTCACTCGACATGTCGCCTACCCACTATCTACCTACTACGTATTATATTATATTATCATTGGTATGCGTATCTCCCAATATATCTTTTTTATAAGATACCTAGGTAGTAAGGAGTACTCCGTACCATGGCTCCTCTCCATTCGCCAGGAACCAACAGTGACCGCCCCGCCCCCGCCACCGGCCGAGTTGTGGCAATATGCCAGGGCAAAGTACTTTGGTTCTCGATGCTTACTGCTTACTGGCAGTTTGGTCTCGGGAATGGGAGTGAGGTAAGACGAAGGACAATCATGTTCAATCATTAATACAGTAGCATTGTTTCGTATTGTTCGATCCGTTGGCAATACCCTTTGTACTCTAGAGATGCAGGTCTACCGTGCATGTAATCTAAAACTTACCACAGTCAATGGAACTACATCGTAGAAAAATTGGAAAAATGGGTAGTCTAATTTTGAACATCGCTGGAATAAATAACAGGTAGGACCAAGAAATTGCAAGACAGCCGAGGTTCCGATACCAGAACCTCGCGAACATCAAATCCAATGCGTCCAGTCAAACCAAGAATACAATCAAGCCCCTATCCCACGCGGGCTGGCACCATAAACAAAGATCCCCAAACTGGAATCACACAAAGTCGTATCAATCAATCAAAAGGAGGATTCGGAGCCGTGGCTGCATTCCCTGCATGAGGCCACGCTCCACCGTCCTTCGCTTCTTATCCTCTCGGTCGACCCTGACCGAGAGACATTATCTTAAAAAAAAAAAAAAAGTAGTAGATGGCCAGGTAGATGAGCAAACAGGGCCGGAAATATGAAAACATCAAAGGAATGTAAATGCTGAGTAGGACGTTGTCGTTTCAGACCCGCCAAGAGTCCCGTATCCCTCGCTCGGCAGGATCGCTTCGTTTACTCCGCGTCGGGGTGGCAAGGGCTGAACGGATCAGACATGCAGACTCGATGGGGCAAAACCATCAAGGTACCCATTTACGGGGTGGCAGGAGGAGCAGCGGGAGTACCACCGCCCAGCATGCCCTTGACACGGTCGACCTGCTCAGGAGCGTAGTTGGGGCCCAGAGAGCCAATGAACAGGAAGAAGATGAGGACCACGGCGCCGATGATGATCGACTTGCGGCGCACGGGGTGGTTGACGCCAAACTCGGCCCAGGACCGGTTGGCCTGGCCAGCGTAGTCCTTGATCTTGTCGGCGCCCAGCTTGTAGTAGACCAGACCGATGAGGGCAATGGAGTAGCCAAAGAACTGGGTGTTGGAGACGGGGGTCTGCCAGAGCATCATGGAGGCGGCAACCAGCAGGATATCCTTGAGGACACCGCAGAGGGTCATCACCAGAGACGAAGTCTTGCCAATCTACAACAGGATGGTTAGTCGACCGAGTGCGGTTTGGTAGGAAGGGACGCGGAGACGTACCAGGAAGACGACGGAAACGTTCAGCAAGAAAGCGGTGATGGCGTTGAGCAAGAGCACGGAGACACCGACGTTCTGGATGTGGCCCCAGGTGACGTTGGGAACCTCCAGGAACAGAGCGGTCACACCGTTCATGACCGCGCAGACCGGCGCGAAGTAGTACAGGGAAACCAGAGGATCCATCTTGTACTCGGCGGAGCTGAGCAGGCGCTGGACCATGACGAGACGGATGGCCTCGAAGATGATACCGCCGATCTGGAAGAGGAAGCCGACGAAGACGAACTTGATCTCACCGAAGGAGGCAATGACGACACCGACGACGATCAAGCCCACGTTCATGAGGACCTTGAGGTTGACGGGCGCCATACCCATGCCCCAGGTAGCCAAGAGCACGGCAACGGGGGTGGTGGCCTAGATTAGAGTATAAGCACAAGATGGACTAGCCAGCCATTCCAATGATTGGACGCACCTTGAGCATCTGAATGAAGGCAACACTCAGATACAAGTAAGTCACGTTGCCGCAGATCAAACTCAGACTGAAGAAGAGACCGATAGGGACGATAGCGCGCAGGTAGACCCGGCCGGTCATCTTCACGGTTTTGCGGCCATCGAGAAGGGTGGTGGTACGAGCGAGGATCTGGGTCATGAGCGTCGCGAAACACAAGTGCCAGGTGGTCAGGACGATGGCTAGATGAGGGGTTAGGGTATATTCGAGTCGCATTCAGGGAAGGAAAGCATACGGAAGCCTATCGATCGGGGAAGTTAGTCTCTGTATCCCGCGGAGTTGGGTGGATTCCACTTACGGAAGTTGGCATAGTCGAGGATATATTTGTTGAACAGAATGACGCTGGAACTCAAGGTAATCCAGGCGCTGGTGATCGGTCAGTACAGCGCATCCCACGATGTCTTCGAACTCCCCATATGTCGAGACTCACCTCACGTATACGGCCGGGTGAAACGAGGCCTTGGGAGGTTCCGGCTTCTCGGCGGCAGGATTGACGGTGGGGAGAGACGGCTCCGCGCGAGAGACCTCGCCGGAGGTTCTCACCTTTTCACCATCGTTGCTCATTTTGGAGGTAGAGACCTGGTCGGACAGAAAACGTTGGAAATCGAAGTTGCGCGGCCTTAACAGGCTACTCTGACCAAACTTGGAGGATGCCACGAGAGAAGTGATTCAGAGGGGGAAGGAAGAAGGAGGATAATGATAGTACTAAAAAGATAAGAGGGAAAGAACACGGAAGAATCGAAGACCGTAGGGGCGACGGTATGAAAAGAGTGAACGACTGAGTTGGTCTGAAAATGGAAATCGAAAAGAAAAGAAAAGAGAAAGAGAAACAAGACGACGCGAACGGAGTGAACCGGTTAGAGAGGAGGAAGGTTGGAAGAGAAGGATTCGGAGGGGAAGAGAGAGAGAAAGTGGTCTGGGGGAGGAAAAGAAGAGGGATTGAAGACTGGTTTGGGTTTGGATTGGAGTCTGGGAATGGTTAAGCTAATTACTTGGGTTATTTTAGGATTGTCAACCAGTCACAGATGATATTATATTATAATTCTATTTATTTATTATGATTATAATATAATAAAGAGGGTCGGGGATCCGCAGTACCAAGAGCAAGTCTAAGAGACTCCAACAGATCGTGGCCCAAGATGGGAGATTTCGTTGGTTACCTTCTTTACTCTTTACACTTCTTTCAGAGAGAGATTGTGCCACCGAGTAACTACCATAATACCATAACTACCGGACTGGAGTTAGTCGCAGTCCCTGCGGCAGTGAGGCATGCAAAGCTGCAAGCAGCAGGTCTCCACCGTGCTTCTTTCTACAGTCTTATCCAGGAATTTATAATAAAAAGTACATATTTATATAAATGTTTAGATAGAGACCGAAGTGAATTATTCAATCAAACATCAGTGAAGAACCGGAATTGGAACAGATCATTCAGGACATGATCTACAATATACTATACTTTCTGTAGTCTGAATGATTCCAGTGGTGATATAAAGCGTCTCAGCTGTGTATCCTATAAATTACTCCCGGATGGTATGAAACCACTACCAGGAAAGACTGTCGGCCAGTTTCGAGTTCTGGCCAGTGGCCACTGTCCTCCCTGGCACAGTACATTTAGCCTGTCGAATCCCAGCCCCCCGACACTCCCCCCGACCCCCCAGCCCCTGGTGGGGAAACCAGAAAAGTAAAAAAGGTGAGGTGGGTACGTAATCTGTGTAGGGATAGATCGATAAATGGATGAGGCGGTCGTACGGGTGGTACATACTCGGTACGAGGTGGCGGTAATTCCAACGACCGAAGTACTCTCGGTGTATTGTAAGTATTATATACACCATTCTTACTATATAATACTCCCATTATCTGGTAGTTTGTCAGGGGCAAATAACGAGATTGGTAATTGAGTACCGGTACGGTCAGGACCATACATACACGTAGACCTCTGCACCCCGTTCCCACTTGGCCAGCCTTTTTCGCCTCATTCGGTCTAGTCCCAGGGTTCTTGTTCTTTCACTCAAGCCGGGACTTACGTAGCCCCTGTCTGTGCCTCTTTCTTTCTATTATTTCATTTACTTTATTATATGATTTTATATTGTTTTCTATCTTAACCCTTGTCTGTTCATTTCTTGTTTTGATGCAGAGTTCGACATCAAAAGGTACTTGGATTAGTATCATGTCTCCTATAACCCCTCCAGGTGTGGTCACTGGTGGGTCGTCACCTATGTTCATCACTCTTTCTAAACCAACTTCTCTCGTGGCGAGAATGGAATTGGACGGTGGTGTCAATCTCCAGGTCTCCACTACCTCTCCACCGGGTGTGCCCCCTTTTCCATTGTCTTATTTGACGGCCATATATTCTATTTATTCTCGGTGGTACCGTGGTTCTGTCTTTTTTAAATTAATTCTATTGTATTTTCCTCTTTTATATCCGTTGCCTTCTATTGCCTACAACCACGTACTTATAGAAAATTTGGTGATCTTACCCTAAGAATAACGGTCAGTGTGATAGATAGCGCAGTCCTGACTGATCACCCATATATAGTAAACAGACCGAAAGATAATATCCAGCAGCAAATCAACACCCCCCGAAAGAAATGGACTGTTGATCCAAATTAACACTGACTTGTTTGGCGCTAGTGTGCATTACGCAAGCAGTCACTCTGGTGGCTTCCCAGCCAAGCAACTCAAATTACCCGCGTTCAGCGGCCACTTGTCCATAGCGTCGCCGCCGATGGTCCCTGGCCTCGGGTGGGGAATGCGGCGATCTGATGGCTGATGGCTGATGGCTGATGGGCTAGAAACTGCCGTGACCTTGGGTCCATGGCGTTTTTAAGAATCGAACTTGCTTGCTACTACTAGTCGCTAAGTCGAGACTCCAAGGCCAACCCCGGCGACTATGCCCTAAGCACTCACTCCCAGTACCCAGCACCTAGTGAATTCATAACTGACTACCACAAGTGTGTCAAGGAACTCTCCTTTAGTTATTAGTTGAACTTCCATTCGGGGATCGCTCGTGGGTCCTCCGGTCCCTTTCGGGTGACGTCCGGAGCACCGTCGCATTTCCATTCCCTTCCCTTCTTCCCGATGTTGACAATCGAGACAATGTCTATTGTGACTGAGGTTTTGGTGGGTTTCACCGTCGCATCGGGAGTACTCAGTAGAACTCAAGACAGCCTTATCGGGAGACGGAAGTCTAATCAGAAAGAAAGGTCAATGAACAAACCTCGATAAGAGTCAGTTACGGTGTAGTAACAAGTAAGCGTCATGTATTCAGAGAAGACGAAGCTTTCCTCCATTCCTAGTGGCTGGGAATTTCCGTTGGTCTCATTAACCCAACACCTTTACTACTCCGTACCCTCGTCCGGTTTCTGGAAAGAGATCTGCCGCTGCCTTCCGTTCTCAGAAGGATAATCAGTGGGACCCTCTCCTGGTGTCCGTCCGCTCAATGGGTTCAGCCCAGAAAGTCTAGCCTCTTTCGCACAAAGCGACACCTTGCAAGTTCTATTCCATCTCTTCCCAGAGCCCGATGGATCGAAATGGGTGATGATCACTTACCCTATCGAATCGGCATGGACAATTCCCCTCCGTGCAACCCGAAACTACGGAGTAACTGCTGGTCTTTTGGAAAGTAGTCTCGTCGACGGACGACGTATGTGTCAATTTGATAGCCGAGGGAGGGGACAACGTGCGACTCGGGGGGAGAGCCATTGGTGGCGACTGAGTCTGGAGATCTTCTGACTGAGTATGGAAAGATCTGGGATCGGCTCTCCCATACCCTATTTCAAACGGGCAAGGTGTTCTATCTGACGAGAAAATCCTTCGAAGGTGCTATGGAAGCTTCCAAGGCGATCCCAATAATCAAACGGGTCAACTCCGTTACTCGAGGGTATCCGGGAGGACAGAGGTACGGTATCCGGGCGGTGTGGGGTTCAAGATGGAAGTACGGTTTCGGCAAAATAGCAACAGCAATAGTCAACAAGTCAATAACGCCAGAGAGATGGATGGAAACAACCACAGCCACATTCTTCCCAGTGTTCTGAACATTCTTGGGGTGATCCCAGACGGGAGAGGATGCCCGCATTCGTAGAATGCTGATAAGGCAGGATAAGAACCATCGCAAGCAGTAAATTCCTGGAACCTGGGGGAGGGAGGGGGAGGGGTCAAAACACCTGGACGCGGCCAGATAAGCAACTGAGCTTGGAGATGCTGGTAGGGATTGGATACTCTCGAGCCACCAAGATAACATGTCCAAGGTCAATTGATCTCTATCTAGTGTGTAGTATTAGTGGTGACGCCGCCATATCGAATTAATCAATCAGGCTCATGGGTAGAGAGTCCAGACGTTTGAGACCGATTGTTTAATTTCCTGACTCAATTGATTAATATCTTGTTTTTGATTTGGTAATTATTTTATTTGATATATTTTATTTTATTTTTCTATTTGATTATTTTATTGATATGTATTTTTATATTTTTATAATTTTATTAATATGGTTCGAATAATGATTTTATTTTCAAAATTGGGTCATTTCCTCCCCTCCCCCTTATCCAGGGCTCACCAGCAGCTGGCGCGGCAACCCGACCTTTTCCATACGTATTCATTACTCTAATTAGGGCCTAAACTTGAAACAGATACAGTAACCAACTAACCTGCCCCTCTTGTCACGTTTCGTTATTTGTCCGTCTGCGACACATCTCCCTCCCCTCTCACCGTTCTTTCTTATCCCTCTCCCTTCCATCCTTCATTCTTCTTCTCTCCCCCGCCCCCCTCCCCCTTCTTTTAAATCCTGCAGTTCCCTGCAGCTTCAATTTTTCTTTCATGCTTAGCCTCGCCCGCAAGACCTTAAACCGCGTTCCCAGCTTTCAGGATATCCTACAAGGCAGGATGACCCACCCAGACATGTAAGGATTTCTCTCTCTCTCCCTGCCCTCTGTTCCAGGGGGTTCCCTTCACCAGCAATGCTAACATCACCCTCTCTTCAGCTCCGTTGACGTTCTCGTTATTGGTGCCGGCCCTACCGGTCTCGGTGCCGCGAAGCGTCTGAACCAGATCGTACGAATTCACCGTCGTTGAGCTACTCAAGTTGGACAGCATGCTGATAATCGGTGCAGGATGGCCCCTCGTGGTTGATCGTCGACAGCAACGAGACCCCCGGTGGTCTGGCTTCGACCGATGTGACCCCTGAAGGCTTCGTGAGTCTCCCCCCGGCGGTTTCCGTCACCTGATGGGTTTCCGTCACAATGGTGTCGTTGTCAATGGCTCGCTGACTCGGAATGACAGCTTTACGACGTCGGTGGTCACGTTATCTTCTCCCACTACAAGTACTTCGATGACTGCATCAACGAGGCCCTCCCCAAGGATGACGACTGGTACAGCCACCAGCGTATCTCCTACGTTCGTTGCAAGAACGAATGGGTCCCCTACCCCTTCCAGAACAACATCTCCATGCTTCCCAAGGAGGAGCAGGTCAAGTGCATTGATGGCATGATCGACGCTGCCATCGAGGCTCGCGTCTCCAACGTCAAGCCCAAGAACTTCGACGAGTGGATCGTCCGTATGATGGGTACCGGTCTGGCCGACCTGTTCATGAGACCTTACAACTACAAGGTCTGGGCTGTGCCCACCACCAAGGTATGTTGTCCTACGCTCGAGCATGACGAGAACCAGCTACTAATGACCGTCTAGATGCAATGTGCCTGGCTGGGCGAGCGTGTCGCTGCCCCCAACGTCAAGGCCGTGACCACCAACGTCATCCTCAACAAGACCGCCGGTAACTGGGGTCCCAACGCTACTTTCCGTTTCCCCGCCCGCGGCGGTACCGGTGGCATCTGGATTGCCGTCGCCGACACTCTCCCCAAGGAGAAGACTCGCTACGGTGACAAGGGCAAGGTCAGCAAGGTCAACGCCAGCAACAAGACCGTCACCATGGCGGATGGCACCACCATCGGCTACCAGAAGCTCGTGTCCACCATGGCCGTGGATGCCCTCTCTGAGCAGATGGGCGACCAGGAGCTCGTCTCCCTCAGCAAGGAGCTCTTCTACTCCTCCACCCACGTCATCGGTGTTGGTATCCGTGGCTCTCGTCCCGAGCGTATCGGCGACAAGTGCTGGCTGTACTTCCCCGAGGACAACTGCCCCTTCTACCGTGCCACCATCTTCTCCAACTACTCCCCCCACAACCAGCCCGAGGCTGGCAAGAAGCTGCCCACCCTCCAGCTGGCGGATGGCTCCAAGGCCCCGAGCTCTGAGGAGAAGGAGGGCCCCTACTGGTCCATCATGCTGGAGGTCTCCGAGTCCTCCATGAAGGCGGTCAACCACGAGACTCTCCTCGCCGACTCGATCCAGGGTCTCGTCAACACTGAGATGCTGCAGCCCGGCGACGAGATCGTCTCCACCTACCACCGCTGCTTCGACCACGGCTACCCCACCCCCTCTCTGGAGCGTGAGGGTGCCCTCACCAAGATGCTGCCCAAGCTCCAGTCCATGGACATCTGGTCGCGTGGCCGCTTCGGCAGCTGGCGCTACGAGGTCGGCAACCAGGACCACTCCTTCATGCTCGGTGTGGAGGCTGTCGACAGCATTGTCAACGGTGCCGTTGAGCTGACCCTGAACTACCCCGACTTCGTCAACGGCCGGCAGAACACCGAGCGTCGTCTGGTCGACGGTGCTCAGGCGTTTGCCAAGAGCAAGGCTTCGCAGTAAATGCACCCCTTTCTTCTTATAGACTTGTTCAGGTTTAATACGAGATGTCTGGTGGAGTTCAAAAACAACAAAAAAAAAAAAAAAAGAGCCTAGATAAAGATTTACGGTCTACGGGTTGTTAATATTTCTTTTTCATTTTACCCATTTCATTTATTTTCTTTTTTTTCTTTATTTATTTTATTTTACCTTTTTTTTATTGGAAGCGATGCCTGAAGACGTTTGATTGCTGGCATTTTACGGTGATGAGCATCGTCAATCGCATTTACCTCGGAATTTATAAACCTTTTCCCTAGATGAATGGACATGCATTTTGGCTTGGTTGTTCTGCTGCAGCATCGCGTTAATGGTATGCATAGAGTAGCCTCCTCGTTCAGCAAGATAGACATAGAAATGAAGTAACTACCTACAAACTATCAAGCCAGAGCCTCACCGAACCCAATCCCAGCGATCGTCACCAATCCCGTAAGGAACCAAACCTCGTCGCTGATCCTTCCAGGGCTGAGACTGAGACTGAGACTGAGACAGCCACCAACCCAATCAATCAACAAGTTCCAACCTAGGACGTACGATACGATCGAAGTCTAGCCCGGAGAGGTGAAGGGTAAGGAAGGGAAGGGGGGGATGTTCGGCTCGCGTTCCCCGATTCGAGATATATTATATTACCTGTCATGTACTCCGTAGTAGTCTATCTTATGTTGGTCTTTTTATGGATATGGATATGGGGTATGGAGACCTGCGTGTGGTGGTGTCTCAGGTGTGTTTCTTGATAAGTACCTCAGTCTCGCTTAGGGAGTCGAGTATGGGTGTCTGTTTATTTATTGATTTGGTTATTACCTACTTGGCTTCTATTAAGTTGGCGAATGATGAAGCGGAGAAAGAGGGTAAATAAGCTGGATAAGCTGGACAAACTGGACAAACTGGACAAACTGGACAAACTGGACAAACACAGCTAGTTACCTGTTCAGCCAAGTAAACAGTTAGTTAACAGACTCTCACCGCCTACGTAGTACACAACATTAATAGACATTCTGTTTGTTGAAACCAGGTCCAAAATACTAACTATAATACAAATCCTCCTACCTATGTGCCTACTTACAGTTTTACCAGGTCTTACCAGGTCAGTGATAATCCTCAATTACTGGTGTCCACAGTATTGTCCACTAGTAGTTACCCAGGGGCAGGACTCAAGAACAAGAAGAGAAGGAGAAGAGAAGAAGAAGAAGGGGAGATCCACCGTGGGTTCGGGACGCGTAAGTATGGAGCCCCCAGGTCTCTAAAAATGGAGCTTATGATTTAATTAGGTTAGTTTGGGTTGATACTATACTCTATAACTAGTATAGTTAGTAGTATAGTGTTATTATTATTATATTATTATTATTTCAAGGTTCTATTTCCTTCCCCACTGATCAATCTCCTGTGGTTTGTTTCGGTCACTGGGTCTGCACTTTTGAGGCTTGACTCTGGGTTTGGGGGTGCTTGTTTGGGGGTATGTTATTGTTAGTATTGTATGATATTGTCAGGATTGTGACAGTATTAGTAGGTATCCTATAGTATATGGGCGTGCTAGTATGTAGTAATGTATAGGTTAGTTACTCTATTGTACTCCATAGTTTGCTATAGAGTATTTAATATCTCTATCTAATATCCACCTACGCAGTCTCAACTCCATAAAAACAAAGTAATATCATAATACGGTATGACGACACAAATATGATTAATGGGGAAGCTCACAGGTTTCATGCATATTACATGCAGATTGATCTCACTATCTGTTTGAATAGTCGTACGCTCCAGCCCCGTCGCCTACTTGTTTATTTATTATTTATTATGTTTGTTCTGACTACGCCAGCTTGCATCGCATGTATGGATCAGTTGATGGTTTGAATTGCGCCTCAATGACTGGCTGATCATCATGACAGACGAATGGGCCAGTCTATATAGATACAGATGCAGTATATGCATTATATGACAGTGCATCTGAGAATTTCACCTTCCAACCCAAGATACAGATACGTACATCAGCATGTAGGGAGTACGGATACTTACTTGCTGGTTTGGTATTCTTTTGTCATACTCTGTACGAAGTACATGACATGGTTGACATCTCAGAGCGGCGGTTGGATGTCTCACGTACTGGATTCAAAATTAGAAATATGCAAGACTGATCTACCAACTTCTACCGCTAATTACAAGGACTGTCTCATCTATCCATAGACAGAAAAGGATCGTATCTACGATGGTACCTACTCTATACGGGGTACCGTTGATGCAAATGTACAGTAAAGTATATTAATATTTCTCCGATCTCACTGCGCCTGCAGCACTGTACAAGTATGTACGTACATAAAAGGACGTTTCCATTATTCGTCAATCAATCCACTTCCAATTTCGTCTCATCTCATCTCATGTCAGATGACCCTTTCATCCTCTGCGGCTTCGATCGCTGGATCTATTCTGGGAAACCGATACCTGCATGACCCGCTAGATGGGCGACTGTCGGGTGGGGGTGAGACATGAGACAGAGACATGAGACATCCGACTAGTCGCCAACAACAGGAACTCAAGGCAAAACGCCAACTAACTAAGTCAATAACTCTTCTCCATTTGCGATCAATCAATCGTCAATCATCAATAATCCAACTCGTCATTTTGGTCGCCACCGCCTTTAACTTGGGGGACAATCTGCAATTCGTCGCCCGGGACCTTGAACGGCTCCAGGTTTCTCAGGCCGAGTTCGGCGATGTCGTCGACGCGACCGCCTTGCACTTCGGTGATGAAGTCGTTGACGTAGTTGTGGAAGTGGTATGCGTCCATCAGGATGGGGTGGACGAGACCGTGGTTCTGCATTAGCCTTCTATTAGTGAAGCATGCACATCGGGGACGGTAAAGAGACTCACCACCGCTTTGATCTCGGGACGGACGCCGTACATGATGGAATTGGTCTGATTGTCCTGTCCGCGACGCTTGGTGTCTGTGACGTTTTCATTCACGAAAGTGGTCGGGGGGTCGATGTCGAGGATGCTGCGGTCATAGGGACGCGGAGGCTCGTTGGTCTCACGCAGCACGGCGGAAGAAAAGTCGCAGCGTCTGTGGGCGGGGATCTTTGCTTCCGTGTGCGATGCGTTTCCTTCTTTTCTCTGGACATGAGACGGTCAATAGATGGTTTCCGCGATGTTGTGATATTGATGCTTACCTCCTCGGCATGGGGCAAGTTTGCATTCGCATTGATGTCCCACACCGGGTTGTTACCGTCTTCTACACCCATACTGACAGTATCCGAGGACGTCTCTCGCACACCAGCCTTGGCCTGCTTGTTTTTGGCACGACCTCTCTTGGCCATTTTGTTTGCTTGGTAGACGGTGTCGCCTGGGAGGGTGCTCAAAGCGAGGTCGATGAGGCTGGTTAATTGCACGACTAGACCACCTGGAGTGGGGTCGTGATGGGTGCCGCAGGTGGTGTTTGTACACAGCTCTTCAATCTCTTTGTTGAGACTGAGGCAGGTTTGTGTGGGGGATTCTTCTGTCAGTCAGTATTATCCAAAACAATGCAGATGGACACACTATGGTGCTCTACCTGTGTTGCTCAGCTGATTAACAGCCCCGGGAGTGGAAACAGATTCACAATGATCTTGTGGGATGGGTGAGTGCAGCAGAGGTTTAAGTGGATGAAAGAGATCCTGCTGGGTAGGAAGAAATCTCAGGACTCTATCATACACTGTGCTGAATATGGCAGTGTGAAGTCTAGGACTGGCTGGTTGTGTGGCTGGGCGAATAGGACGCTCATCTTCTGATAGAAGTGAACAATGTTTGTTGTCCGCGTAACAAGCAGTCACCCACGGCGACCTGGGACCACCATTCCATTTCAGAGGTTGAACTGCAATCTCATCGTCACTGTCACTGCCAATAGACGAACCGTTTCCTTCAGAGGGACTGTCTCCCTCATCGACAGAACCAGACCCCTGGTGAGCCCATCTCGCGCAAGTAGAAGCACCTATCTCACTCATATCCGAACCAGGATTGGTAACCAAAGAGCTCGAACGAGACGACAAGACGATATCAGCAGCGGTGTTACATCTCAGACCGGGATATGGATTCTGGCCAGCAGGCGCGACATCCTCCCCGTCACAGATCGACTCTGATATATGGGTGGGAACAGAGGACGACGGGGTGTCTGAGTGCAAGGACAGCTGGTCGTCCATGTCGCCGTCGCCTTCGTAGTAGTAGTAGTAGTAGTAGTACTCTGGATGGCGGGCGTAGACGCGGGAGAGATGGAAGTGAAGGTCCGTTTCGTCGAGGGATATGCGGGTTGGTTTGTGTCGGAGCATGGTTCTGTTGGATTGATGTGGATGGCTATTGGGAGGAGTAGATCGTGTATGTAAGTAGGTAGTATCTACGGAATATCGCTTCCTGGGGTATGTTTTGACTTGGAATGTCTATCGGTCATATTGTAGGGAGGAGCGATGGGTGTATATCTAGATGTGGTGGCATTTATCAGCGTCATCGTTGAGAGATGGCAGGGCTCAACATATCAAGGGATGGACGCGATACAGAATATAGATTCTGAATTGAATAGATATACAAAAGTCTAGGTGAGTGGTGTTACTGTTCTCTTTCTCTCTGATATTGCATTACCAACATAGTAAAACCTCTATTTATATCTATATTGATTCATCCATTTAATATGACTACAAGTCCATTTTCATTCCCATCCCATTTCAATTTCATATCAACATTAATTCACAATTCAAATACTTCCAAATAATAGCAGCAGACCGAGGTAATCACGACATGGTCCATCGTGAATGGCTGGCAATTCCACCAGATTAGTTCTGCCTACCGATGTCCACTCCACTGCTACTAATAATAACCTCGTGGCGTACCTGTCTATAAGATTGGTTCGTTTGGACTTTTCTGAAGCCTTCTGTCCAATGTGTCGACCGCCAAGGGAACCGGCTTTGGTTGTAGCAGCAGGAGCCGTAATGAGGGAGACGGTCGAGCGTAGAAACTCATGAAAAGGATCGATGAGGATCATGGATGTATCTGTGGAGATCCTCAGGCCCCCCCCATCCGATCTTAGTCTTTTCTCTCTGTCTTTGGTATTCTTTCCCTTCGTGGATCGGCAGTTCTGTCTCTCGATTGATTCGATTTATTCATTCTAGAAGATTGATCTTCTTTCTTTTCTTTTCTTCTCTTCTTGATTTTGTCTGTTCTAGTGTGGTTGGGTGGATGATGTCCGATCCATCTCAACCCGTTCCTGCTCCGACCGCTCACTCTCTCTCTTCCTCTCTTCCTCAACTCTGACCACTAATACAACCACCACTACTACAACCACGGAGTCATCTTCTCCCCTCTTCCTCTTCTTCTCTTCCTTCTCTCCCTTCTCTCCCTCTTCTCTCTCCTCCAATACTCTATTCGTCATTCAGTCTTTCGTTCATCCATCTCCGTCTTCTCTCCTTCTCTCCTTCTCTCCTCCCTCTCCCCGCCCTCCCCCCCTCCTCTCTCTCCTCACCCTCAACCCCCCCACCCCTCCTCTCCTTTCCACCCTTTTCTCTCCCAATATCCTCTCTGCTTTCCCCTTCTCTCCTGGTGCTGCTGTGGTGGGCGTCTTCTGACAATCAATACACTCACGCCCACCTCCCGCACCTCCTCCCTCTCCCCTCCGATCCTCCCCCTCCTTGACCCGCAAAACCCCCTTTCGATCCTTCCGCCGCAATCTTCCTTCCATCCAGACCTCCACGCTTCTCGACCTCCAACACCACCCCCCCCCCCACCCCACTCCTCCTCATGCCCATAATGGATGGAGACCTTAGCCTATCCCAGTCTCTGGGAGGCTTACGGATCGCAAACCCCGATGACTCGTCTTTGCACTCGTCCGAAGATGCGGTCACCCCGGGCCCCATGGCCGCGTCGGCTCCAACGACGTCCGATCTCACGCGCGAAACCACATTGCCCGATCGGTCGGGCAGTGTCTTAACAGCCTCTCCGCCCCAGCTCTCCATACTCCCCTCCCACGACATCTCCCCAGATACACCCGATCCGTCATTCTCCCAGGAAAACCGCAGCTCAACCTACCTTCCCTATTTGGATTTGCAGCAGCAAACGTCGCCCCAATACACTCCCTATTCCGCCCACCACCATCAATCCACCCCGTCCAATTCCTCCCGCCCCCTGTCCGGCCTATACGCGAACGGTTCCACCTCCACCTTGGCCGCCCGGGACTCCTACCGGATTCGCACCGATTCCGCCGCGTCGTCGGCGTCCGAAAGCCTCGCCCGGGCGGAGTCCCGCGGTGGTTCGGCCGCCTACCAGGCGGGCGTGCCCACCCGCGACAACAGCCACAGCGATCGCGCCTACCGAACCGCCCAAATGCCCACCGGAACTGCCCCCATCCGCCAGTCGTCACGGGCCCACGCGCGCGGGGGCCCGCCCGCGCAGCTGTCGGGCTCTCCCTACGGCATGGAAAATGGTCCGACCCCGAGCAGTGAGGAATGGCAGGATCGGGGCGCCGCCGTCTCCGTCCGGCAAGAGCTCGACTCCAGCGGGAAACCCGTCGCGCGATACATCAAAAAGGGGGTCCGCGACTTCATCTTCGCCAACACTCTCGGAGAAGGGTCATACAGCACCGTCGTGTTGGGGACGGACCGCCAGACCCTCAAGGAATACGCCATCAAGATCCTCGACAAGCGCCACATCATCAAGGAGAAGAAGGTCAAATATGTGAATATCGAGAAGGACACCCTGAACCGACTGACGGACCATCCGGGAATCGTACGACTCTACTATACCTTCCAGGACGAGCGCTCGTTATACTTTGTGCTGGATCTCTGCAAGGGCGGCGAGCTGTTGGGGGTGCTCAAACGCATGTCGAGTTTTGACGAGGATTGCACGCGTTTTTACGGCGCGCAGATCCTGGACACCATCGACTACATGCATAAGCGCGGCGTGATTCACCGCGACCTGAAGCCCGAGAACGTGCTCCTGGACAGCCAGATGCACGTCAAGATCACCGACTTTGGCACCGCGAAGATCCTCAAGTCCGCCCGGAAACCCGGCGCCAATTCGACCGGGGTGCCCTCGCTCGACGCGACCGATATTCCCGAGGAGGACCGGGCCAGCTCGTTCGTCGGCACGGCCGAGTATGTCAGCCCGGAACTGCTGACGGACAAGAACGCCTGCAAGGCCAGTGACCTGTGGGCCTTTGGCTGCATTATCTACCAACTGCTGGCCGGCCGGCCCCCGTTCAAGGCCGGGAACGAGTACCAGACCTTCCAGAAAATTGTCGCCCTCGACTACGAGTTTCCCCTCGGGTTCCCCGCCGTCGCGCGGGATCTCGTCGAGCGACTCCTCGTGTTGGATCCCGCTCGCCGACTGCCGATCGAGCATATCAAGAACCACGAGTTCTTCCAAGGGATGACGTGGGGCCCTGAGCTGTGGAAGCGAAAAGCCCCGCGCCTGAAGGCCTACGTGCCGCCCCCGCGCGAGCCCATCAAGCTGAACGGCGCCGACGGCGGCGACAGCTACCCGCCGGGCATCAATGCCGCGCCCCCCCACCCCACCAACGCCAGTTCCCGCATGATGCCGAGACTCATCACCGAGTTGCCGCCTCCCAGCCAGCTGGATATCGAGTGGTCCCCTGTGCTCACCAAGACCAATGAACGAATCTTGAAACTGGGGAATTGGGTCGTTCTGTCCTCCCCGGCCTCGCACAGCCCGGCGTCCAAGAACAGTGGCGGCGAGGTGGAGCCGCACAAGAAGTTCTCGCGGTTCTTTGCCGGGAGTGCGACGAAGAAGCGACAGCGATTGGTCATGGTTACCTCCTCGGGGCGAATCATCATGGCGGCGTCGGGGGGAGACGAGAAGAAAGCCAAGATGGAGCTGTCGCTGCTCGCACCGGGGACCCACTATCGCACGTCGGCGGATTCGAAAGGCTTCTCCTGTTGGATTGTAGACACGGTACGACCCCCCCCCTCTCTTTATAACCACCCGTCATACGTCTAGCTGTATCACTAATCGGCCCGTGTTTAGCGAGACAAACACTTTGTCTTCGAAGATCCCAAACCGTCGTCTAGCAACATGGGAGCCACCGCGTTGTCGGCCCAGGAATGGCTCGATACGCTCGATCGCGCCAAGGAAATGGCTCTATCGCAGCAGACTGGTTATTCCGGCGACGATGCGTTCCGGGATCTGCCGTCGGAACTGTCCAGCCAGGCCAATACCTTGGACCGGACTTCTGACGTGCATCGCGACGGCCCATCGGCCGCACGAGCCACCCTGGTCAAACACCAAGGCAACGATAACGAATCCGTCAAAGGACGGAAACGGTTCAGCAGACGCCATTCGAGGAATGGCTTATCCGCGGTATTCTAAAGGCCACCAAGGCCTTGGAATCTCTCCCTTTCTTTCTTTTCTCTCTCCTATGTTTGGTTTGAAGTGCTCGCTGCGCCGGGTCGCAAATTCTCCACCATTTCACCGATATAGCGTTCGTGTTTCTTCTTCTCGTTCCTGCTTTCTTTTGTTTGATTCTGCAATTACCCAGCGTGGGCGACTGGTGTCGCTGAGACCTGTTTCCTTCTGTTCGATGTCATTCTGATAATTATTTGGTCTTTTTGGCTTCTGTTGATACCAATGGGTTTCTCAGTTATGACCCCATCGTGAGGGTCTGTCTCATTTGTTTGCTTGCATTGTGAAAGTTTCATTTCTTTCTTTCTCTTCTCTTTTTTTCTTTTTTTCTTTTTTTCTTTTTTTCTTTTTTTCTTTTTTTGGCGACATGATCAAACATTCTCTGCATTGCTTTTTCCCTTTCCAACGACAAGCGGGCTTTACTATTCTGATTATCTTTACATTTATTTCGATCCCCTGAGAAGATTCCTGCATTTAGAAGGAAGCGCGCATGCATTGATGCCTCAGCTAGTTTGTTCTTCTTCTCTTGTGCCTTTGATCTGATTCCAGCCTGATCCTTAACCCCATAGTCCCTCCTCCCATGTACCTTCCGCACTACGCTATATACCGGGGATCCCTCTGAGCTAGACCTGCTCAATGTCTCTTCTGTTCTCATATGTCGATATACAGAGACTGGTACACACACACCTGTCCGGTTCGTTAGCAGTTTAGTCTGGCAAGCGTGAAAGCTCTTTCCGTCATTGTCATTGTCATTCGATCTATACCACTCGGTTGATTCTCGTGAGCGGCTTCTTTTTCTCTTCTTCTTCTTCATCTTCATCTCCCTCGTGGATTTCTGATCTTTTATTAGCCTTTGCTTTTCTTCTTTCATTCTATCCATCTTTACTTTATCTCGTCTATCTCTCATAACTAGAGAATCTTATCTGGCTTTTTATTTCGTGTTATTCACATTTTATATGTAGGTATCAGGCAAGTAATATGACTGGCGTGCTGTCCGCAGGGGTATAGATGACTATGTACATGATTAATGTATACTACTACGTACTGCATAACCAGAGAGACGTAGGACGCATTCCAGGCTTGGTAATCATATGAATAACCAATCTATGCGCGACTCGTCCAGCTCCTGGATCCAATCGAAGTCGTCATCGTCGTCGTTATCGTCATTTATGTCGTGAGGCGGATGAGAAGTAAAAGTAAAAGAAGAAGAAGAAGCGCTGAGAGAAGTCTCCCAACGACAACTGGCCTTCTCCATGCGTCTTTGATCTCGTTTCCGCCACATCAGGGTCAACACCCACGCCGCATTGCGGACATTGATGCTCGTGATGTCGTAGTACAGGGCGCTAAGCTTCTCCATGAGGGGCGGCCGCAGCGACGGATCGCGACACTCGGCGCCTGCGATGAATGTGGGCCAGATGAGGCATTTGAAGTGGGGGTCTGCGACGGGGATCAGCATGATCTGTCGGATGAGAAGGTTGGCGACGTCGCTGTGGTCGTCTGGGATTCCTAGTCCGCTGGCGAGGGAGAGCATGGGTCCGTCGCGAGACCGGCAGAGCACGCGGCTTGCGTAGAGGTAGACCGCGGCGCGGTAGATGGTTGCTAGGGCGATGCGCATGGTCAGGTCTGGGAGGAAGACGTAGCTTTGCATTGTTTCCGCCCAGGCGGCTGGGTCGAAGGCTTGGATGTGGTGGAGGAAGGCCCGGGGTGACTCGAGCGGATCCGCATTCTTGGCCAGGAAGGCTGACGGAAAGATCATCTTGGGGCGAGAGGTGGGGCCGGCGTTCGGTTCGGAGCACCATGCGTGGACGATGAAGATGACCTCTAGTAGGTAGGCGGGACATCCTACCCAGGTTGTTTCTTCCAGACGTTTCAAAACTGCCGCTGACATGTCGGTCGTTGAGTAGAATGGCTTTGAGAGGGAGCCTGGTCGCGCGAGTGTAGACCCCATGAGTTGGATGCTAGACGCGGGAGCCAATGGGTTAGTTTGACAGATGCCACCAGGGATATAGTTGGGTAAGGTGAGACTCACATGAGGCATCCGTCAATGGCGGATGTGTCTAGCCATTCGATGATTCCCTGTGTCTGGTTCCGATTATTGTCTTGTTGCCGCGTCTGTAGCAGTTTTTTTGCGCCTTCCAGATGGTATTTCCACGCTCCACCTCCCGATTCGATGGCGTCCATCAAGGCGAGGACCACGATCGTGATTAAAGTCCGGGTGTCGTTGCGCAGGACCGGGTCTTCAATATCACGCGACAATTGTTGCAGCGCGCGTTGTTTGAGCCCGAGAAACTGCTCGTACGCCTTGGACGATGGGCGCCGCGCCATGGAGCTCATCGCAGCATCTTCGACCTCTTGCACGGACAGCCAGGACCCCGTCAAATTGGTACCATCCGCCGACCACGGCATGAGTGAGACGTCATCGTGGGCCATGATTGTGTAGTGCAAAGCTCCGGTGGCTGTGAGAGCATAGGCGAGGCCAGGCGATCCACCGATCAGGGGGGTGAGTTCGAGAAACGGATTTTGCACGTCGGTGTACAAGATCAGATTATTTGCTACATTCTGATTGACTTGAGAGCGTTAGCGGCGCCATCCAGAGATATGGAGGATAATTGACTTCTATTCACGTACAATGAACGACGTAGAACCGTATCAGTGGATTCAAGTCCTGGAATAGGGGGTCCACGAGGATCCGAGGCGGAGAATTGTATGCCACGAGAGTTGTTGGCTTCTGCGAAGGCATCATCTCCGTCTGGTTGTTTCGCTGTGAATCATGTCCATCTTGGTCGGGAGCATCGACGGCACGCAACGGCCCAACCATGGAAGAATGCTTTTCCTTGAAGTCGGTCGAATCCTTCATACTCTGGTCAAAACTGAGACCCATCATCTTGCCCCGACTGGCCAAGCCACCTTTCACCCACACAAGAGGCTTCTGGTATCCCAGACATTCCTTCCCCGCATCCCGACATTTTCGACATGATGGGAGGCCATTGTCGCAGATGACCCGGCGGCGACGACAGGTATAGCAGCCTTTCGTCATGACGGGACACTGAAGCTTTTAAATGCTTGGGACAGGTATTTCAGCATGATACTCGTCATTCTCAAAGCGTATACGATCAGGAACAGGTCAAGCAAGTCGAGAGGGATCTGGCGAACATTCCTCCAAGATGAGAGATGGCGCAGGTGGGTGGGGGTGAAGTGTCGCGAATCAAGGGTCGCAGGGAGCGGAGTGACAGAATGAGGTATTTTCCCTCTATGATGGCAGCTCCATCAACGACCGATGATGAGGATGAAGTAGGTGAAAACGAGGAAAGCTTCGCCGGAGTCGGCCGGGGAAACCAGATAAGTTTGTTTCCCGATCGGGTAATTATGAAGTTGATCATGTGCTGGCGGGGTATTGCTGAGTCATAATACAAATGACTAATTATGCATTTGTATTGTCTTGAGATTCGGATTCAGATTCACTTTCGATTTCAGATTCAGTTTCAGATCCACGCGTCGATCGGATAGCGATGCCATCGATGTCTTGATCTATTTCTAATGATTGAGTTGATTAGAAAGCCATTGTTTCGCATTGACCCAATCCATCGGAGACTCTAGAGTCCGGTATGATGTCAGAGTGAAATGTAGAGAAAGGACAGAGTCTAGATGGCTGATCTCCAGATGATCCAGTTTCCACCGGTATCAGTTTAATTGTCGGCAATCGTCACAGTGGATTAACTTCAATATCAATGGGAATTCCAAGGATCCATGATTGAGGGTTCCGTCCCCTCATCGGTGGCTCTGGATGTGTTGGATCTACCCCTGCATCATTCCATACACGGTCTCCCACCAGAGACTAGTCCCATCATTGGAATCGCCCATTTGTTTGTTTACGATTGTGGTTCTGACGGTGATTGATTAACTGCAGTCCCACTTGCAGCTGGTGGACCCCATTCTATCATATCAGCGCCCACCTTTTCTCTTGTTGTCGTTTTCAATTTCTGGTCCAACCACCTGGCTCTCTGCCTCGACACCTTCGGTGCCTTCTGAAGCCCTCTTCGAGGATCGAACCGTGAGGCTTGATTCGCCCGTCTGTTTGGCGCGGCGGGGATTAGCAGCTGTGGGAAATCCGCCACACGACAGACTCCGTCCGACTCCTGGTCGCCTTCGATAAAATCCCTCCGACAACAACCACCCGGTCCCTCCGCTCCGTCCGCCTGTTCCGGTTTCTCGAATCTCGCGTCGCGCTGGATCTTGAATGAAGGCCCGCATACGGCGGTCTGGTGTTCGATCACCGCGCACTCGGTTTCTAAAGCGCCGGGGCTGACCATGACCACCAAGGGTCCTTCTGCTACCACCAGTGCTGTCACTACCGCCGATATGGTCTCTCAGGCCCAAGTACTCGATCGCTCTGTGCCTATGCCGAGTGCTCCGTCGTCGGTGTCTCGCCACTCGACCAGCCGGCGACATCGCTCCAGTCGCTCCCACCATGGTGGTCTCGCCCACCAGTCCCAGAATGACTTTCCAATTTTCACCCACACCGGCGACGTTGAGATCGTGATCCGCGCGAACAGCCAGGAGAGGCGATATCTTGTTCATCGACTGATCCTTTGCCAGTGCTCGGGGTTTTTCGAGGCGAGTACGCGTGAGGAGTGGTCGCGACAAGTGCCCTCCAAGCCCTCCAATCCAGACCCAGGGTTCATGTCGAGAATCAGCGAAGATAACTCGTCGTTGTCAAATGGATCAACCCTGGCCCAGTCAGAAACTGGAGCACTGAACTGGCCCCAAGACAAGCGAAGATGGCGATACGAGTTGGACTGGGAGAACAAGGCGGAGGATGAGGAGCCGATACTTGTCCAGAAGGTTCGTACATATGCCGCGCGTGTTCGCGTTCTTTTCTCTGACAGGCTCTAATGTACACCGTTAGGCCCCAAGCTTTTCCAGTGCCTTTACGAGCGATGCATGTCAATCCCCCTCTGCAATGACCAAACCTTCCAACACGCAAGCGGGCTTTGTACGGTCGATGGCGAACCTGGCTGGGATGCAGTCCGTGGTGAATGTCCCGCACGCATCGCGGATGGGGAACGCGGGGGTGGATCCGACCATCCGCGATTACGATAATCTCTTCCGTCTGTTCTACAACTACGCGCCGGTGCTCAACAGCGTCAACATCGCGACGGCGTACTCGGAGTGCAGGTCGCTCCTTGCGCTTGCTGATATGTACGATGCGCTCCCAGTCACCGGGCCTCGGGTAGACCACCATCTTCTCGGTTTTGGGTCGCGTCTGTTCAAGCAAATCGCAAAATATCCACCGAGCTACCTGAAGCTAGGATACCTCGCAAGGAGTCGGGTCATCTTCGCAGAAGCCCTGATCCATGTGGTCGGACAATGGCCCGCAGGCCTGCCTCACTTGCGGAACGGGCCCTACTCCCCCTTACCGAGCACCGTACTGGACATCATTGAGGACAAAGTAGAGGATCTGGAGTACATGAAGGCGCGCATCGACTCCAAGCTCCTCCGGTTGACCCTGACTACCTCGCGCGGCGAGCGCGTCAGTCCGACCAACGCCTACCTCGACTGGCTAGCCATCTCGCTCTTCCGACAGTGGCTCGTCGACAGCACGACGCCCCCGCCAGCTCCCATCCTCAAAAACACATCCGCGAATGCCTACCCAGCCACGAACAACTCCACCGGTCGCTCCTCACAGTCAACCAGCCACCACCGCCAACAGGACCACCACTCATCATCGACGGCCTCCAAACCCAGCGCCTCCCCTCTGTCCTCCGCCCAGGTATACCGACTCATCGGCACGCCCTCATCACAAGCCTACCTCCCGCACGACGAGCTCAAAAAGTTCCTCAAAGTCCACCCCACCCCGTCCTCCGAGTCCCTCTACACACGCGACATCCTCAAGCGCTTCGAGCGCAAAATGGACGAGATCAAGCGTCTCGCGCGGGAAATAGTCAAGCCGCTCATGCGCAACTTCCTCGAGCTGGACCTGAAGGGCGGGGAATTCAGCGACACAGGTCTTCCCTATCTGACTTGCATCAAGGTGGAAGATGAAGATATTCCGTGGAGTTGATCCTTTCCACACACACACACACACACACCCCCTTCCTCCCCTTCCTCCATTTCTTTTTCTTTGGGTTTCATTCTATTTTCGGTAGGTGTTTTCATACTAGTTGAGCCGGTCGCCAACTATTATGATGACGATGATGATGATGAAGTTGATGATGCGCGGAGTCTCACTTTTACGTTTACGTTTCACTTGCATGTTAATGTTGATATTGATGTTTATGTTTATGTTCATGTTTCTACGCTCATGTCTTCACGAAGTTACGATATCCATTTACCTTTAGGTCAGTGCCTCTGTATTCCATATACGGGTTATGAAGAGACCTCTTTGCTGCATACACGTGTTTTATGTTTTGATATGGAATGATATTATGATATGATTCTTGCTATCTCTGTATAATCTCGTAGACACTGATTCATGGACGGCACAGTTCTAGCCTAAAGGGAGGACTGGTGATAAACGTGGTAAACGCTCCTGTGTAAATGAAGAATTCTGTACATCGACATCGATCGTAACTATAATATACATACATACACATCATCTACTCGGATATACAGTATACTTGTCAGTGGAAGTGCTATCCCCTAATTCTTCCCAATCACATCTATACCGCCCATCCACGATCGCAACGCCTCCGGAACAACCACCACCTTGCGCTCCACATCCCACCCATTCTCGAGAATGGCAGCCAGAACGCGCGGGACGGCCATCGCCGTGCCGTTGACCGTGTGCGGGAATCGAGAGTCCTTGGCTGAGCCGCCGCGCACGCGCGTCCCCAGTCGTCGACTCTGGTAATCCGTGCAGATGGAGGCGGACGTGACCTCGCCCCATGCGGAGTCGAGGTCGGGAACCTCGGAGGGGGAAGAAGAAGAGCGCAGGCGCGAGGGGAAGAGGGCCTCGATGTCGCGCTTGCGGCTGGCGCTGGCGCCTAGGTCTGTGGTGGGCATCTCGAGCACGCGACACGGGAGGCCCAGGGAAGTGAGGATCTCGGTTTGGATGGCGAGGAGGTCGGCGAAGAGGTCGTCTGAGGTGGGGTTGTTCCCGGGCGCCTTGCCCTCTGCGGCGGCGACGTTGTCGGCCCAGCCGAACATTTCGACCTTGGTGAATTCGTGCACGCGGTAAAGACCCTTAGTGTCCACGCCTCGGGATCCGGCCTCGGCGCGATAACAGCGACTTGGGCCTACCAGCTTGACGGGGAGGTCGGCGGCGTCGAAGTCGCGCCCTGCGTGCATGGCGGCTAGTGGGATCTCGGCGGTGCCGGTTAGCGACCGCTGCGGTTTGGACTTGTCTTTGTCGCTCTGCTCGATGGACCAGATCTGTTGCTCGTTGTGCTGGTCGCGGGGCTGGAAACCGCATGCTTCGGCGATGTAGGAGTAGACGATTGAGGGCGGTGACACCGGTTTCCAGCCGTGCTTGCGGGCTACGCTGAGGGCGTACTGGATCAGGGCCTGTTCCATGAGCGCGCCCTCGTTCGTGAGGAAGTACCAGCCCCAGCCGGTGGTCGTTGCGGAGCTGGTGAAATCGATCAGGCCGAGCGAGGTGCCGATCGCGACGTGTGAGCGGGTGGGGTCAGGATGCCGGACCCAGTCTGGCGGGGCGTCCGGGTTGAAATTGAGGTATTCGACGAGCGTGGGTTCGGTTCCGACCGGGGTATCTGCGCTGGACAGGTTGGGAAGCGAGAGGGCGAGCCGGTGAATCTCGTCCGTGCAGGTGGTCCGTCGCGTGGTCATCGTGAGCGATTGATCCTTCAATTTCTGAGCTTCCGCACGGAGGGATGCAAGTTCATTCTGTTGTTTCCCATCGTTTTCCTTCCCCTCGGTTCCCTGTTGTAGCTGTTGTCGAGCAGCGTTTGCCAATCTGCCGATGGCCTTCTCCAATTGCTTGATACGGCTGCGCGGAGCGTTGAGGTCGTGATCGAGACGGCGGGCCTCCTCGGACAGCTGTAAGATTTGGCCCGGGTAATCGGCATGCGCGGAGTAGTTGCGATCGACGCTGTTCCTGGAGTATAGTTCTGCGTGTTGGCGAATGTGCTTGATATCGGGGGTGGGTTTCGGCGCCGTTGCGGGTCGAATTGACTCGGGACGACGAGATGAGGAGGAAAAGGCACGACGGAGGATTGCGGAGACAGGAGATCGAGAGGAGGTCATTTTGCACTGCAGGCAGACAAAGGGAGGCCTCGCAGGCGCCATGACGGTGTGAGTGAGAGTAAGAGGGGTGAGTGGAGGTTGAACGAAGGGAACCAGGGCGGATAGTGGAATGATCGCGAGAAAAGAAGACATCGGACGATCAGCGACGCTTATCCCGTTCGGGAAATCTGCTTGCTCTGTACCTTATTGTGAACCTTCATGGAAGTAAAATCGATTGATTATAGTTTTATAGCGTATATTAGGCTCTAAATGAGAATCTTGATAAATTATGTGCTAGATAATATCATAGAACTGACAAATACCAAGTGACTCAATGTAATCATCAAATATCCACAGACTCCAACCACCACGGCCATTCTTGTCTTCTAACCATAGATATAGCAGAGACGGAAATTGGAGAAATACGAAGCATGCAATAAAGGGAAATTACAGGCCTAACTTCTGCTTCTTCGCCCTAGCCCCCAGTCCCGCGATAACCAAAACCGCCGCTAACAGCACTGCCCACAGCGGAATCGCCAGCACAGACAGGTTGAACGTCGTCTGCGTAGCGGCCGCAACGGTAGCCAACTCGAGCGTCATCAACGTGTACCCGACCATACGATGATATTTGTACATCGCCTTACCGCGGGCGACACTTCCCAGCACCTGCGTGGGGAAGAAATACTGTACCAGGCCCCCAGTGGCCTGTAGGATGATGAGTATGTACGTGATAAGGCCCATGATGCCATGCGGCGACGTCAGGCGGGCATGATTGCCCTTGTTGACTTCGATGACAATAAAGGCACTGATGAAGCCGAGGATGCTGACGGCTTGGATACCATAGTGAATGCGAGTGCCAAGGAGCTTTTGCTGGGGAGTCACTGTGGGTTGCAGGACCAGGGCAGCCTGGACTTGGAGAAGAATGGCCGTTGAATTGAGGAGCTGTGACGGGGTTCAGCGATCTTGATATCTACATATTCATATAGAAGGTCGAAGGTCCACTCACCGGATGGGCGGAAAAGAGCATCCATGGATGTGACAGGACGTTTGACCAAACCAGGATGACCAGCTGAAGCGTATGAATCAGTATCATCTCGATCCCTTCATTGTCCCATAGATTTGAGATTGTTGGTCAACATGGGACAACTTACTAGCCAGATGCCGAACTGTGCCACCGACGCCGTCCCTGCATCACATCATCAGTGTCACCAGTCCCGACCCAATTTCTAACTAGATTAACGCACCCGTCACGAGATTGTAAAAGATGGGCTGCTGGTCTTCCTGGACGACATCGCCCGGGGAACCTAGCAGAGGCTCATCTTCACGCGCGGTGATGGTTTGCGGATGTTCCTGAGGGATTCCAGTAGCCGACGCCATTTGGTTACGAGTGGACACTTTTCAGCGATCCAGAGATAAGAAGAGGTGGAATCTCTTTACCAACAGACGAGGAATTGGCGGTGGTAAAAAGAAAGATCGGAATCCGAATTGGATTCTCCACTCAAGCAAGGTGCAACACTATCGACTTATCGATGACGAATTCCCCCGCGAGGATTCGACCATCGGAGTCCGAACCTCGGGTCGGATTCCCCGATAGGGGACTTACCTCAGCACTACTATGAAGAGTAAACAGTTTATTGATCTTTTTAATTTATGTTTTGATGTTGTTTTCATAGAATATATAGCCATGAAGTATCGCTACTACATCTTGGTGACTTGATATGAATCCGCTTGCTCTTCCCGCAGTGCGTGCGGTCCATGCTGGTTTTGTGGCCAGCCGCTGGATGTCTTTGCTTTATAGAAAGGATAGTATCACTACTTCAACTATTCTAATGTTATATATTGAACTGTGTATCTATTGACCGTACTGTTGTCTTCTCTGGATAGTAGCATGGTATCCAACAGACAAATAGCTGGCCCTTTTTCAGAGACCAAATAAGCGAAGCAACCACGATGACCATCGGGTTCCAGTTGTCCAAGGCAGCTTCACTACAGCACTCTCTTCCTCATACCCAGGTCGTCCAAACACAACCTCCGCCCCCAGATTGCCCGGTTCTAGATTCATCACAATGTTGAACAGAGTAGAGGTCTGTCGTATAGGATGTCGTGACGGGTCCTCAGAGCCGCAGATGGCCCCTGGCGCATTGTATCTGTCTGCAAAGATCTGTTCTCGGAGAAGGGCCGGGGTGATCATGTTCCCAGCAACACCTGATTCGAGGAGTTCACGAGAAAGCTGTTGACACCGCTTCAAGCGTACTGGAGAGCTGGGAAGCCACGGTGGCTCCTGGACAGACCCATTCTCGATGAAATGATTGGTGTGTATAACCATCCCGTTGGCGTCCTCTTGGAGATATACGTCGCCGTTGGGAGACAGCTCAAGCCCTAGCGCCTTTGAACTATCGGCCAAAAGAATGTGCTGGCTAGAGGCTGCACCCCCCAGGGAATTAAGTTGTTCTAGTGCCGTGTCCACAGAAACACTTTCCAGACACAGTCGAAGCGCCACATGGATAGGAACTTTGGAACTGTCACATACGGGTGCTTTTATGGCATTTAAGCAGACGCCAACTCCGGCACTGTTGAATCCAATCTTGCCAACAATCCCTGCCTATAAGAAGTCAACGACCCGTTACCCTAGATGTCCAACATTAACATGCAATAATGTAGGATACACGAGATCTAACTTACCTCGGTCACCATGTAAATTGCGGGCTTATCAGGCTGTTCAATCTGCACCATCGCCAGGTTCTTGCCAACCCGCGTGGTCCAGTCCCAATTCTGCGACAAGACCCTGCCTTTCTCGCCCTTCTTCCACGAGAGACTTGTACACCCATCCGAAAAATGGCCCAAAGAGATCTCACTCCGACAATTCAGTGCCACAATGTCAAGCATCTCCACGCCTGCGCCTTCCGCAATGCCCTGCATCTCCGCATGAATGCCGGGAGTATTTTGCTCTGATGTTGCCCGAAAATCTGCGGCAAGCTTGTGCACCTGCGACCAGTCCATTTTGGACATGTACTCGAACATCTCTTTGTATATCTCCAGCTGGTCTTTGATTTGATGCTGCAGCTGGCGGCCATGTTCAAGACCAATCTGCCAAATGGTTGGTTAAATTGTGTCGAGTAGGAAGCATGGCAGAAAGAGATAATCACAGATGAGCTGTACTGCTAAAACATACTTCTTTTGGGGTACCCTTGAGCACCAACTTCGGGGGTATGTCGACTTTGGATGCCATGATGGACGCTGGCCGAGGTTACCGCACGGCGGGCGAAATCTGGAAATTTATTGGGGCGTCATGAGGGGAAAAGCGACCCTTATCAATGAAGCCAAGCGGGGAAGCATCACTAATTCCTCTTCCTTCCGTGGTCGCCTGTGCGGGGTTCTCCATTCTTCTAATGGAATTCAACTAGATTTGATCAAGGTAGCTGAAGTTTATTCCTATGTTACCTGGCACGTACTAGCCCAGCAAGCGGGTACTGCTTGAAGCATAATGGCAAGGCGGTTCAGTATCCACCATGTTTTGGCTCAGGCGTCATGTCCCACATCATATACGGCTTCAAGCTGTTAAGTCATTGATGATGCACCGCGCTGTTAGGCAAGCGTCCACACTTAACGGTATCTTCCTCATGTCGCATAGTGCCTGGAATCGTTGGTAGCAAAGCTCCGGCAAGACCAGAGCAAGCTCTGTCTAAGACCTCTAGCCTTGAAGCGTCCAGTGTTGCAGGTATTTGTGCAGGACACTCGTACCCATCGAATTGGCGGCCATGCTAGGTCTTGAATCCAAAGTTGTCGGTTTCCGAGGGAGTGGACGAAGGTAGATTCAAGATCAGGGACTTGAAGAAATGATGAGGACGTCGTGGGTCATGTGCCACGTTCAATGGGTTTAGTCACTTTCCCACCCATTTCACTCTATTATCTCCCCTCGTCCTCCTCTCCATCTTACAATCTGTCCACAATCCTATTGTCAGTTGTGTTTAACACCGCACGCCTGCTCTATAGAGTCTTTGAAAAAATTCGCATTTTCTGGATCAAAAACTGTTATTCTCTGCCTAGTACAGAGCAACAAATGGTGGTACAAACGGAACGCCATGGGATCTCAAGTTGAGTTGAGAATGGCTCGTGCTTTCTAATTCTGACCTTACCTCAACGCAAGACCGCATTGCTGCAGACAAAATAAGTATGTTGTCATAATGGCATCTGACTGGAATCTCACATACATCAGGTGCTGAGCTAGTCTATGTTCTCGGTTAAGACCTTGATTCTCAACCGATCTGCCAGTGCTGCAAGCTGACTTGGACCTCTAGAACAGCAAACAGACCTCTAGGCAATAAGAAAGTCCTTTAATCTGCTACTGGCCGTATGTCTATGCTAGTAAAGCTGATATCATAAGACCGATGCGTTCATTTGTGGAAGATCGATTGGTACACATAACAAAGCATGATCATATTGCTTGTGACTTGCTCCTTGGATAAAACCAATCATGCTCGACTGTCAAGGCGAAGCCGGGAAAATTGAACGGAAGCACACCGGACTAACGTCAGTCCTCTATGGCTGTTTTCCTGTGGCAAAAGTGGCCGATCTGAGCTCATACACATGGGCCACCTTACTTGTGTCACACAAGTAGTTCGGGCCTCTATGAGCCTCTGGTGCAAACATATTATAGTTGTGTCACCGAAAACCCGATGCAAGTCTCGTTGCCTATTTCCTGATCTTTGTGATATCTCATTGCCCATGCGCAAATACCTTTGTCTCGGTTATCGACAGTGGACACAGCTGACATGGGGAAATACATCTAAAAGGGATATCCATTTCAAAGATGATGTCTCCCAAGATGATGTCTTGGATAGCTCCGATGAAAATGGTTTCTGAAAGACTCAAGAAGAGCACCCAGTCTCAGTTTATGGGCAGACTTCCTCTCCTCTTCGTTCAAGGAAATGACCCAGCTGTATACGTTGTCGATTGGCTGCTTATGAGCAACGTTAACGTTCATAATGACATGGCATAAATATTTTCTTTTAAGAGCCCTGGAACCCGCTTTCAGGATACTGGCATTGTTTGTGGGCCGGCGTCTGACCCCTGCTAGGTAATATGGGTAGGCGAGGGACCGATCTCGTTGGTAATGCCATGGTGGTTTTGGTCGCAATCTTGCCAGACCGTTCGACCAGTACATCTATTTTTGTGACTGAACAGTTTCCGACGGAGCTAAGGCCCGCAATCTTGTCCACATTGAAATATGTCGGTGAGGTAGTGTCAGTGCATCGTCATGGTTTGATGACCGGCATCATATGTATGACCGTGGCCACGTTCGGGCTTACCCAAAGTGGACAGTAGTCGGAGCCGTCGGGTTCCACTCATTCTGGAAGCTTTGTTTTCTACCATAGTTTGTGTTACTATCTATCCCCTGATCCTGGGGTCGCCTCGTTACTACATCATGCGCGGGGAAAGGGACGCTGCCAGGAGGGTGGTAGTCAAGTACCACAGGAGCAGCGGTGATGTTAATGAGGCCATCATCGGAATGACTGTTTCACAGATTGAAGATTCTTTTGGAAGTTATCGAATTGAACCAGTGGTGTGCTCTTTCCCGGGGTCACTCGTCTCGGTTCATGGTTCCTTCCTATACTCGTTTTCCAATAGTGGAAATAGTGGTGGTATCATCACATCATGTGAAATTTCGCTCCACCTCCCCTTCCTCTTGCTTTTCTTCTCTTACTTGTTTGACTTTGCTTTTACTTTCCCTTGTCATCTAGCGTTCTTTTTCTTCTTCTTATCATTCCTCTTCTCCTTTTTTTTCGCAGTTAAGTGAGCGCGCTGGGCTTTGTCTGACTTCTTCTAGATTGACCCTGCGCTGATTCCTATTGGCGTGGATGGCACGATGTAACGACTGGCAATTCCCCCCCAGTGCCACAGCAACCTACTTTGTGTTTACCGATGTCGGCGCTCTCATAACCAACCGGTTTCGACGGCGCCCATAAAGTTTCACGAGATATGCCGGCATGATCATCTCAAAATGCCACCGCTATGCAATCATAGCAAGATATCATGTCAGGCAAGTCATGCGACTGCGGTGTTGACTATTCTCTAGGTATACATCTAGCAGACTTTTTCCGCTTTGCCGATTGCTATGATCCACAGCCTCTACTCGTCATAAACCTTGTCCCTTGCGCTCTGTGCTGCTGTGCTTCCTCATTTAAGGTGGTGCTGGCACTAACTATGGTATCTCTATAAGGTCGAAAAGATCGGCTACAGCATTTGAGTAGCTTACACTGCCTGCAACTACCTTCGTCTAGTGCCACTATACTACATCATTTTAGAAACATATGATTTGGCTCTTGAAGATACTAATGGCAGTTCTTGAGACACCAGAGGTGCGCTGGTGAAGATCTGATTAGATATCCAGAAAGCCAAAAGGAGACACCCGAAGCAATTGATGAGGGTGTCACTTATCTATAGCCTATTGGAGCATTCATCACACGCCTAATACTTCAATGTATCTGGTTCATGCTCACGCGACCCCATAAAAGAGCTTGGGGTGCATTTCAGTCTTAGAGATCCTATACTTTGTGACCCCGTATGGGAATTAAACTCACCTTCTGTTCGGCCGAAGCAGGGAATATTAAGTTGATATCTATTTTCAGCCCTAATCATCATCACGCGGCTCATCCTAAGGGTGCCTGTCCCCAGCCTCATGTGGCACCATATTAGCCAGTCAGATGATCTTCTTCTTGGAAGCCCATCCGGGATTAATATTCAGAATGCTGAGACTTTTCTCAGTAAGTTGATGGGTGTGTTGAACAGTCAGATCTTATCCATTCTTGTGTGGTGTCCAGACCTTCCACAGATGCTGCCATTGGATCTATACAGCCCCGGATGCATACATACCCCTAAGGCTTGGCCGTTGGCACTATTGCCAACTCTCAACGTTTGAATTTACTGAGAATAGTACCAGATCTTCATAGCCTACATACATTGCACTGCATCTGCAAAAAGCCCGTTGACCAGTCGGGCACACATGATCAGCATCGGATGAAGGCATGAACCATGCATGGATTGTTATCGGAACCAAACATTCGTCCATCTTTCACATCTTATTTCCCCCCTTTCCGTTTTTGTGAATGACTAGACGTTTTCATTGTTTTCCCTGATCTACTCACGGACAAGCGACTTTCAACGTCTCTTTGATATCATGGACTAGACACTGCGGGTCGAGGCTATATTGACAGTGTGGCTCAGTCGGCACAATTGACAAACCGGATTGGCCGGAGATGGTAGTATCTGGTAGACAGCCTATCATCAGTTTTTTGTTAGTTGAGCAAGTTCAAAGTGGTCTTCCTTAGACCAGAATAGGTCCCTCCCAGTGTTGCACAACAACGCATCCCGCGGCTAGCGACAGGTCATACGGGAGGATGCACGAATAAGGCATAACTAGGAAATTAAAAGGGAATTAAGAGAAGAGGGGAAACCAGAAAGTCTAGTAAAAAAAAAAAAAAAAAGAGAGAAAGAAAGAAAGGGAAACAAAAATAAGAGAAAAAAGCTAATCAGACGTAGCGGGATGCTTCGTCCCGTGATATGATAGTATTTCCCTAGGAGGGAACCTACATTTGCCATTCAGTCGAGACGAATGGATTATACAGATAGCAACAGGAGGTTCAACCCATTGAATCTAACTCTTCTTCATATCAGAAGGGCGACCTTGCATGCTTTCGGCCATCTGGAGCACTCCACCCTATTTCTGTCTAGCCTGGCACGTTGACATTCCTTTGTTCAAACGTGGGACAGACGATTCGCATGGCCCACACCGTGTTTGCGCTCGGTGGCCGTTAACCGTCAGTCCCTTAGTCCACGATGGCAGCTCTATGTATGTTTGCACCAATCCGCCACCATTGCATGCAGGTAGGGCGAGTGACCGAGGCGGGAGTATTGAAACATTCCGAGGTTTGTTGATCCACAGCTATGGAGACAACGGAGCCTTACATCAATCCCAAGGGCTCACTGACTATTGCCAGAGACACCGGCTGCACTGCGACGGGCCTCATGGTGTCACAGTCTATCTCAATATGACAATCGACGACTTCCCTAGAGTTGTCATTGGACTGGCCTCTAGAGACCATCACAAGACGCACCATCAAGTCAAACAGAGACTGTCATGCTGCGAGATGTCAAGTATATTAAGATAGCTTCAGTAGCCCCTCGAATTGATATCCATCGAAAGCTTTTTTCTCTTTTTCTTCTCAAGAAAGCACTAAAGAATCTCTCGTCTATCCACCATCACTTTTTCTACTCAGAGCGTCCGAGACTACCACGCACCGAGGCAACAAACAGCCCGCTTTCCTTTTCAAAGCCCACCTCCCATTTCCAACCCCCATATACATCAATTATCAAGCTCATAGCAAAGCTTCACACCTACTACAACCCCTCCCACCTTCTCAAATACTACACACACCACACTACCAATGCCGCCGCAACGAGGACCCTACCCCACCACGACCACCATGCCCGAAGTCCGCGGCCTCAAGTACGACGAATCCGACATGGCCCTCTTCCACGCCAAACTCTCCTACCACTCCACCATTGAGGAGCGCCTGGCTCTCAAGGACACCAACCTCACATCCATCTGCGACCACCAGTTTAAGATCCTCAAACGCTGGGAGATGCTGAAGCAGGTGGAGAAAGAAATGGCGGACAAGGGCAAGAGCCTGTCGCCCGCGGAGAAGAAGCAATTGGCTCAGTACGAATGGCGATACAAGACGTTGGAGGAGGTTGCAACCAACAGTACGGGGTGAGGGGAGGGTTGAGCTCTTCTTTCTTTTCTTTTCATCTTTTCTAAACTATTTTTTATTTCTTTCCTATTCATTGGTTTCTTTCTTTTCTTTTTTCATTGATACATTCTTAAATTTTTTTTTCCATTTTACTTCTTCCATTTTACTCTTATGACTATTGTTGCCTTGTCATGGGAGCGTCATCGAAGGAGTGGTTGCATCGTTGGCGCGGGATCTTTAGAATTCAATAATGAATCTTTTTCTCCCTATTCCTTTTTTATTCCCTTGTTGATTCTCCTTTCATATTCTATTCAAGTTTTTTTGATATAAAAAGACTACACTGTTTCCTCACTCAATTCCTCCCCGTTTCAACCTCTACTAATGGCAAGAGATTAACAACAATGCCCTATACTCCAGCCACAACAACAAACGTCCATGGACCCTAGCTTCAGAAGAAGAGGCAAAGAACGAAAGAGAAAAGGAGAAAAACAAAGGTCGAACAAACAGCGTCACCCTCCGCCCAACATCCAACGCGCATATCCACAAAGTGTAACATATAGACCTTCTGTCCAACACACTACATCAGTAACCTACTCACATTACGTCGTCAGCTATAGCCTTAGCCGCTCCTCCCTGTCCTATATATCTCGCTCACCTTCAATGACGGAGTACACTACACTACACTACATACCTACAGAGCCCACTCGCTACACAACCGTCGGGACAGACGAGCCCATGATCTATCTACATATCTCACCACGCGACCAACTCAATCTAGTCGTGACATGCCCCCCCCGCCTTGTGCTTAGGTAATTATGTTGTTTATTACTCCGACGGTCAGGTAGGTAGGTAGTAAGTATCGTGTACGTTGCATACATATGCATGTATGTATATATTTACCCCTTGGGGATTAGATTGGACTGGATTGTGTACCGGGAGCGGGGGAGAGAAGTAAGACACAAGGTGCACGTCATGTCATTGTGCTGGGATTATTGTACAGGGTTGTTGCTTGGCGGGTTGGGTGGAGAGAGGCTCGGAGGGAAGAAGGACTGTTGGGTTGCTCTTTTTTTTTTTGCTCTTGCTCTGTTGGTGGGTTTCTACCATGATACAGAATACAATAGGTAGGGAAGGAAGGGAATTAGATAGCTGGTATGATATCTCCTATTTTAGTGAAGTTTGGAATCATACCTACATAACGCCCAGTCGTAGCCAATTATATACTATATACAGAACAGAAGATAGCTGTTTCCAAACAGAACACAGTAATTCCGAATGCAAGAAACCCAAAGACAGAAGTCAAAGAATAGAACCAAATGAAATACCAAAGAAAAAGTAGACGAACACTTGCACCAAAGGCAAAATCTTTGAGATAAATTAATCGCGGATTTGTAAGAGAGCCTAACGTCTGAACAAGTAATAGAACATTTTAACCAGGACAGGTATCTGGAAAACCCGATAGAAAAAAATAAGAAAGGGGAAAAAAGGGAAAGGAAAACTTCTTCTTCGATCGGCGTCTTGTTGTAAGTTTTAGACATGATCGCTATACTCGTCAATCATATCCTTCATCATCGTCAAGTGTAAACAAAACATAGGTTTAAACATGAGAAATCCGGACCTTACGCCGTTGAACCTATTATAGACGCCAGTTGGTGTGGGATGAGAATATGCGATGGGGATTAAATTAAGGACAAAGAAGGGGAAGGCAGAGGAGAAGGACGAAGCACCCCTCGGCCTACTTGACTGGCAAGGATCGGGGTCCGCGCGCAGGGTCATTGCATTGTGCGAGAGCATCAACTATTTCTCCTTTTTCAATCTCTTGGGTAGAAAATGGAGAAAAGGCCTCTTAAGTCAACTAGTCTCCCCTTGCTGCTGAGGCGGCGGCGGCGGCAGTGGCTTCTCTTCTTCCGGCGTCAGCCCAAGAACCTGTGTATCAGAACCCGACGACGAAACACTATTCGGCGTGCCCGCCTCATGGCTAATACTTTCTCTCGCGCGGATCGACAGCCGCGTTCGCGTATACGTCGGGACCGGCGCAAGGTACTGGTCGAGCATCTCGCAGAGCACCGTTGATCGGACAGGCTTGGGAAGGTAGTTGTTCATTCCTGCGTCGAGACACTTTTCGCGGTCGCCTTCGATGGCGCTGGCGGTCATGGCGATGACGAGCACTTCGTTGACGTTGGGGTCGGGGTCTCTGCGGATTTCACGCGTCGCGTTGTAGCCGTCTAGCGTTGGCATTTGGACATCCATTAGGACCACGTGGAATGGGCGTCCTTCGCGGGAGCGTGCTCGCAGTGCTTCGACCGCTTGGCGGCCGTCGCTGACGGCTTCGCATTGCAGATTCAGCCCGTTGACGAACTTGACGGCGATCTTCTGGTTGATGGGGTTGTCTTCGGCGATGCATATCCGGATTTGATCACGAGGGACCTGAGTGAGATCGCGGGCAGTGGGCGTGGGCGAGGCCTTCGCTTCAACCTGTTTCAAGTGCTTAGACCATAGGGACTTTGCGGGATCCTTGGCCTTGTTGAAAGAGAGATGGAAGGTCACAGTGGTGCCATTGCCGAGAGTGGAATCGAGCCAGATTGCACCACCCAGAACATCCTCAATAATTGCCTTGCAGATACTGAGCCCAAGACCGCTGCCGCCATAGGACCTAGCGGTAGAACTATCCGCCTGAGAGAACGGCCGGAAAAGTCGAGCCTTCTGCTCCTCGGGAATGCCGATGCCCGTATCAGACACCGAGCACTCCAATCGGACGCGGCCCTTGCCTTCTCGGGAAATCTTAGCCTTCACAGTGACAGACCCCTTCGGCGTGAACTTGTAGCTGTTGCTGAGAAGATTCATGAAGATCTGGTGCAACCGAACAGGATCGCCAAGAACGACAAGATCTGGCGGTACCTTGTCCAGGTCCTCTATAGTCTCTAGGCCCCGGTCTCGGTGTGTATAGCGCAAAGCACGTACAACCTCAGCGATCGTCTCCTTAATATTAAGCGGCACGGTAGAGATCTTCATCTTTCCAGCCTCCAACTTCGAGAAATCCAGTATATCGTTGATAAGCGTAAGCAGCGTATCAGCACAGACGCGAATAGACTCGACATATTCATCTTGCTCCTTGTCTAAACGGGTTCCCTTGAGAAGCTCAGACAAGCCGATCACACCGTTCATCGGCGTACGCAGGTCGTGTGAGATGTTGGCCAGGAATATAGACTTTGCCTTTGCCGCATCTTCTTTGAGCTTCACGTTGTGCTTAGCTTCTGCTTCCGCCACCTTCGCCTTTTGCTCCGCCTCGCGAGCTTGTGCCAGAGCGCGCTTTTGAGATTCGACCATCGATGCATTCGTAGCGCCGACCTTGCGGATCTCCCGGAAAAGCAACGCATTGGACAAGGAGATCCCAATCTGGTTGCACAGCAAATGGAGAACGACAAGATTCCGCTGGGTAAAGGAGTTGGGTTTCCCTTCGATGTGGATCACCCCAAGAAGATTTTCCGCCTGCATTATGGGCAACGCGATCACGGACCGACCGAGCGGGTACCGACTCTGGTAGGCCTCAATCACGTTGGAGAAACGCTCGTCTTCGAGAACATTATGAACGAGAACCTCTTCCCGGGTGCGCATGACGTAGTGAGAGATCTGCTGGGCCATTTTGTCCTCGACCTCCGAGAAAGGGAGGCCATCAACGAAAGACCTCTGGCCCTTTTCAAGGTCGCCCGCTGCGGCAACGGTAAAGTTGCCGTCGAAATTCGTTGCGATCACCGCAAAATCAGACCCGTTGCACGATTCCAACACGATTTCGACCATCTTAGCCAGAAGCTTCTCGATCTGGAGTTCAGAGGACATCACTTGGCTGGACTCGAGGATGCTCGATAAATCGATAATATCGAGTCCGACGCCGGAAATATCGAGAGACCTCTCGCCAGTAGTGACCCCATTCTGCTCTATCCAGCGATGTTTCCGGTCATCCTCGTCCATATTCTGGCCTACGCCCATGTGTTCCGGGGCTGTGCTGTGATCGATTGCAAGGAGCGAGTCGACGGTTTGACAAGCTGCGTCAGCGTTTCTAGATGACGTCGCTGTTTTCAAGAGCCATTCGTGTTTTTCGGTTAGCTGGGCCGCCTTGCCTGCGGCACTTATTGCGGCCCATGCACCAATGGCATCCTGCATCACCGAACGCGCTGCTCGTTTGGCACCGCGGCGAATCAAGAATTCCCCTGCTCCCGTAATTAGCGCGCTGTTCAGTTTCCACTGCTCAATGGCAGCGAGAGAGGCGGGGGACGTACCGTGCAATTCAAGCGCGAGAGCCTCTTCCATAGGCCAGCCGTGGATTTGGCAATGATCGATCGCCGCCTGTCACATAGTCAGCGGACTTATCCTTGAATTACTCCAATATTGACAAACCTCAAAGGCTTGAATAGCCGAAGTATGGTCATTCCGAAGTTCGGAAATCAACGCTTCTAATATCAATGACCACATCCCATAGTTCGCATCACAAGCACTGCGAGCGAAATCGACCTCCGCTTTATACTTCAGAACCGTCTTGAGACTGCCATCTAGATACCCACCAGCGGGGTATTCGTGGTGAAGGGTGAGAAGAGCAAGCGTGAGATAAAAGTAGACAACGTAAGAGACTCGAGCAGACCAGAGCCTGGGCATTGTTTCCATCATCTGGATGCCTAGCTCGATCGTTTTGGCGTGATGTCCATACACAAACAAAGGTATCATGGCCAGTCCCCAGTATATGTCGCGAGGTCGATCAGCATTGCTGGCATTATTTTCTAAGAAGGCAATGTATTCGTGGGAGCAGTGCTGCTCGTCGCTCATAATCGTATTGGGGTCGTGATGGAACGTTTTGCCTTGCAGGGCACGCGCGACTTGTCGGACAGCAAGGAGGCTGGCACCTCCGCGGGTATCATTCGTCCAGTCTGGAAGATCTTCGGGGCTCTCATTGCAAAAGCTCTCCAGCTGAGTCATGTCATGACCTAGGAACAGCCTTGTCATCGCCATCGAGGAGAGGCTGATCAACGTGATGT